GGACCTTCCCCGTAGACCGGTCAGGCATGCGTCCGGACCTGGCGTTACAGGTACATCTTCAATCACGATCAAAGGGAAGTTCGGAGGTCATCTTCGGCATTATTCCCGTGCAGTTCGCGATGTAGCATCTCTCTCCCCTCCCCCGGGAACAGAAAGCGAGGAAAGGGGGACGGGGGCAGGGAGGGAGGAGCGAATTCGGTCCTCCATCACGATGACCCGCAAACCTGCGTTTGTGCTGATGGGATCAGCCAGCCTCTTCGCACCCCTCCTCTCATCGCTGTCTGGATCACCATCACCATCTTTTTGTATCGGCCCCCTTTTTCCTCTTCTTCCTTCTCCCTCACTATGACTTTCCTTTCTCCACCTGCCTCTTCTCTGGAGCATTCGAGTCCGGGGTATGCCCGTTCCCCTTGCCCCCCTCCCTCCACTTCCCACCTCCCCCTGGTCTTTGCCTTGGAAGCATGACATACGAAGCCTATCTGCGGCCAGCCGTTCAAGACAGCATGCCTCATGCTGGTTCCATTTTTACTCTCATTTTTCTATCCAGACACCGTTGCAGCGCAGCTACTACCACCCTCACTACGAGGGAGGGAGCGACACTAGACATTCCATTCCTATTCCAGCGCCGGAAAGAGGGGGAAGTGAAGGGGGAAAGAGGGGGGTCACACCAAGCTACTTGTAGCTGGCAACCTTTAAGCTGCATACACGCTACGAGTATCGCTGGCCCATCCATCAATCACCTATCGCCCATTGCCCATTGCCCTCGCTGGCATGCTGGCGTGTTGGCCTGGCCTGGACCCTCTCCTTGCTGCGCCTGACCTATTGCGACAAGGCCGTTTTGATATCGTGGTCTCTGGTGGATGCCGCGCTTATTCCCACCTTGGCTAGCTCGGTTTTGTTTAATTCCCGTTCGACGCGCACCAACGTGGGCGGGGGCAAAAGAGCGAAAGAAGACTAAGCAAAAAGACACTAACATCTTTCCCCCTGTGCTCCCTCTTCGTCCCTTCCCCTTCCCAATGGTGGTACCTGACCCAAAGAAATGCGACCCCGTGTGGTTCCACATCGACCCATGGTGGCAGGCAGCTAGAGCTAGTGACGGGGCTTTGCGCTTCCAAAACCCGAGCCGGCACCTCTTTTTATCTAGGCTCCTCTTCTTTCCCTTTTCAGGGTATCGGACGGGTAGAATGGCAAGGTGATGGGAACGAGGACGAGGGAAAACAGCGAAAAAGCAGGAAATAGGGAAAAGAATGGGTGGTTTTGGAGGGGCACATGCGCACGCACACCCCAAATGGATGTCGTTTTGTGTCCTCCCTTGATTTGGTGCACCACCCACCAGCAAGCCAAGAATCCATCAAAACCCTTGGAAAGAAGACGAGATGGCGGCGAGGGAGGGGCGAGCATGGCCAGAAGAGGCGAGGACCCCGTCTTGCCCGTCTACGAGGTGAGAGTGGTGTGTCGATCCTCGAAAGAATTGAATCTCAGATTGGGTTACACTAAAAGTGTTCAATATTCTCACTCGTCCCTCTTGCGCGCGCGTGCGCACGCAGGCTGGGGGCTAGGCTAGGCTAGGCTACGAGGTCTGCGACGACTTGTTCCCGCCTGGAGATTTGATGCTGGTGAACAGAAACAGGAAAAAGGCGCGACCCGGACAGGCCAGACCGCCGAGAAAAGGACCAAGGGCGAGCTTTAGAGCGAAGAGGCGAGAAATGTCGCGCTCAACCGTTTCCCCTTCTCTCAGTCTTGCCCAGGGCCGGTGCAGAAGATGGGCTACCTAGAGAAAAAAATAAAGGCCTGGCGTGAAACGAAGAAATAAGCCTTCTCAACCGCATTTCTTACCTGTCTTTTTCTTTTTCCATCTTTCTTCCTTCGGTTTGTGTTTGGCCCACCTTGTTTCGGTCATCCGTTCGGCCGCGCCCGCTGAATAAAACGTCTTCGTCTTGACGAGAAACATGGCGGCCCCTTCATAAACCAAGGAAGGAAGGGACTGGAATGACAAGACGCACGAAAACGGGAAGAAGAAAAAAGGAAAAAGCTCCCCAAGAGGCTTCCGAATCTTCCTTGCTTTCCTTCTTTTCCCGGCCCACCTTTGCCTCTATATCGTTGCGCCCCTGCGTGGGTTATCTCGAACAGGGCCGAGCGCCGATCCGAGAAGGCCAAGAGGTGGAAAGGGAAAAAGAAGGAAAGAAAAAAGGTTCAGCCATGCTCATCACCTCGAAGGCGGCAACGGGCAACGTAAGACCGGGGCGTCGGATCCTGGACGATTCACCCTTGTGGAGCTCTTACGAGACGAATGTATGTGTGCGTGCAAGGATGGAGAATGATGTCAAGCTCAGATGGATCAGCATGGCTAGAGAGCAAGAGAGCGTTCATCTCTTTTGCCACCATCACGGCCCCCGTGCTGAACCCCGTTGTCTCTCAAAGCCTCTCCCTTCGTTGGTTTCTCACCGGATGCGGCACGCCGATAGAGATGGGCGCGATATCCCTTGGACGGTAGAAGGGAGAAGGGAGCTGGCACACCGAGTTTTGTGCGGCTTATTGCGCGCTGAGAAAAGCGAAGCGTGCTGCAGATGATCGTAACCAGCTGCTGCCATCGCTCACGCCCCCGCGTGCCTCGAGCCTCTTCATCAAGAAAAAGGAAGAAAAAGAAAAGAACCAAAAAACAACAGCCACTCCTTACTTGGCCGCCTTCTTCCCGTGCGGTCAATGGGAATTTTGTGTCAACGGCAGGCTAGCACTTGCCTTGCCTCGCTCAGTTTCCAGCCCCACGTCTTAGCGTTGGAACATTGAAAAAGGTGTTTCCCAGAGATTGGGCTCTTTTGAGCCATCACCACGTTACCAATTCCGCCTTTGCTGCATGCGAATGGCTTGCAGCCACGGCGCTGAGGCAAGCGCAGGCTCTCCCCAGCGGCCCCCGTCTCCTGAGCCTGAGTGCAATGATCCATTATCAGTTGATCCGTGTGTAGATGCGCAAGCGTCACACGCTGCAGAGTGACCTCGCGACCCTCTGCTTCCCCTTCTCCCCTTTGGCCTTTTTGGGCATTTTCCTTTTTCTTCTTCTTTTCGTCTACCTTTTTTCCTTTTTCCCACACGACTGCTCTTTCGGTGCTTTGATTATCTTCCCTCCCGCCTGGCGTTTCTCACCCTCTAGGGCCCACTTCGTCTTCGGGCTCCTTAATATCCTCAGCGAGGGAATCCGCCTTCTCGCGTGAGCACTTCCCGTCTAACACTTGATCTCGTTACTTTTTCGTTTGGCGCGTTTCTTCCTTGCCCTTTTTGGGTCGCTTCTCCCATCCCATCCCATCCCATGCCAGGCCAGGCCAGTCTACGCCCCCACCATTTTCCCACCCTTTTTCCACCTTTTGTCCTGTCCCTGTCTCCTTTGCCCACTGCTCTCTCCCACCCCAAGTTCGAATTTCTGGTCTGTGCTGCCGTGGACAGAGCGGTGCATGTCGTCCCTCACCTCACACACACCCCTTTCTCACATCCTTTCCCTTTCCCTTCTCTCGTGCACCCTGCTATCACGGTTTTGGGGGCGTATACTCTCCACCCCCCTTCCCTCCCACACCCACACCCACTAGCCGACCTTGATCCCTCCCAATCTACCGCCGCCCCTTTGCCTCTTCTCAGCGCACCCCCTTGCCCCCGCTGACCACCACCATCCTTGAGCTCCACCATTCCCTCTCAACCCAACATCGATGGGAATAACTGGGGTGGTCCCTTTCCACCACCTTTCCACCACCTTTCCACCACCTTTCCACCACCTTTCACCCCCTTCCCCCTCGCATCGCACCGCACCGCATCGCACCAGATCGCCTCGGAACACACACGCGTGTGGGTTAAGAACCCAACCGCCAGTTGGCACTAAACGGGACCCGCGAGCGTGTGGGTCCTTACCTTTCCCATACCATAGACGCACATACTTCGTCCTTGTACGCATAGCAACACACAAGGCACACCGTCCGGCTGGCCTGCCTTACCTGTCCTGCCTCGATCCACTTGATCCCTGGCTCCGGAACAAATTGGGTCTGTCGCTCTTTCTCTGTGGCTCCTAATATTAAACCCCAGTCAAAGAAGTGATGGGAAGGGCGAGAAAGAGACGAGAACAAGGGTCCCCCAAAAGGAGAGAAACGAGAGAAAAAGATAAAAACCCCGACCCGACAAGAAAGGAATGTCAGGGCCAGTTCAAAAAGAAGAATAAAAAAGTTTACGGGGGTGCGCGTCGGGATCAAACCCTGGGCTTCGAGTGGGGTCTGTGTGTGTGATCAATGTGAGGTAGGGGGTGGCGATCGAAGGGGTGGAAAGAAGGTGGGAATGATGGGAGTCCATCTGTGGTGTGCAACAGCTACCCGCACGCACTGCGCGACCGACGCCTTTGGGGGGGCGTGTGTGCGAAAGCGAACTCACACAACATACAGAGAATGAGAAGAGGCAGACACACGCACACACACACACACACACCTACACAGAGTGAGAGAGAGGAGAGAGGGAGAGGAGGTGTGAAAAAGGTTATTAGTGCCAGGCGAGCAAGTATCGTGAGCAGAAAAGTCCCTAGGCGAATATATAACCTACCGTGGCTGCTCACCTTCCCACCTCTTCCGCCCTCCCCCACCTATTTCACTCTTCACCACTACTACACCTGCATCGTAGCAGCGTCGATTGCCGCTGTCCTCGCTTCTTTCCGAGACTTGGTTGACCACGGCTCCTGTTGCAACCACTTTCCAGCTCTCGTTCGCCTACCACCCAGCAACACTCCCCTCTCCTCCCTTCTTCCCCTCTCGTTGGGTGATTTCTCTCAAAAGTGAAAATCGATCATCTGTCGCCCCAAATCCTTTCACGGCCAATACCTTGGAATCAGAAACGAGAACGAAGAAAACGCCCCAAACCTGACCACACCCATCAGAAGGAATAAAACCAGGCTTTCCCCTCACTTCTCCTTTCCTTAAACAACACCCCAAACTGCTCGGCACACCGCCAGCGCACACACATACACACACGCAACCATGCCGTGCGCCGGATCCGCCCTCCCCTTCACCCACCTCGGTAATATGGACATCGACGACTCCCGGTATCTTCTACAACTCGCTCGCCGCGGCGGCGTCAGCCTGCCCCAGGGCCCCGGCGACTGGAGCATTCTACACGTCAGACCATCTAGCCCGAGCGCCTTCTCCTTCTCGTCCGCCGCCTTCGCCCCTTCTGCCCCAGCGCTAGGGTCGCCACCTACGGCGCGCGATGCAAACGTGCCTCTACAGACGTATTCCTCCCCGCCGCCGCCTCCTCCGTCGGACCGTGATGCCGGGGATGGCCTCAGCTATTTTAGCCGCCCTTATGCGGGCGATAGCCAGCTCTCTCGGGCCGGCCCGCTTTCCTCGCCCATCCACGAAGCCGTGTCGACGCAGCAGCAGCCCACGCCCATGACCTCTCCGCGGTCTCACCATCACCAGCACCACCAGCACCACCACCACGATTCCGCCTCTGCCAACGGACCCTGTACGCCGGGCTCCGCGCATCGCTTCTCCCACAACGCGCCTTCTTCCCCTTCGACCCAGCAGCAGCAGCAGCAGCAGCAACAGCAACGCGCCGCTTATCCACCGCCGCCCCCGTACGCCGGCGAGCCCACCCGCTCTTACCCCCAATCTCACCAACCGCAGAACCACCCAGCCCGGCCGCAATCCCACTCACCGGGCCACCGGCACCCCGGCCGCGGTCCTCGGACGACATCCCGAGCAACGCGCGGTCGATATCCGCCCAAGCCGAGGAGCATCGACGGCGCCGACTCACTACGGGCGTCAGTTACGGAGCCTCGGCCCCGACAGGGTCTTCGACGACGCACGGCCGCAACGGGCACGGCGGATCGATTTCGCGGCTGAATTACCCGTGCCGGCGCACGAGGACGGCGAGAGAAGGAGTGTTACGCGCACGAGGCCCTCGGAACCTTGGGAATGGTACTATTATGGCGAAGTGCCTCTCCCTACGCCACCGGCCGAGCAGCACCGACGACGGGAGGGAGCGGGAACGCCGTGAACCCTTTTTTCTTTCTGCCTCTTTTTGATTTGATTTTTCTCTATTACGTACCAGCCAGCCTCTCATTTTCGCACACGGCCTCAAAGATGTTGCTCTTTCCGGTTTTCTTTCACCGACATTTTCACCAGTTACATATATATTGATATATTCCGGCCTTAGCATTTTTCTCTTCCCCGGGAAACGGGACTTGGGGGTCTTTTGGCAAAGGGTGGCGGCATCCGGTATCATCGAACTTTTAGACTCGTTGTGGACCCTCCCCCATCGGTCGCTTGGGGACACACCTTCATTTTTGGGGATTTTGTTTTTCGGTTCTATTTTGGATTTTGGTTTACGGACAACTTTCGCTTCTTAGATATCCTGGCCCATTTGCTCACTCGCTTTTTTTTCTTTTTCCTCCCGTCTTCTTTTATTCCCTCACTTCATTTTCCATTTCGATCCCGACCTTTGTCATCGTTTAGCCCTTTTACACTATAGATTTCCAACCCCCACGACGGTTTTACTCTTCTTCCTCTGTTGAGGGCTGCAACAATCGGTCCATGTCCTCTAGAATGGGATCATTATTGACGAATCTTCGTTTCTCCAGCCTTTTTTTTTCTTCTTCTTTCTTTTGAATATACATGTAATTAGGCTTCTTGTACGTTTGCATTCTGGCATTAGAGTTTTTGAGAACCCCCAGTCTCACCACATGCGACATGGGCTTTTCTTCCCGTCTGGTCTGGCGCCGGAGCTGGAACCGGAACCGGAGCGATGCCTCGTTGTTGTATCTCTGGTTTGGGAGTAATAATTGACATATTTCGTGCTCTCTTTTCATTCCATTTCTTCCTCGCTCGTCTGGCCAGCATCCGCAATTGCCGGCCACGACCACAGTCTCGCATCTCAACCTTGGGTGTTAGGGGCCTAGCTGTACAGCAAAAATCAGACATCAATCACTTCATGGGAGGCCAAGCCTAAGCATCATCGGGCATAGCACGTTCGAGGCCAGCAACCGCACGCCGCCCTTCCTTCCTGTATGTGGATCCCGGCGCCCGGGAACATCTTTGTATCACCAAAATTAGCATCTATTAATCTGTGTTTTTGACTCAGGCGAGACAAACACTCCCCGATCGGGGGCTCCTCGATGACGCAGGACACGTGTCTGGCGCCGGCCGCTCTTGTCCGCGCGGCTGTAATTGCGAACGAACCTTTTTCTGTAAAATCGGCCACTTGGACATCGATTCTTACATGTATTTTCTTTTACTTATTTTTATTTATTTATTTTTCTTTTCGAGTGGAATGCTTGGCCCTACCCGTCCCCGTCAATCATTCGCTCTAGACCAGCGCCGCTCCGGACGAAATGCTCCTGTTCTTCGTAGGATCAAGACCATGCCCAGCTTTTTCTTTTGGTTTTGCCCAATGTTCTTACATGTATTTCCACAAGACTCACGACTGGTTTCGCTCCTCTCTTTTTTTCTATTTCTTTCCTTTTTCCCATCTTCCCCCTTTGTTCAAACGGCTTCGCCTGGCTTGGCCCTCTCTCTAGATGTGCCATTGTCGACACTTTTGCTCACTTGTGGCTGCTGGTCGGTCGCCCCAAGCCGAGGTCGCCGACCATTCGATCGCTCGTTCCACTCATCCTCTCTGAGCGTAGTGTACGGTTCACGGCACCGCAAGCCTGTTTTGGGCTAGGCGGCCTAGCGGCGGGGCGTAATACCGTCTTGGCTGGCTTCTTCTCTTTGTTGTATGGGGGTTTCTCACGTTCGATGCTGCTCATTGATCCCTGTCACTGGCAAGGGGTGACAGGTCTCTCTCTGTTGGGCGTAGCGAGGTGTTAGAGACCTCCGACAAGGCGCCATCTACGCATCGATGCGCCACTGCCTTCGTCTGGTCCCCTCCAAATAGTCCTCTCCAGACATGAGGTGGCCGGCATCAGGAAATTCCCGGCGAGGAGTACCAGGCTTGAAAGAGGCTCTGGTATTCCGTTCCTTGCGCCTCCCCTACAAGGGTGACAATGGGCTCGGCTCTCCCAAAAGTCGCAGTCAGCTCTTTTACCTGAGAAATTTCCATGTCGTCCATTGATCACTTGACATGGCTTTCAATCAGGTTAATGGGCTGCCGCCCTTGCCGCTCCTCTGCTGCACTTTCAACCTGGGACTACTGTCACCCTAAACAAAGACCCCTGCAGATAATCCTCTTGGCCCTGTCAAGAACTAAACTAACCTTTTGAAAAAAGAAACAAAAAGAAACAAGAAACGCTCTCTTCCCCAATCACAATCCACCACTGCAACAGATCCTTGGAAACTAAGTGGGAATGATGCTTCTTCCCCTGGTGAAGGCAAGAAACAAAGTACCAAGTGGAGAGGTTGATCTGGACCGACGAGGATAAGCGTCGTCGCGGAAGTCCACTTTTGGCGCACGACAGGCTTGGATATATAAGGGGCCTTCAGCTTTTGCTCTCCCATCCCTTTCCCACTATCGACGCGGGTGGTGACGTCTTGACCTTGACACGCATCCCGTCAGTCGTCAAGGGGCTGCAGGATGCGGCTGCGAGCTCTGGAAATCACCAAAAGGCCTCCACTGACGTCAATGGCCAGCCCTCCAGCAACATCCGTCCTCATGGGCTTTTTAAACCCCAACCCACCTCGCCTTGACCTGCGCAATCGGGGACAGGCTTACGGTACCTCGGGATATTCATTAACCGTCGGCGCGAGCTGGCGCGGGATTGGCCCGTTGGTATACCGCCCTCTTGGCCCTCAACTTTCACCTTTGCATCCCCTTCGACTACGTCCTCTTCGTCCCAGCGCGCCGTCCCCTCGGTGCTTTTTCTTCCCCACTGCATGTGAGATTTCTTTTCCTTTTTCTTTTTCCTTTTGGGGGTCTCTTTCCTCTGGGTGCTCTGTGGCTTGGTGCAGATATCCTCACCGGCCCCATTGCTCTCTCCAAGCTCTCCGTACACACCCTCCCCCTTTCCCTTCCTCCCAAAACCGCCAAGAGACGGGGAGGGGGAGAATCATCAGTCAAAGGCCTGTTGTGCATCTCCTGCGAGGTCTTCACCTTTGCTTAGAAACGTAGCTGTGACCGATACCCTGGGACTCTCCCCTCCTCAGGTCCTTGTGTCTGCCTCTCACGCGCTGCTTGTGGGCTGAAATTGGTATCCCTTCCAAAACGGGACAAGATCGCCGGGGAATGTCAACCGGCGGTGAGAGCTGAGAATGAACCGCCGTGTACCCAGATGGGAAGGGCCGCCACTCTCTCCGTTGGGAAATAAGATGAAATCAAAAAGAATTTAGAGTTGTGGGTTTGAGGAGGGTCTTCTTTTTTTTTTTTTTTTTTAGGGGGCCCCGTTCCGACGGATCGACATCAATCTTTATGTTGTGGGACACAAGAAGGGAGGTAGGATGGGGGTCCCGAGAAACTACCCTAACCCGGATTTCTTATCTGCAGAGCGACTCTCAGGGACCGTTGTATTGCATCTCAAGGGATCGAGGCCGATTTGTGGGTGAAAGTGAGGGTTCACGGTTGCTTGGCATTCGCCAGCCACGGATGTCCACGGTTGCTGCCATTCTCTAGCCCGCACCCTTCTTCCTCTTTCGCCTACCGAAAATGCGTTTCTCCAGAATCCCTTGCTCCTCCCTCTCACTTTCTCTCTCTAAAGCTGTCTCTCCGTGTTTGTCTCTTTTGCTGGCGGTGCATAAAGTGATAAAAAAGATATCAGCTTCCTAGTAGTGAAGGTGTATGGGCCGGATGAGGTCCTTGGGGGCTCTATCCGAAGATCCTTTCCCGTCTCCTTCTCATTCGTAGACTTGATCCGTGGCCGGTATAATCTATCCGCTCCCATCCCTCCCCCGTTCCGCAGCAAACTGCCATGCAGGAGACATACGCTACAAAGCTTGTCACCTGCCATATTTGCTTAGACGACACCGCTAGCTCCTGTCGACTCAGAGACTTTTGGGTATACCTCGGCGTCACTAATTCCTTTGTCCGCATATTCTCCCACCCAAAGAGTTGGAGGAGTATCTGAAACAAACAGCCGTAGAGTTGACGACAACCAGCATACAGGGGCTTGGCCGTTTACCTCTTTTCGCCCTCGTGCTCCCGGCGCATGCTGGTCTCGCTGATGGACCGTGGTGTATCCCATCTTCGCCTCGGTCGCATTGCTATAGTCTACCTTGCAAAATCGACACTGATTCGTTTCCGAGGGGGAGAAGGAAGAACCCCGGGCTCGGGCTCTATATGGCCGACATGAAGCATGCCCTCGTGACACACTCTCTCGGAGTGAGTTGTTCTGCCTACATGTAGTGTATTTCAGGCATGGATTTCCGGGCTCGCTGGCGCGGAACCGCTAGCAAAAAGGAGTTGCTTTTCCTTGAGGTCCCCTCGTTCGTCGTTGCTTTTCTTTTGAACATGGTTACTTTTTGCCATCTCGATCGAAACCAAAGTTGCCAAGCACATCTTCTCACCTGTATCACGATCTCCCCAGCCCACAAGCTCTTTCTCTCTCGTGCCCGCCCTTGCTTTCTTCCTTTTTTGGGTCTTTCATTTTGGAATCACCCATTTCTCCTTGTGTATCGAGCCCTTGGCGGTGTCCTACGAGCTTCGCATTCGGACGGGATGAGATGACTGCATGTGCCTGGCGAAAGGGCAAGACCCGCAAAGTCAGGCACAGCTTCAATGCGAGGACAAAGTCTCACACCTCGTTAGGCTCCTCGAGAGAGGTCCAACTTTGAATACCGGGTGAAAAAGGACTGCGGGTCTTCTTTTTTTTAATCTGGATCACACTTACATGGGCCTGTGAAACGAAGGGACGATCCGTCGAGTAGCTAAACAAAACACACCCTATGAGTCAATTTTCTTTTCTTTTGCCTGCCGCTGCTGCCCAGACCTACTTCGTACCACCATCTTTCCGTCGAGAGACAGCGGATGCGTCCTGCCCGCGCCGCCCTCTCTCGCTGGCTCATCTCAACGGCAGGCCAACGAACCTAGCGCACGTTGCAGATCACCGACAATCTCCTGCCGCCACCGTGCCCTTGGTCCTGCTGCATGCCGGCCAAGAACAGCACCTGTTCATCCACATCCCTCTTTTCATACCCTGCTATAGGACCGTCACGCACTGACAGAGCAAAGACAAAAGAGAAAGTAAAGCGATCTGATGACAAATAACACGCGGAGAGAGAATGCTCTGCCTCAACCCCCGTGATGCACATGGCAGGGCGCGTCTCGCTCCTCTGCGCCTGTATGCTTGCCTTCCCTTCCGCATTCTTTCAGGCCGAGTCAACGCTGCTGTTTCGAAACAGCGCTTCGAAGCTATTTAAAGGTGAGTCATGGGTGTGGGGTGTCATCTCCGTTGGGAAGGTCGAGCCTGGTTTCCACCGTCGTCGACGTCACGATTTCGCAAAGCCCTAGCCGGGATCTCGATGATTTTCAAGTCCTCCGCTGATGGTGGGCCCCGGTGTGTGTATATCCCTCCCTCTTTGTCCTCTTCCTTGCTCCCCATTACTTTTTTCTTTTGTTTTCCTTTTCTTCTTCACACACACACACACACACACACACACACACCACACACTCTCTCTCTCTCTATTGCCACCACCTGCTCACATGTCGGACCGTTTATCGGCCATAACGATGCGGCGCCGCGCAGTTGAGCTCCTAAGCTAGAGGTAAATCAGGCGTGGAGAATGACCGGAATACTCCCTTTGTTAGTGACTCACGGTTCGACTTGAAGCCTCGTCTTGCCTCAAAGGGCACCTAGCTGCAGCGATGGATATCTTCGCCATGGATACTCCACATGGGTGAGTGAGGAGGTGAGATTGGCATTTTTCTCCCTGAAATCGGCGAGCAGCCGAGGTCCTCGTGCGCTACCCTTACCTTTTTCCTTTTTATCCTCTCTATAAACCATTTCCTTTCACTTTGGCCGAGCGACAAATCCAGTGCCTTCTACAAGCCGGTCCACATCCGGGGTTGACGTCCGCCTCCGTTAGCAGCCGTTTTTGCTCTTGCAGCGGCCTAGACTTTTCTTGAAATGTTTTGACAGGATCGGCGCGGCATCCGCCCTGCAAACGAGGCGGCATGTCATGCGGTCGATCCTAGAGAAAATGTGGCGAGCTGAGCTACCGACACTGAGACTGGCCCGCTTTCAGTTGGAAACGTTGCTTCTGTAAACGTGCGACGACGCGGGAGGCTCTAGGCCGGTCTGAAGGGGGTAAATCTGGCAGGATGCTGGGTAATATCTTAACAAAGAGGAGGAAAAGAGGAACAGATGGAGAAAGAAACGAAACAAGCACTCCCACAGGGTGTGTTGCAATACCCAACCAGAACTGCTCTCGGTGAGATGTGGAACCTTCCAGTCCGGAATATCCATGGTCGGGGATACGAGAGCGGAGCAGGGCAAGCTGTCCATGGTCCTACGTTGTTTTAGAGGTGCTTCTTCCGGGTGTCATTGTTACTCCTTCTATTGCTCCGAGCCTGACGACAAAACATGCACACCCTTCAGCTCTCATCGTCCGTCTCAGGAGAGAGGCCGAGGGCATGCGTAAACCACTGCTCCGCCCCAGGAACCGAGGAGTTGGTTCGATCTCGTGCATCAACGCCTGCGTCGTCAGTCAAGTGGGTAAGCATCTCCCAACTGGCGTCTAGCAGCAGTCCGCGGCGTCACCCTCACCCCCTCACCCCCATCATCTGATCGAGAGGGGTGAGATTTCCTGAGAACGGTTGATGAGAGACCGCAACTTTGTGCAGAGGTCACGAAGAGGAGGAGGCTCTTGGCCTGGGTCACATTGATCCCCGCGGCGAGTACACCGCCGCATATGTATCAAATCAGTAATTAGCCTGCCTAGCCGCGCCTCTGGAAAGTGAACAGGTTTGAGCTCATTTGGGTGTTACGTGACCGCCAGGATGTCTGTGAAACCGGGCTTGTTTTCGCACTTTTGGCCCAACCACAAGCATTTACAATCCAGAACTGCCCAATACGCAGTGTGTGTGCGTACCTCCCTGATTCTAGTTGGCTGCAAGCGAACAAGGCGTAGAGGAGGGTTGGAGTGTTTTTGCAAACTAGCAAGGGCCACGAAAGGCTCGACGGCGAAACTTGGCTTTTATCGTTTATGCTTCAATTGTAAGCTGATACTCATTATGGGGCAGCAAAGATGATCTGGCTAACCCTAACCATATCGGGGTTGGAAACCCAAAAACTCACTAAACAGGGCTGATCAACCAATCGGGATGGTCCCGGGTCTAGCATCGCGAGAATCGACCGCAGCAGACGGGAGTTGGCGAACCTGGCGCTAGATATAGTAGCAACGCCCCGCATTAGACGACTCTGGGACCTGGATAGAAGAGCCTTGAAGGCGGATTGCTGAATTTTACGCGTAACTCGCCAGCCGGACAACAGAACGGGGCACGCGGGCCTGGTGAATCCTCAAATCTCCCAACCCGTTGAAAGAGATGTTCTTAGCCCATTCGAGAAGGAGGTGAGCCATCGTGCCCGACGCAATGGCTCTCGTCCGCTATTTCAACTTTCTACGGCTGGAATGTGATGGAAATAGTTATAACGGGACTATATTGGTACTCAAAGCAAGAGGTATCTGCGAGGGTTTCAAAAACAACCCATGCGTAGGCGCGAGTGTTCTCATGCAAAAAAGACATGAGATCGAAATCAGTACAAGCAAAGACAGATACTTTGACGCGAGGGCGGCGACGACAAGGTCCCAAAATTACGCGGCGTGCCTCCCCAGAAAACCCCTGCAAAAATTATGGCGACGCCCATTCTCACCACCTACTTTCTCCTACTCTTTTCATCTCCATGGTCTACTGTCCGTTACACTCCCTGCCCGCGAATGCAGGCAGGAAGCCAATCCAAACCGACCATTAGTTTTCTTCCTCCAATATCTAGACCGAAGGCTCGCTCCTGGCGGGGTGACGCTGTTGTCCTGGCGGTACAGCTCGGGGCAGGGCTCGCCCTTCTTCTGGAGGATCCACCGCCTGAACCACCAGGGGAGCACGGTGCCGGTCTGGTACTTGGCGTGAGTCCTGGTGGGCACGGCGAAGACGTAATCGAGTTCCTCGAGGGTCTTTTGCTTGGTCTCGGGCATGAAGAGGAAGATGAGGGCGAGTGCCACGAGGTTAAGGCCCGCGTAGAAGCAAAAGGCGCCCGTGGCCGTCATGGCGTGCAGCATTCGGGGGAAGGTGAGGGAGAGGATGGAGCCCCAGAAGTTGTTGGTCGCCACGGCCCACGACATGCCAATCTCACGATGGGAGAGCGGGAACACCTCGGCGGAGTACATGAAGGGGACGGGACCCTCGCCTGGAGAGTAAAAGGCGGCGAAGAGATAAACGAATGTGGCCACGGCGGCGATACGGGCTGTGCTATCTTCGACACCAGGCTGGATCAGGAAGCAAAGACCGGCAGCTATAGGGGAGAAAAGGTGCGATTAGCTACATGCTCTGCACTTCTTTCGCAGGCTGAAGCCGTTGTACGGCATTCACGCAGAGAGAGATATTGACGGGAGTCCAACTTACCGAGCAGAGTCCAGAACATGTTGGGGAAAGTGAACAGCAGCAGGGCCCTACGACCAAAGGTATCGATCGTCCAAACGGCGGGCCAGGCAAAGATGAAGTTGATGAGACCGAAGCCAAAGGAGGCGAAGAGGGCAGTGTAGTCGCTGATGCCCGACTCCTTGAAGATGGTGGAGCTGTAAAAGGCGATGATGTTGATGCCGCACATCTGCTGGGCAATCATGACGATACCGGACGCCTGGGTGGCGCGGCGGATGCGGGGCACGGTGAAGAGCTCGACGAAGCGCTTGAACATGTTGTTGGTGGCGTGCAGGCCGGACTCGCGGACCATGGCCTCCTCCTGGTCGAGCATGGCCTGGATGTAGTAGAGGTCGCGGGCGGCCTGGAGAGGGGTGTTGCGCAGGCGCAGGAGGGAGCCCCAGGCCTTGGTGTACTTGCCCTTCTTGATGTACCAGCGGGGGACTCGGGGCAGAACCAGGTGCCGAGGACGAGGGGCACGGCGGGGATGAAGGCCGAGGCGAACTGGAGACGCCAGGCGATGGCGCCCGTCTTGCCGACGGCGAGGTTGGCGCAAGTACCGAGGAAGATGCCTGTTTGGGGAGAAGCACAGAGGGTCAGTCACATAGGCCCTTTTCTTCTTCAAGGAGCACGAACCGAACCACCGGGGATGATTAAAAAAAAACAGAGGGATAATTGGCGTCCTCGACGTACCGAAAGCTGTCCAAATCTGCCAAGACATGACTAAACCACCGCGAATCAAGGGAGGCGAGTTCTCCGCCGAGAAGACGGGGACGGTGACTTCCTTGAGACCCATGCCGATACCGAGAAGCATACGCGTGGCGGCGAGCTGGCCCCAGGTCTGGGACACGCCCATGCCGAAGGGAGCGATGAGGGAGAAGATGCCGCCGAGGAAGATGACGCCGCGGCGTCCGAGGAGGTCGTTGAGGGGATCCGAGATCCAACCGGCGCTACAGCGTGAAAAAACCGGCGGTTAGCTAACTAGGATTTCTTTTTTTTTTCTTTGCAGCAGCAACAGCAACAACAGACAGAGTCTTCATCCGTGCAAAGCCGGGGTGCGGGGAGGAGCGAAAGGAAACTTACAAGAGCCAGATGGTGATGTAGGGCATGGCGTTCACCAACCCGACGATCCAAGCATTCTTGTCGCACTCGGCCTGGTTGTCGATACAGAAATCACCGCTATCGGGGATACCCATAGCGATGGGGAAGCTCAAGTTGGCACCGTTGGAACCCGTCTACAGAGTAGAGAATTTTGTTAGATGAGGAGCAGAAAAGACAGAAAGAAAAGGACGAAGAAGCCCAAGCGTACCTGATCCCAACCTTGAATAGCAGCGGCGATGGAGTTGAGCAGAATAGTGTAGTACAAAGGCTTGGGGTGTCGCCATTTGTGGGTGACCTCGTCTCGCAGGGCCTGCTTCTCCTCTTCTTCGAGGTCGCTTATGGACTCGAAGCCGGCGGGGTTCTGGGCGACGAGGGCGCCCTTCTTGAGCACGGGCAGGATGTCGTCGGGCAAGCCCTTTTCCTTTTGGAAGCGCGTCACGTTGTCGAGGAGGGTCTCGCGGGGATCCCCTTGAGCGGGTTGGGGATCTCGCCCTCGAGGTTCTGGGCGAGGATGCTGGCGCGGCGGGCGCCATCTTCGGTGGGGGCTTCGGTCTTGGTGGCACTCAGGCTGCGAGAAGAAAAAATGGTAGGGTTAGCCGACTAATTTCTTTCTTTTTTCCCTTTGATTTTATAAATTCTTTTTTTATTTTAAAGTTCGTTGTTCATTTTGCGGGGCCTTTGTGCTTCTTTTTGCCTTTTTCTCCTCATCGTGTCTTTTCATTCTTCGCGCTTGCTGTCCACCACTTTTCTTCTTGGCAGGGGATGTGATGTCATCGAGGCAAGGGCAGCAGCGCAGTTTCCAGCAATTATCGTGAAAAGCAGCGCGCGGGGAGCGGATTGCGGGCCATTTGTTTCCAATTGTTTGTGCGGGGAAAAGGGGGTGGGTGAATACGACTGGCTCGCGGCAGTGGCAGGCTTAGCGCCCAGCCGGGAGCTAAGAAGCTTGAATTGACTGGGGGCGAGACAACGGGGAGACCCGTCTCTTTTCCTCTCTCCCAGTTCATTCGCGACTCACTGGCGATGGGAAAGAAAAAAAGGGTAAAGGGGCAAGCGGAGACAATGGATGAAGAATTGGGAAAAAGAAGGAAAGCAAGACATGCAGAAGGAAGAAAAACCAACACCTGCATACAAAAGCGAAAGGGGGAAAAAGGGAGGAAGGAGGAATACTCACGATGCCTCATCAGCGGTCGGCTTCTCGCCAATCTTGTTATCGCTAGCTTCCGACATGGTGGGCCAAGCTGCGGTGGCAGAGGAGGGGATTTCCTTTTGGTCGTTGTTCACCAGTCTCACGGGGGTAGACCGCCGATCCCAATTGGAGAGGATGGAGGAAGGGTGGTGAGGAGGTTTTGGGTGGATGTCGATGGGACCTTCAAGATCTGTCCCGAGAGACGAGGGGGAGGGAGGGAGTTCTGGGTATATATGTGTGTCTGTGTGTGATTTACTCCTTCGACCTAGGAAATGAAGGAGATGGACTGGATCTCGACTGCTGAAGGAAGCAAGAGACTTGAAGAGAGGGGGAGGAAACGGGAAGGGTAGGAGCGGAAAGCTCTGGCTTATACGGAATTTCCAAGGATGGGCGAGCTCTGGGTCAAGGGTCCGGGGACTGAATCTCTGGTGTTATTATACCGAAGCACGAGCAGTTACACAGGGTGGACACGCAAATCAAGCACAGGAAAGGAAAGGAAAGGACCAAAAACAAAAGTAAAAGCCAAGGCCCCTAAGTCGAAGCTCTGGATATTACTTGGAGAGGTATTGCAAACCCTCAGCTAGGGCCTAGACTAGCGGATCAACATCCCCTCAGATGTACTCTGCGAGAAGGACGGGGGTGGGCGAAAGGGGGTGTGCGATGAAAGGGGGAAGGGGGAGGGGTGTGAGGAAGTTTTCTTGTTTCTTTTGCGGGGAGCCATGGAGAGGAGGAGGAGGAGCAATGAGGATTAGGCATAGACACCTTGAATTCCTCAACCAGCCTTTTGCTTTGCATCCGCGCGCTGCCGCGTTCCCAGCCCAGAGCAGAGACTCTAGTTTTCCCCAATGTCGTCACTGCACCTGACCTTTCCTCCTGTTTTGCGCATTGGGGGAAGAGGGGACAGCTGTTGGCGCTAGACGGGGACGAGGGCAAGGAGAATCACGTACTCTGGCTGACGCTTTGTCTGTCTCGTGCAGCTTGGGCGACAAAGAGTGACTGACAGCTTCCAGATCTACGCATCGCCAGCATGTAAAAGAACGAGATGGGGGTGTGTGCGAAGATGATGTGTGCCAGATTTCAGGCCCTGGGGAACTGACTTGCATCTTTCGATCAACCTTGTGCCAAGTCCTCTGGGTTTATTTTTTCAGTCCCCCTTTTCGTCCCCTTCTTTTCTTCTCTGCGATTTCTATGGAAAAGGGGAGAGGGGGAACCTCCGGAGCTCGATGAGGTGAGGATGTGGGACTCGGGGCGTGCGCATAGGGAACTCGTGAGGTAAAGTCACTTGCCACACGAAGAAATCATGGCAAAGACCAAGTTCGGGTTTCGAAACAATGCGAGAAAGTGGAAGTAAGGAAGGGGAACTGAACACAAAAGAAAAAAAAAGAAAAAGAAAGAAAGAAAGTATGCCTTTCCCCACCCTTTCTCCGGACAAAAGATGACGGTGAGGGGCAGACTAGCCCTCTGGCTGGGCGCGGTGGACGAATGGTGGATGGGGCCGAAGAGCGACCACGTTGAAGTCATCCATACATGGACCCATTGGGAGAGAAGGGCGGATGTGGGGTTGGTTCCGGGTTGTGGATCTGGCAGAGTGAGTTTGTATGTATGTGTGTGTGTGAATGCGTGTGAATGTGAGCGGACGGTGTGGAAAGGCGCATGTGGAGGATTCTAACCTGGCACGACGCTGATTCTAAGCCCACGCACTTGTCGAACCACCAAGTTGCCTAGGCTCCTCATGGGGCTGGGGAAAGAGGAGGCGAGGGCAAGGATGTGGAGAATACTTTGGGAATACCTTCACGTCAAGGAAAGAAAAAAAAAAGGTGGAAAATAAATCATGGCCGAGGTAAGGCCATCCGAAACACCAAAGGAAAGCAGAGGCATGGAGTCAAGAGAAATAGGATTTGACGCGTGACGAGTAGCCTTTTCCTAGACGGGTAAGGCTCGGAATGGCGGCGACTAAAAACAAAGAAGAAAAAGAAAAAGGCGGCCTACTAGGCTTGTTTCCTTCCCCAGAGAAGGATTTCAGATGCATAACATGCGATTCGCTCGGTCAGAATAGCCCACCGCGGGGGTCTAGAGACAGGGCAGGGGAGGTGGGGGAGGAAAAGGGAAAGGTCAGGAGGCTCTTTGCGCTAAACTTTGGAGATACGCCGGGCAACGGACGACTTGGCCCGGGCTGGAGGATTCCCATTGAAATCCATCGGCCACGAAGCTTGGTCGAATATGGCAGCTGGTCGACCCCCAGCCCACTGCGGCGGTCGTTTCATGCCCAAGGTAGGATCCGCCGCTTATTGACGATTTTTACTCGCTTGCCACTCTTGTGTTTTCTACTTTAATTGTAGGGCGGCATCCGGTGGTCTTGCGTTGAATCGAGACATTGCTCGATTCCCGCTGTCGCTGCTGAGACGAGGGCACTGTTCCTTCAGATGGAGGGGCGTCTCTTCAGGGTGCAGAGGAGAGGGCGTGCGTGCTTGGGGGTTTTTCTTACACGGTCAGTCCATGTTCACAAGGCGTGTGATGATGGTGGCGGGATGGGATGGATTTGATTCAGAGCAATAGGAAAAAGGGGGTAAACGATGAACCGTTGAAGAGAAGAAAAGGAACATGAAGTGTATGGCAAGGGTCCACGCGAGTGCCACATCACTTTGGGTGTTCAACCTTGGGCGATGAGTCTCAGTTGTCGTTGAGAGTGAGGGTGCACTCTTGCTGACATTTGATGCAGGCTCTCGTCAACTGCTGTTTCCAGCCCAGCAGTCCAGTCCACTCCCTTCAACCTTGAAAGGACGCCCCGCGCCGGCGCCCGTAGTTGTAAATTAAACTTGAGACCTGTGCTCGCTTCTTTCACAGTGTGCCGCACATCTTTGAAGGGGCGCCCCGACATTGGAAAACATTTCACCCATAGATAGCTGAGCAGCAAAAACTCTTTGCCGATCGCCACCCAGTTTCTCCAGTTTCTGAACTTTACCCCCACTCAAGAGATACTAGGCCGTTTCTTGGACTTCCCCTTCACCTGACAACCAGGCGATAGGGTCCGGAGAAGACGGAAAACGGCAACGGAGGGCGAAACAGAGAGAGACAGAGAAGAAGCATGAACGAAAGGAAAAAAAAAAAAAAAAAAGAAGAAAAAAAGAAAAGTAACAAGCACCCAAATACAAGAAATCCAGTGCAGTGCTTGTCCAAATGTATCTTAGCTCTGGGATCTGCAAGGACAAGCCCATGCTCGAGGAAAAAACGACCCCCCGCGCACACACACACACACACACACACGCGGCACGGCTGGCTGCTGCTTCTCCTTCCACTGCTTATTCCAGGACTGGGAGAAGTCCATCGTCTTTTAATTTGAAGGATGGGACGGATGGGCTTCATCCATACAAAAAAGATCATCGTCCCTTCTGACCGAGTACCGCAGGACGGCAATCCCGGCCGTGCTACTCGACCTGCTCAGGCGAGCCAGAAAAACAAAAGAAGTTACTTGCAGAACGTCGTCCATCGAGGGAGCTCCTCGTCTTCTTTCTCCCTTTCGTCTCTTGCCTCGTCCGTGCAACCCGGGCTTGCATGCTTCCTGTGCTGCGACGCTGCATGTGCAGGGCGACGCCTTAGGCTCTCCGTCCTGCCTTGATCTAGGTTTGTCATCTTGAATGAGGGGCGAAACGGCGAAAGGGCGGGAAGGGTGGCTTGTAAGTCGAACGAGGGTTGTATTGGTGATGAAACGAGATACGAACCTTGTCCCCGTCCTGGGAGGTGAGTTTCTTAAGGAGACAAGACAGATGCAATCCCGCTCTTTGCCCCCAAGCCACTTCAAAGAGGCTCTCGACCGAGTGTCAAGGGTGGCGGGTATGCGAGAAGGGGGTGTGCGGGTTGGATGAGAAAGCTCCGGATGAGGACCACCTCGATTTGCCGCTGGAAAGCGGGCGCGGACCGAGCGAGACAAGCGAGACGAGCGAGGAATGGAGGGAGGGTGATAACCTTGGCAGGCCGATAATACGTCATGTCGTCTTTTGCGGGTTTCCCTTGCCTGCCTAGCACCCCATGCACTCCACATCACGCATCCTACATAGGAGCATTTTTCGTCTTCTTTATTTCTCGATTTGTCAGTTAACATCGGAGCAAATGGTGGGTCGGTACTGGTAGACGCACTGATCGCGCTTGGAGACGGAGCCTTTCTCCAGGGGGCTGAGGATAGTAACAGGGGAGAGAGCAGGAGGAATTAGAGCACGACAAAAGAAAATAAGAAAAAGAAAAAAAGAAAAAAAAAAGCCCTGGACTTTTCCCAATGGAAATTGAACCATGCCAAGAAAGGGAAAACCCCGCAAGACGAGAGAGGATTGAGAGAGCGCTGAGGTGAAGGTAAACGCAGGTTCGTTGAGACAAGCATCGCCCAGAACCTGGGCATTTCTGGGCAACGGCCGTAACAGGGCAAAGAGGGACAGAGACACAGCAGCCAGGCCGGGCAAGGGCGCTTGAATCGCAGGGGGCCCAGGCACACACACAGACAGACATACTCGCTGAGCGTGGCCAAGACGAACCATGGCAGGAACGATCGACCACACCCTCACGGCGCCAGCGCCAGCGCCAGTGGCACACAGTCAAATTGGCTGAGCTGACCCAGGGAAACAAACATTGAAGGAAATTCACCTAGCGCTGGTGCTGTCTTGCGGAGAAAAACGAATTAGACCACACAGACACCACACCACGCCCAGTGAGGCTAAGACTTCAATGGTCAGGCCCTCGTGCACTACGAAGCACGGTAATACACTCAACCCTGCTGACCTTCCATTGTCGGCTTGAAGCAGCCCTGCTCACAAGCCAATGCACCACACCATGCTCCTCTCCCCGCTCTCTGTTGTCGTTTCGAGCCAAACGACGACAACTCGCATCTTTTCGTCGCATTGGTGGCTGGCCGGCTCCCTCCCCCATCGGTAGAGAAATCGAAGCTAGCCACCCTCGTCATCATCCTCGGGCGCGCGCCAAGGCATCGAGAGGCAGAGTGAAAGGAATGGACTACACTAGATAAGGCTGATGGCGGCGGCGAGTCCGAAGGGATGTTTTTCGCTTCTAATTCTTCCCTCGCGCTTACGGTGACTTGGCACCTCTGTAGATGCTCAAAAGGTCATTTTCAGTCTTGATGACATCAATAGCTTCAAGAGGCTACCCCAACAGAGACCCCCAACAGAGACGCATTCGTGGTATGGTATGGTGCAAGGGAAGATATCAGTCTTTTGGTGGACTTTAATTTCCTTTTCTTTTCTTTCTTTCTTTTTTTTTTTCCGTCGTACTCAATCTGTTCCCCTCCTCTTAAGCAATATGGTAATGTTCACAATTTGTGCATGGTGAAAAGGATTTGCTCACAGAAGGAAGTGTGGATCTGGAAATTGAGATGCTTCGTCGATGTCCGCACGCAACGTTGCGTGAGTGGAGACTTGCCAAGGTACGTACAAACAAGTACCCTTATGGTTGGCCAGAAAGTGTAAGCAGTATACAGTGGGAAGAACTCCTCGATATCGCAGAGGGTCGCATTGTAAGTTCACACATCGATGTCGATGGCTCCATACAATGACAATGAAGCAGTGGTCCTTCCCTAAAGTTTATTAGGTTTGGTTTCACATTTTCCCCGAGTGGAGAGATCATGAGAGAGCAGGAGCGATGTCGAGACTGTGCCTTGCTCAGGTCAAGATCAAAATCCAAAACCAACATCCAACGCTCTTTCCCCTTGAGCTCCCAAAAAAGGCGAGAGCTGGAGGGGAATGGTCGGGGAAGGGGGGAAGGAGGGGTCGTGTTAGCTTGCGGGATCGACGCGCACAAGAGATGGCGATTGCCCTCGGCAGGGCCCATCGTTCACTTCAAGTTGGTCATATTGGCGGGATCCAATCTGTTCCAACGCACCCAAAGTGGAAAGCGGAGAACGGGCAGATTGCTGTTGCCAGCGAACAAGGGAGAAGAGAGAATGCATTTCTCATACACTACTCTCGTACACTACATGGCCATTTTACTTCGTACATGAAGCGTAATATCGACCAGAGCATCGCCAGCAGGTCTTGGCTCGTGGCTCGTGCATGATTGGGCGCTTTTACGATCGAGAGCATGTGGCTCCCCGGGCTCGCTTCTCTCCCTCTCTCACACTTCTGTGATGGTATTTTATTTTTCGGGGGTGTGCTTTCGGAGAGAGGGAAAGGAAAGACGGAACATGATTTGATATGTGACCAAACGGTTTGGGGTTCCATGGAAGGAATCGTCATTCTCTTCATCGAAAGTGGTTAATAATCCAGCGTACCAATGTACCCCGGTACTTGTCGTGGTGAAACAGAAGCGGGAGTCCGGGAGTCGAGGCATTTCGACGGACTACCGGCCTTTGACGACGACATTCTGTCCCACTAGCACCGATGTACTGTTAATTCGACGACTCACCCCCTAGGCCCTACTTACTGGCTGGCCTGGGCTAGAGCTCTCCCCCTCCCATCTCACTTGTGGATCGGCTGGATCGAATGTCGACATGACATTTGATCAACGTACGCTTCAGAGGACCCCGAACGTTGATGGCATGATTCAAATGTTGTCCATGCCTGACAAGACAAAAGTAGGGCCAGGGAACCGCCGGCGGCGGCGCCTCCCGCAGGTGTCAAATTCACAACAATCATCTTGGGGCACTTGAGGGTCTGACGCTGTTGAACCCAGCGAATGTCAGACATTTGCTTCCAGAAGTAATCAGCGACTCGGCGTACTTGTCGTGTCCAGGCCTTGCAGGCATTGCAGGGAATGGCCGGTCAGTTAGCCTTTGGGGGTTTGCACCCACCCTTGCTCCATCAGGCCGATCACAGGATCTACAGATCTGTCAATGATCCCTAAACCAGAACAGGCCGACACCTCGTCCATCCCCCAAACCTCTTGTCCATGCGTAAGTTGATAGTCCAGACTGTTTGTATTTTCTTCCTTTCACGCGCACTATGTTGCCTCCTCATTATTGATAATGCTTTTGCGAATATGCTACGTTTATACACTAGGTGTCGGCGCTCTTTGATTAGAGCGGAGAATACTTTTTTTTTTCCTTCTGCATGCATTCATGTAATAAGATCACAAGGGACAAGCTAAAGGTAGCCAAAAGGAGCAAGGGAGACGAGCCACGAGAGCTGTGACTAGGGGAAGAGACCTGACGTCAGAATCCTTTGAACGAATGGGGTAAGAGCCTTGTCGGCCCGTTTAAGGTACACGCCAGCGGAGAGCGTCGCCCCAACATTCCCCGCCAAGACTCCAAAGAGCAGCAAAGGCGCATCACTCCGAGAAGGGAAAAAGAAGAGACGGGACCATGCAAAATTGGTGGGAAAGTCCACGAACTTTTGCAATTCGGGATTTTGGCGGGGCCGCCTCCTATCATTTCCCCGTGCTCCTGCTGTTCCGTTCCCCCTCCCTCCTCAGCGAGGAGTCGACATGGAGGGAGTGGAGGAGGAATCATCAGATTGGATGGGGGTACCATGCTCGGAGGGAATGGAAATGCCCTTTTATGAAAGGGGATCCATATCTAATGGACGTTTACTCGCTTGCATGCACGTACAGAGTATGTACCTTGCAAAGGAAGTCTCCCTCTGCGAAGCCTACCGTGACCATCTTTTACTTTAACCCAGAGGTAGACAATGTTGAATGGACAGCAGCTCGCGCCAGGTCACACCCAACCCCGGATTAGCAAGTCAAATACGCCTTTCCAGAGCGGGGAGCAGTAGGCACTGCCGTCGAGGTGTAATGTGGTGTGCGTGAACGATACACAGGCCAAAAAAGAGCATCAAGCAAATCTCCAACGAATTCTCTCTCCACCGCCACTCCCATCCCTTCTTCTCTTCCCAAGCACAAAACGTACCAAAGAACGAGCGGAGAACGGGGGAAGGGGTGCGCCCAAGAAAAAGTAGCACATACCATTCCATTCCGGATACTGCCATGCCGCAAAAGCAATCTTTTTGTTGATTCGTGCATGGGCTCGTGGGCGGTGCATGTTGGAAAATCTTCAACTGCGTGTCTCGCCCACCACCTCGCCTGTCCGCAACCGATCTTCGCGAGGCTTTGCCCAAGGCATTTCGTGCGGCCCCTTTCTCCCGGGTCATCTTTGCATATTTCTCTTGTTCTTTTTTTTCTTTTCCTTGGAGCGATAGGCCATCACCGGCTTCGATGGGCGGGCTGGTGAAAAAGGAGCCTTATCTCCGCACTCATCTTGAAGCCTAGCGGCGGAGGGCCAAAAGGCCCGATGCAGCATTACTTTTTTCTTCTTCTTTTTCATCGCAAGGTTGACTGAGCTATCTCGCCGATGTTGGGTTGACTGCCAGAGTGGCAAGCACGCTGCTCGAGATCGGGTGGGAGAGATTGGGTCGGGCTTCAAAATCGTAGGCGTGTTGGGCGATTTTGTGAAGAAATGATAGAAAGTTCGCCTATTCTTCCCTTGCGCTATTCCTTGGCCACGCTCGCCTCGTGCATATATTCCACTTTCTCGCCGTATCTTGCCTCCGATAAGGCAGCAGAAAAAGGCGAAGAACAAGAACAACAAGGAATACAAGCAGCAGGGTGGTACGCCTCGAGAAGTAGATGCTGAGCTGACACCGAGCCCGCCACATGTGTGCCTGACTTTCAAGGGACTCGGGCTCGAGAGGACGGCGGTTTCTCGTCCGGGCCGCCCTACCATGGCCACGGGAGATCAACAGCGACCGGGATAAAACAAAAAGCCACGCAGGAAGCTCTTTCGACACCTCGTCTTGGCTCGAGAAAACTACTACCAATGGGTGTAGAATACTCCCAGAAGCCCCATTTGCACGCCAACCGATAACAATGTCGGGTCTTTCTGGGACCTTGCATAGCCCCAAGCCCAGATACAATAAAAAAGGGAACCGCGGGGCCAAAAGAAGAACAAGAACACGATGGCGTCACGGTACATGTGCAGCCAAACTTGTCGCGCCCCCACAGACACCCGTACCGTACCCTAGACACACCCCTTTGAAATCCCAAGCTGTGCGACGATCAGTGGCGAGGAGGAGTCGCTTGTCGCACGTCGCGCAAATAGAGCCCGGCTCTTATGTGCGTCGAGAGACGTCGTTGAATGTAGTATCGTTTTTCAAGGCCCCCGCCGTGGTTCAAATCCCGCCGTTTTCGTACCAGGACGGACCAGCCCGGCCATTTGCTTGAATCGATCCCGAGCCCATGCCCGCGGGTCTCTTCCTTCCCTGACATTCTTGCCCTGTATGGTGCAGCCCAAAAGAGGGGTCCATTGTACATACTTAGGGAGTCGTGTATATATCGTTAACTGTTCAATATCACGTCGTGGGCCACCTTACATACCGCACTTTACGTGCTTCCGGGTTTCGTCCTCGACCACAGTTTGAACTTGAACGGCTGTACACGCCATTCAAGGCACCAAGAATATATATATACACAATGATGTCTTAGTATGTACAGGCACGAGTTGCGAAATACGCGGAACCCCTTCTCAAAGCTAGGTCCAGCTATCCTCGAGACCCCTTGCTCACCACGGCCCCGGCCCATCATCGGGCCACTGGTCCACCAACCCCCACATCCCCCTCTTCCACGCCGGAAACCCTACCGAGAAGCCTCCTCAGATTCAGCCTCGTGCTATACCTCACCATAATGGACCCCTTCTTGCGGAAATAGCCACCCCCACATTCCCGATATCACTATCCCCCGCCCCAGTACTGCACCATCAGCGGCGGGTTCGTCGTCACGCACACGGGCTTCTTCTCCCCGCCTCGGCTCTAGTCTCGCCTTCTTCCCCCGCGAAGAAACACGCCCTCGCAAAAGTCCCGCAGCGAAATGTCCCAGAGGTCCGTGAGCCCCTCCACGCCGAACTGGTACAGCAGCCGCCGCGCGCCCGGAGGCTGACGGCGTACGCCTGCGAGCCTCCGTTCCCGCGCGGCTCGTGCATGACGCGGGTGTGCGGAGCGTACAGGGAGGCGAACCGCTCCGTCCTCTTGGCCCAGGGGTGTCGCTTGACGTGCTTGGGCACCGGCACGGTCTCGTCGTCGGGGATCAGCAGCGTGAGCACGGACGACGGGGGCCGGTCGGCGTTTTGCTTGAGGGTCGCGTAGTCGGAGGGTAGCTCCCCGCCCGTGTGTCCGAGCCAGAGCACGTCCCAGTCGTCCCCGTAGGCCGACAGCTGAGCAGGCTCTACCGCCGAGGTGTCCCGCATCACGAGCGCCGCTGGTCCTTGGTCGGCTGCCTCGGCGTCGGGTGGGTATAAGCTCGAGAGGGTGTCGCCCGGGCCGTTGCGGAGCGGCTGCGTCATCTTTTGCGAGGCCGAGGCAAAGGTCTGGAACTGCTCCTTGACGCGGACGTCCCAGTCCAGGTCGTCCTCGAGGATGAGCGCGCTCGTTATGTTTTCTTGGACGATCCTAGTGAGTCCAAACGGCAAGAATTGCCATTTCTCTGTATTAGATTCTTGGGCGCTCAATGTTTGTCTCAATTCCCCGGTATTGTTTTTTCTTTCTTGTTTCGCGTCGCTCTCCCTCTACGAGGAGCGCGGTTGAGTTTTGCACCCTTGGATGCTTGGGGGATGTATCGCTCGAACCTTTGAAGCACATTCATGTGCGCTCTCCAGCTGCCAATCGCCCCCATGGACTGTATATTCTTATTCCTCCGCCCCGGCGGCAGCGCCTTCTCCAGGATATCCGCACCCCTGACCCCGTCGACAAAGGTCAGGCGCAGGCCCGTCGCCGCCGCCATCAAGGACATCGCATCGCGCCGGTCGGTTCGCGCGGCCAAGCTCACGACGAAAATGTCCTGGAACTGCGTCCGACCAAGCGTCGTCCGAACAAGCAATTAGCATGTGAAAACTGCCCCAAAAATTCCTCCCTTTGCCGTTTGTTTCTTTGCTCTAACATTGGCTCAAGATGCTGGTAGTTGTGGAGAGAGACCCGCTGCCAAGGGACGGGATGCGCCTGGTTTTGGCCCAGGTAAAAACGTGAAAAAGGGCATAGAAACTCACGCCAAGAGTCGCGTTGAAAATCTCGGGGACCCGCTGTTATCCCGTGTGTCCCGTCTTGGAAGATGCGAGTAAAAATAACGAGCAGCAACGTGAGGACGACGAGATATCTGCGTCGAGGGGCCATTTCGCCTGCCTCGCGATGCCCTCGTGAGGAGAATGCGAGGTTTCGCCTCGGGTACGTTACGTTGTCCTTTTTCTCTTCTGCGGCGCTTCTCCCCGCCCTCCTACTTGTTAGGGGAAGAGTCTTAATGGGGGCCACGTAAGAAATCGCATAATTAACATTGAATAGTAGACAGACCCAATCATTGGAGGTCCTTGGAACGTACATCATATCGATCCATTCTACGACGTGAGTAGGAACATAGGAACAGGAGTAGGAGGTAGCACTGGGTAAAATCAGGATGGCCGGATAAGTTGGGGATTGTGCATCAAATGTGTCGCGTTCGAACAGGGTCGGTAGCACTTATCGGTATTGGGCATATATTAATTCTTGTGTTACGGTCGTAATCGTCATCCGAAATTCATGCCGATGCCCCCGCGAACGGATGGGTTGGGGAGAAAGCAGCTGGGATGGATAAAATAATGTGGGAGGCCAATCACGACCCTAAATTTGTGCATTAGGGGTCGTTCAAGGGAATGAGATTGATCATGGTCTAATATATCCTTTGCTCTGCTCGAGTGTGATTGTTGATGGGCGCCGCGCGTTGGGGGTAGTTCAAGCTGTGAATACATGTACGGTATATAGTCAAGGCGGAGGATGATATATGCCACTACGGACGGAAAACGCGAAGGCTACGTCATGCGAGGTCCCTGTTGCGCGTGTATCCATCACGACCGCCTCTCAAACAGATAAAGTTCCACCGGGTCCGGCACGCAGCCGGTGTGTAGTAGGTGAACGAGAGTCTTTTCCTTGACATCCCAACCGTACTGCGGCATGAGATCGAAAAACGCTAGTTCCGACGAGTGCCGGGGCTTTGTGGCGAGAAAGACGCGCAACTGCTGCTGCTGCTGCTGCTGTTGCTGCGAGGAAATCACCGCCACCGACTCTTGAAGCTTCGAGAGGGTGCCGACGAGCGACGGGATGGTGTCGGTGTTGTACGTGCAGTCGCTGATGATGGCTAGCTTCCACGCCCGGGACCCCACCGTTTCGCTAAAGCTGCCCTCTTTCCCATCCTCCCAATCCAGATTTTCGTACCGGATCTTTGGGGTTTTAGTCTCCGCCTTCTCCGCGCCCGCGAGGAACGACCGAATATTTCCAGTTGCCCTCTCTTCCGCTTCCGATATATCCGTCATGACTACACGGTAGTCCCCCACCCCGGCATCCTGCCGCGTGGCGGCGAGCATCCCGCAGAGTCCGACGCCCAAAACACCGACACCGCACCCAATCTCGATAATGTCCATCGGCCCCTCGTCGAGAAGCATCCCCTAAGCACGGGCATCCTCGCCCCGATCGCCGCATCCGCTTTCGCCTGGCCGCCCAAGATCTGCGAGAGAAACGACACCGCAGCGAGCCCTCCATCCCAGACGTGGCGTGCGATGCTGTCGCCAAACTCTTCCTCAAACTCTAAAACGGTGGTGCCCACCAGATGCAGCTTGCGTAGGCACACGTCTTTACGCCCGGCCCGCTCGCTTTCCTCCTGCAGCTCGAAATCGAACCAGACCGGCATGATGAGCCCGCGCGGACGGCCCGTCGCCGACGACGACGAGGCCCACGACACCAGCTGCGAGAACTGACGAGCTGCCACGGCAAGGTCGGCCGGCCGGATCAGGAGCTGCTTCCAAGAATTTGTAGGGATGGGCACCGTCTTTTTGAGCACCCGGGCCCCGCGCTCCCACGTCAGCGTGGTTTTGAAGCCGGGCTCGAGCGTGTGGCCATCGTTCCGGCCTTGGGTGAAGAGGCAGAGGTTGAGGAGCACGTTGGCCTCGCTGGCGAGTAGCGCGTCGCCTAGATCCGTCGATAGCACTAATACGAGGCTGAGGGAGGATTGGCCCTTTTGGACCTCGATTTTGGGTGGACGCAGGAAGCGGATATAGTGCATAGTGGCTGATATTTGGCTGGGGTAGAGAGGCGGGAAGACAGATTTGGCGAGGCGAGTACGAGAATAGTGCCTCGAGACTGATTTCACGTTTGAAAATTAAAAACGGTCGGGGCTGTAGGATGCCCCCTCCGCAGGCTTTATTGTCATCCGCTTAGCTTTGGAAAAAAAGACTTGATCATCGGCAGGAATTTTGCAGATATTGTGGTGCTTGAGTGGTTTCTGGGCTTCTCGCCATCTTAGTCAGCAATGAACTTGCGATGGTGACGACTCAAGAGGATATTAAGAGATGAATGTTCTCGACGAAATTCGGTTCTCATTTTGGCAAAAACAAAAAGATCTTGTGTTCTAAGAAGAAAAAAAGATTAATAGACCTCCTGGATCAGATTACTTGAACTCGAGTGGTTAATAGATGGGGGCAGGCACCTGTCTTCACAAACACAGCAAAGCGCGCCTTTACAAACCCCTCATGAACCCATGGCACACTCCTAAGATTACAAGGGCAGACTAGCCTGGGTATCCTCCGCAATCCTCTCCAAAACTCCCCGCAGCCGCGCCAAATCAGGCGCCTCGGCCCCCAGCACCTCAACGTCTCGAGCGCGAGGCCCACGGCCCCCTCCACCCTTCTGGTAGTGTTATCCGCCCGCTCTTGGCCGCCGCGAGGAGCAGGAGGGCCCTGATCGCCGTGGTGCGCGCGACGAACCAGGTGCCGTGGTGCCGGCGGAAGGCGTAGGCGGCGAACTGGCCGCGGACGCACATGTCGAGGCACTCCCGCGCCAGGGGCAGGGCGAGGGCCATGTACGGGTCGTCGGGGGCGCGGTGGAGGACGTAGTAGAGGAAGGGGCGGTGGATCCATTCGCGGCAGGCGAGAGCGCGGTGGTGGATGAAGTGGGCGAGTTCGTTGGGGGTGGTCGGTGGGCGTGCTGGTGATGGGGGCGGGATGTGGGAGTACCTGGAAGGATATCGCATGGTGGTGAGTCGCTTTGCGTAGTGTTCTCCTTGAGCGTTGAAGAGAGGAAGAAAAGCATCAACTTACCATATGTTGATCTCTTCATCTAACGCTTTGTAGTGCGTTAGGTTTTCATGCACGTTCGAGATCCACCCTTGCTCTCCGCTGGCGCCCATGGTGGCGATGGCGCGGTTCATCATCTTGCGGAACGAGACTTCGGCGAGGTAGTAGAACCAGCTCTTCTCTTCCTCTGGCTCGATGGCTAGTGGCCGGGATTGCGATGATGGAGTCTCGGGCGAGGGGTGTGCTGGCGGGCTGGGGGCGATACCTGAGGGCGGCGAAGGCAACATATCGGGAAACCCGAATTGGGTGATCCCGCTGGATGGTAGCGGTATCTCGCATCGTATCTCGCTGTTTTTGGTCACATTAGTTTAGGGCCCGAAACTGTTTGGGTAAGAAATGCATGCGTCGCATATATGTACCATTCGGACTTCATGCAAGACCAGTAGAGTCTTTGCTCGAGGCGCTGTATCTCCCGCGGCCTCGGCTCCGCGACCCCGGCGTCCCTCGCTCGCCGAATCCAGACGTAGTTCCGAAACAGGACGCAAGCTTGGTGGAAATACGACCACGCCTTGACCGGGCGCAGGAGAAACATCTCGAGCACCCCGCAGAAAAACTGGCATTGGATGGACAGGAGCGGAGACTCAATCATGCCGAGGCGCTTCTTCGCGGCCCGGTAGTATGCCATGGCGGCGTCGATTTCCTGGTCATCTTTTGGCGTGCTTGGGCCCGCGGGGCCTTCGGCAAAGCTGTCGCTGGACCCGAGGCAGCCCAATGAACATGCGATAAGCTACGATTTGTATTGTGGTTTTCGCGTTGCGCGCCCGTGGTGTTAGTGAACGTGGCTCGGCAAAAAAGTCGCTACAACGTTGGGGCAGCGCGGTTGGACTTACGACCAGGCACGACGGGCCATCCCAACCTATGCCGTTCTCCGTCGCCTCCCTGACGTAGCATTTGAATTCCGCAACGTCCAGCACCGGATTCTTGATGTGCACGTACGCGAGGAACTGCCGGCAAAGCCTCGCAATGTCTTCTTCTCGCACGCCGCTCCCGAAACACCCCCGCAGCTGACCGGGTGATCCGCCTCCCCGTTCTCCGAGTCGAGGATGAAGGATCGGGGGTGGGGGCAAGATAGGCTTCGAAGATGGGCCAGTGCAGTATCGCTTCCGAGTTGATGAGCGTGGCCGGATACCCCGCAACTTCGAAAAGGTCTTTTTCTATCGCGAGCTCTCCGGGGGCGACTCTATCGCTCTGCCACCGGAGGGAGGGGCCGGAGAAAATTGGTGGGTGTTTGAGCCACGAGTCGGCTCCGCGGGCCCGGGCGTGTGGTGCCGACTGCGGCTAATGGCGACCCGCGTCTCTTCCTGTTGAGACTCCAGCAGTTGGATGGCATGGTTGACTCGATCCAGGATTGCCAAACTGGCGGGATCGAATCTGGGGTGCGGGCACACGCAAGCACGCGATATTAGTTAGCCCTTTGCATGGGTTGTTGCATTGTGGGTTCGGTAGCAACATAACGGCCTTTTTGGGAGTGCAGGGGGATGGGACCCACGAGGAATAGTCTTTGGCGGCCTCCGCGTACGTGCACTCTGCCCCGGTCCTGGTGCAAAACCCGCACACCGGCCGCACGTTGTCGCATTTTGTTTTGCGTGCCCTGCACGGCTGGCATGCTGCTACGGCGCGACGGCGGTGGTACATTCGCGCGGTTCTGCGAGTATCGTGCGGGTCCATGGCCGAGTCCCCGGCGGTGGGGTGAGGGCTACGGCGGTGCATTATCAATGATAGTTCACTTTTGATAAGGGGAAGTGCAGCAATTTGAACTGCGCGAGGGAACGGGGAGTCTCGGGAGAAGAAAATAATGGGTCACCCTGAGCATTTAAGGAATGGTTGGTATTCAATGGTCTTACTGGAAGCTGGGGATAACATGACATGACTTTATGGGCCATCGGGGAATGGCGGGAAGCACGTCCGCCTCCTTGGGTCTTCGAGCTAGGACGAGTTGGGTTTGGTCGAATCCGCTAATCCCCACATCTCGGCTCGTCACATCGGCGACCCCAAAGAACGAGCAAGAAAGGGTCATTGGTGGGGATGCGGGGAGCTGCGAGAAATCGCAAGCGAAAGAAGGAGAGCCGATGACGGTCCCGATGACGGGAGGGGAGAGTTGAAGAAGCAGGTGGAAATGGTTAGGCGGGGGCAGTTCAAGGAGATCAAGATGATTCTTCGACTTGTTTCTTTACGGGCGCTTCTAACACACATGGAAAAGGAATATCAGGGGATATACCGTAGTTGATTAATCGTAACATTCGTCCAGGACTAGCTAATTTAATTCTTCAACTCGTTCGGGAAAACCGCACCGCCTTGCCTGCGCACCTCATCCAGAATTTCCATCACGCGAATCGTCTCCGCCCAAGGCATCGTCGCGTTCTCCTTGCGCCCGGCCGCGATATCCAGCGCCACGGCGTCGGCCTCAAAGTAAAAGCCGAACCCAGGTTTCTCGAACTCGTACGTCTTGGGCTCCTGCCCCTCCAAATTCACCGTGAACGAGTTCGGGGCGGACGCCGCGATGCCCTCGACCACCAGCGTGCCCTTTGTGCCCTCGATGCGGCAGAACTCCGAGGCCCCCGCAGGAAGCTGGTGCAGCTGAGGATGCCCTGCTTCGCCTGCGGGTACAGGAGGAGAATGGAAGAGGCCACGTCTACCCCGTCGACCAAGTGCTGCTGCGCCGAAACCTGCGGCCTCTCAGCGCCGTCGCCGATGCCGCTGTCCAGCGCGAGAAGACCCCACGTCAAGCAGTAGATGCCAATGTCCAGCAGCGTACCGGCACCGAGAGCCGGGTTCTTGAGGCGCGAGTCGGCGGGCAGGGAGGCGATATTCTGCGCGAGGGCAAAGTCGCACACGGCGCGGTGCACGTCGCCGAGGATCTTGTCCTCGTGCACCAGCTTCTGCAGCTCCTTGACGAGGGGGTAGAAGCGGGTCCACATGGCCTCCATGACGAAGACGCCCTTGGCCTTGGCGGCGTCCAGCACCACCCTGGCCTCGGCGGCGTTGAGGGCAAAGGCCTTTTCGCACAGCACATTCTTGCCGTGGGCGATGGCGTCGAGGCAGTTTTGCTTGTGGAACGCGTGCGGGTGCCGATGTAGACGACGTCCACGTCCGGGTCCGCGTAGACCTCCTCGTAGCTGCCGTAGACGGTGGGCGATGCCTGGGGGATGTGCTTGGCGACAAAGGCCTGGCCCTTTCGCGCGACGAGGAGCCGACGGCCTGGATGACGTGGCGGGCGCGGGGTTGGGGCGGTCCTCGCGGATGATGTCGGCGGCGAACCACGAGGAGATGAGGCCCGTGGCTACGATGCCCCAGCGGAGGGTGGGAATGTCGGCGGCGGCCATGGTGGGAGAATCTTTTCGCGAGAAGGTAGGGCAAAGTAGTGAAGAAGGAGCAGGCACAGTCTGACTTATCCGCGCAAGTATAGTTCGTTTTTCTTGAAAGTTAAGATGAAGCTGTGGTAGAGCGAGTAGGAATCTGGGGAGTGGGTAGAGCCCTGATATAAGTCGCACGCGGCTTAGTAGAGAGACTCCTCCTTGGATCAAGGAAACAAGACGGAATAGGGACAAAGATCGCGCCGTAACGGCCAACCGACCCAGGCGCTTCCAATTTCCCCATTTTCTCAATCTTTTTCCAGAGCTTCCCTCCATCCCCCGCGGTTGGCACGCTAACAAGGACAGCCCCTCCTACGCCTCGCTAGCTTGACTCCAACTCGCCCGAGACTCCGCGAGGCATCGACCCCTGCAGAACTGAGGGTGTGTGGGAACGGACAAAGACGAGGAATCTCCGCTCGTTACTAATCCGGTCTTCGGCTCCGCTTTCTCGCTTACCTACTTCCCGCCACTCCCCGGCGCTAAGCTTAAAACAGGTTGAATGGGAAGCCGTGAGAAGCGGGAGATATCTCAACCCGTCATGAGTGAGTTTCCTCGAATTAGTGTTTGCTGGTGCGCATGCGGTATGGGGCCTGGGGAGAAACCAATATGAAGATATAAGGTCCTCGATAGAACTGATCACAATGCAAAAGATATTCCTCAACTTTGACATTCTATCCGTAATCTGAGCCCGAGCTGCATTCATCAATCGATCTCCCATAGTTGTGATACCCATTGCCCCTGGATTCCCTATTCCCTATTCCCTATTCCATCATGTCATCAGACCGGATCCTGCGCGTCGGCATCATCGGCTGCGGCGAAGTCTCCCAAGTCATCCACATCCCCACCCTCAACCTCCTCACCCACCGCTTCCGCATCACCTATCTCTGCGACATCTCCCGCCAGGCCCTCGAGTTCTGCGCCGCGCGCGTCCTCGCCCCCAGCGCCCCTCCCTCACCCCCGACGCCGAGACCCTGTGCGCCTCCCCGAGGTCGACGTCGTCATCGTCGCCAACGCCGACCCCTTCCACGTCGAGCACGGCCTCCTCGCCCTCAAGCACAACAAGTACTGCCTCATCGAAAAGCCTCTCGCGCTCAACTTTCGGGATGTCGATCGCATCCTCGAAGCCGAGAAGACCTCCGCGGGCAAAGTGTTCGTCGGCACCATGCGCCGGTACGCGCCGGCCTTCCTCGATGCCGTAAAAGAGGTGGGCGGCATGGAGAACATCAAGTACGCGAGGGTACGGGACATCATCGGCCCCAACCCGGCCTTTGTCGCGCAGTCTGGCACGTTTCCGCAGAGATTTTCGGATATCGGCGAGGCGGATGCCAAAGAGTTTGTCGACCGGGAGACGGATATTTACGAGCAGGCACTGAAGAATGAGTTTGATATTCCCGTGAATCCGCAATCCAAGAGGATGCTGCGTGTCCTCGGCGCGTAAGTTCCACCTTCATCGTGAACCATGTGTTTCTACCCCCACCGCTAGAGTATGTTGTTCTAACGCGTTCTCCGTTTAGGCTCGGCACCCACGATCTCTCCGCCATGCGCGAAATCATCGGAATGCCCAAATCCGTCGCGGGCGCCGTCCTCACCCTGCCCGGAATCTTTTCCGTCCTCTTCCAGTACGACGACTTCCCCGTCGTGTACGAGTCCGGGTTGATCAACGTCATGGAATTCGACGCCCACATCGAGATCTACTCCACCAACAAGGTCGTACGCGTGCAGTACGACAGCCCGTATATCAAGGCTCTCCCCGTCACCATGACTGTGCGCGAGACCGTCGGAGACGGCGGCTTCCAGGAACGCACGATCCGCAAGACGTTTGAGGACCCCTACACGCTCGAGTTTCTCGAGTTTTACGACTGCGCAGCGCACGGGAAAGTGCCGAAAACGAGCGCGGCGGATTCGAGGAACGAGATTGAGCTTTACAAGATGATTTTGCAGGCGGGAGCATCCCGGTATGCGTAATATTGTTTGCTTCGTGCTCGCGTAGATGGTTTATATAAATTAGCATAGAGTGCCAAAAGCGTATGTTTCTTGTTAATTTGATAGTTATGACCTCCACTCACAGGCAGGATTTAGTACGAGATGATTTCATAATGTTTTGTTGTAGATATCTACTGGCATAGACTCTTGGTCTTCTAAATAGAAAAATACAATATAAACAAAGAAACTCCGAATCTCGAGTCGTAAAACCATTAGGGAATGAAAAAGAAAATAAATCTAAACTTTACCCAAACACCGTCATACAGGTAGCCAGACCGATCAAGGCCCACACAGCCAAGCCGATACCCCCAACGCTCTTGATCCCCGCGCCTTCGTTCCCAGCTTCCCCATCACCGTCACTGCCGCCCTCGCCAGCCTCGCCAGTGGGCTTTGCCGTCGACGAAGACGACACGGTCTGGCTGGACTGGGTAGCGGTGGCTTCCCACACGGCATAAGAAACCGACGGACACGCTCCCTTGGCGAGCCCCCGCCAGGCCAGACAGATACAGATTCGCGTCAATCGTGCTGACGGTGTCCAGCGTGGCGATGCTCGGAGGCAGCCGCTCGAGCTTCTCGGTCCCCGCGGTGATGACAACGGGCCGTAGATGGGCGAGCCCGTAGCAGTTATCGTACGTGGTCCACTCGCTCTGCGTGGTCCCGTCCGACTCGGTGGTCTTGGCGCACTTGACCTCGAGCATCATGTTCATGGGCGCGGACGGGTAGCCCGGCTGGCAGGTCCACGTCGTCGTGCTGTTGTCCGGGAGGTAGGTCGTGACGCCGCCGTAGAGGTTGGGGTCCTGCATGTGGATTTCCGCCGGGTAGATGCCCGCCTCGCGGCACGCGTCGTTTTCGGCGTTTTTCGACGCCGGGCAGTCGACCATGAGTCTCGTGTGCGCCCACGTTGCGGGCGTGGGGGCTGCCGTGATGGTGCTGCCGTCCGAGGTGGTGGTGAAGGTGGATCCGGGAAATAGGCTGAAGTCGACGACCGACGCCTCGAGCGAGTGCGGGTGGGCGTCGGGGAGGAAGAGTAGAGCTACTACTTGCACGCTGCTGACTGATGATGATGATGATGGTGATGATGATGTCGTTGTTGCTGTGGTTGTCTGAGCGAGAGCAGGTAGCGCGATGATGCTCGCCGCGAGGGCGAAAAGGGTCGGCGTCATGGTTGCTGAACGATCTATCTTCCTTGGGTAAAAGTGGCCGCTACCTGTGAGATTTGCTATTCACAGTTCTTATTTTTGTTTATGATAAGTGTTAGAGGATGAGTGAAGCAGATGCTGCCTGAATAGGTGAAAGGCCACTCATCAAGAGAGAGGCGATGGTTTATTATATACAGCTTCGGCTCTATCTACGCCGGATTACCCAGCCCCAAATGATATACCTTAACTCCACAAGGAGGCGCGATCTGATCTTTTCATCCGACTAAAAGTGTATAAGACCATCGGTTAAGGCAATGCTGCGGCATCCTTTTGTGCAACATCCATGGTGACACTGGGGGTCGAACTGTACATACGTAGTCTAGGCACGATCAGAGACAAATCATTCGTAGAGTAGTACGCCAAACTTCGGCAGGCCAAAAACGTTCGTTTCTGGCGCCAGTAGGCCCAATCATACGCTTCCCTCTTTCTGCAAGGGAATAAAAAAGCGTGCGTCAATGAGTGAGGGGATGGAATTGTCCTTGCTGTGTCCATGTATCCGGCTAAAAGACTCGAGATTGGGTACGCGCATGGCGCAGCCACCCCCAATGAGGCACAGTTACACGGAACGCAAGACAGCCGATGGGGAGAAAACCCGAGTATTAGATGATGGCAAGCTTTCGACAAAAGTCAAGCGCCGGTATAGTCGCACAGTAGAATTGGAGAGACAAAAATATTCAAGAGAGAAATTCCAGTGTGAGTGAGGCATTCTGACTTGTCTTTGGGCAGGAAGACGTGGTGAGGAGGCAAAGGTCGTGGCGACTTGGGCAAGTTGGGCTTCATCAGCGCCCGAAACCTAGCACGAATCCCTTCGAAGACGAATAGGTAGTAGTAGAGAAATTCATCAAATAAATAATGCTTTTTGCGTTGGAGTAATACCATTCTTTCACCGTTGCAGCTGTGTCGCCACACGCGGATTTGGTTCAGTCACGATCGTAGACAACAAACACAGTTTGGTCTAGATATTCTAGCTGACCCATTCTCGCAAGCCATCCCCTCCATCAACATACTCAAGGATACTATAATCAAAATCGACCCAAGCAAAAGCCGGAGGGAGCTCCCTTCCACCATGGCCGACATCCTCAGCATCGTCGGCCTCGCCACCACCATCACGACCAACCTCATCGCCGTCGCCAAGAAAAAGGAAGCCCGGCGCGAGCGAAGCCGGCAATTCACCCGGACCCTCGTCCGCCAGCTCTCCAACGAGGGCTACAACGCCGTCGTGGTCGCGGGGCCGTGGCGCGCCTGGGGCTACGAGGCCTCGAGCGACCACGCCTTCGAGGGCAAGCACTACACCCTCTTCGCCGCGCCCAAGGACCGCGTCATGATTGTCGAGAACCGCGGCGACGGCGGCTTCGAAAACTGGGCTCTCTGCGGGTCCAACTGGGTGCGCTGGGGCAAGATTGTCAAGTTTCATCCCTCCTGGAACTCGGCGACCATGGGCACACCTTACGAGATCCGCCATCCCAACGATTTTCCGGGCTGGCCCGAGTAAAAAGATCCATGTACGTGCCGGGCCGCCGGTTTGTCTCCTTTTCTTTCTGTATTTTTAATTCTTTTATTCTTCTTCTCTTCTGCTTCTCTCCTATTCTCTTGCATAATCGACTGTGCCCTGCCTTTATTAATATTGCCGCCAACTATATGTAGGTTATATAAAGCTTGGCTCACGCACACAGCCCCGGCTGGAAAGATGATGGGGGACAGACGGCCTGCTGCCGGCACGAGGGCTCATTTGTCCGGAAATGGAGTTCACGCAGCCCCCAGAGGCGCAGCCGGCCGCGAACACATTTTTCCGGTCGAGGGGAATGTTTTATTTTGTCCCAGCAGCTTGCTTGGTATACATGTCCAATGAGCCGATGACCTACGCGATACTGCAAAGAGAGGGGATTGCGTCCTTATCGGGTGATTGAGAGTATACACCTAAGCAATGGCGATATTGTCCCATGCATGCTGCGTTTGTTTGATGAATTTTTGTTTCCCTGTGTAAGCAAAGCAGCCAAAAATATCGATTCAAAGCGGGCGTGCATAAACATCTGCCGACTGTCAGACCAAACCCCAAGCCAGACTTCGTGCATGAAGAGTAGCCGTTGCCGATCGTTCTCAGCCAAAGGCCTATTACCCTGACGTGATGCTGTGTTGTCCAAGTCGCAAGATGCGATCGCGGATAGCAAAGGCAGATTTACTTTTATATGCCGCGGAGTCTTTTGGATTGGCGATCGGGGGCGTTCGAAATGGAAGCTTCTCTCAATAATGAAATTCATAGCTCGGACACATTATAATTTTCCCGACCGTACCATCGTATCATTCCGATAGTCGATCTTAAGTTTCACCCAGTGGAGACCTCCGGGCAGGGAAGGGCGGAACCGGTCGGATGCTTCGATGACCCCGTCGTGGAGTGATGTCCGGCCTAGCGCCGTGGACGCCACCGATGTGTCATGACCGACTTGTTCCGTCGTTTGAGCCCGCATGCCGGTCACTTTTTCCGGTGCCTTCGGGTCATAGACCAGACAAACGTACACCGGTGCCGAGATTGATCGCGGGCGCAAGGGCTATCGGTCATCGTGACATGGGGATCTTCTGGGTCGGAAAAGCAGTGCAGAATGTGACGCATATTGATGAGAAAGCTGCCGTCATACCATGCAAGGTGCATATGTCTGGGTATGATTATATGGCCGATTATTGAACTTCGCACGAGGTAGAGGAGATTATAAAGGATGACCTCGTTGCCATCAAATTCGCTCTTCCTACCATTCTATCGACAGAGATTCCATTTCCGAATGTGAAATCACAAGCAAACATCTGTAGCATGTCCAAGTACTCGTACCAACAGACCGACGACGTGGCCTCGGACGACCTTCCTCAGGGCGCTCCTGACGGCCAGGTTTCCGATAATAGCTACGCCAGGCCCGGTGGTCGTAACGAACCGATTCCGGTAGTCAAGGACGAGGCTTCGATCGAAGACCCCATCAATGAAAGCAACGCTGACTCGGATCAGCAACTTGGTATGTATAGCTTTTGCAGATACGCATCCCTCGTTAGTACAACTTGCACCGAGGCTTAGCTAACGGACAAACCATTCACTAGAGAGAGATGAGGGAGGCTATCGACAGGTCCAACATCATGAAAGACAGGACCAGAGGGGCCCAGCCTCTCGGCGGTGATTACCGCGAGCCCACGGATCGGGAGCTGGGTGGAGATTTTGAGGACGAAGGCATCTAACCGAGGTTTTTGAAAAACACCCCAATGGTTCATAAGTACATCATGTAGGACCAGGAGGAAAAGAGAATGGTATATACTCTTTCTGTAGTTTACAGAGGGAATACATTATTTTAACGATACAACATCGCGTCCGCAATGCGTGAATTGTGAATGCACACAGCACAATATCCACGTTGAAAGACACAAGGGAACGCAAAGGGAGCAGTGTCCAAACTATGCCAGCAGACGTACGTCCAGGGGTTTCTCGGTGGCCAATCGAGATATGCCGATATTGGTGATATCAGGGGACGTCCCGACAAGGCATCGGCTACGTCGCGGCCACCCCGATCAGGAATGGTCCTGTGGGGCGGTCGGGTGTCGATACGGAAAGGAAATTTCCTCGCTAAGGGCTTGTCATGTCTTGTTCGACTCACTGTGACCCAACACACATACATGCACGCTGACACCCAAAAGAAAAAAAACAAGGGGGCAGCAGGTTTCTGGGGAACTGAAATCTACGCGAGGGCCGTTATGTCTGGCATCTAACCGCGACAGGCTAGTGCACCTCCGAAGGAGGGTTAAAGGAGCTCTTGACTGCCAAACGCGGCCACTCAAGCTGACGCGAAATGAGCCAACTTCCGGGCAAAGGTTTGGCCGACCCACGTCGCCTCCGCCGTCTCGGGCTTCAACATAACTCAAGAAGGGTGAAGACGTCGTGTTGAGCAGGTGGACTATTCAGCAAGATCCTCGCCTCTTCTCCAAGAATTTCTACCTCGCCGTTCTGGGCTCGATCGAGATGAAGCAGGGTTTGCCTGGTCCACAGCAACTCATCTCCTCAATTGGATGAGGAGCAACCCCCATAACTCCCCTTGGCTTTGGAATCCACAAGCTTATCTGAGACTTTTGCTTGGCCCTCTGTGGATCTCCCCAGCTCCTCAAACGCTTGGAATCTGCAAGGAAGACGTCCTGCAAGGGGCAGGGAAAGAAATAGAGAAGGGAATAGGACAGGAGCACGAGATGGGTCGAGGCTCGCGCAGATCTTGTCCTGGAGAGGTTATAGAGAAAGCTTATGGCGTCTTCGCGATGGCGGGGTCTCCAAAGAGATCAGCATCCGTGGCGGAACCGCCCCGAGAACTCGGACATGTGTTGTCAAGATGGAATTGTGGAGATATGCCATCCCTCGTTTTCTCCAGGCCTCGAAGAAAGACGAAAAAAAAATTCTTTATGACAAGATTAGCTAGATAACTTTTGACACTTATTAGTTCTCCACCGCCTCCCCGGGTGGCGCACCTTCTCCCATGTCCATATTTTCCCACGCCAGCCCATAACCACCTCGCTCTGCGTGGATCAAAATTGCTCCAGACTTGCCAGGGCGACGAGAATTAACATTCGATATTCCAGCATGCTAGTGTGCTTCCCCTTGACTCGGAATGACCCTCTTACGATTCCCCGGCCGACTAGAGAGGAACTATTTGATTCTTGAATGCGTCCCGTCAACGGTTTTTGTCCGAGTGCGGTTCAAGCTCGACGGGACTCGAACAGACATTTTGCTAGTCGCCGTTTCCCGCCGCCCTCCCTTTCAGACCCAGAGAGGGGAAAGGGGAGAATAGTCCCCTCCCCCACCGAGTCCATGCAACCGTGGGCGGGCCCCGAGAAGAGCCGTCGCCGTGGATAGGAGTTGCTCTCGAGAAAATCCCCACTCCTCGACCCACATCGTCAACTCATCCCTGTCCACAGACAACATATCAACGAAGCACGAGGTGGATCCTCGCCCTTGACTAATTTCTCGGCACGGTAGTAGTCTCCTTTTCCTCTCATAGGTCGGAGAAAAGGTTCCAGCAGCCAAGCCTTGTTCTTTTTCGTTGCTTTTTTCTTCTACATCTTCTTCTTCGCCTTTGTTACGTTACCATGAACGTGGAGCAAAGGTGGCCAAGGTGGTGCCCCCTTATCGGTGCTTTGTGGGCGATTCCCGCCAGCCTAGGCGTCCTCCGAGTGTTTGAATCAGACGTTTTTTGAAGAGTGGAGTGTGGTGGTGGAGTTTCATGGGAGATGGTAGAATGGATATTGATTCTATTGGCATATATAGTCTATTTTATTTTAAATTTCTTTTTTCATATGCAGATAGTAGAGGCCGTTTTCAACGGCTTTTCTATGTTATCGTATAATAGTAGTGGAGTCTTGACTTGACGGATTCGCTTCATATCAAAACCTCACCCCTGTATAGCTAACTAACTCCTTGCATCTCCAATTGCCGTGGGTTTCACGGCGTCCCACAAAATAGGCAATACAACGCCGAAAAGAACAAAATACAAGTTGTAGAAAAAGGGAAGAAAAAGAATACAAAACGTGTGATGTGGATTCGCCGCAAAACTCGATACAATTAGTTAGGTCTAGTGAGCAATATGTGCAGTATACCATTCCAAACCCCCTGTCGCATATGCACAGTTCCGGGTATATTCCACGCCCCCTTTTTTCGTTGTTTTGGCAGTAGGTCACACCGCCTGGTTACGAGGCGTGCACCACCTCCCTATTACTCTTGGAATCGCTCTGCGCGCTGTTGGAGTCGTTTTCGTAGTGGAGCTTGACCTGCGTCGTGCGCAGGATGCCGTTGTACGTCATGATCTCCTCCTCGGAGCCGCTGGGCGAGATGCTGCGGCACTCGGTGTGCTGGCCGCGGGTGCCGCGCAGGCTCTTGAGCGCGATGGACGGGCCGCCCGTGGCCGTGGTGTGCCTGTGCGTGCCGCTGAGGTGGGAGATGCCGCCGTCGCCGTAGAGCGGGTGCGTGCCCTTGTTGCCCGAGATCCCGTACTGGCCCGTGGAGCCGCCAAAGAGCGCGGGGAACCAGCTCTTGAACAAGGGGCGGAGGGCGGGACCGCAGGCGCAGATGATGGCGAGGTTGACCTCGACGGTGTTGAGCGTGATGCCGATGTTGTGGTACGGGTCCGCGTTGGGGTCCGGGGTGCTGTAGAAGAGCTGGTAGAGCTGGACGAGGCGGACGATGGCGATGATGAGTACGCTGCGGAGCGGGGAACTCGTGATTAGCGCCTGGATTTATATGTGTATATATATTACAAGTCTATTATTAGTGACAGGAAAAAAGGTACTTACGCAAGACCGAGCGTAAAGACACCCATCAAGGCAATCTTGGCAGGCGTCGGCATCTTGAGCCCCAAAAGATCCAAAACGGCAAGACGAGAACAATGATATCCGTCAAGATGGTCAGGCACGAGATGGCGACGTGGAACGAGGTGTCGACGCAGGTGGCGGTGGCCGCGGCCTCGGCGTCCCAGTTGGCCGAGATGGGAATGCACTGCAGCAGCGCCACGAGGAAGACGGCGATGGCCTGCAGGGCATTGAACGTGTTGAGGCCGTAGATGAACCACCGGATCCAGCGCTGGTGGGAGCCGAGGCGCAGGAGAAACACGAGGATGGAGGCCTTGACGAGGGCGAGGACGGGGTTGTAGAAGAGCTGCGCGAGGTAGAACCACCACCGGCCCGGGGAGGGATCGAACTCGGGCACGTCCTTGGCCTCCCAGCCAATGTACGACAGCTTGATGTCTGTGAAAGAGGGTTACTGTTAGACGCGAGATCCAAGGCTTGTAAGGGGGCCCGTGGAGTAGAACGTGGACTTACCCATATAGAATGGAGGACACATCAGAACAGCGAAAATCTAACACGCACGTATTAGTCGACTTGCACCCCCGGCCACAGCGGGTTGCCGATCATAGCACAAGAGATACATACCAGCGCCGCAAGGATCAACCAGTCATCTGGGACAAAAGTTAGAAAAAAAAGTCTAAAGTGGGCAATGCAATATCGAATGCCAGAAACATAAAAGCGTACCTAAACCCCATTGTCGTGTCCTCAGCCTAGAAAACGCTCGCAGGGCCACGGAAAGGATCGACAGAGCCGGGAAGAAAAAGGTGAGAAACAAGGCAATCTTTTGCAAATGCGGCGTCGGGATCGTCGACACGTCCGGGTGAGACGGCCGCCTGGCCATCAAGAGGCTCGACATGATTTTTCGAGAAGTAGGCGGGATTTTTGCTTTTCTTGCCGAGAAAAACAGAGGCTCGAGGTTGTGCCCTCGGAATGCGGGCTTTTGGTCTTCGTATCAAGGACGGACAAAACGAAGGAAGGGGGACGTGCCCGCAAAAGCCAGACGATGGGTGTCAAGAGGAGACTCTTTGCTTGTTTCTGAAGAAGGAAAAGCAAACTTTCCTTTGTCCGTGGTTGAAGCCAAGCAGACCCGGTGGATGGGGAGTCTTGGATATTATACAGAAAGACGGGGAAAAGAATGGCCGGCCCCATACCCTTTTGGACCAGAGAAATAAGTTTAAAACGAAAGAAAAAGGAAGTCAGGCTCGGGATAAAGATAAACAGAGGCCAAAAAAAAAAAAAAAAAAAAGAAAAGCTAGGCTTGGTCCAATGCAGTCTTGACTAGCCTCGTTCTTCCGCCCGTCCCCGGTCGTAGCCGTTATTTCTTTCTGTCCCCTTTTTTTCTTTTTAGTAGATAACCGACTGGGTCCAGCACGACATCCCACAGGGGGCGGGGAAAAAAGAAGATGGTAGTAGTTTGTGCTGTGTGCGTATAGTGTTAGTGAGTTGGAAGGGAAACATAGAGACGAGACACCCAAATTTTGCTTGTGTGCCCGCCCCGCGCTGCGCTGCGCAACCTTCACAAGGAAAAAAGAAGCCGTGAGATACTACTAACGAGGCAAAAAAGAAGGTGGCTAAACAAACGATCCGGACGAAGGATCCCCCTTGGCCTTTTGGATCCAAGATAGCTGAAATTCGACACGCTTCGGAGACCTAGCCGGAGGACTAAGACCAGATGAAGAAAATGATTGACGCTGCAGCAGCTTTTCAGGGGAAGAGAGAGATGGGAGGGGGCAAGAGAACGAGAGCGAGATGGGTAATACAGGGCAGAAGGTGTGGAATAACCTGTTCCGAGACCGACGGCCAGGACCAGACAGGGTTTCCCGGAAAGATACAGGATCGATAGACACTTTGACAAGCTGCGCAACGAGATCCCGGGGGTGGGGGCGAGAGCAGAGGCAAGGGGAGGCGAGCAGGCGGGCAAACAGCGAGCGAGAGCTCAGCACCTCTCGCTCATCAAGGTCCTTGTTGATAATCTTCCTTCTGTGGGCCTCTTTGGATCTTTGAAGCAAGCCGAGGATAGGAACGACCAGGGCAGGTTGGCAAGTTTGCCTGATGGGGGCCCCTAGCACTAGTAGCCTTGACCGATATAGAAGGAATTCATGTCGATCACGCAGTCGCCTGGAACGCCTGGGCTGAAGATGCGCTGTGAAAGGAGGGATTTCTCTCTATCGCGTCGCATAATCTTGGGGGCAGGAAAATTTACTGCATACAAGTACAGGCAGGGGGAGGGGAGGGGCAGAGGATAGAGGGAGGGTCGCCCTTTGCCTCCAGGCCCCGTCGTCATTTCACTAAGGACAAAGCTACACAAGGGCCAGGGGACTTATTTTCATGCAGGCCAAGACCAGAGATGGAGACTGACGGGTAGCGGTGGCGGCTGGGCGTCCCCTCCGAGAAGGGGGATTTTGACATGTCCCGGCGAGCAAAGGGAGCCATTTGGCCAAAGCTTGAACCGCAAAAAGAACAAGAGTTGGGAACGGAGAGCCGTTGCTATTCCCGTTGCCGCTGATGTGTGCGTTCGAGCTCTGGTCTTTGGGGGCCACTTCGAGGTGGTGGGGGCTTTTCCCTTTTCGTTTTCTTTTTCTTTCTTTTTCGTTCTTGACGTTCTCAAACTTGTTTTCCCACCTTCGCTCATCTCCCAAAGGGGTCTACGACGATGCAACTAACACCGGGATCTGCCCCGACCGGGGAAAGACACCAGAATACGAAAAAGGTTCCGTGTTCAGTTTCACCGAGGCCCTTTTTTTTCTTCTTCTTCTTCTCTTTCTTTCTCTTGCGTGCGAGCTAAGCAGCCACCGGTCTAGACGTGTCACAAAAGAAAACGTACACTACCATAAAGCCCTGCGCCACTTGACCGGCCAGCCAAAGTAGTGGAAAAGGCAACGCGGGTGTACAAGTGTGCGAGGTGAGCGGAGGTGGAGTGGGGGCCCTGGCAAAACTCCGGCACAATACAACACGCCAACCTCTTTGGTGCATGCGATGAAGACACTTGACGGAGCCAGATCCCCCCCGGTCGCATTCGCGTCGTTGCAGTTGGCCGGCTCCGAAGTGTGAAATCTAACTAATCGCAGCAGGGCACGCTGGACCCGGTGGGGCCGAGAAGACGACGCTTGACGATCCGCATCAAGGGGATTCGTCCAGTCGAATTCCACGCGCCAAGGAACTAGGATGTGCCTCCGATGGAGCAAAAGATGCAATTCTTGGGCCCCACATACGCCTTTTAGCGCCGAATACCGGACAGACTGGGCGGGCTGTGAAGGAGAAGCCTCTCCCCCTCCGTTCTCTCTTTGTTCTCTTTCCCTGGACGGTTTCGAGGCTATCTCCCGACTCGAGTTGCCCTCGGGATGGATACTGGCCGACTGTTGCCAAAACCCTCAGTTGTGTTTGGCAGGGGATGACCCACTCGAGTTCGAAGGGGCCCTACCTTGCACGGAGATGGGGGTGGGGGAGATTGACGAGGGATTCAAAGAGAAGAAAGAAGAGGGCCGCAGTGATAGCTCACAAGGAGACATGGGGCACTGAGCCAATGCATAAGAGGAGTTGAAATTTTCCCAAAGATTGAAAAGACATGGAATTCAGTGCTATCAATGAGAAGAAGATATCTTGAAGAATTATCAAAAGCCGGTTTTCCCATCCTTCGTCCGTCACCTCGGGTCTGGCGAGCAGGGTTTCGCGGGATGGAGGTCGGAGTATCGGATGGCGGATGCGAACCAGCGGGAAGGAGTTGAGGGAACTGGCGAGAGGGATCGAGGATGAAGAAGCAGCCGAGCGGGCCGGCAATCAACCCAAGCGCGGGAAATACGTCAACGCAGCGGAAGGGGCAGCGCAAGGGGCAGCGAAGAAGTCCAGGGGCCAGCGCTGAGTGCTTGGCGGCCGTGCGGGACCTGGCAGGCGGGTGGCACTTGGCAATCCTCAATCCCGCGTGCTTGGGCAGGATGAACAATTGACAGGCATGGGGGAGCACGCGGAGTGCCAAGAGGAAATAAAATAAAATAAAAAGAAAACGAAATATTGGCTCTCCCGAACGAAGATGAAGGCGAAAAATGAAGGGAAAAGAGTCGGGGGAGATAATGGAGGTGCCGTGATCGCAGAGAGCCAGGCTGCGTAGAATGGCAGTATTGTTGGTCTCTGTCCAGGGTCAGCGTTGCCTGCTGAGTGCGACTTTTGCGTGCTTCACTCAACCGTGAGGAATGTTCCGGATCGACTACCAGGGGGACACCCCTGGAACCCCATCCACTCATACACACAGTGGGGGTTGCGCCTGAGAGGGCAACTCGAGGCATTTCGAACTTTGAAGCAAGCTAGCCCAGCTAGGCGATTTCGAGCGCTGGCTCCTAAGCCACGGTTGCAGTGGTGGCGGGACCGAGGGGTAGGCCCTGGTGATTGGTCTGGGCGACGCCGTTCCCGGGAGTTGTGCTCCAGTCACGGACTCCTTTCAACGAGAGAGACTTCCGGGTATGAAATTGAAGCCAGCTCGATTCCGGTATGGCCCCAAATTCGGCGTGCTTACGAGGTAGCTTGAAATTAGCGGTTGCCCAGCCCTGAGACAGAGATCAAGTGAGCTCAACTTGCCTAGCCATCTAGCCATCTACTCTTGACCTCTCTAGCATTCTAGCTAGATGGTCCTTCATTCGTTTCAGGGCAGTTCAGTGGCTTAAGCCCAAGGATTGCTCACAATTTAAGCCAGCGACGCCCGACTGACCCGGGTCAAGTGGCTTTACATTCTGTTAACCCTATCGGACCCTAACCCTTTGAGAATCACATTGACAAAACCCGCTCAACTCTCGCCCCCAACTCTTCGACTCGCCACCAGAAAATATGACAGATCAGTCGTGCAATCGATAATACCACGTTCTCCTTTTACTTAGCTTCAGTGCTCCAAATCCCTGCCGACCCGAACCCTTGACCTGGGTTCAGGGTGCGTCCTCACGCATGTCTGCATCTGGCTCCCTGCATCCGATTGTGTAATATCTTCATCTCGGGATTTGGCCCCCATGCTGAACCCGTCGGTTCGGGTGGAGATGCCATGCGAGGCAGCCCCATCCTCGTCGCCATGTAAATAGAAGAAAAATAAATAAAAAAGTAAATAGTCGAATCCTGCGAATACCCTCATGGGGCATGTGGACCGTCGCACTTTTGGAGAAGAGAAAGTTAGCCCGTAGGCTGAGAGACAATGGAAACGAGCTGGCCAACCCGTTCCCTAGACATTTTGGAGAACATAATAGGAAAAGAAGAGAGAAAAGTTCGTGCTCTCGGGTTGGTGAGTTCCGCTTATCCCGCGTGCGCTAAATCAGTAGCGCCTTGCTAATGATCTAAAGGCAAAAAAGTTATAGCTCTCCGCCTTCCCCGTTGCCGTCTATTCTCCTCCGCCTGTCCAGCAAAAGGGTTTGCCAAGAAGGCTAATCAAGGGATTGCGTACGCTTCTCTCGGGTTTTCCGCTCCTCTGCGCGAGGGAAAGCTGTTGCGCTGCAGTCGACCTTGCCTCTCTCATCTCTCATTACTTCTTCTCGTTCTCCCTCTATTATACTTGTATCTGCCTCATTCTCCTTTGAGGAATAGCTTGATCCTCCGCCCACTTTCGCAGGCCGCCCGATTTCAGCTGAGAAGGAACGAAACGGCGCCGCCAACGGATGGGAGGCTAGAGCCTCTAGCACATTTATCCAAAATCATAGGCCAACGCCGCTTATCTCAAAAGGCGCCCCTCCCTCTTCCCTTCCCCATCCAAGCTAGGTAAGCAACAACGGCCAGGCGCCACCGCGTCGTCGAAGCTTATTATTGTCGCCCCGGCCCCGGACGGGCCTTTGTCTCCCGCACTCGCACACTCTTGACTCGTTTCGCTGTTTATCTACAAGAGGAAATGACCTTTTGTTTTCTCTTTTTTTTTCGCCATCCGGCTTCGGCAACCCCAATTGCGCTGAGCTGGGAGATGGGGCAGGCATCGGCTGTACAATTCCGACTGTGAGATTGTGAAGCCGCCGGCCAATGTCGTCAGCGGCGCTGCCCTCATGAGCACGGACGTTTCCATTTTCCTCTCATTTCCAGCACTTGCCAAACTAGCTCGTCTGAGACCGTTTGTTTTTGCATCGTTCCTCTCAGATGGCGCCTAACTTGATAACTTTTTTGTATGAGGTGTGGTCGTTTCGACCAGGTCAGAGTAATACGCCAGCCTGCGAGCGGGCTAACGTACAACTAGATATCTAGAATCATCACGAAAGTAAGAATATAGATTATAATGGGGCCAGACGCCCCGATCGCCTTGGAGAGAGGCTGCACTAGAAGAGCATCACAGAAGACAAGAAGAAGAAAAGCAATAAAAGAGGGGAACGAGATAAGGCTCCCTCGTGGATTCAGCCTCCACCGCCCCGAGCAACTGAACTCGACGAGATGCCCACGTGGAGCATGAAGCTTGGCTGCAAGGACAAAGTGGACAAAAAGAAGCAAGGGGGAGCTAGGCGAAGCATGGAAGATTCTGCCAGCATGTCAGCGATTATCAAGTCCCAAGGAGGGGGAAGAGGAGCCATGCCTCACATTGTCCTGGCCCCCAACTCCCCAACTCCGGTCATCTTTCTCTCCCTCTCTCCGTCTCTCCATCTCGCCTCGTGGCGATGTTCGACCTTTGCGAGGAGTGGACCCGCCGGGCTTTTTCCACGGGCCCACATCCCAGGCCGATCCCTGCCGTTTTCGAAGCAATCGCGGAAAAATTGGGCAAATTGCATGGTCCTCGACGGAGCTTGACATGGACAACGGAGCTTTTGCCAAGGAGCTTTTGCTGCTTCCAGAGGTCCACCCTGTCCTTGGTGCCCCATCATCTCCCTCTCTGTAATCCATTAGGGATACGACCTCGTCCAGAACTGGTCCCCCTCCTCGTCCCTTTCGAACCCCCATTCCCCATCCCATCCGAACGAGCATTGCCCTTCTCTATCTCCCCTCGCATTGTCCACCCTAGACTATCAGAGTCCGCCCCCCCTCCCTTCTCACAGCCTCCTCTCCTGGCGACGAAGCCCTGCTCTTTTCAAAATTGCATCGAGCCATCCTTTCCCCATACATGGCGCCAACATGGCCACGCGAAAAGAGGGCCCCCTTTGGCCCCATCGCCTCGTGGGGCGCCACATGTGCGCATGGGCGGCACAGGCTTGGTCGACGGGTAGATAGAAGGTACCCACCTCGATAGCTCTGAAAGCAAATGGACGGCAGTCAGATTTGGTTGTGTTTTCTTCCTTCTGCTGTGACAGACGGTCTCTCTGCTAATCCTTTTGCGCGGCACCGAGAGGCCGGTTGACTTGCTGCAAGGCATTAGCTTCTCTTTACCTGACATCGTAGCACCCTTTTTAATACCAAGACCATCCTCCTCACTCTTTTGTTTTTTTCTTCTCTCCTCCTCGCCATCCCACCTCCCCCTTCCCTTCTTCCATTACCCTTTTCTTTACCCAATAGATCTGGCAAGCCCTTCCTTTATCTTGCCAATCTTACTATTCCCCGCGACAGCAACAAGGTATCCGTCGCCATGCCGTCCCTCGCCAAGGCGCTCCTGTTGGCGCTGCCGCTCGCCAACTATGTAGCAGCCCAGACCATCGTCATCGACGGTGAAGAGATTGGTAAGTAAAAGACCCCATTTCGAAAAGGAAAAAAAGAAGAAACATTGTACTAACATTGCTTCCCCAGCCGCCGACAGCGTCTCCGTCGCCCCCGCGGCCGAGCGCGTCGTCGACGCCGAAGAGGCCACCGCCCTCCAGCTCACAGACGACATCCTCGCCAACCTCACCAGCCTCGAGCTCTCCAACGTCACCCTCTTCGCCTTCGCCGACGAGTCCGAGGGCACCGCCGTCACCCGCCGCTCCCACTGCAAGCGCACCTTTGGCAAGTGCAAGACCTTCCCCGGCGACTTCCTCTGGCCCACCAAGCTCGTCTGGAAGGTCTTTGACCTCTTGACCGGCGGCGCCGTCATCGAGTCCGTCCCCATCGGCGCCGTCTGCTACAAGGACAACGCCCACTACGATGCCGCTGCCTGCCAGGAGCTGCTCGACCACTGGACCGAGTCTGCCACCCAGTAAGTGTTTCTTTTTTTTTTTTTTTTTTTTTTCCCCTTTCCCACGTCGCTTGCTTCCCCAGCATACCCCCAGCAATACACACAATGGCTAACCTTGCCTCTCCCCCTCCCACAGCGCCAAGGACCCCACCTCGGTCATGTCTCCCCTCTACCAGGGCCAGACCTGCCTCCCCAAAACGCCGAGTCCGGCACCTGCACCCTCGGCGGCACCCTCCTACGCCGTCAAGATCAGCAACGTCGCCCAGATCCAGCTCGCCATCAACTTTGCCCGCAACCTGAACCTCCGCCTCGTCGTCCACAACACCGGCCACGACTTCCTCGGCAAGTCTACCGGTGCCGGCGCCCTCTCCATCTGGACCCACAACCTCAAGGACATCCAGTACATCAAAAGCTACAAGACCGCCTCCTACAGCGGCGCTGCTTTCAAGCTCGGTGCCGGTGTCCAGGTCGGCGAGCTGTACGCCGCCGCGAACAAGTACGGCGTCACCGCCGTCGGTGGCGAGTGCAAGGTATGTAAATATTGAATCACTTGGGAAACAAAAAATACATAGATGGCATACTAACTCGTTGAAAAAACAGGGTGTCGGTGTTACTGGCGGTTACATCGCCGGCGGCGGCCACTCCCCATGTCCGGCATCTACGGCCTCGGCTCCGACCAGGTCCTCAGCGTCGACATCGTCCTCCCCAGCGGCCGCTTCATCACCGCCGACGAGAAGAACAACAAGGACATCTTCTGGGCCGTCCGCGGCGGCGGCGGCGGCACCTTCGGCGTCGTCACCTCCATGACCGTCAAGGCCCACCCCAAGACCAAGTTCGGCGGCCTCACCTTCAGCATCACCGCGGGGCCCTCCACCAACATCTCCACCGAGGTCTTCTGGCTCGCCGTCGAGGCCTACTGGCGCAAGTTCCCCGAGTTCGCCGCCCTCGGCAACTACGGCTACTCCTCCATCTTCTCCCTCGGCGCCGGCTCCTTCATGTGGAGCATGAACCCCTGGATGATCCCCGGCTACTCCCTCGCCCAGTTCAAGCAGGTCGCCACCCCCTTGCTCGACGAGTGGAAGGCCCTCGGCTTCGACCCCGCCCCCAGTTCTTCGAGCACGACAACCTCTACGACACCTGGTCCACCCACTTCCCCACCGAGACCGTCGGCAACACCAACCTGCACACCGCCTCCCGCCTCTTCCCCAAGAGCAACTGGGCCACCGAGGCCAAGCGCAACGAGACGTTCGCCACCCTCCGCTCCGTCGTCGAGGAGGGCTCCGCTCTCATCCAGTACAACATGAACCCCAAGGCCCCGGCCGGTACCCCAGACTCCGCCGCCAACCCGGCCTGGCGCGAGGCCATCATGTTCGGCATCTTTGGCAGCGGCTGGGCCCCCACCAGCACCACCCAGGAGGTCGCCGCCATCAACACCAAGATCACCCACGACTGGATGGAGAGGCTCCGCCAAATCACCCCCGGCAGCGGTGGCTACGGTAACGAGGGTGACGTGATGGAGCCCGACTTTGCCCAGGCCTTCTTCGGCTCCAACTACGACCGTCTCCTCAGCATCAAGAGGTCCGTCGATCCCTGGGACCTCTTCTACGCTCCCACTGCCGTCGGCAGCGAGAGCTGGTACGTCACCGACCAGGAGAGCTGGTTGACCACCCAGACCGGCCGTCTCTGCCGCAAGTAAGGGTCCGTCCCCCAACGCCACGTTAGCAAGGACGCGCACGCGATGCTGCGCAAGAGCACTTAATCTTCTCTTTTGGTGCTGAGAGATGAGCCGCCGAGCTGGGCGCTGTTCACTCGGCTGCAGAACCGTCAGGACCATGTACAAACATACCATATCATCTGCTAGACTCGTATTAATTTATATCTCCTTGAATCGCACCATCCTTCGTGTCCCGTAGTCCTAAACGTATCCCCAGCAGGGCCTCCAAGACCTGGCGTCGAGCCATGTAGTAAAGAAATCCGGTGTGATGGATTCATCCATGTGTCGCTTTAAGTTCGGGGGAGACACTCGTTTAAGCAATGCAGTGTGGCAAGAGCCTTGTGCTCCAGGTTCGTCCGCTCGGAAGCACCTCATCTAGCGGCATGTCCCGCTACCCCCTCCGCCCCAATAGCCATCAGCCAAAAGTCAAAAGTTGATCGATGCAAAAGCTAGAGTGCCCGACCGGCCAGCCCGTTAAGCTTCTATCGACCGAGTTTTCGGCGCAAGCAACTTTATTCATCCCTCCTCCCGTTCGACAGTGGCCTGGTTCGGAGAGTTCCATCCGGATTCCGGCGACAGGTGACCGACTCTCTCTCTCTCCCATCCCCCATGAACTCCCCCTCCACACGGATCTACAGATGGGAAACTCCCCACACCTCGAAAGCATCGAGTTCCTTGAAAAACATGGCGAACGCTGGCGTCAAGGTTCAAAGTCTGTGGAGGGGGTGGGAGGCTGTCCAAAACTCTGACACACGCCATGTTTACTCTCCCGTGAGGTAAAAATGGGGCCCACCCCAAAGGAAAACAGGGAAGACGCCCGAGTCAGACACGCGACGAAACGAGCCTACCGGCCACGAGGTTCTCCATGAGGATATATGGAATCCACGCCCCTCTCGCGCGCATCCGACGATCAGCTACTTTGCTTCTCGAGGCCCCCCGCTCTCTTTTCAGCTCGGAACGAAACCTTGTAGCATTCTTCCTAATATCTCGCCCCCTCCTCCAACTTAAACCACTTTGCTCCCTACCAGCCCCCTCCCCCTCCAACTCAACCATTTCACTCCCTAACAGATATATCGATCTATTCACCGAGAGCAGAGCTTAAACAGCATCCGAACAAAACCCCATGGATTTTGTCTGAATTCCCAATCTTTAGTGGAACAAAAACCATGCCTATCGATTCCTTTGGCGCCGAAGCCTTTACCCTCCTTTCCTCGGAGTCGTCATCATCGTCCTTCGAACACTCTCTCGATGGAAAATCATCGGGTGCGTAAGCTTCGAGCCCGACGACTACTTGATGCTTCTCGCCATCATACCGTACGCTGCGGAGGTGTCGCTCGCGTATGCCGTGGGAGCATCTGCGCAAGGCCTGACGAATAGCGGCATGACGCCCGAGGCGAGGCTGCGCTGCAACCGGAAAGCCAAGAGTACAAATGGAGGTAAGGAACACGCATAATTCCTCGTCTACCCGAGTCACGGAACCGCGTCTCAGACTAATCAATAGGGTTCTTGGATCCAAGATACAGATGGCAGGCTGGGTGATGTACGTCTCGGTGCTCTGGCTCATCAAGGCTTCGCTCTGTGCCTTTTATATTCGCCTCACGGTTAGTCAACAGACTCCCTCTCATTCCCAAAACTCTGTGATGAAACAAATTGCCAACTAAATATCTTTAGAACGGCTTGCCCGAGTACCGCAATCGTTTGCGCATCGGGATCGGGATCCTCATCTTCACCTATATCCTCCTCATCCTCCTCATATCCCTCGGGTGCATGCCCGTCAAGAAGAACTGGCAAATCCACCCTGACCCAGGAAGTACGTCTTTCCCCCACACCACCGGCGCCATTACCTTGAAGGTCTACTGAAAGTGGTCAACTAACTGAGTTTCATCTGGCCCTTAGATTCCTGCCAACCAGCCATGTCACACCTCAAGATCTTCATCACCCTTGTCCTCAACATCCTAACAGACATATACCTCATCATGATCCCCATTCCCCTCCTTTGGAGCGCCCGACTGCCAACCATGAAGAAAATCGGCCTCTGCATCTTATTCTCCGGTGCTATCTTTGTCATGACGGCCGGGCTTCTTCGCTGCGTCTTGATACTCAAGGTATGCTAACCCTTTTCCCAAATTTTACTCCGAGCTTCACTAACAACCGAGAGTAGAATCCCGTCTCCGGCCCTCGACAAGGATCCGCCTGGGCCATCCGCGAATCCTTCGTAGCCATCACCGCCTCCAGCATCCCAATCATATGGGCCGCGCTCCGGCGCTGGATCAAGCGCTTTTCCTCGTCCCTCCGCCGCTCCAGCAGCAAGAACTCGAACCCGAAGGACTGGGGAAACTTCATCCTCGAAAATCACAGGCAAGACGGACGGAGCAAGACCCCGCGGGCGCGGAGCGCCACCGATACGGTACCACTTTGCAAAGATCGACGAGCGGAACCGCTGGCACGGATCCCCCGCTGACGGCTACTGGGAGTTGGAAATGGTGCCGCAAGCCAGATTAACCGGCGACTCGGCGCATGATGACAAGGCGGGAGACTCGGCGCGGTGGATGGAGGATGCCACCGGGCCCGGAAATAGCCACGGCTGGGCCGTATAGAATATGTAACGCTAGCGAAAGCGAATCATGCCTCTTTTGACACTACGAGATTTCCAGGAACATGCATTCATAGATGCTTCCTCTATCCCTCCTCTTTACCGTGTCTCCTCAACCCTCAGCACTGATGGGGACTCCAAAACGGTTCCTAGTCCCTACATAGCCCACGCCTACTGCCCAAACCCGCTTGCCAAAGCTTCCAGTATACTAACCGTATCCTTCCGTACCGTCTCCACGATTTCCCCGCACTCGCCACCTCGTTAACCAACCCAACCCCCGCACCCGCATACGTAGGCAACCTCCCCTCGGGCCCCCACCCCGCCTCACCCGCCCCGAGGGCCTTGTCAAACTCGGCCTTGAGCCCGTCAAACGACGCCCCCTGTTGATACTCGTCCCAGGTGCGGTTCGTCACGCCGCGGGGACTAAACCGCTCCGGCCAGCTGATGCCGCGCAGCTGGTTGTAAATCGTCGTACGGGCCGTCGATTTCGCGCCGTCTTTGGCGTCCACGACGGCTTGCTGATAGGACTTGGCCACGCGCGCCTCCTTGGACGCCAGGAATCGCGTCCCCATGGCCGCGCCGGCCGCGCCGAGAGCCAGCACCGAGACGACACCCCGGGCATCGGCGATACCGCCCGCGGCTAACAGAGGAATTCCCGTATCGAGCGTAGCATCCGCCGCCTCCGGGAGGAACGTCGTCAGGCCGATGCCGTCGACCGCGCGGCCGTGGCCCCCGGCCTCCATACCCTGGATGACCAGTACATCGGGGGCCTGGCTACTCCGGGCCGCCTCGGTCGCTTCCTGAAGCGTGCCGACTTGGATCCACACCTGCGTCTTCGGCGAGACCGCACGGATGCCCTTGGTCCACTCGTCCAAATCAGCCTGGCCGTGCGGCGGCGCAAAGAGCCATACAGCGCACGGCCTATACTTTTCCACAGCCGCCGTCGCCGCCGCCCTGTCGTCGCACCAAACGATGAACCCGACGCCAATGGGGAGCAGATCCCCGGCGGCAAAGTCAGCAAAAGCCTTGGTGTCGCCGTCGGACGACTCGGCGAGCGAGCGCTTCGCAGTTTCAAAGTCCTCGGTGAGCCCCTCGGGCTTGCCGTTGAAATTCATGAAGCCGATGCCGCCGGCGCGGGACACGGCGACGGCGAGGTGCGGGCCCGAGGACGGGCGCATGGGGGCGAGGGCGATGAGCGGTTTCGCGGTCCAGGGGAGGGCGGCGGCGAGTTTGGCGGCGGAGGCGAGCCGCGTGGACCGAATTGCTTGCGTGCTCATGGTGTCGTTTTCGAGTGTGTGCGTGGGTGAGCGAGGGGTTGCTTTGGGTTCGCTCTCGAAAATTATGATGTGATGCGAATTGGGTTCGGAATTAAGTTGCGATTGTCAGCGGCGGGCAAAGGAGGGAAAAGTAAACGAGGCGGAGTGGAGTATTTCGAAGCAGTGCTCGCCATTTCTGCACTTCCGATGTTCGGAAATCGGGAATCTGCACGTCACGGATGGACCCCTCGCTTGCGTCCTCGGTGGGCACTACATGATTAGATTGAAAAGAAGCTAGCCACTCCGCGGAGATGCACGACTGACGTAGAAGAATAACTCGTTATGTTTTTTTTCGGAGAGAGAAAAAGAAGGAACAAAAAGTCACACATGGTGGATTGTTTAGTGATCGTTTAGAATCTAATTTGATTCCTACGTGAAAAATTATTTCCCGTTGCAAAGCGAGGTGCACCGACCGTGCCATCTCGAACAGCTATATACAGAAGAAGAGAAGAGGAAGAGGTATGTACAATTCACGGCTGCGTAGGTCCTTCGCGCCCGCTCTCCGCCATATTTCCATCTAGGCCCACGCTCTTTTGGTTGAGTTCGTTGTTCACATCACCCTTTTAAGCGTTGTACTGCTTGAGGAGGGTGTTGTAGTACTGGTAGCCCGTGCCGCTGGGGGCTCGAAGCTGTAGATGTAGTTGCCCCACCAAGGGCCGGCAGCCCACCAGAGAGCGCCGAGCCAGACGTCGCTGTTGTCCTGGAGGTAGTTGAGCATGCCGGTGACGGCCTGCTTGCACTGGTCGTTGGCACCACCCGCGAACTCGCCGAGGAAACCGAGCTTGCCGTTATCCCTGAGCCACTTGGTCGCGGCGGTGACGCGCTCGACACCAATGGTGGTGGAAACACAGGCGGTAGAGGTACCGGAGCTGTCGGAGTCGAGGTACTGGTGCATCTCGAAGACGATCTTGTTGAGGGGATCGACGAGGTTAATCATGTTGGTGTTGTAGATGGTCCACGACCACGCGCCGGACCACTGGTTCCCCTCGACAAAGATGTAGTTGGTGGCGCCGGTGGAGCGGATGCCGTCGATGGCGGCCTGGTTGAGGGCGAGGACCTGGGAGGCGTCCATGGTGTGGTACTCGTTGTTGGTGTCGAAGATGACCTTGTCGTTGCTCTTGAACTGGTTGGCGAGGCGGGTCCAGAAGGTCTTGAAGTCGCTGGCGGCCATGATGTTGCCGTTGTAGCGGCCGTAGTTGTGGGGTCCAGCACGGCCCATGCTCCGCTCGAGGTGATGTGGTTGATGGTGGCGGTGTAGTTCCTCAGGTACGCGGCGTCGAACTCGTTGGTCACGCTGCCGACGGCCATGCGCTCCATGGCGAAGGCGACGCGGAACGTGTTGTAGCCCTGGGAGATGAGGGTCTAGTAGTTGCGATGATTAGCAAAGGCCCACACGACACACGCAAGAGGCAGAAAAAAAAAAAAAAAAGAAAAGGAAAGCAAAAGGGAGCGTACCGTGATGGTGGCGGGGTCGGGGAAGTAAAGTCCTTGCCCCAAACACCGGGGTAGGCGCCCGAGCCGAACTCGCCGACGGACTGGTTCACGCCGAACCACTTGAACTTCTTGGACGTGCCGGGGTTCGTGGCGGTGGTGGTGGCCGCGCGGGTCGACGTCGTCAGCGTGGAGCTGACCCTGGTCGTGCTGGTGCTCGTGGTCTTGGCCGTGGTCGTGGTCACCGGGTTCGCGCCGGGTAGACACTGGCTGTACCAGTCGTTCTGGTACGTGCAGGTGTATCCGGCGACGCAGGACGTCGCGCCGGACCAGTTGTTACCGCCGCACTGGCCCCAGGCGCCGCTTTGGGCGTACGCGCCCGCGACGGCGAGACTGGCGACGAGAAGGGACTTCATTTTTCTTCTCGTTTCTTTGTGGGTTTACAAAAACGTTGGCCGGGGTGTTTCCGGAAAGAGAAAAAGAGAGAGAGAATGAAGAGTGAGGAGAGCCCAATCGATGCAGGGATGGAGAAAGGAAAAAGAAAAGATCTCCTGCGATCGGGAAGAAGGGAGGGCCAAGATAGCCCTATATATCTTGGAAGATCTGGGGGAACAAGGATCTCTGTCCTAGCTAAACCCCAGTGGGGAAGGCTTCGCGATTATTCCACAGCTCTCGGCGCGTTGCAATCCCTCCCAATGAAGGCACTTGCCCCGGCTATCACGGCCGAGCTGCATCTTGCATCGCAGGCCTTGCGTGGGTGTGTGGGGGAGGAAAGGAAAAGGCAAGACAAAGAAAAACGATGGAGAACAATAGCACGAGCAAGTTTTCCGTCGCTGGTGCTGGAGGGTGAATTACGTCCGTAGAGGAAACTGCGGGCTTCCAATCTCCGCGATCAGGGGATCGTGGTGCTCCTTTGGTGAAAAATTCCCTGAGCCACCACAACACTCCATTTCCCCGCCAATCAATCTCCCCAAGTCCCAAGATTCCCCCTCGTACGTCTCTGGCGGAAGCGCACTAGCCAAACGGACGACTGCCTCTTTGGCCCTGACAGCGCGACGATTCGGGCATGGCGGGGATGGACTTGGGATGGTCCCTTGCAGTGGCCAGACACCATCATGGGTGCTTGCTTGGTGCCGCTTCAAGCGCAGGCGAGCAAAGGGGGACCGAGCGCTTTAAGAAGGGGGACCATCTGCCGCGCGCTCGCGCTTCGTTTATTGAGATCTCTTAGTCAGGTAAATATGCAGTTTCGAGCCAAGTTCAAGTTGGGCTCTTGGCAAATTCGCTTTCTCTGGTTCTTGAGCAGTGGTTTGAACTTGCGTTTGCAGAAACAGAACAAAACTTCTTCGAGCAAATCCAACGGCGATCGTTCCCCGGCAAGCCCCAGAAAAAGATACAAGACAAAGCAAAATTGCAGGGGCAAATGGAGCCCTTTTGGCGTGGTCACCTGGCTGCCTCGAAAAAAGAATACAAAGAAGAGAGGAATTTCACAGGTGGAAGAAATTAGGGTCGTGCTCCATTTCCGTCCGAGCCGCCGTCCATCGTTGGGTTACATCCGGGCCTGGAGGCTGAAGAAATCCCGGCACTTGGAGCTCGCGATTCTCCACCCTAGCTAAAATTACAGGTTCGCCGTGCAATCATAAAAACTTGGCTGCTCCCGCTCCACAAAAGGGGGAAGAGGGCCCTTGGTCGCCGGCCGGCCGACAAAGACAAGGACGGGATTGATCAACGGTCTTGTTATGGCATCGTGTTATTCCTCGCTCCTCGGCGCCATTCATGTGCCACACAAAGTGCCTATCGCCATTCTCACGTTGGACAGATTTACGAACTCGAGGGGTGAGGTGGAAGAAGACCTTTGTCTTCACGGACGTAGGCAGGCAGTTCCTGAAGACGAGACAAGGCCTCCAATGGCCGAGGGGCGGGAAAGGGGAACATTAAACCACTCGGCGGTATAGCCCGGAACACATTCTTCCACCAAACCATACGTCCAAGGCCGCATGGAACTTCTTCCTCTCTTTGCCCTCTTCTTGTTGTTCCGGGGAAAAGAAAACCCCCAACTCATTCAAATAGGTCCCACGGCTGCCCACGTCACGCCTACTCTCGCTCCATCCCCTCGATGCCGTCGCGGCCTCACCAGACTAGGGACAGCGTGTAAAAGACCTCTGCTTAGCCAGGACAGGGACGGCTGTACTGAGGTAGGAGGTCCTTGATCAGGGCCGGGCTCTCGACGAAGTGTCGTGATATTTTGATACCAAAGCTCATAGCGACACCGTAAGAATGAGTGGTGCATCCATGTAGTCTCTTTTGAGCTGGGGTAGCATCGTCTGCCCCAAATATCCAAAGCCTTGGCCACAGGTGAGGAATTCAGCCGGCTTGGCTTGTAGATCAGTGACATGGTATAGATTCCAGGAGAGAAGGGTGTGATTAGGTGTATGTGTATGGCCACCCATTCAACATCTCCAAGGCAAAAGCTGCAATATTCTATATAAATCTAGTAAGAACTGAAAACGGGCCACGCGACAATACAATTTATACCGGCATATCGTAAAGATAGGCGATGAACCTTAAATCGAACCGTAAATCAAGATATATATATTCGATATAGACCCGACCTTATTCCTGGGTCGGCACAGTCCCTACTCCCCACTCATATAGTGCTTCAACGTCAGAGGCTGTGGACAATCCCGGGCGAGTTGGCCATTTCTCCCGGCCGTCTCTCGGCATGGACGAGTGGATCCCCGACTCCCAACCAGGTTCCCCAGGCTTGGCCATCCCCCTTCATGAAGACCATACAATAATATGAGACGATGAGTTTCTCCAGCGCGAGTTAACCCCCGCGACCTGGGAGAATCAGCAGGACGCGAAACATGGTTACAGTCTACAGGCAGCATGACCTTTGGTTGTGTTTCCCGGGCCACGCCATCCATCAATGTCACGCTGTGGGGTAAATAAAGAGAGGACAAGCACTATCTAGGGACTTCATTCTCTTTAAAGCTGACACAGTTTGATAGGTTTGGCATCTTTGCTGAAAAGCCGGGCCACTCAGCGGGGAACGTTGCAACCAGCCGGCACTGCCCAGTCCCCGCCGTGCCCCGGCATTGCTGGAAAAAAACAAAAGAGTCGCCAGTAAAGCGCTGCTTGGCGTATGTGACGGCCAAGAGTCCTGGGGTCGCAGTCTGGGGTATATATCCTGGCGTTGGGTAAGGCGCGAACGCAACATTGACCAACCCCAAGGTTTCTTTTTTGGAGGCACGCGTGCTCTGCCTTTTTCCCGGTGGTCAGGGAGTTTGCGAGTGTGACCCGGCGAGCAGGTCAAAGAGACAGTACAGGTTTTCATCAAGGGAGACAAGGGTGCTGAACGGGAGCATTCAACCTTATATAAATGCGAGTCTCTCCCTCGGAAGAGAAGCCGAGGACCTAAACCACTCGAGTCTCCAAGCGTCCCTCGATCCATCTCGCTCTCGGTACTCGTCACAGCAATCCCCCTTTTTCCCCTCTTCGGCCCTTGACATCCCCACCCTCCAACATGAAGCTCCTTTCCACCCTTGGCCTTCTATCGGCCGCTGCCAGCGTCCAAGCTCACTGTAAGGCCAACTCCGTAGCAAACCCTCTCCTTCTCTCACCTCTCAAGGGTGTAGCAAGCAAAGCACCACTAACCAAAAGCAAAACACCCCTGTTGCCTATATATATAGACGTGTTCGACAAGTTGATCGTCAACGGCGTCACGACCGGCCAGTGGCAGTACGTCCGAGCGACGGACAACAAGCAGACGACGGGCCCCGTCACCGACGTGACGAGCTCGACCATCCGGTGCTACACCAGCGACACCACGGTCGGGTCGCGCACCAGCGTCATCGACGTCGCGGCCGGGTCGACCGTCGGCTTCACCTCGTCGCCCTCCATCTTCCATCCCGGCCCCTGGCCTTCTACTTGGCCAAGGCGCCTACGGGCACGTCGGCGGCCAACTTTCAGGGCGACGGCAACGTGTGGTTCAAGATTGCCGAGTCTGGTCCTACCGTGACCTCTGGGGCCTTACCTGGCCTAGTGATGGTTAGCACATCGTCCCTCATCCCGTTTCTCTCATTTGTTCTTCTTTTTCTTTTTCTCCGTCTCCTTCCGTCTCTAAGATACGATCCATCATGGTTTCAACTTGGAAAACCAGCCTGGGGCCTAGTCCATAACACTATGCGATGCTCTTACACCAGAGCAGTACGCTATATGACGGCAACCAGGGCGTGGACATAGATATAGCAAACGCAGCGCGTGGCCCCAGAACGCGAAACGCTAACCCCCATCTCCACAGGCAAGGGTACCGTGAGCGTCACGATCCCCAAGTGCATCCCCAACGGCGACTACCTGCTGCGCGTCGAGCACATCGCCCTCCACAGCGCCTCCGCAGTCAACGGCGCCCAGTTCTACCTCTCGTGCGCCCAGATCCGCGTCACCGGCGGCGGCAGCACCCAGCCCCCACCAGCGCCCTGACCTCCTTCCCCGGCGCCTACACCGCCAACGACCCCGGCGTGAAGCTCAACATCTACTACCCCGTGCCCCAGAACTATCGCGTGCCCGGCCCCTCGCCTTGGACGTGTTAGATGAGAAGCGAACGGGAAGTAGAAAAAGAAAAAGACGCAAAAAAAAAAAAAAGATTTAGGAGGGGAATGGGATTTAGAAGAGGGGAGGGAAGGAAAAGAGGCTTTTGATCTCTCTCCTAGTAGCGAGGGGTCATCGTCGTCTGCATGGCGAGTTGGGGAAATACGGGCATTTCGGGACGTTCCCGTTCTATGACGACTTGGGGAACAAAGGACGGGCGGTTCCCGTGGATGCGGATGGGGTGGCTAGGGGATAAACTGGTTGGGGGTGATGGGGGCGGGTTGCTCGGGGTTGCTCGGGGTTGACGCGCACCAGTTAAGCCCGCCGGCACTGGTGCTGTGGGGATGATGCGGGGAGAACGCGGGGAATGGAGAGATTCGAGATTCTGGGGGCGGGGAAAAGTGGACAGAGCGGTTAGGGTTACGGTTTGCTATTGGTTGCCCCGCCCGCTGCCGCTTAGGCTCTCTCTTCTCCAGACCAGGTTACGTGCATGCGTCAATCGAATTTGATCTTGGCTCCGCGAGAGAAGCAGCTCGGCGTCATTGACTGTCCGATAATGACTGCTTGACAACGTCAGTGTAACCAGATTCGGGGGACTCGGTCAATACATGGGATCTTCTTTGTTCTTTGCCCGTGCTCTTGCTTTATTCTCTTGGCTTCCTCGAGTCTGTTGCCAGTCCAGCCACAACGACCGGCCGTGCCGTCTCCCAAGCAGGGCGCCAAAAGCCTTTTTCCAAAGTGCGAAAACCTTATTGTAAGCCATCTCGCCGTTGAACTCGGAAAAAGGGTAAAAAGTATGGAAGCAAACCCCGGGTTATGTACGAGTCAAACGCCCAGGGTCGGTCCTCATACCCCTTTCACTTCCAAGTCTATCGCCATCGTGACTTGGCACACACACCCTCTCGAGCCTTTTCCATCTTTTCTCTAGCACCTTGGTTCGGCGGTGGAGAACGGAGATGACCCGATCGGGGGAAGCTCAGTCGTTTAGGAGGCTCAAATCGTAGTTAGACGGACACGCACTACAACAAAAAAAGGGGGGTCCCGCCGCCCCAAAGTGAGGGGAAAAGGGAAGACGAACGGGGTCGACGAGTGGCTGGGGGCTTTCTCGGAGTTTTTGCTCAGAAGGGGTTTAGACGGGTGCGCACCACCTTTTTTGAGCCGCGTCTTTCCTTTTTGTCACCCGCGACCCGCGGACTAAGCCGGATTCTGCCCAAGTGTGTCAATATCCCGACGTAAACAAGCCAACCGCCTCGCACGTCGATGGGTCGTTGTTTTTTCTCTTGTTCCCCGCGGGGAAAACGAGGTATGGCCTGAGCAGAGCGAGAGAAAAGGCAAGTCTGTGCAGATATAGTCCAAGAAATACGTCGAGGAATGCGTCGAGGCATGCGTCAAGTCAAAACGAGGTGATGGAGAGTCGGACGATGTGATTGGTTGTGGCCGCAACAGCCACCGACGAAGAATTGAGGAGTAAGTCGCACGATATTCGAGAAAGACAAGGGGAAAAGAAAGAGAAAAAAAAAAAGGAAAAACCCTGGGGAAAAAAGATCAGCAAAGGAAAAGAGAAAAAGAAAAAGCTTCTATCTCGCCTCCTTTTCTCTCCCTCGCGGGCAGGAATTTCCATGGGCAGCGTGCAAATACTTATCCCATTCTGACCACAACGTCCGACGACGTGTCGCATGCACCTTATCACCGACGTCGAAGCAGTCACATGAAGACATTGCAACGGGGAAATCCCTCGAAATTTGACCACGGCCAAGACTGATGCGCCAAGGCCAAGCACCCAAGCTCGGATATTGCACCCCTAACAAATCATGGATCCATGTGGCCAGGCCACGCATACAACCCCGATGGAATCTCCCCAAGGATCGTGCCACTAACCACTGACCCCTTTCCCCGGATCCCACAATTGTAACCTGGGTCGGGTTGAATTGCGCACGTCCGCGTGCTCCCATGGCTGGGCTCGTCAGATTTTCACCGCTCCTCGTTTTGCTTTTGGGCGACTATGGAATGTTCAACTGTCTTTTTCTTTTTGGGTATTATTTGCTATTTCCCTCTTTCCGTCCGCTCCATCCAACCCACCCACACACACACACACACACACCCCCAATTCTCGCATGGCGGAACTAAGACGAAGAGGGAAATAAAAAAGAAAAAAAAGCCCCCCAGCCAGACACTGTACATGGAACGCAAAAGGAAAGAAATGCAAAACTCTGAAAGCTTAAATGACGAGGAAGGGGGAGCGGGGAGCTGAGTTTGCTCGAAAGCCTAGCCGTGACGAGAGCTAGTTGCTTGTGTGCTAGTTTATGTCCGAAACACTCCCGAGGCTGTCTAATGCCAGTCTTCCGCAGCCAGAACAGAGATCAACGCGAGAACTGCAAGCGTACTGTTCAATCTCGACCCTCAACGTCCCCAACCATTTTCTTCCAAAACACCTCGAGTCTAACTCCGCATCTAGATCCAGTGGGCCCTGGCCTGATGTCACATTCTCCGTCTCTACCTGAGAATATCCACTGGATAGTATCCAGATGTGGAAGTGATCGCCCGACTCCCCGCATATTTTGGGGCCCCATCCACCCCCGGACCCATTCCTTAGGAAGGGCAAGGAGGCAATATCCACTCGTTCATGCCACACATGTTTCCTCGCTCGTGTGCAGAACGAACGAATGCTAGTACTAAGCTGGAGTGGGCGTGTGTGTGTGTCCCCCTCGAGTCACCGTCGTGTTGGTTCTTGGAGGTGGGGAGGGGAGGACGGACATCCAAGACAAGCCCGTCGTTCGCGGAGAGCTGGGCTAGTACTGCGCCCCCAGCCCAAGGTCGTCGTGAAGCATCGTTCGGAGGGGCCCGGCACTGTCAGCGGAAACGCAAGGCAGGGTCAGGGTTATGCGTGCGTGGTAAGGGAGGCTGGCTGGCTGGCTGGATGGCTGACACTGGCTGACTGGTCATTTCACTTTCAGCCCGCCTCCCCGCCTTTCCCGGCGCATTCCGCATTCCGCCCTGGCAACCGCTGACAACAGGTCTCAAACGCTAGCTTCGTTCGCGACCATGATACTCGTTTGAAGACTGTTGTTGCCCGCAACATAGGCACATACTTGGACAAACATACACACACGTACACATACATACACGCATACCTCCACATGTGTGAACACATGTGGCCCATCCTCTCTCTGTTTTTCCTTTTCCTTTCTTGCTTCTTTTTCTTTTCATGCTTGAATGATGACTGTAAGCTGGCATGGTCCAGCATTACACGAGGTTGCATTCGGACCGCCCAGGACAACCCGATGCCGTCCAAGTCCGACCAAGGAGGGTGCAGAATTTCATTTATCTCTTGGCCAACATGTTTAAGCCATTGAAATGAGGGTTCGCGGCCTAAGCTAAGCAGGTGGGCGTGCGCGAGCGGGATTTGCACGTGTGCGTATGTGCGTGTATGGATGCGTATCTATCAACATGTGTGTAAGTGTGTGTGCGTGTGCGTGTGCGTATCCATAGACGTCTAGTGTATGAGTGTTTTGTGGTGTGGATGAGTGGGTGCACGCGCTCACCGGCGTTCCGCATCATTTCGATAGACGATATTGAAAATGTCCAGTCTTGCGACCACCCCCAAAAACCGACAGGGAAGTCGCCCAGAGCCTCGGTAACTTTTCCGAAGGAAGCGCTCAACTCTCCAAGTGCCAGACGGATGGGATGGAACGTGGGAACGTGCCACAAGGTTTCGTCGTCGTCGTCGTCGTCTTTTTTTTTTCTTTTTTCCTATTTGCACTTTTGTCTCTCTCTCTCCCGCCTCAGCAAGCACGCAACTAGTGTCAGGCGGGACCAAAAGAAAATCCAATCAAAATGAGGGGATCGCGGATCGCGGGCGAAGCTGAAGATGCACCCGCATCCTCGCGCCGCTGTCGTTGGTTGCTTATTTTTGGGGTATTAGTCTCTTCTTGGTCGTGGGAGGCGGACTCCCCTGAAATCACACCCCCAATGCGTGAGATGAACTAATAATGGGTTTAGACGGATTGGCGCCAAGATGCATCACATTTGATTTCTTCTTTTTCTTCTTATTCCCGTCGGAAGATTTAGGAGGAAGTGATCCGGGTCAACAGGCGGGAGAGGAAGGGAAGAGAGGGGGTCCCTGTCAGCCTGAGATGGGCTTCACCACATGGCAAAGAGATGGCACGCTCGCATGCCCAACCCGATTGTTCCAAGGTGCAGGCCAAGAAGGGGTCTCACTTTAATGCAAATTACCTGCATGGGAAGGGCAAGGGAGGAACAGACCAGAGACCAAGGGGGCTCCTCCTTCTCGAATCCTCCCAGAGTGAAAAGAATAGACCCCAAAAGAAAATTCTGTCCTCCACGCGGGGAGGGGGCGCAAGGGGAAAAACGTTCGTGAAGACTTCCTCTTTGACACTGGCGCACTTCAGCCAAGGCGGCCGCCAGGCTGCGAAAATGAGATGATGCGGCCGGCTGGTTGGAACAGGCGAAAAGCTGGCGCGGGTCCATGGCGCGCTTGGCCTTGGCTTTCTCTTGTTGGTTCTGCTTTTCGTGTAGGCCAATTACAGCTATGGTTCCTGCACATTTTCGGGGTCCTCAAGGAAGGGGTCCGCCTGCCTGCCTGCCTGCCTTTCCCTTCCTTCGACTTCAACTGATGGGAAGGAAGGACAAGAGTCGCAAGGCCTTCCAAATTGGCAAGGTCCAAGAGGGTCAGTCAAACACAAAAAGAAAGTGATGTGATAGGCGTTGGGGCAGCTCGGGCCAATCGGAGGCGTGTGCCAAGGCAACCGATGGTGGGTTGCGCGATACCGGAAAGGGAAAGAAGAGAGAAGGAACAGCGAGATGCGAGAGGAGGAAAATACAATGTTTCTTTTCGAGGCAAAAGGTAATAGAACAAAAAGCGAAATTCAAAGACAAGATTGAAGGGCAAGGCATCTATTGGAAGCGGGGGAGGGGCACAGGCAGGAGGCGAGACGCACGCGGAAGCTCCTTTTGTGAGTCTCTCGCAAGCTTTGGAGCTAAATCGATAGCACGCGAGAAAAGCAAGATCGAATAAGAAGCAAAAAAGGTGATCAGCCAGTGATCGGCGCTGCCAAGCCAAAGCAGTGGGACGAGTCTGTTTTTGCAGGGGTGCGGGGAGAAGCCGAGGCCAGATGGCTTGGCAAAGAGCAAGAGCAAGCACCAACCCTGGGGAGCAAAAGAAGGGTGACATGATGGATGATGCGCGATCAGGTGACGCAAAGGAAATAGAAGGGTTTTGCGTTGAGAGAAGACGGGGAGATGGGGGACGCGGATCAGCGCCCGAAAACGTGGTTGGCAGATGGTCGATGGAGCGAAGCTATCGACGCAATCACTCCATTCCGCACCATCTCATTGGATCAAGGAGGCCCCCAAAGAAGAAGAAAAACCTGGGAATACATGTACCCACACACGCCTCGATCGCATGGCCAGAGCAGATATCGTTTCTCCACCCCACCATACGTAGAACATCGAGACAGACCATTGAGGAGGAGGAAGCGGCCATCTGTCACGGGCAATGGGGAAAAAAGGAGTTTCCAATATTATGCTTGATACACATCTCGCCCCAAGCTCATCGCGGAAACATGCCCGAGCCAGGTGCCCGCCCCCGGATTTCTAGATCCTCCCCCCTCCCCCTCTCTGCCATCTACCGTTTGGCCCCATTCTTTAAGAGTTGTTTCCTTTTTCTCTCTGTCCCAGCTTGCTCTTGGTCACGCACCCTCTCGGAAGCCGTGGATGCAAAGTGGAGGAGTTGCAACTGACGATTGCATCGTCGGTGGGCCGACCCGCAAAGCCCAGGCATCTCGCCAGCTCCTCAACATCTAGCTACTGCTAATAACCACTATCTGATTCTCCTCTTTCCCCGCATCGCGGATATGGTCTAACATGGCCGTGCTTGTAGAGAGGGCCATGGCAGGCGGGGGGACCCACGATGAGCATGTAGCAAAAACAAAACCCCACGACACCGACGAAGCCGCTCAGCAGTGGCAGTGGCTCTCCAGATACGAGCCCCATTCAAGCCCCACGGAGGCGCGCTAGGGGCGAAAATTGGTGAGCGTGAGGTGGATATGGCTCTTGTCTTTCTTTTTGCGGAGTCGTTAGGAGGAGGAGGGGAACGGGGAAAGGGCCCGCGCGGGGTTCACTCCAGCAAGCGGGTTCTTTAGGAAAGGAATAGGTGCGGCGGGAACACAAGAAGAGGAGGGCAAGGGCCACAAAAAAGAAATCATGCATTGGGTTTATTCGTTTAGCGTTTCGAGTAGGTGATTTTCTTCAATGGGCATCTCCTTTGCATCTCATCTCTCGTTTCTTTTTATCGAGATTTCCGTGCTGTCCCGTGAGGGAAGGTTGGAATGCAAAGAAACACCGGTGTGTGGTTGAACCCCATGCCACGCATTGCGCCCACCCTCCCCATGTTCCCCTCCTCCCCATGCTCTCGCCCCAAAAAAGCCATCCCAGCTAAACTAAGAACGGCAAGTGAGCCGAAACAATGTTACACCGCACTGGGGTAAAGGTTGCGAAGCTACAAAAGCCGCGGGCCAACAGGCGATTGGGAAAAAAGGTTCAGTGGGACCTCTTTTCTCCCCCTTCCGCGAAGAACCTTGGACTAGGAATGAACTAGGGATGAACTAGGAATGGGAGATGATGGTCTTAGCGACGAGGCAAGCAATGGATCGCTGGCATATGAGGGGAGAGAGGGGCGTGAGATGTGTAGCGATGGGGGAAAGGGAAAGGAGAGACGATGATGCCCAAACGCTGGCTCGTGGGTTTAGCGTCATTCGTTTTTGGAGCGGGAAGACGACGAGACGACGCTTTGCTCCCAACTTTAAACGACGTTGGCCAATCGCTCGTTGGCAAGAGCCAAGAAGCAAACCGAGGCATGGATCGCATGGATCCTTCTCCAGTCTCTTGTGTCGATTTTGGAATGAATCCTTTCTTGCGAGCTTCGTTTCTCTACTATTTCCTTATTTTCCTTTCTTCTCTCTGTCCTGTCTCTCTCTCCCCACGGGGACAGGAATGGGGCGGGCTTTGGGCACACCCTCTTTCCGGGGTACGAGTGGTCCGCCTTGGCACTTTCTCCCCGCATGCCGCTACCAATGCCGCTTCGAGCCTTGTAATCATAATCACAAGAGATGAGAGATTGCCACGAAATGGAAATGGGTGCGGGCCCTGTTCGTTTTTATTTTATTTTGTTTTGTTCTTTTTTTTTTTTTTTTCGTGGTGAGAGAGAGAGAGAGAGAGAGAGGGCTTTTGGCGCATTCCATCTGCTCGGTGCTTCTTCTCCTTGTCTTCTATTCCTGCACTTTTCGACCTGCAGCATTTTGCCTGCCACATGTAATATTTGGTGCTGCTGCTACCCTCGTGCCCCCGATGCGTCCCTTCGTGACTCCAGCACAAAATCCTTTGATATGTACGCTGCACGCGTACCGTACCGTGAACACAGAAGTGACCGCTGACATGGTGCCAGGGTGCCATTTCCCTGTGGTCCCGGGTTATTCGGGCTGGTCAGTGCAGGGCCAATCGAGCAGCAGCCAATTTCTGGGCCAGACCTCAAGTATTCTCAGCCTGTCTTGTCTGTGTGCTGTCTGTCTGTCTAGTCCCCCTCCACCCCCGGTACATTCCCCGCGCTGTTCCTTGTAGCTCCAAGAACACCAACATCTGGTCTTCCATGTTCCAAGTAATAATACGTCTAGTCATTGACTCTACCACACTCTTTCCCCCTCCTCCTCCTCCTCCAGATTACAAGTATCAAATGTTTTACTCCACACACACACACGTACGCCTACACCACACCTACACGCCCCCCTTTCTCACACACCCCCTCTCGCCCCTCCCCCTTGAACAGCCCAGCGCGCCAGTGTTCGACTAGACTTGCCCCCGACCCCACCACAGCTACTCAATCTCGACAGGAAGGACCGCTCCCTCCCCCAAAGTAAGGTTTGTGCGGGCCAGGCAACGCGAGATGGAGGGGGAGGGGAACAAAGATTGAGCAAAAAGAGCTGCAAGGGAAGGGGTGCGGAAAACTGCCTCGGCAAGTTTTCGGGCGGGCGACCGTTTGGGGTCGATTAGGAAGGTCAAAGATATAAAGATGTATGTGGCAAGCTATATCGACGATCATCTATTGCATTGGAGTCCAGAGTCCACCAGAGCAGTCAAGGACAGCCAGCCAGCCAGCAAAAAGAACAAGCTCCAAAAGAACGTTGCTTTCTTCCTTTCTCGGCACTCGCTCTCGTTTCGGGGTCCTTCCGCATCTTCCATATATTCATCCATCCATCCCCGGTCTTCTTCTTCCCTTTTCTCTCTCTCTCCCTTCCCTTCTTCTCATCTGTCCCAACGAACAGCATCGCCAACGAGCACGCAGTCGTCCTCCTCCTCCTCCCCTCCTCTCCTCTCTCCCTCCACCTTTGTGCCAAACAACAAGACAACTAGGACAAGTTTGTCCCGCCCGCAACAATGGACCACGATTCTGAAAAGTCCGGCGCCGGCGCCCAGCACGTCCCGGACCTCGAGACCCAAAACACCCACAAGAGCTACCAGGAGCTCTCCCACGATGTCTCCCCGAGGAAGGAAAGAAGATTATCCGCCGCGTCGATCGCCGTCTCGTCACCATGGTCGGCGTCCTCTACTGCGTCTCCCTCATGGATCGTACCAACTTGTCCGCCGCCAGCATTGCCGGAATGATGGTTGAGCTCGAGCTCATTGGCAACCGATACGTACGTCAGCCAGCGTTTCGCGTCACCCGTACCTTTGTGGCTCCGCGCCACGCTTTCGCGCCGGGGTTTCAAGAACACGAGCTGTTCATCTTTTGGAATTCCATCGTAGCTAACATCGCATCTAACCGCATCTAGTCCCTCGTTACCCTTCTCTTCTTCGTCACCTACATCATTTTCCAGCCCCCTCCACCGTCATCATCAGGAAGCTCGGTCCCCGCATTCACTTGTCCGTCATCGTCCTTCTCTGGGGTGCCGTCATGATTGGTTTCGGTTTCGTCAAGAAGTGGTACGAACTTGCCGCCCTCCGCCTCGTCCTCGGTGTTTTCGAGGCCGGTTTCTTCCCCAGCTGCGTCTACCTTCTCAGCACCTGGTACACTCGCTGTATGTTTTCTTCGCCCTAGAATCACTTTTTTCCGTCTCGGCTTCTCTAATACAGTTTGCATACAGATGAGGTCGGAAAGCGATACTCCGTCTTCTACATCATCGGCTGCGTTGCCTCCGCCTTTGCCGGTATCCTCGCCTACGGTGTAAGTTTTCCAATCGCGTGCTCCACGTCCCTCCAGGGCCAAAAAAAAAAAAGAATGCTCGTGCTAACCCCACTAATCCCCACAGCTCATGCAAATGAACGGCCTCGCCGATCTCACCGGCTGGCGCTGGATCTTCATCATCGAAGGTATCCTCACCTGTGTCATCGCCTTCATTGGCGCCTGGCTCCTCGTCGACTTCCCCGACTCCGATCGCGTCTCCTGGAACTTCCTTGACGCCCGCGAAAAGGCCTACATCATCGCCCGCGTCCAGGCCGACCGCGGCGACGCCACCGTCACCGCCTTCAGCATGAGCAAGTTCCTCCGCGCCGGCCTCGACCCCAAGATCTGGGGCTACGCCCTCATCTTCTTCTGCACCACCACCATGAGCTACGCCATCGCCTATTTCCTCCCCATCATCCTGAACCTCGGCATGGGCTTCGACGTCGGCGCCTCCCAGTGCCTCGTCGCTCCCCTACGCTTTTGCTGGCTTCGTCATGTACGCCACCGGTTGGCTCGGTGACCGCTACAGGCTCCGCGGCCCCATCATCGTCTTCAACATGGTTCTTTGCTTCGTCGGTCTCTGCATCGTCGGCTGGCACAAGAACAACGGCGTCCGCTACTTCGGCGTCTTCTTCATGACCGCTGGTGCCAACTCCAACATCCCCGCCGCCATGGCCTACCAGGCCAACAACATCCGTGGCCAGTGGAAGCGTGCTTTCTGCTCCGCCACCCTCGTTGGTTTCGGAGGTATCGGTGGTATTGCCGGTAGCTTGGTCTTCAGGTTCGTAATATCCTAATGGAGTCGACAAAAAAATGAATTATAAGCTAACCGTGTACTTCCACAATAGGTCCCAGGATGCCCCCAGTACATGCCCGGTCTCTATGCCTGCATGGCCTGCTGCGGTCTCACCATCATCCTCGTCGGTATCTTGGACACCCTCTTCTACTTCAAGAACAAGGCCGCCGACCGCGGCGAGATCAGCATCGAGGCCGACGAGGACGACTCCCAGTCCGACTTCCGCTACACCCTCTAATTTCTCTGTTTCTTTTGGCCAAAGGGGAGGACGCAAACGACCTTTGTATGCGCTCGCCGATACTGGTGTACCGACCTGCGCGCGCCCAAAGAAGAAAATGCACCCTCCCGGCCCTTTTTGGTCCCTGTAGTTTCATGTCATGTCGCGCGCCGTTGAGTGTCGGGCCCTGGCGTTGTTTTTAAATGGCCCCGCGCGTGCTGCGCCTACGATCTTGTCTTATACCACTTACTATTACTTTTTATTTTATAACACACCACACATTATATATCTATACTCATCGCGAATTAGCCTGTCAGCCCGTTTTCTGGGGACGAGAGGGGGTGTTCGTTGAAAAACAATAGGGAGTTAATGAACCAAAATATTATCTCGCCGTAGTCTGTCTGCACTTGTCAGTTTTCCCGTCTGTGTCTGCCGACGTTACATTGCATCGGCCAAATGTGATCGGCAATGGTGATTTGCCCTGGATGAAGATTGCGGGGTGATCGACGCGTGGTTTCCTTGTCGCTGGGCGCGGGGAAGGAGAAGTACTCCCGCTGCAGGCAGCTCGGGCATGTCAGATATGTCATCTTTAGCCAATTGGCATCTTGGTACATATAGTAGATGCATCGAAGGATGGCTGAGTGAGATGTGAGAATATTGAAGCAAATCGAGATAGTTACGATTCATTGTAAACATTCTAGCCTAGTCCCTATCCCAATTCTATCTAAAGAAAGTGTGTATTAAACGCCATGTGGATGGCAGAAAAGAAGAAAATATAAGGAGATATCATGAAAATGCATCGTCGCATCAGAGTGTTGAAATAAGTACGTGCCCCCTTTCAATACTCCTCAGCGCTGGCCGCCACTCTTAGGAGGCCCGACCTGAGAAAAGGCACCTCGAACCCCAAAACCTCGTTCGTCTCCGCATCCTTGACGAAAACAAACCTATCCATGGGCTCCTTGCCGTAGTGAATCCAATCCACCAGCGTCCACGACAGACAATCCTGGGTACTCAACCCAGAGCCCGCCAGGTCCGACGACTCGACACTCTTAAAGTCACTCCACGTCAGGCGCCAGTCCTCGTACACCACCGCCCTCGTCTCGCCCTCAATCTCCAACTCGCCGGGCGCCTCGACATCGATGGGGTACAACCGCGGAACGTCCACCTCGAGCCCGACAATCTCGCCAAAGGCCGTGCTAAAGATCTGCTGAAACCCCGCGAGGATGTCGGACCCGTTGCGCGCGAGCGACGTGAGCAGGATCGAGTCCTCGTCCAGCACGAGGGTGGCGTTGACGACGACCCCGCTGTCGTCGCCCACGAATTCGCCCGCGTACCGCGCCTCCGCTTGCTCCCGCGCGGCGTCGTCCAGCGCCGGCACCAGCGCCGTGAGCAGGTGGTCGTAGATGGGCGTCACGGCCCTGGAGGACCCCGCCGTGAGGACGACGACGGCCACACCGTAGTCGTCGAGGAGGGCGAACTGCGAGCGGTAGTTGTACGCGCCGCCGCCCTTGGCGTAGATGTCAATCACCTTGGGGTGCGCTGGGGTGAGATTGGCCGTGCGGAAAATCTCCCACGGTAACCCGACGAGGGAGTGCAGCGAACCCGTTGCCGAGTTTGGTTTGAGCCAGTTGCGGATCGCGGCCTCGCTGGGGAGGATCTTGTCGGAGCGGGAGAGAATGCCGTGGGCGTAGGCCGACAGGTCGGAGATGGTTGACACGAGGCCGCCGGCGCTGTTGCGTGGATACACGTTAGAAGGGATACAAACATGGAAGAGGGATAGAGAAGATTGCTTCTTACGGCGCATTGATGGAATAGTCGCTTCCCCAACTATTCTCGTTGGGAGGGATCACGGCAAGATCGTCGTCGCCAGGGCTCTCGCGCGTGCTCGTAAGACCGAGAGGTTCGGCAACGAGCTCTTCCAACAACACGGTATAGTTCTTGCCAGTCGCTTCTTCGAGCGCGAGGGCGATGAGCGTGAAGGCGACGTTGGAGTAGACGGGCGTCTTGGAAACTGCCGAGACCGGATAGGAGTCGACCAAACCCTTTTGCGTTCCTGAGTTTTGACGTTTGTGAGTAATGCGCTTTTCTGAAGTATGGATATGTCTTTTCAATTCTTACCTTCGCCATCGCACCCGCCATTCAAGGCGGTAACTCCGCAACTGGGATAATCCTCGTCCTCCAGATGAGGGAACCCGAGCAATTCAAAAACATCCTTGAGGTAGTAGTACTCGGAGAATCCATCTTTTATATGTTGTTAGCCAAGAATCAACCTCGTCAACGCAGCACCACAATTATGAAAGAGCACTCACAGTTGGGGGATTCCCGCCATGTGGTTCCCCAAGTCGCGCAGGGTGATGTCGCCCCAGCTGATCCTTCCGCCTTCGAGCGCGGGAAGAAGCTCCTGCACCGGCGTGTCAGGATTAACGCCACTCTTGAGCAATACAAGGTCCGTAAACGTCTTGGATATGGATCCAATCAGATACTGCGAGTCTTTGTCGATATTCTTCGTCCCCCTCACGTTACCCGGGGACAGATGGTGGAACTCCCACAGAGGGGTGGCCGGATCCGGCTGGTCCAAGGAGATGACGCCAATGGAAAAGGAACTGTTGGTCAGGTCCCATCCGCCATTGATTTCGCCGTCGACGACTTGTTGGTACGTTTTGGTCAGCGTGTCGAGTGTCGACTGCACAATCTTGGAGTTGGCCAGGCCCGAAGGCCGCGGGACCACGGTCCGGCAGGACGGCAACTGATATCGGCCACGGCCCGGCCGGCGAGAAGCACCGCCGCCGTGGAGAGGTGGAGAATTGAGTACGGGGCCATTGTGTGGTAGCTCGTCAAAACATGCACAATGAGCAAGTAAAGAATTGATCCATAAAAGGAAGTTGTGGTATTCTGGAAGATGGCGACGATGGATGTTCATCTTGACAAGACAGACCACAGCGACAGAGCGTTTAAATAACTTTGACCTCGACTTTTTCTGATCTCTAAAATGAGCCTTCTTTCGGCGCCACTGATGAGTGTCGCCTCACCGTACCCGTCGCGATCTTCACATCGCGAGGAATACGCTTCCCGAAGATTTATTTCCCCATTCGGCCTCGAAGCTGGACCTGCGGGTCCGCGCCAAGACCGTCTAAGCCTGCGTGCAGGCCTCGCCTGATTGGCCACTAGCCAACGCTGGCTCGACGGGAACGGGATGGAGTGATACGAGATACGGCGCTAGAGCCAAAGGCCCAGCCCAGCCCAGCTCGTGGGTGATGTCATCTTACCGGAGTTCCCCCTCTGCCACCTGATTGAGATCTCCAAGAGCTATTTGTTAGTTCCGAAGGCAAGGCCGAGGAAGCAAGACGATTGTCTCTGCGCTGGGTTTGCGTCTTGGGCTGGATTTGTTGTACTATGTCAGGATCCCAAAATCTCGCCATCTTTCTTTAGCTCGGACCATCATTTGTAAGGTTGGCCAAACATTGCGGTTCGTCGCTGCGCGTAGTCTTTTGTGTTTGGGCTGCATTTGCGCGCGATCGCACATGGCCCATTCGCAGATAGTCGCCGTATCCCTCGCGTACAGATTATGGTGCAAGAAAAACGCCTACGATAGGCACCGATCAAACTCGGTATTTGAACGTGTGGTATTAGAGCCTTGGCGAAATACTGTCACGTCTTCGTACCGCTTGGTTTAATTCTACTTTACCCCGTAAGCAGTCTTAGCTGTAATACACACCTTTTTCCCTTTTTAAATACTGTCAAAAGAGGTCGTGTTCTCATATGCAGAGATTTTGGTCTGGAGTCCGCTTCCATTCTCGCCTGCATCGGGTGAATCCGCCATAGATGCACCTTGTCTAATATTCGATGACAACGGGATGGCGGCCGCTGTCGGGAAACACAACGTTAAAGCTCACCGCTTGTACGCCTCCCAGATCTAATCATTGGTCCTTGTGCCGAGAATGCAGCAGAAAGGACATCAACAGGCATAGAAAGATCGGAATCATCGTGTTAAGATCAAGGTTTTTCAAGAGAAACGGCCACCTTCATTTCTTCTGGAGCACACTCACTCGACGATGTGAAGGGTTAGAAGTCAACAGTCAAGGGCTCCAGTACTACAAGGTGACGAGAGGCAATGATGATCGGAGAGTCAAATGATAATGATATAAAAATCTGAGTAGTACATCAGCCGCGTTTGCCTCAGTCATCTTCCTCCTCAGACCGGCCCACCCTGCACAATCTCCCATTCTGCGACCGGGGATACCCATCCTCGGTCCTCACCTCCCACGCGTCACTCCCCACCGTAGTCTGCGCCCAAAACACCCCCACGGGTCCCTATCGCGCTTAATCTCCAAAAGATCAGGGTAATTACTACCGTAAAACGCGCCCTTCCAATCCGGCTCGCCCGGGTCGCCCTCGTTCATGTACGCGCCCGCGCCGGGGTCACGTCGCGCCACAACTGCATGTACTCCTGGATCGCCGCCTCTTCGTCGCGGGCTTCCTGCGCCGTCAGGCCCTTGGGCTGCAAGCCGATGAGGATGCCGTGGAGCACGCCGTTGCGCCACGCCGGGTTAACGGCGCCCTCGCGCCCGGGCCAACCCGCCGCCTTTTTCGTAGCGCCGATAGCGAGGCCGTGGAAGGTATACCCGGCCTCGACGGAGACGCGGATCGCGGCAAACGTGTTGGCAAAGACCTCGTCGTCGTCCCAGTTCTTGCGGGGAAGAGGCGGGAGCGGTAGCGCGTGTCCGCGAGCGGCGCGGAGGCGGTGGACGCGGGGCTGGCGTAGGGGGCCTCGCGGAGGTTGTCGGGGACGGCGAGGTCGACGCCGATGGCCTGGAGCTGCTCGTACAGCGGGGCGAGGATCTCGGTGACGGCCTCGACGGTGCGGTTGGGCCAGGTCATGCCGACGGAGAAGGTGTAGGTTTCGTTGCCGAGCGGGGTGAGGTAGCTCCAGTCCACGCCGCCGGCGTCGACCACGGCGGCGGAGAAGCGGAAGTAGATGCTCATCGCGTCCCAGAAGGCGGCCGGGTCGTCGGTGCGGAAGGATGTGGTCGAGTTGGCGCCCGTCTTGCACGACAGGGCGAGGCTGGCGCGGACCGTGGTGATGGGGGTATGCCTTCATGACGACCGACGTCACGACCGCGTACGTGCCTAGAGGGAAGCGATATTGTTAGCAGGTTATCTCTAGCAATGATGCCCGGGTGGAGAGGTCGTTTAGTAGATTAGAAAGGAGATGTTAAGGGATACGCACTGCCACCGCCGCCTCTCAGGGCGTAAAAGAGGTCCTCGTTCCTGTACGGATTCGCCACCACGTACTCGCCATCCGCCGTGACGGCGTGAATCTCGAGCGCTTGGTCGCAGCCGAGGCCGTAGGTAGACGTCAAGGTGCCGTGACCGCCCGACGCGAACCAACCGCCGTTCGCTCCCACCGTCCGCCCGCCCGCCGCGGTAACGGTGAAGTTGAGCTCGGCCATGTGGTTGTACAGCTCCCATGCCTCCAGGCCGGCGCCGTAGCGCACCGCCATCCCCTTGTAAGGACCCATGCGGTACTCGGGGATGAGCTCGAAATCCTTGAGATTGTGCGTCCACACGCTGAGGGATCCGGCGCCGACGGACCGACCGCCGAAATCGTGGCCGGTGTTCCTAACAAGATTACATGTGAGTTGGGAGGCTCGAGGAAAACTGGTACACGCTGCAAGCTTTCCCGCTAGACGTCTAGACTTCGTGCGTAGAAGCACAGTCAAAAAGACAACAACCACAGACAAAAAATCCAACTTACTTGATCACGAGGCGCACATTCTTATTCCTCGCAAAATTCACCGCCGCCTGCACATGCTTCACGCTCGTCACATTCACCACGTACTCGGGAAGCCCCCTCGTACAATTCCCCACCGGCTCCTCGGTCGGCAAGCACGTGCTCCCCTGCGGCCACTGCGATAGGATCGTCAGCGGGTCGTCGATGTAGAAGTGCGTGTCGCCCCGCGCAGGACCAGGTTCTTGCACGCGGCCTCGTCGTACGCGGGGCCCTCGTAGCAGACGATGGCGGGCGGGTTAGGCCGCAGCAGGGCGCCCCCAGAGTACCGTTGAGCCGGCGCCAATCCCCGCGCTCGGCCAGCTGTCCGTGCCGGGGAAGGCCTTGCACGCGGGCCGGGGAATCCTCGGACGCTCCTGTCCCCAAACTCCACGGCGGCGAAGTCGCCAATGTCCTGGGCGGTGAGCTCGGCGGTCGGGTCGGGCGCTGCCTTGGCTCCGAGGGCGAGCGCCGCCACGAGCAGGCGGGAGCTCGTCCACGATGATGGGGCGCGCATTGTCAAGTATCGATGTACGGCGTCGAGCTGGTATCCGGTTCAAGGCGGCGCGAGAAGTCGATGAGGCTCTCTCTGTCTTTCTCTCGTTCTCTGTTCTAAAAGAACAGCCAGTCCCTCCGTGGGGAAACCGGGAGAGAGGGGACAGAGGCTCATTTACACTCGTTCCATCCCTCATAATCGCTTGCCTGTAATCAATCCAGCTGCAGCACTCCAACTGCACGCGACGGCACGAACTCGTCGCTTCTCCGCACAATTCTGGCGTCGTGCGCGGGAATTCCTCGTGAGTCCCCCTCTCGTTCGGTGCGAACCAAGACCCGCACGCACGCATTTCATATGGGTAAACGGGCGAGTTGTGGAAGGCCAGAGGTATCAATGCAACACCGCCCTCATTTTCCCCCTTTTTGTTTTCTTCCCTCCTCCCCTTCTTCCGGTCCGCTAGGGTTTTACCTTGGGGCTTTTCTTTCTCTTGTTTGTTTTGTCTCTTTCGCGTACCGCACCTGCAGGAAACCCCGGCCTGAAATTAACCATACCCCGTAGATCCCCGCAGCGCAGGAACCGAGCCGCTCTCGGGGGAAGAACCAACAAACTATCCCCTCAGCCGTGGGCGCACCCACGAAAATGATTTCATTCATTCTTTCATTTTTTTCTTTTTCGCGTGGTTCCAGCACTCACTTCAACAGCAGGCTGCCGTGGACGAACACGAGCTGCCCTGTCGTGAGGCTCGGCAGCGGGTCTCGCCGGGGCGGGACCGGGAGAACCGGCGAACTTGGTCCTTTGAAATTACAGCAGGACCAGGGCGTCCCCACGGACAAACTAGATAGTCACTGCCGTACCCACTTGCGGCTTGGCCGATCATCGCTCTCAGCTGAGGACAGAGGCATCGGGGATCAAGAAACCACCGAGGCCCCGGCAGTGGTAGGACACGGCTTCTCTGACTGGGCTGAGAGGGGGTGTGAGGACGGCGGTTAGTGAGGGCTGCGTCGACCGAAAGCTCGACAGAGCCATATCAGCTTCCCATCTATGAGATAGAGAGAGAGAGGGCACATCTCGAAGATGCCTCGGCGTCAACTTGTATGAATCAAGGGCAAGTGGGGGCCCTAATGAACTGTCATGCCATAGCGCGGCAGTTCGAGCCAGCATCGGCTGGTGATCCCGGCTCGAACGAGAAAGGGCATCAGTAGGTAGCATGGCATGACGGCCGTTCCAAATATCTGGGTAGGAGCTAAGAGAAGGCTAAAAACTATTACAACTATCCATCTCCCAAGGCGGGCGGCTTGCCAAGAATATTGTTCGGCAGACGGCCCTAACGACTCCCAAGTGTCCTAACCTTTGTCGGATGTCGGGGTACGTGCATTGTCAAGCCACGAACCGCTTTCTTTTCCTTCGAAAACAACGAGCTAGTCTCCTTCGGCGGGAATATCTTCCGCGCACAGGAACGACCTGGAAAAAGGTGTGTGCCTGGGGTGCCAAGGTGGAAGAGGGAGGGAAGAATCGAGAGGTGGCGGCGGCTCGCACCCCGACCTGACAGTATTAGGGACGACCCTATTTTTAGAGTGCAATCTATTCCTTGGGCCTGGGGAAGAGTTGTCATTTCAGCCTCTGTCCGTCCCTCGCGCATTACTCAACACCCAGCGGAAGAAGTCTCGAAGGGGACTTGGCCCGGGGCAGCCTCCCACTCTGAACGTTGACGGCTAAAACAAGGTGGGAATTCCAACAGGCGCAAATCGCAAATCTTTCCCTCAATCGATGGGCTGCTGCTGCTGTCAACGACCCCAGTCGTTCGCTTTCCCGATGTTCCCTTTTTCGGAAAGCTTGGAGCTAGAACGACCGCGTGGAGGGCGAAAGAAGCTGCATCATGTGGCTGTTTGGCTTCCAAGTTTCTCCAATAACCACTTGGCTCGGCTAGGAAGAATGGACGCCCCCTGGTCTCTGGTCTGCATGGGGAAAGCAATGACAAGGAAGCCAAATGCGGTGCATTTCGTATCATGCGCACTCGTTCAGAGGACGGCAGGTATTTAGCGGGGTATTTCTGGTATAAGCATACGCAGAAGTGCAATTAGACCGTCTTTCCCCGCCAATTACCCCGTACCCCGTACAATACCCCAGACGGCGCCAAGTCAGGAGGGCAGTCGCCGTCGTCAATGGTCAATGGCTGCGAGCGGGGAACAATTACAAATACCAGGCATCGGTTGGGGAAGTTGGGAAGGGCCCATGTGGAGGGAAGCCAGTCGGCTCCAAGGTGGGGAAAGCGCCACCGTGAGGACTGTTGGTATTTTCTTTCAGGTCGGCAACCCGACTTTGTGATAGGCTTCACTGCCCTCCAAGAGCCCCAATCTTTGACCCACAAGGGGCCTTTTCCTATCCTACCCTAACCCGAACGGTGATAGGGAAGATCGAATTTAGGCGAAAGGGCAGGGCAGAGGGCAGGAAGGGGGGGAAAGGAAAATCCAGACCGCGAATAGTGGCAATATTTCGTCCCACAAAAGAAGCAATGCATTTAATCCAGTTGATCCTTTTCGAACACCGCTGCTGGGCCTTATCCCAAAAGAGACAGAGAGAAAGAAGGAGGAAAAGAGTGCGGGAGCCGACGATGATACCAGCCATCCGCTGATGCCTGCCACTTCTTCCCCGCCCCGACTAGCTCGCCGGAACACGTGGGAAATGGACAGCTGCACCCCGACGAAATCGACCGGGATCTGTGGACGTAAATGGTAAACGGGCAAGCGAATGACTGCTTGCTCGACGCGCAGTGAGCAGCAGTGTAAGCAAACACAGGACGACGTGCATATGGGGAGAGCGTTTTCCTTGTGCTCGAAGGATTCGTGTGCTAAATTAGCGTCGCTTGACAAGGAGCACTGACAGTGGAAAAACCAAGTCATAGCGTTGCATTGTGGCAAATGGGGTGCAAGAGAAAGAGAGAAAGAGACTTGATGAAAATGGGCGAAGAGCTTTTATTCCAGGATCTGACTAGCTGAGGGGATAATTGGGGTATTACAATTAGTTGGAGTCTTGGCAAAGAAGCTCCAATTTCGTGAAGAAGAGAAGAAAAATTTTCTATGGCATGAAGCAATAGGCCGTTCACCACTACCCCCTCTTCCAAGCAAGCATGTGTGCTATCTCCCACTAGCCCGCATAGGGCCGGCGAGAGTGAGTATACACGTGGGAGCAAAGAAGAAGAAGAAGTGGCCAAGTTGAAAGATTAGGTATCCATCACATCCAAATGACAATAAATCCATGAGAGAAGAGACCCGCTTTTTAATCCTCCTTGACGGCGTTCTCGACAACCTTGAAGTTGGCCTTCTCGCCCTGGACATCGGCCTCGCGGATGACTTGGACGTCGCCAAAGATCTCGGCAATCTCTTCGAGGGACTTGCCCTTGGTCTCGGGGTAGTAGAAGGCGAAGACGAGGGTGCAGAGGAAGTTGGTGAGGATGAAGAGAATCTGTGGGTCCCGTATTCGTTAGCTTCAATGTTTGGTGGGGACATGGAACGTGTGTTGAGGCGCGTTGTAATGAGGCGCGTCACTATGAGTTAAAGTGGAGAAGACTAAAAAGAGAGAAAAAAGGAAGACAAAAAGAAGGAACTTGATGAACATGGCGATGTTTCGATGCGACGACTTACATAGTACTTCCAGCCGACAGCGGCGAGGGCAATGGGCGAACACTGGGTGATGATCAGCGAGATGGAGTAGTGGATGACCTGGACAATGGCGTTGGCCTTGGCCCTAAGCTCGGTGGTGAAGACCTCGGGACTAGGATTTCAACTGTTAGCTCCAATACTCCTACATGGTCCAAGAGAAAGAGATGCTTACGGGACGATCCAGGTCATGGGACCCAAGAGAGCCGAGTAGTTGGCCGACACGGCAAAGATGCACGCAATGAGACCGCGCTGCGCCGCCTCGTTGGTGGGGAAGCCGGGCTTGGCGGGGAAGACGGCGGCGAGGATGGTGATGATGGTGTAGCTGATGAAGAGCAGGCCGGAGCTCGTCACGAGGATCTTCTTGCGCCCGACCTTGTCGACGAAGAAGAGCGAGATCAAGCAGGCCACGGGGGCGACGGAGCCGTAGAGGCCGCTGACGAGGAGCTGCCTGTCCTGGTCGTACTGGAGGGTGGCGTAGATGGCGGTCTGGTAGTACTGCACGAACGAGATACCCGACAACATGGCGGCGGCCCAGACAAAGGAGCCGACGAAGAGCCGCTTGCGGAAGGGGGCGTCTTGAGGAGGGCGGCCCACGAGAGGCTGTGCTGGGCCGAGAGCTCGGCGTTGATGTTGGCCTGGATGAGGGAGAACTCGGCGGCGCACCACTCGTCGTTGTCGCCCGTGTAGTGGTAGTTGCGGAACGCCTTCTCCGCCTCCTCGTGGCGGCCCTTGAGGAGGAGCCAGCGGGGGACTCGGCGATGAAGAGGACGGAGGAGCCGAGGATGATGGCGGGGATGGCTTGGATGGCGAAGCCGAGGCGCCACTGGTTCGCGTTTTGCCATTTGCCTTCGCCGACGCCGGTCCATAGGGCGACGAAGAAGCCCCAGGCGACCACTGTACGAGAGAGTAAAGAAATTAGCTTAACATGGCACCTAATCCTCGGGTTGCGACAAGAAGAAGAAGAAGAAAAAAGAGAAACAAAGGTGTAAGGAGATGGGATCAGTCACTTACTCATCTGGTTCACGGCAGTGATTCGACCACGCTCCTCAGTCCTGGCAATCTCGGCGCCAAAGACGGGGGCGACACCAGTGATAGTTCCGACAGCGAATCCGACGAGAAGACGACCGATAATAACTATTGCAAGCACGCGTTAGCGACCGGGCTCCTTCCTCACAACCACAGAGTCGTGGGGCGTTGACTTACGCATAGCGACGTGAGCAGCGCCAGCCATCAGCGCACCGCCAATGGCTCCCCAGATACATCCGAAAGCAATGGCCTTGCGGCGACCAAACTTGTCACTGGTATAACCGACACAAGCGCTACCAAGCCAGGCTGCGGATCAATCTATTCGTCAGTAAACCGGTATCCCGGTGTAGAGGGAGGGGGCGGGGAACGGGAGATGCGCGCATACCTCCTGCCTGGTAGATGGACACGATGGCGCCTCGCATGGGCGGGTCGGGGCTGCCGAAATAGCCCAGGAAGGACTTGAGGGCCAAGCTGGGGGTGATGATGCCGGAGTCGCTAGAAGAGGAAACGTCCCCGGTCAGCGTCTGGCTTTGGGTCCCGCTTCCTTCCGACATGTTGTGCGATTGGCCGCAATAAAGTCTTTTAGAGATGGAGGAGACTTACAATCCATAGAGGAAACCTCCGATTCCCAGCAGAAGGGAGGTGAGGAACGGCTTGCTAAACCAGCCGACTTGCTTCATGATGGGCGATGTGGGACCTTGTGGTGGTCACGACCAGACGAGTGTTCTTTTTTTCTTCTTCTTTCTTTTCCGGTGCCTCTTGGCCGTCTTGGGGTGACTTGGCTGTCGATCAGGGAGAGGTAAGGGGTTCTAAACTCCGTTTAGATATGCCCACGTGGGAAAAGCCAGACAGATGGATGATGGGGGAGATGTCGGGAAGGATTTCGTCCAACTTTTTTTTCGTCTCATCGGGGGCGCATCGAGCTTTCTTATCAACTCCTCCCCATCGTCTCCCTCCAATGGGACGGGGACGTGGGACGTGGGATCGGGGGATGGGCCCGCCAACAACGCCGCCAGCTCGGTTTGCACGCCCCCGGTCGGTTCGCTAGTCCGATCCCGCAGGTCTGGGTTGATTTTTTTTTTTTTACCCTTTCTCGGGGTGACTCGTCAAGCGGCTTCCTTCCACGCTTTTGGCGCCGCGCTCTGGCGTGGGCGTTGGCGTGGGCGTTGGAGTTTGGGGTTTTTGCTCACGTTGCACTCTGCGCCGTAAAAGGGTTTGCCGCTTGTCCTTGGCAGTAGTTCCTCCATGACTCGGACACTGTCCTCTGTCAAGGTCTAGGAGCTGGAGAGGGGAGGGGGACAACCAATTCGATGCCGGCCAGCGAGCAAGAACCCCGCCGCCCCATCTCTGCAACGAGCCTAGTGTGCGGAGTAGATCCAGGAGTAAGATCATTCGAATCGCTAGCGCGCCCCGGCATTTTTTTCCTTCTCTTTTGCAATTATCGGGCACATCCTCATTCTCCTCTTCCTCCCCTTTCCCCAATGCACGATGCCAAGAAGGAGTAGAAGGAGGGGGCGGGGGAACCTTGGTGGCTTTTCCTCTGGCACCAAAACCGTGTAGCGGGTTGCGTTATCTCCATGTCCCTCCCACACTCTCCCCGCCCGCCGACAACGATACCCGGGGCTTTGCATCTCCTGGGGCGAAGATTCGAGCAGACGTGCGCCGCGGTTCCCGGATCCTCGGTAGAAGAATTCCTACACTCCGGACAACTTGTGCCGGGGTGGCGCGACGATGGGGGAACGGGTCCACCGCCCTTGGAAAACTTGGGGATACCCTCATCACCCTTGGTCACCTCTTTCAGACTTAGTACGAATCGCGGCAGTTCTTGTGCGTCAAAGATCATTGTGACAAATAAAACCATCACCGCGGTACTGTTCCAGCTTGCTTGCTTCGTTTGCATGCCACGCCTCTCTTCTTTTGGAACAACTTCCAAACATAACTAAGCGCTCGGAGGTCCCAGGTGACGCCGTAAATTACCATTCTATTGATTTTTTTCTTTCTCTCTTTCCATTTTCGCTTCCTTTGGTCTTGGCCTTCATCTCTTCTCAAGAGCCGTACACCGACCGGTAGAACGCAAAGCTCGATTGGTTTGCGAAACCGGACGAATTGAGGCACCGCCGCGCGCGCCGGCGCACTCTCGCCCTCACTAGTTCTCATTCCTCCCTCCGAGGATTGCTGCCAAAGACAGAGCAGACATAGCAAAGCAGGGTGAATCTCGTGCACTGTGATTCGCTCATTTCTTCCTGGGATTCCCTCTCCAACTTATTTTTTTCCTCTTCTCCCGTGTGTGCATAGACCTGCCTGTCCAACCAACCGATTCCTCCCAACCAAGCCAAGTCGTCTTTCCCATCACCACCTCCAACAACACCCAACGACATCAGCGCAAGAATGTACAACACCGTTCTTGCTGTCGTCGGCGCCGCCGTCGCGGTGACATATCTCGCCCTCTCCTACCCCAAGGTAAGCCCCCCGAAAATTCATCATTCTCTCTTCTTCCTCCCCGCCCGCACAAAATCCTCCGGATTAAACCATTCACCAAGATTTCGCTGACACAATCGCTGCAACCCCGCACCACAGCTCCGACTCCAATGGCAACTCCGCAGACACCGCTCCGAGCTGCCCCCGGCCCCGCCGTCATCAAGACCGGCATCCGCAAGCCGTGGCTGTGGTTCCACGAACTCACCAAGGAGTACGGCGACGTCGTCTATCTGCAAATGGGCCCCACCCCCACCATCATCCTCGGTTCCGCCCAAGCCGCCTGGGATCTGCTGGAGAAGAGGGGCGCCATCTACTCCTCCCGCCCCCGCTTCGTCATGGGCGGCGAGCTGCTGTCCAACGGTCTCCGCGGCCTCATGGCCCCCTACGGCCCCTTTTGGCGTAGGTGGCGCAAGCTCTTGCACAGCGGCTTCATGCAGCGCCGCAGCGAGACCTACAGGCCCATCCAGAGCCTCGAGTCCAAGGCCCTCATGCGCGACCTCCTCGAGGACCCGGCCGATTACAGGCGTCACCTCGAGCGCTACGCCGCTTCCGTCATCGTCACCGTTACCTACGGCCGTAGGGTCCTTGACGTGCGTAACGACGTCGTCGTGAAGGGCAATGCCGAATCCATGGAGCGCCTCACCCAAGTCAAGTATGTAAAATATCCTTTTCTTTTCTCCGTTTCATCCCTTTCTTCATGTGAAGAGGCGGAAGAAACATGTGCTGACTGAGCGTCCCGGTGTAGCATTCCCGGAAAGTACGCCGTCGAGCGTTATCCCGCCCTCAGGCACGTACCCAGCTACCTCGCTCCCTGGAAGGCCGAAGTCCTCGCCCAGCGACAAAAGGACATCCAGCTCTACACCACCCTCATGAACGAGGTCAAGGCCAAGGTCGCCAAGGGAACCGCCAAGGAGTGCTTTGCCACCCATCTCCTGGAGCAGCAAAGAGCCTTGGCATGACCGACCTCGAGCTCGCTTATACCGCCGGCTCTCCTTTCGGTGCCGGCGTGGAGACTGTAAGTTTACACCATCACAATCACAATGAGGAAGAAAATATTGGCTGACTCTTCTTCTTCTCCCCGCTTGCCAGTCTGCCGGATCTTTGGCTAGCTTCCTCCTCGCCTGCGTCAAATTCGGTCCCCAGTTCATCCCCAAGGCCCAAGCCGAGCTTGACCGCGTCGTCGGCCCGGACCGCCTCCCTACTTTCGACGACCTCAACGACCTTGAATACATCCGCGCCATCACTTCCGAGACCCTCCGCTGGCGACCCGTCGCCGTTCTCGGCGGCACCCTCACGCCAGCACCGCTGATGACTATTACCGTGGCATGTTCATCCCCAAGGGCAGCACCATCATTGCCCCTCTCTGGTCCCGTAAGTTCAATTTTCCTTGTCCTGTCGTGAATTATCAACCCCCGAGGCGATCGAGTGATCTAATATGTGAGCGTGCGTGCGCAGTCCACCTGAACGAGGCCGACTATCCCAACCCCCACGAGTTCAAGCCCGAGCGCTTCCTCGAGAAGCGCGAGTATCCCGGTCCCTGGGGCCACAGCGCCTTTGGCTGGGGTCGCCGTGTCTGCCCTGGCATGCACCTCGGATCTTCCTCCGTGACTATCAACATCGCCCGTATCCTGTGGGCCTTCAACGTCCGCGCTGCCAAGAACCAAAGGGCGAGGACATCGACGTCGACATGTAAGTAAAGCCATTCTTTCTGTGCTGGCTGGCTTTCCAGATGGACATCTCTTTGTGTGTCTAGGCTAACCCCGAGCGTGAACAGTTTCGCTTACACCGATGGTTTTAACTCCCTCCCTCTCCCCTTTTCCTGCGACATCACCCCTCGCTCTGAGCGCCATGCTCAGGTCATCAAGAAGGAGTACGAGGCCTCTCTTGACGAGCTCCAGAGCTACACCGTCGCGAACAACACCCTCTCTTGATTTCTAATATAGGGAGGTTGGCCTTTTGATGAAAGATCTCGTTGTGTTAGCCACACGCTACGAGACGAGCCTCTGGCTGGCGAGTATATAGATAAAGGGTATAGGGAACAGGAATTTCACTGTACCCCGACAATACTTCAGTGGCGTTGGTTTCCGTCATGAGGACATAAGAATGAATAGTTACGCCTTGAATGATATTTCTATTTCTACACACCTCGTAGCCCTAGGTCATCTCGTTGTTTCATTACTCTCAGTGGCCTTGTGCCTCACCTTTGTATAAAACCCCTAGCGCCAAAGCTTTAGCTACCCGTTCCTTGTGTGGCCCTATCATGAAGTCGTTGAACGGATGCTCGAAGTCGACGATCCCACTAAGCGACGACGTAATCTCTCCACGACACCGCTCTGAATTTGTGGTTTCAGGCCCTCTGCATCGGCAAAGGCTATAGCGGCACGAGTCGCCTGTGATACATGTATTGTTAGAGGTAGCCTCAGAGGTTTCAATGAAAACTCCATCTTGATTGAAAGAGCTGTCGTATCGATCGATGCACATATACTTACGTAGTCAAACAGTTCCGAAACTCCAAACCCCGTTGCCGGATCGCAGAAAAAGTACCTCGGCGCCCCGAGGTCCTGCGTTATGGATAGAGGCTCAAATGGATCTTCCTCATCGTCTGAATTTCCCAGCTCACCTTCGGCGGCACCATCATCGTCGGATTCATTCTTCTTGGGCGTATTCAAACCCACAAGGATGATGGGCGCCCTCGGACAGTACTTTCGTACCTCTGAACCCCACCTCTTGACGATGTTGGCCCTTGTCGTGCGCGTTGGGTTATTGGCGCGGAAGCAAATCATGACGACGTGCGTGTCGGGATACGTCAGCGGCCGCAAAAGTTCGTATGTTTCCTGGCCAGCCGTATGCCAGAGTTCCAAAGTTGTGTCCATGCCGTCGATACTATACATGCCCAATTTTTTGCTTCTTTTTAGCATGCTTAGTTTGATAGCGGGAGCGAGCCCTGTGCTATGCGTGGGCTGGTGAAGCTTACTTGAGGTCGGCAACCCAGTTCTCAAAGACTACGGGCATGTACACCTCGGGCAGCGCGCCTCGAGCAAATCGGATCAGCAGGCGGATGATGCCCGAGTCGTAGTCGCCCGTGCAAACCAATCTTTCAGCGCCTTCCACGTCAGAAATTACTTTAGACCACAAATAAACGATCAAATCTCTCCCAACTTACTTGTACGACTCCAACAATGGTTTGCCATCCGGCCGCGCCGGAAACTCGGGTTCCTCGGGCACCTCATCAATGGTTGCCGGAATCTCCGCAAGGGCCGTCCTGTACGAGGTAGTATTGTGACTGTCGGTCCCCGTGTTGATGGTGCCGGACCGTATCGAGGCCAGCCGCACGCTGACCACGTCGGAGATGACGTCGCTGTCGTGTTCCGACGCCACAGCCATTTCCTCAAGCACCTGCACGTCCTGAATGATTTCGACCTCTTGCTCCACGTAGACGCGCTGTCTAACAGCCACGTCTCTCAGCGGGCGCGTCATCGCATCCAGGTCATTGTTGAAGTCGGTCAGGTTCTGCACCAGCTCCACAAACTTGTCGCGGTCCGAGATAACCCAGATGGCCGTGTCTCGGAAGCTCCGCATTTTCCCCGCCTGATTCACGGGTTTCGCGCCCCGCGAGGAGAAGAGCCGCCAGGATCGTCGGCCATGCGGCCTCCCGACGCCCGTCACCAACCCCGCCTTGGCGGCAGTCCCCGGCAACAGGGGTAGCGCGGGCACGAGCGCGCCGGGCCTGTCCTGAACGAGGCGTAAGCCGAACCTCGACGAGAGCTTCTTCTCGTTCTCGAAAAGGCCCGAGATGCATTCGAGAGTGTCCCTGATCCTCGCCCGCAGCGCTGGATCGTCGAGGCCGGGCTCGTATTGCGTGCCCCCACCAGTCCGCACGCCTTGCCCCAGCTGAGCAGCCGGAACTCCTGGTTGTTGAATTTGGTTTCGAGAATTTTGTAGTCCATGTCAAAGGAGGCTCCGCGGCGCACGAGTCGATAGCAGTCGACGCACGCGGTGAATATGCCTGCCAGCCCGGCCACGCCGACCACGAGGCCGGCGGCTTCCATCGCGCATATGACGTGCGCTTGGGATGTCGGCCAACTGCAAGATAATACCCCGTCTGAGAAAATTACCAGTAGCTCACTTTCCTTCCTTTCTTTTCTTTTCCTTCTTTTGCCGCCCCGAATCGTGATTCTGTGGATAGCTGAGTTGATTGGGGGAGATTAAGGATACCCATTGCTCCCCTCTAAGCTATAGTCTTCGCCCCCTTTCGCCGCTTGATCCAATTCGGAAAGCGTCCAAAATATTGGCACCAACGCGTCCTCATTGGTCACTTTGCCATCGAGCAGAATGGCCGAATTGGGATTTCCCATGCAGAATGCATGTCCTCACACTTTTTCAGCTTTCAGCTAAGCACAAGGCTTTAGAGAGAGATGCTCCCCACTTCAGGATCCTAAAGTGATAGAGAACCATGCTTCGAAAAGTACCATCCATTATGTTGTGTATCAACGGCAGAGCAGGGATTAGTATTCCTGGCCTCCACGGCCGGCTTGAACCGCGTGCTAGCGACAATAGACGTCGTACACAAACGCGAAGGACGGTGTATCTATGCGCGGTCTCACCCTCACGAAGCCAACAATAGAGAAGCATCAGTTCGCCGAACTCGGGCGAGAGAGGTGCAAGCTGACGGCCGACGGCCGGGGCCGAGCAGTCGGATCCGGTCTTCTCATTTCGGGTTTCACCTCCGTCGGCCGGGTCTGACTTCTGCCCAGCCAAAATTGTCGTGTCTCTTCCATTGTTCTGGGCAAGGGGTTTGGGCGTGGTTCCGTCTTCCGTGTGAATTGCCGCGATTTCATCTATAATTCTCTCTACGATTGGTGGAATATATACCCGTAAGAGTTCACGTGGGAGAAATGGGGAAATCTCACGATACCAAGCTCGTGGACAAGGCAGTTTCATATCGAGCCTCTTTGAGATATACAGGGTCCGTGATAAATGAAACTAACCCAGCCGTCAGCGAAAAGAAGAGGGAGATAAAAAGGAAATTTCTCCACTTTCATCTATCGAGGCTTCCCGTGAATGAGACTGTTCTCAGCTAGGGCAGCTTGGCGGCAGAGCAAGCTTCGCCCAAAACTTGCTCAGTTCTATGGACTTAGCCGGCAGCCCGGGCGTGAGCATTAGGAGAAGAGCAGGTATTAATCATCTCCCCCGCGCGCGCATGCCAAGACCTCGACGATAATTAACCTTAACAGGGCTCGATTGGCGGTTGGTCGAGCCAGATCAAGACGCGGGGTGCTGGGCGGCGTTTTGTTTGAGCAGATTATACATCTAATACCCGAAGTCGCGTTCCTGCGATGTCTATCGGATGCTTCCTATTATTCCAGCACACCCGCTCCCAGTTTTATAATTGACTTGGCGAAGGGAGCAAAGAAGATTCCAATTGAGGATATACCCTAGTTTACTCATTACACTTTGCATACCGCTTTGGACAAGCGAGATATATTGAGTGCTGTGATGGATTCTTATATAAAGTGGTGTCTCTGACCACCCCTTCAGACGAAAAAAGTTGATCACATTTCCGACTGCCATCTTGGACGTTTTTTTGCAGATAATCACGCGAAGTGGGAATAGTTATAGCTGCGACCAACGGGAATATATCAAGACAATGAAGTCCACGCTTGCCATCGCCAGCTTAGCCTTCGGCATGCGCGTCATCGCGCATCCTGGGCACGGCCACGACGTCCCCGGCTACGCCGCCGAAGTCTACGATAGCCCGCCCGGCCTAGCAGTGGCTGCCGAGTTTGTATCTACCGAAGATTCCATGATTAGCGGACGAGTCATTGCAGCGGCAGACCCCATTGGAAGCGGAACCGTCTACCACTTTACAATCTTTGAATGCCCGTAGGCCAAGGGCCATTTGGTAAGACTCGGGCGCGTGTCCGGCGAACTGCACGCCCGCCAGCTGAATTGCGCGTTTGCAGCGCCAGCAAAACCAACTAGCTAACTGGGACAAAAAAAGGGTTTCATATTCACGAGGATGTCGTGCCGGAAAGCGGAAACTGCTCGGAGGCTGGGGGCCACTTTGACCCGTTTGGTAGGGGGTCGGATTTCCCTGCGCATCTTCGATGCCGGATTCTTGCGAGGTCGGAGACCTCAGCGGAAAGTACGGCATGGTTGCGGGAGACATGATCCTCTCAGGGTATGTACACTTGTTTTTATTCCCTTCCCAGCTTTCGGCGGATCAGCGCTCGCTAACCTGACCCAGATTCCTGGACATGTACACATCCATGAACCCGAACAACGTGGCATTTGTGGGAAATCGGAGCTTGATTCTCCACAACTACGCCGGTGAGCGAATTGCCTGCGCAAACTTTAAGCCGCTCAAGCTATCCCCGGACCAAACGTGTGTAGAGGATCCCTGGCTGTCAGGGAGGAAGAGGAAGCAGAGCCAGAGCCAGTTGAGGGCGAAACAGGTCAAGATGAACCAGTAGAGGATGTGGAAGTAGAAGAGGAAGTCGTGGAAGAGGAAATGGGGGAAGACGACGTCCCGGTTGAGGATGACGAGGAAGAGGACCCGCATGGAGAGCATGGAATGGGATCTGTTGAGTGATCGGCATGAGCGCTTTCCCACCCCATCTCTTTCTTCTGCTGTTTCTCTTCTCTTGTTAGGGGCTGCCAAGCCTCAGGCGCAAACGTGATGGACGGCCACGATCGCCGGGCTCGTGGGGCACGGTGGACCTGACGATCACCAAATGCGCACCTCTGATGAGATATCAGCTCTGCTCATCGACTGCCGATCCGTTGATGCGCGGGCGCACTAGAAAATCATTTAAAAACAAAACATACTAAGCCCAAGAACGTACCTGCCTCAGTCCTCTCCCCGTATCTTTCTGAGCATTCCGATATCAAGCTTGGCGCCACTAGGCCCAAGACGAAGAGCGTTCATGATCGGGTCCCCGTGCAACGTGCTTCTCCCACAGTTCTATATCGTTCAAATCGCCCAGCAGTTTAGCGTACAGGGAAAGTGGGGTTATGTTCACATTCGAGATATTAAAGTGACGAACGGAACCTGGCTAGGCCCTGCGTCGCGCCCTGCGTTCCTTCGCCTGGGAAGGGGGCATGCTGGGCCCGTGTAACTTAGTGTGATTCTCGGATCCATCATGCGCACGTTGCTCAACGATCGACCTGTTCCGCCTCGTCCAATCCCAATCTGCCGCGACGTTCGCTGGATGATCCTTCCGCCTCGGACGTGCGCCGCCATTGACGCTGTCTTCAAAGGGGAGGGAGGTTGCTCCAGTGAGTAGCGCCACCGAAGCCTAATGATCCCCGCCAACACTAGCCCTGATCAAAGCATAATAGGCGGGAATTGCTGGGATGAGGGAAGGACGAACAACGCCAACGACTCGACTTGTAGGAGCTAGTGGCCCAGGCTCAACAGGGCTCCGACCACCCCCACCCTTCCGAGAAAAAGAAGCCAAAGACTGGACTGGTCCGTGGAGCCGTCAAGCCTCCGGCCTCAAGAATTAGGCCCCGCGGATGACATTGTTGCGCGCTCCGGCACGCACATACACACACACACACACACACACACACACACACACACACACACGTATCCATCAGTTGATAGCTTTCAAGCGTGGCAAGTAGCGGGCCAACGTCCGAAGATTACCCCGTCGTAGGGCTAGAAGCTGACATCGTCGCGCGGCCATCGAGCCGTTTGGAGAAGGTCGATATCGGGGGTCCTACCATGTTCGGGAATGCCATAGCGTGTGGCTTGTCAGCCACGGCCCTCGAATCGAGGGCCCGTCGAGCCTACAATGCGCCGGTAGTTAGATTACGACCGCGCCCAGCTTATCCCCCAATAAATGACCCCTTCAACATCATTGATTGTTCTGATCTGGACCTAGAAGGCATCGTGCCCGTCCGCTTGTACCTACCGTCAAGGATATGAGCAAGCCGTTCTACGGAGCCGATGGACGAGACGCCTCCGGTCCGAGAGCAGCGTTTTCTTTACCCTGTCTACCTTTCCCCCTTGCTCGAGCACTAATATCAATATAGGCTTACTGTTCACGGAGGGAGGCGAGACCCAAAATGATTTCCATCGCAGGAAATTTCATTTCCGCCAGCTCCGCGGGGAAATCTATGAAGATTTGACGCCCTAGAATTGGAATTGAGGATTATCTGAGCATTTCGACTAGTCGAAATCTTGGGGCAGCGCAAATCTCAATGCATGAAGACCACACGGTAAATATTGTCCTGGCATATCCACACGCGCCGCAGACGATCAATTGATCAATCTCCAAGAAAGAAGGGTCAGCGCGCAATCAAGCAACACCACGCACTTGACTGATCCTCGCCCGCGGCCCTTCTCTTCGGGCCATCCCGAAACCCTCGTCTGCTTCCTTTCTGCGTCTTCTAGAGTCTACTCTTGTATTTCCCCCTGTATTTCTTCTTCTTCGTTTCCAACCCGCCAATTTCATCCCGAAACCGTCTCCAGTGAGCTCCCCTTCCGACCCAAAAGATGGCATGGCCTCTTGGCTGCTTGATTGGACCGCTCGGAGCCATGGTCGGGGCGATACCTTTGACTAGCGCCAGACTACTCGGATGGTGGGTCTCTCGACGCCCCATCATTCCTTTAGTGCATCAAGCCTAGGAGCGAATCATGACGGGAAGCTGGGGCGGACCATACCGAGAACGTCGAATCCTCCGGCATTAGAAGATCTTTCTCGTGTCTCACGAGCGATCAACCCATCACCGGAAAGGCTATTCGGCCGGTCCTCTCTCCACTCCCTCATCTTCTTTGTCCTTTTCAATTCTCTTGCTCTTTCCCTCCCCATCAAGGCTCTGCGTTTTCTTTTTATTTCCTCCTATGGAAAAGGTGGCGTCGCGCACCTATCAAACTCCGTACCGAGGTCGCCCTCTTACTCCGTCCGGGAAAGGGGGCGGAGGGACGCCAGGCCAAACGGGTAACCCTCTTCTGCGCTCGCTCGTCGAGCTGCTCTCAAGCCCACAGAGTGTTGAGCTGAGAGAGGCCTGAGCACTACAAGGGGAAGGGAGGGGAGGGGCGCGGAAGGACGAGCCACCTCACGGACAGTCAGTGCCGATCAATGGCTCGCCCGGGCTAATTTGGCCCGGGCGCGAAAGATGCACAGATTCCAGGGCTGAGACTCTCCTCCTCGAGGTCGATCTCATCGTCATTGTAGTAAAGAAGCGTGCTCCAAAGGCAGCTCCTGTCCAAGCTCCCGAAGCTGGGCCGGGCCAAAAGGGCCTTTCTCTGAGCTCCTGTGGGTTCCCGCAGGCAGCCCAGCCGCGATTGCACCGTCCGCGGGCACCACGCCGGCGCTCGGCATCCTTACCGACCGAATCGTCGAGTCCTCGTCCTCGAACGAAACCCCAGACACTTTTTCCCCCTCTTTTGCAAGGCTATCTTCCCCTATGTATTGATTGTTACGTTGCTTGCAAGTAGTATGTGTAACCCCAATTTGATAACGGCCAAATTGAACTTCCACGAAAGACAACACCGCCAACGCCAAACCTACTTTGATTTGTGTGTCGAAAGCGATAATTAGAAGCCAACTGGGATATTGAATGAATGGGCGCGACTAACCAAAATCATCAAATAATCAGAAGTAACTTTTGTCCATCCAACCAATCTGCCAATGTTTTTCGCCACGAGGACCACTCTCTCCTTGGGAAAGAACAAAAAGAAGAAAAACGCCACTTCGCCATCCTGCCACCCTTCGGGACTTGGGTCATGTCATGGATTCGTTCCAATTCCGCACTACCCTGGATTGGCAAGGGGAGGAAGGGGGAAGAAAAACCACCAAAGCCTCTCAAAATCGGTCTAGAAAACACCTAGTCCGGGCCTAGTTGTTCCTCCCATCACTCGACCCATCTTCCAAAACCCGGATCTTCCACGCACTTCCCACCGCAAGCCACCCTGTAAAGCCCGCTTAGCGGTTTGGCTTTTCCGCTGTCTGTTAGACGTCGTCACCCGGCCTAGTCCTAGGGAGGGAGGACCCCGTTTTTTTTTTTTTTTCAAGGGCAAGCAGGGACCTTGGCATGTCCCAAGGTGGCATTTTCCCGATGCCGCACAAGCCCATTTTTCTTTTCAGCCATGCTCGCCCTGATTGATCATCTGTTGAAACCGTGACATGCGGTTCCTTGTTCCTTGTCCGTTCTTCTCTCCTACTACCCCGTCACCTCATTTTGTGCCCATGAGCTAAAACGGCCCCAGGGGAGGCAGGGGACAGGGGAGGAGAAGGGGGAGAAGTATGGAGGAGGGAGGGGGCCACGTTGTTACACCCGCCGTGTTAACTTTACAACTATTGATTTTTCCGTATCTCTTGTCCTCGAATCTACGATTGATACGATACTGTGGGTAGCTTCACCTGTTAGCTCAGGAGACTGTGAAGAGGGTCCAACGCCGACCCAGTAGTCCGGTCCACTTTCCGTCAAGATGTCGCCTTCTTGTTCGGGGCGTTGGGAGCCCACACACATCCTTGGATCTTTCTCCCAGCCTTTTCCCACGCAGCGCAGCTCGGGACACTGCCCGCTACACTCGTTTTCGTTACGGCCTACATTTGATAGACGTGCGTGCATCCGGGCCACTTTTTTGTTCTTTTCTCTCCCGGGAGCCTCTTCTCTTCCAGTCCCCTGCGCTGGGTCCGTCGCATCGATTTCATTCATCAACCCCCTCCACCCCCGTCCCCTCCGCCCCCGGTCTCTCCTGGCAGGATCTCGTTCCTGGACGGTTGCTGGCCCTTTTTTTGTTTTGAAAAAAACGAACAAAGAAAAAGAGGCACAACTCGCCATGAGACTGCAGTCTCTTTTCGCCTCGACAGCTCTGCTGTTGAGCTGCCTCCCCGCCGCGCTTGGCGAAGGCCTCGCCGACTCTTTGTCCATCCTCCCCAGCTGTGCGGTATGTTCTCGACAAACACCTTCGACTCTGGTCCTTCCCCTTGCCTTTCCCCATGTTTTCTTTTTTTCTGTCACATATCGAACGTCACATACGTGCGGGTCTATTTGGGGTCCCCTCCCCGCCCATCTTTCCTTTTTTTTTTGTGGGCTTGACATGCTAACTGCCTTGCCTGCTCCCCGGAAACAGGTCGACTGCCTCAAGTCCAGCATTGAAGCCTCATCCTGCGAACTAACGGACAACACCTGTCTCTGCACCAACGATGAGCTCCAAGCAGCCATCGAGGTCTGCATCCTCACGTCCTGCAGCATGAAGGAGGCGCTTTGTAAGTCACCATCATTTCCCCTGCCTGCAAGAGCGGACTCTCTAGCTCTCCGTGCTAAAAGTACTCCCCGTTTCCAGTCACCAAGAATATCACCTACACCGGGTGCGACATGCCCATCCGGAACAAGTCCCAAGAAGTCAAGGACGTCGCCGCCGTCCTCGGCATCATCACCGGCGTCTTCGTCGCGTCCCGCCTCATCTTCAAGGGCTGGGTGGCCAAGATGGGCCTGACGGCCGACGACTGGTCCATCCTGCTCGTCGCCGCCGCCGGCGCGCCCAGCACCGCCCTCTCCATCCACGGAACGGCCGCCAACGGACTCGGCCAGGATGTCTGGACGCTGCCCTACGAGACGATTACCCGGTTCGGCATGTACTTTTACGTCATGGAGATTCTATACTTCATCAACGTCACCCTGCTCAAGGTCTCCATCCTCTTCTTCTACCTGCGCATTTTCCCGGCCATCGGCATCCGCAGGATCCTGTGGGCCACCATGGCCTTCAACATCCTCCTCGGCCTCGTCTTTTCCATCACCGCCACGTTCCAGTGCCAGCCCATTAGCTACTTCTGGACAAAGTGGGATGGCGAGGGAGACGGGAAATGCGTCAACGTCAACGCGATTGCTTGGGCCAACGCCATCATCAGCATCGTCCTCGATGTGTGGATGCTCGGCATCCCACTCTCCCAGCTACCCAAGATCAAGCTCCACTGGAAGAGAAAGCTCGGAGTTGGCCTGATGTTCTTTGTCGGCACTTTGTGAGTTTCTCCTCCCGTTATTGCGTTTGTTTCAGTTTCTAGTCCTTCCTCCTTCGGCATGTATATCCATGTTACAGTCTCAGATTTTCTAACTCTCCCTGTCTACCTTTCCAGTGTCACCATCGTCAGTATCCTCCGCCTGCGATCCCTCGTCACCTTTGCCAACTCCCACAACCCCACCTGGGATAACACCTCCGTCACGATCTGGTCCGTCATCGAGATCAACGTCGGCATCATCTGCGCCTGCATGCCCACGCTGCGCATCGCTCTCGCCCGCGCCTTCTCCATCTTCAACGAGAGCACCATCAACACCGGCTACGGCGCCGGCTACCGCAACCAGCCCAGCGCCTCGGGCAAGATTGGCAACAGCCGTGCCGGTGCCGTTGCCTCCGGGTTGCCGGTGCATCGCTCTGCCAACGCCGAAGGAATCATGTACAAGAAGACGTTCGAGGTGCAGTACAGCGACGAGTCGGCCCTCGTGCAAATGAGGGACTTGTCGTCCGCGAGGGCGACGAGCGACGCATCGTCGGGCAAGTCCTAAAGGCAGGCCCCCATGCTAGTTTAATGACGGAGAGGCGCAGGTAAAAGGTGCTCGGCCTTTCTTTTCATACATCTTTTTCTCTTTTTTGGTAGAAAAATACCTAGATACTATATTAATGCGCAATAAAGTGATACCACATCCTTTCTTCATACCCTCAATGATCCAACCAGTTCTGCTTCACGTTAATTCATGATTCACCTGCGCCCGAGTCTTTCCGCCCTAACAAGCCGGACTAGCAAGGTTGTGAATTGGTGCCCCAGTTTCAACCCCACAACCATGCCGATCAGCCAGGGGATCGGTCGGCCGACAGTTACCGAGGCTCGCGATGCTGGGTTCATGGTTCCAGTATTTTCAGGTGAAAATGGGGCTTTGTGTGGACCCAGCTGTGCTTTCACACCCAATCCACGACTTTGAGCTGTTCTCTCCACAAATCCCCCATCCGCAGGGCCAATTCTTTTCATATCGATCAGCCGGATGGCCCAGCCTCTGGTACAAATACACGAGAATCCGGTGGGTCGGCATAAGACTCATGACGTGTTCGTATGCCGCTTTCGACCATTGCACTCTCGTGCTTCTTTTCGGTCGTTTTAGTATTCAGTTATAACCCTATTCCTGTGGAGTTTACGTCGCAGTGCAGGGCTTCACTGTATAACGGCCATTTGATCCCCGAACGAGAATCGCGCGAGTGGGGCCGAACCGACTTCTTATTCCCGATGGGCAGTCGACATCGTACATATAGTTGTCGAGGGATCCGGGGCGACGCGCCGAACACGTGGTGGATGAACCCGAAATTATGTATGGTTTGACTAACTCGTGCCCTGCCGCTGTTGTGCCGCTGTCACGGTCTCTATCTGGCAATGATCATCTTCACGGCTTCTCGGCGTACAACGTCCACATCTTGCCCCGTGCCCCGGTCTACCCAACGCGCCACTCTCCTACAGTTAACGAACCCCTCCTCCGGGTATACCAATAGATGGGAGTGGCCTTGGGGATATCTGGAAGTCTTGCCAAGATCGCGATCGTTGACAAAATAGCCCATAATGTGTCTTGCAACCATTCACTGAACCAAGGTGCCGGGACGTGTGGACGTAGCCATCATGTCCCCTATCCCTCCCGCCGCGCGATCGCCGATATACGAGCAGTTACTATGAGCAGGGGGTGAGGAACCATTGTCTTACCGGGTGTGCGGAAAGTGTCAAACTCCAGGCCCAGTCCCTCGGGATCATTGTGACCCGGTAGGCTGGCCATCTTGATCTTCCCTGACCCGAGTGGGACTTTTGACGACTCGATCTGATCGGCAGCTCTGGCCAAAAGGGCGATGGGGAATTCTCGCAGCCAGTCCAAGACACGGCGCGTCGTGTAACCCAAGTCAGTCAACTCCCAAGGAAGGTGGACCTCTTCAGGGCCACGCCCGCCCCAGCTACGGTTCCTTGGGACAATAATGTTCACGTAAACGCGATGTTTGCCATTTTACCTAGTCAATCGCTACGCGACTGCGCTTATCTCGCAATAGAATTGTGGATTATAACTGGCAGGAAGCCAGTATAATATAGCACAAGCCCCTAATCTGGGCATGTCAAGCGCGACAAAGATGGACGTCAGAGTGAACGTGAGCTGGGTTTAGACCGTCGTGAGACAGGTTCGTTTTCTCCTACTGATGGCCTCTGAAGACAGTCTTTGCGAGGTGTGTTAGGAGTCACGCTCCTATGGATTCTATATCCTGAGTTTTCGCCCCTATACATCCTTATCACAGTAGACGCAGGAAGCTCGGTACTTGGATCTTGACACCATCTTCGACGTCCTTCAGAAATGGGAATATGGTAGGTGGGTGCCATGTTAAAAAGCAATCTATAGCTGCTTGGTTACTCCACCGACATCGAGGAGGGGCTGCACTGCCGGAATGCGACCACCCAAATAGCCAACGCGTCCGATATGAAGTACGAGCAACCACGAAACGTAGAATGGGCTGCATTCCTTTGACGACGACCAGACCATCACTCCGCCGGATCACTGCAGGCCCCCGAGTCTCGCACGCTCACAGAGCGCCTGTAGTTCCAAGCCCGCGGTTGAAGAATGGGTGGTCGTGGAGAAGGGCCCAAAACTAACCCGGGTTCGTCCGACACGAGACACGCTTCCTGGGACATGCTGTACGCGCCATTTCCTCAAAACGCACACGAAGAAGCAAATCTACGCGAACTTGATGCGGAGCAGGGGGATTGGGTAACTGCTGGCGAAGGAGAACAACCCGATCGAGCGAGCTAAGACCACAAGGGGGCGCCCACGAAAAGAAATGATCTCAACATGGGAAACTAGGCGAAAAGCAAGAGAACAGGTACCGCATTGTGACCAAAAAGATCAATTCCCGTTTTGGGGAGGTATTACTACCGAGTACCAAGATGTCACCAGTATGCCCTAATCCGAATCCCGCTGATAAAAAGAAAAGTAATACACACCGAAGACTTGCCACTCTCCAGCCGCACCTTGCCGCTGTACCTAGTCCTGATTTTGCTTTTCTTTCTGCTCCCCTCAGCTGCACTTCCTCGCATTACGTGTGGGAGGTAAAATGCTCCGAGCGCCCGCCGTCGCAAGCCCGCTCACCAATTACGGAAGCCTGACTGTCCAGGGAAGTAGAGAGACAAAAGAAAAAGGAAAGAAACAAGAAGAGACCAAAAAAAGAAAAAGAAATGAAACAACAAAAAGAACGAGCGCTTGCTTTTCTGCAGGCAATCATTTCCGGAGACCGGCAGCGTCGTCGTCGTAGCTCACGCTATAGTCCCTCGTCATGCGAATGTGCGACCGCCGCGCCGCCTGCTCCGGAGTCATGCCCCCTTCTCGACGTCCTCGGGCCCGTGCGACCTCGCCACCGTCTCGAGCATGTACTCCTCGCTCGTGTCGTCGCCCGTGCGCGTCGTGGTCGACACGCTCGCCAGGTGGAGACCCCCTTTGCTAAGCTGCTCCTTCTTGGACGTGTAGCCGGACCACTCGTGGCGCGAATGGCTGCCGCTGCCGGCACCGCCACGGCTGGAGTCGCTGTGCGGGTTGGAGCGGCCGTCCGATGGCGCCGAGGAGCCTGAGACGGCGGAGAAGACCTTGGGGAAGACGTAGGTGAGGGGCAGCTTGCACATGGGGAGGCACGCGCAGACGATGGCTACGTGCATCTCGATCATGGTCCAGAGGGTGGAGGCGATATCGTCTAGTCAAAGGGGGAAGGGGAAGGCAAAGGAAAGTTAGCGAAACCGAGATGAAAACAACCTAGTTGAGCGACAGGCATGACTAAGATGCGTTGGGGCTGCAGATGGGAATGGAGTTCAGGTCAAGCCACGGCAGGGGTTGAGGCTGCTTCGTGACCTAATTTCGGTAGTCTCTACAGCCTAGTAGATACGCCTCGCCCCATAATACATGCCGAGCGAATGAAAAGGCCAGAGGTACTGGCCGAGAGTGGGGGGGATGTCAACTTACAAGTGGTGTCGGGACTCGTGGTCGAAAAGTTGAGCGTGGTGGCCCTCAACACACTTGTCACAGTCACACTACCCGATTTTTAGTTAGCAAGGGGGTGGAAGGAATGTCTGAAGCAGATGTGGGGAAAGAGCTAGGCTGCAAGGGAGAGAGGGAGAAAGCAAGGAGAGGCACGCACAATCCTCCTAGGGCAAAGACACCCATCAACGCCCTCTTCTGCGAGACGGGCAGCTTCGACTTCCAAATGGGGTACTGGGGGAGGAAAAGGATAATGATGTCGGTCGCGATCGAGAACCCGGCGTTGGCATTCCAGTTCATCGTGAGCGAGATGCACGTCCCGTCAATGGTGCGGTTCCACGCGCGGGGAATGGGACTGCACTGGAAAATGGACGAGCAGGTCGTCGCCACCATGTACGCGAGGATGATGGAGAGGAGGGTGTAGCAGGTGGTGCGGAACCAGCGCTGCACAAAGATGCGGAGGAACAGGAGCAGGATGGACGCTTTGGTGAGGTTGATGGTCATCTTGTAGAAGATTTGAGCAACGTAGAACGTCTACCCCGACAGCTGTTAGTTTTGTGTCTAAGACGCATGGCGGAATGGGCCCTGTAGTGCCCCTTCAGGAGCGAGGCGCGTACCTTGAGGGTCATGAGCTTATTCGGCACCGACAAGTCCTTGATATGCTTGCCAAAACCGTAGTGGCACGAAACCATCATGAGAATAGCCACAATCATCGTACAAAACTGTTGGAAGGCAAGTTGGCGGTTCTGCGTTAGTCTACTATCCCGGGTATATAGGTCTTCGCGCAGTTTCGGGGGCAAGAATCGGCCTACAAATGAGAGTAGAATCGTCCAGTCATCCCACGAGATTCCGGATCGCAGCCGTATCCTTGACCAGATTCGGATGCCGACGAAAATGGGGGTCACGACGAAGAAGACGATGCATGGAATCTGCACCATCAGAGCATTGCTCTCGCCTGGGATGTTGCCGGGATACACCATGGTGTCAAGCGTTCGGAGGGGTGCTGGCGCTTGCGGGTCAAGCGGAGATGGGTTTCGGGATAATCACTATGTGAAGGCAGAGTTGCGGAGATGATTGTCCAAGGCGACTCTATATCAGGAGGGAGTGGAAGAGGACGGTTTAAAGGATCGTGGTGAGAGGAACAGGTCCCTTGATATGGACGACAAGATCTACGTTGGGAAGCAAAGAAAGTTAACTTCGCTTCGATGACGGTTGCATCATCGGAGGGGCATCGAGCAATAGAGGAACCGGAGCGCTTCCGCGCCCTGAATGGGACGTGTTTTCACTCGTCGAGACAGATGCACGCTGACCAGCATCCCCTCTTCTTCCGCGAAGAAAACAGCCAAGGGGCAGGGAGAGAAGAGGGAAAGCGAAGAGAAAAGAAAAAGCAGAATCCACCTCATGTAGGGCACGACTCATGGTAGGGAAAGCCACGCAGATGTACTCATCTGCATATTGGCCTATTGGGAGGGAGGCGGTTTCTCATTCTCACTATAGGTAGGCAGGTATTAATATCACGGGAGAGCGAAACGGGCGCAGAAGCATAATTTTCAACGTGCTCTGAGACTCGGAGTGAAAAAAGAAGGAACAAAAGCGAGACTTGTAGCGAAGCTGTACCGAAAACATCGCCAAAATTTACCTCTTGGGGGAATCTGGGATGTTTTCTTTGTCTCGCCACGCATCTCGTGCCGACCACGCAGTCAATCTACCGAAAATAAAATCAGAAAAGGAGATGAAGGGAAATGCGCCGCCTCAGTTACGAGTATGTCACGATACTGGGTTGACTGTGGTTGCCATCCCGAATAGGAGGTGGATGGATAGATTTGATCACCCCTGGATGCATGACTGGTTTGCCTGCCACCTAATTTTATCAAGAACAGAGCCAACGAGATGAATGATGAAAAGGGAAAAACAGAAAAAAAAATTATGAATGGAAAAGAAAGCCTCCGAGAGGAAGATGCAGCGGCGGCCTACAGCGCTTGCAGCGAGAGAGATCGGCGGAGATCATGCACACACATCCCTGCTCTCGAGGGTGCCCTCCTTGCAACACGACGATAAAGATAGGCTCATCAACCGCGAGACCAGTTGGCCAAGGCTTCAAAAACAGTTTGCTAACCGGGAACCGGGGCCAAGGTTGGACGTCTCGGTGAAGCAGCCAACCAAATCGAGATCCAAGATCGGTAGGAGCAAAAGCAGCAAGGGGAGAGAACGCATACAAAAGAAAGGACAAAAAAAAGCAGCGCGGCATTGAGGATCTGCAACTTGGCGGGATGTCATCGAGGCCACGCACGTTCAGCTCTCGGGGTCTCGCCTCTCGGCCAGCGTCGCGAAGACTCGGAGGTGGCGCTTTGAAAGCTTTGAAGCACGAGATTTCGTCATCTCGGGCCAAGGAAGCGTTTGGATCGTGAAGCGGGCGAGGTAATACACATCTCCTTGTTTTAGAGGGTGCTGCTGCGGCGCCACAGAAAGAGAGCGTGCAACTGGGCGAGCTTGGCGGCGACCATGGCCACAGACTATAGGGTTTCTGTTTTGCCAAACGATATCGTCCATCAAATGATATCCATGTTCTTACAAATGTCAATCCACTCTGCCTCTGGAGGGTCGTCCCGCGCCTGACCTCTAGCACAGGCGGGACGCTTGCAACGGGATCAAGAGCGCCGCCCTGCGCTATACAGGGATACAGATCGTCGGGGGCTTGCAGCACCTCTTAGCGTGAGTGGGCTGCGCCTGACTAGCGTGGATCGCAAAACTAATAACCCCAGCTGCGCTTGGCTCCTTGCCCCTGTCTCGTGACGCCTCTGCAACTGCAACTCAGCCGATAGCCAAACAAACAAGCAAGCACATCCCTTAAAAGCCCCCAAGCGGCGCTCTGCCACAATGTCGATCACTCGTGGAGGGGCGGCCCTTAGAGTCCTCGGTGTGGCATGGCGGAACCAGATCCGGAAGCCTCTGCAGTTGGAGTCTAGGATCTTCATTTCCTCTTGGTGCCCACAATGACACGAAAAGCGTGGGTGGCCAGCTCCACGGGATTGCTATTTAACTTGGGGTTGGACGTTACAAGTCTGCCAGACTTAATTGCCCTTTGCCAATAGCATCACTTCGACGGAGGAATTAAAAGCTGCTTCTTCTCTTCATAAGTCCACCTCACCGGAGATAGTTTTATATAGCGAGAGGTCTCGAGTCAAGACGTCCACCTACCGGAGACGATCCTCACGGCATGTGACCTGAATACGATGGATCCATTGCTCTCTTGGGTTTCGTGGGGGTAGCGTGTCGTCCAGGAATTGGATTTGACAGGACGTCCACCTCGGTACACAAAGCTCACCCAGCAAGCCCGAATCAATCGTGATCATGACAGGATATTTTGACATTGGCCAATACCTTCTTTGATCTATTAGCATTTACTCTGGCGTAGTCGGCTGATAGAACGTCGCGCTCGTGTAAATGTCATCAAGAGAGCAGAATTAAGAGAAGAAGAAAATATCCTGAGCACCAACTAGCGAATTGGGAAAGCTTGTAATATTCCTAGCGTAGAGTAGGGTGTGATTGAAAGGAATCCGCAACATGCCATTCCAGATTCCCATCCTTATTAATATTAACATTGCAAAATTGGATGTTTGTGTCGCATAACTCCGCTCGCCGAGCAAACATCATGGCAAACAAGCTCCGTGCCCTTCATCGCTTTGTGCCTAGATTCAAAGGGCAAGCCCCAGTGCTGTGTGTGCTCTGTGCACTTGAGTGCTCGAGGGCACAAGGGTGGCTCGGACCACCTGAATCGTGAATCGTGGGAGAGTGGTCGTGTTTTTAAGGCTGATTGCCTATCCCATCCCCAATGATCGTCTCCGGGGTACAGAGCTTCCCGTTCCGGGACAGCTCCCTGTCAGATTCGTGCCAAGAGCATGAAGGTCGACCTCACCTGACGAAAATCGCTCAGTTGGACTCATCACCTCTATTTCTTTTGGTCTGGCCTCTCTCTCCTTGACATACCCGATGAATTCTCGTGTTTGGCCCTCCCTTACATCCGTTCCTTGCTAGCCTCCCTCCTCTGCCTCCCTTACAGGATCCTCTTGCAGGCTTTCGTCGCTGCACTTTGAATGCGTTGGCCCTTTACTCAACATTATATTGAAGGAAATCCGCCGTTAGGCTCAGTCTTGCGCCCCTTACTAGCTCAACAATGCCGTTCCAACGCGGTGGATGACGCTTGCTGTCTGCCACGTGAAGAATCGCAAGGGCCCGACACTATAAGGGGCTTACTATAGACTAGTATTATTGTTCGCAGGTTTTGTTTTCTCAGCAATGCCTCGCCAAGGCCAACAGATACGAGTAAGACGATAAGAGGAGGAGAGAGACAGCCAGCGAGAAAAATCACTCTCCCCTTGCCCATTTTTCTCCGCTTTTTCCCACCGCATCGGGGCGCTGGGAACGTCAAACCCGGTGTCCCCCTCCGTTCCCCAGTTCCTGCATCCACCCCCGGCGCTGTGGCGTCCTGGTCCAGCTGGGAATGGGCGGTTAAATTTTACAGCATTAGCGTCCGCGAGATGAACGGAGACAAAAAAGAAAAAGGGGAATAATTTGCCCATCTCCTCTCCCTTCGGCACGGGGAAGACGATTCAGTCGTCGATAAATGTATTTTTAACGCAAGGGGTTCCCGCCAACCGCCGGACATGGCTCGAGCGGTCCCGAGAAGCAGCTTGAGCAATATTGCTGCGACTGGAAGCTTACATGTTCAAGGGTCTGCTTCTAATGTCCAGGAGGGGGACGCAGGGAGACGGAGGGGGAAGGGATAGCATTGACCAAATCCCAACCTGATCCTGGCCAGCAACAAATCGGTTTAGATAGAGCTGGTGGGTTTCTTTTTTATTAGTGCTAGCAAGGAAAAACCCTCATCGCATAGCCACACACGCCAGCTCCCCTTGTTCTCCCACGACGAGCGATGCTCTCCCCGTCCCGGAGTCCTGTCGTATACGTGTGCTTGCGTGGGTGCGCACGCGCCCACGCTACGTGTTTTCTTGTACGACAACATCCCAACCACCACCTCTCCGTTTTCATGATCTATCAACTCCGGTGCATTTCACGAGCGGTCGAGCCGTCGGATTGCGAATCCTCCCTCTCCAATCAGTCCGCGCCGCCTCTCTCCCAACGGACCACTGCAGCGGATGCGCAGGTTTGCAGATCGCTGTGGTCCTGCCTGTCTCATCCGAGCTGGGTCGGCTCTAGCCTGTGGCGAAACAAGAAAAAAAAAAACAGAGAGAGATCGCTGCTGGCACCAGAGTCCTTGTCTCGCAGTCCCCGACTGGACGGGTCCCAAAGGGAGATCCCGGGACCCGAGCCCATGGCCTCAGCAGATTTAGACTCTTTTTTTTTTCTCGTGTCAATCATCTGGCTAATCAAAAGAAGTAGGGACGATCGCGCCCCGGGTTCGTCAAGCCACACGCCGGGGACTGGGAGATTTGACTCCCCCTTCGCACCCTTTTGAGCCTCTCCCAAGACGAGCAAAGGCCCGACTCCCCGCTCTTAGCTTAAGGTATTCCAAGCTACTGCGGGTGTGGCCTACAATAGTCCAACCGTGACAAATGCAGCACTACAAACCAAAAGAAAAATACGAAAATAGGCAAGAGGCGAGAAAAGAACAACAGAAAGAAAGAAGAAAAAGAAAAGAAAGGGACAAATGTTGCCCTTTTTCGTCAGAGGGACGCATCGTCGAGAACATTGAACCATGGATATGTAGGCAACGCTGCGTGAGGGTCCAAGCGGCATCCCACTTCACCTCACCTCCCCTCCTCTCATACGATCCCGGCTTACAGATATCACCGGATAGCCGGCGATAGAGATACACGTCGTTGCATCTCCGCCTATGTCTGCCCTCCATTCGGAAAGACCCTGTCATCCCGCCATAGCCAGGCCGTGTATCTGTGAAACCCTGCTCGCTCTCGCCGCCTTTGCTCCCAAAGGGTTAGTTTTATTATTATGATTCTTCCCTTTTTCTTTTCTTTTCTTTTGCCTCCCTTCCCCTTTGATTGTTTTCTTTTTCATTACTAGCCTTGGCATATCTTATTTCCCTTTGCCGTACCCGTTGCAACCCTTTTCTTATTGTTCCTCCATTTTATTTCCCGCTCCGCGCCTCCTTGGCGCACATCTTTGTGTATCCTTGCTCTCTCTCTCTCTCTCCATCCTAGGTTAAATCGGACAGGATCCCAAGCATCCGGTCCTTCAAGACGGCATCTTCCAAGCTGTTGGTTCCTCCGTTGCCTTCTTCTTCCCCCTCCACACCCTCTTTCTCTCACTTTTCATTTTTCTCGTCCCGTCTCCCTCCTTCCCGTCCGATGACTATATCCTCCCTTCCTATGCCGTGAGAAGAACTTCCTCGAACCTTCTCCCGACCTTCTCCCAGTCCACCACTCCTTCTCCCTCTAGGCTCCGTCTAGCAGACATACCTACATACACACACATACACCACGCCCCCATATCACCAGCCACCCACCCAGCCATGAGACTCCTCCGCTTCCTCTCGGGGCTCCTCGCCACCGTCGCCAGCGCCAGCGCCAGCGCTAGCGCCTCCTCCCCCACGCCGCCAGAGCCGGCAAAGGCACCATCCTCACCGGCCCCTTCGCCAACGACCTCAACGGCTCCAACTTCACCTACCCCTACCCAGTACAGCTCTACCGCTTCGTCTCCCAGGGCCGCGAGGTCGAAATGGCCTTCATGGACGTCGCGCCCACCCTCCCGGTGCCGCCCCACCCCGTGCAAGACCGCCGTCCTCCTCCACGGCAAGAACTTTTGCGGCGCAACGTGGCAGGGCACCATCGCCGCCCTCAGCAAGGCCGGGTACCGCGTCATCGCCCCCGACCAGGTCGGCTTCTGCAAGTCCTCCAAGCCCGACTGGTACCAGTACAGCCTGCACCAGTTCGCCGCCAACACCGCCGACCTCCTCGACGCGCTCGGCCTATCCGGCGGCGTGAGCGTCATCGGCCACTCGCTCGGCGGCATGCTCGCCACCCGCTTCGGTCTCATGTACCCGGACCGCGCCGCCGAACTCGTTTTGGTGAATGCCATCGGACTAGAGGATTACACCGCCAAGGGCGTCCCCTACGTGACCCCGACGTCACGCAGGCCAACGAGGCCGCCTCCACCTACCAGTCCATCCGCGGCTACGAGCAGGCCGCCTACTACCTCGGCTCCTGGAGCGACGCCTACGACGTCTGGGTCAAGATGCTCGTCAACATCTACTACGGTAGCCAGAGGGACGCCTTTGTCCGGATCCAGGCCCGCATCGTCGACCTCGTGCTGACCCAGCCGATCGCGCACGAGTTCTCCCGCCTCCAGCCCCGGACCCTCCTCATGATCGGAGAGAAGGACATCACCGCCATCGGCGCCCAGTGGTCTCCTCCCGAGGTCGCTGCCAAGCTCGGCAAGTTCGACAAGCTGGGCCCCTACGTCCTGAGCCAGTTACCTAGGGGCACGCTGATCCGGTTCCCTGACCTTGGCCATGCGCCTCAGATCTCGAGCCCCACCTTGTTCCATGAAAAGCTGCTGGGATGGCTGGGAAAGTAAGTTGAGCGAGAGGGCGAAGGGGAAATATAGGCGGGGGTACAATCTTTTTTTTTTTTTATCTTTTCAGAACAGCGCATCATTCATCACATTCCTTTTGTCGGCGGTTCGCGTGTCGCATATTTGTAGAAGCGGGCGGGGAATCTTTGTTCGCGTGTTGCCAACGACACTTTTTTGCTGTACATACACTTAACGTCATTTTTTTTGCTTAGAGGGTCTTGTATCTATTTTCTCATGGCCTCTACTTCGAAATCTTCAGTTCTCTACTACTCTAATTCATATTCTATGGCCCAAGAGGGCTATTCATAGCAGCAACCGCGCAGCTTTTCACTTATGCATGGGAGCCTTCTCTTTCCTTTTTCACTTCACGGAAAGCCCGTATTTTTGCAAATGTCGATGAAGCCGCCTTGTTTAATGCCGCCGCTACTCCTCCACGCCCACCGCTTCGCGACCAACCGCGTAACGTAGACCAACCCCAGCAGCACCGGCACCTCGATCAGCGGCCCCACGGTAGCCGCCAACGCCTGATCGCTCTGAGGTCCGTACGTCGCCACCGCCACCGCAATAGCGAGCTCAAAGTTATTGCTGGCGGCCGTGAAGCTCTGCGTGACGCAGAGCGGATAACTGAAACCGAGCCTCCGCGCGCCGTACAGCGTGACGAAGAAGATGGCGATGAAGTACACGACGAGCGGGGCGGCGACGCGCACCACGGAGACGATTTGGTGCACGACCTGGCTCCCCTGCGAGGCGAATAGCACGATGATGGTGTAGAGGAGGCCGACGAGGGACCAGGGCGCCGCGACGCGCAGAAACACCCTTTCGTACCACGCGGGGCCCGCTAGAGCTTGCAGCGCGAAGCGGGTGATGATGGCGGCGCCGAGGGGGATGCCGAGGAAGATGCCCACGCTGCGGGCGACGACTTCGTAGGAAACGTCGAGGTCGCCGGTTTCGCCACCGATGACGCGGATGAACAAGACGGCGAGGGGCGCGAACAAGACCATTTGCAAGATGGAGTTGATGGCGACGAGGATGGCGCAGTATTCGCTGTCGCCGGCCGCGAGGCTGTTCCAGATGAGAACCTGCAGCACCACGGCATGTTAGTGGAATTTCCAAGGTACTTGCTACGAGTGAATGCCAAACAGTGTTTGTATCCATACCATTGCGATGCAGCGTCCCAATCCCACGAGAATCAAGCCATTGCGCAGTTCGCTTTTATCGGGCAAGAAAGCCCACGCAAGACCAAGCTACGCCGTCGGGCAGAGTTAGTACCAAGCTGAAAATTCGTAACTGAGCCCGTAGGTTCAGTGGTGGGGCTCTTACCATCAAGAAGGGAGCAACGATCCAGTTGAGCACAACGCTCACCAGGATTTGCTTCCACATGTCGCGGTGGGAGAGAAGCTTTGGGAGCATCTCGTACCTCACTTTGCACAAGATGGGGTACATCATGACGAGGAGTCCGACGGCTGCGTAGAAATGCCATCAGCATCAGTGAAATCTGTATGGAGTAACAATGTGGCTAGACCACAAGCATGGATGGGTGCCTACCGATCGGAACCGAAACATCGGCAAACTTTCCCTTTTGTAGTGTTGGCCCTGTTGACGGGACAAAGTTCCCCAGGATGATACCGATCGCCATGGCGAGGAAGATCCATAGCGCCAGGAGTCGGTCTACCCATCCTAAACCTCGAATGAGAGAGCTAGTCTTGGGCGTTGCTGAAGTATTTTCGCAATCTTGCTTCTCGACTTCACTTAGACTTGCTCGCGAAATCTTGGAAACCGGGTTCGGTGGACTCGGGTCCTCGGGTCTCTCAACGACAACGGGAGTCATTATTAGGAATTCGTGGAGCCAGGAGATCAGGAAACTATGGACGATCTTTGCCTTTCAGAATATTTCCCTCAAAATGAAAAAGGGAGCCGGGCCTGGAGAGTTGGTTGATTTCAAGTCGGTTTCTTGATAGCTTGGAGTGATCACTAACAAAAAGTGGTGGGGGAAGAGCTCGAATCCACAATACAAAATAGTCGAGGGGTCAAGGGATTCGAAGCTGAATTGGCCAATGACAGACGAGCAGTGACAGATAATGTTGAAGAGGGAAATTTTTCGACACTTGCCCTTTTAGGCTTGGTTCGGATCTTGCTTGGCTTGGTCAAGGAAAAGTTTCTTGCACCACAGGCATCGCACATGAATTATTTTCTCAGGGTCACACTTGAAGATTACCTTGAAAATGGTTTCTTCTATCCCAGAAAAATTCCCCAGCATGTGAAAAAATTGGAAGGCTAGACACCCTACCAGCAGCCTCTGCTCATAGAGTCACTTTACGAGCCTGGATATGAGCGAGAAAGAAGGGTTGATTTCTACGCCACCTAGTCAGGACTTCATCAGACTATTTTCTGTGAATCTAAGAATACAAGAAAACTATCCAGGAAGAGTGATAGAACAGCGTCGCAAGGGCTCGGACCTATCAATGAAGTTGGAAACAAGACACGCATTCGCAACAGGATTTCTTCGAAGAACTGTTAGGCACCACTACCCTGCCCCGGCGCCCGATGGGGATTCTCCAGAGCTACAAATATCACGATTGGAATCCGGTATGTGTGCATACATAGACCGACACAGACTTTAAGGTTTCTGTCTGACAGCATGTTATGCCTGCGATCGAACCCAGCTATGCTTCCTCCGCGACGAGACGAGTCCAGCCCGACAATGTGGATTATTCTCCTTGCTTTGGGAAATCCGCTTACGCCAAGTCTCTACTGACACCTTCTAGTGTGGCGTCACGGCGTTTGACTATAACCATGGCTCAAGCCACATTTTGCCAAGCGGAAGCTGCTTGTACAAGCATCACTGAACAAGAGCTTCAGGAGACTAACCCTGGCAATCTCTAAGACCAACTATCACTGTGGGTAATGGGCCATGTTTGGATATGGTGCAGAGGTTACCGAGGCGTGGCCTACGTTTAAAGCAATAACATGCGCGCGGAGTGGTCGTAAAGCTCTGTTAGATATGGAGCCATAGGCGATATGAAACTAGATCACTAACTACTAAAAATTGTGCGTGATATCGATCAAGGACGCATCTTTATCTAGATTACTTGGGTTACTGCATAAGAAGGTTACTATACCTGCAAGCTCGTGATTCTTAATCAAGAGTAACACTGGACGTTGCTAATTTTGGCCTACGACGATGTAGCCAAGAAACCCACGGTACCGGGCACCATGTTCTCCAACAAACGTCTAATATGTACTCTACATGATGCTCTACTATCCCCCACCACACCCGATCACATACCCGATTGATACGGAAAAGTGGCGGGCAGCCCTGAAAGCTTGTCTACGAGCAGCCTTACGCGTTCACCCTCGAATCCCGCCCTCGGCCGTGTTCTCGGACATGTGTGTGAGCCGCTCCTATCATTCATCCAAACCCTGCCGGCGAGCACCCCGCGATAACAAATTCCGTTCCGGGCTATGGGAAAAGAAGAAGAAGGAAAAAATGCTTATCTCGAGTTCCCTTGCCTGCATTCGTGGCCCTCGCCGACCCAAGAGGATATTGGGTCAATTTATAATTTCTCGGGAACTCCTACCACAATCAGATGAATACGTCGGCGCCGTACGTCGCCCACGGGTTCTCAACCCCCACTAGACCCTATGGATCTATTCCGGGTCGGAGATGAGTAGCTTGTTGCATCCCGTGCAAGAACCGAAATGGAAGGGAGGGGGAAAAACAGCATTGAAGGCTCTGCTTTTGGGTCGCAGTCCACCTTAAATCAGCCCACGGCTAAATGCAGGGCCCACGATGAGGATCATCATCCCATATTCCGGCGCATCGAGTAGCCAATATACCCAATGAAACACGCGAATCCTGGTTTTTCTGTCCGCCTTCCCTCCCTCTTGCTCCTATGCTTCTTGCCGTATCATTTGCCTTTAATGCCGCGCCGTGTCGCCGCGTTCAACTTCCAAGATTAGTCATTTTCTCCAGCGATGGCATCATCTGTGGACGGTATGTCGACCGCCGTCTCAGGCTCAAGCCTCTTGCCGCGACGGGGGTCACCGCCCGCTAATTCTATATTGTCCTGTTGGCGAGACTCGCAATCCGTGACGCGGCCTATTCTTCCAGCGTTTGAGATTCTCTCGTCTTTCCCAAACACACAGAAAGGAGTTTGAGTCGACATCTCATCCAAGATTCTTAAAAGGACGATAACAATGGTCGGCGAATCTGAGCTTTTGCGCCATCACGGTCGGCTCGCGGCATACAATCCGGTCCTAGCCTTTCCACCTTGACACCATGTCCACACTCGCATCGACTCTCATCTCGTGGGCGGGGTCTCTCCGCAAGTCGGTCGAGGCGGAGGAATCCGCATCCACCGAGCCGTTGTTGCAGAAGTCTGACGATGGCGACGAGGGCGGCACAACCACCGTCGAGGAGCCGGATGACTTGTACCCACTGCACTACTTTGACGATACCACCATCAACCGAAGCATGATCATGTGCTGGAGCATGAAATTCGACGATGTCTTGGATCCCGAGGCCCTCCGCGACTCCTTGTCCCAGGTCTTGGATATGGGTGACTGGAGGAAGCTAGGCGGCCGGTTGAAGGTGAATGTTAGTGATTGCTACGAACGATACTCCTGCTCCCGCATCAGGGAGGTGTCGCCGATGTGCGCGAGTTAGTTGATCAAGCTGACAATAGTTGCCCGTGATGCGGCCCCCCACCAGGCATGGAAACGTCTCTACATACACGTACCGAAAAAGTACTCCGCCGCCCGCCCGCCAATCCGCTACTCCCACGCCGCCTTCGACATCAAAATCGAGGACCACCCGCTCGCCTCCCAGCTACCCAGAGCAACAGGCACCCCCTCTCTCCACCCCGGCCCGGAGCTGTTCACCACCTTAGCCCAGGGCCCCGGCAGCCCCGTCTCCATCCACGACTACATCAAGGGCGACGAGCCGCAAATCGCCCTGCACGTCGTCTCCTTCGAGGACGCCACCCTCGTCTCCATGTCCTGGCCCCACACGCTCACCGACGCCATGGGCCGCTACGCCCTCATCGAGGCGTGGTGCCACGTCCTGGCCGGGAGGACATCCCAGGTCGCGCCGCTCCTCGGGGCCCGCGAGGACCTCGTCCGCCCCGTGGTCAAGGACCCGGAGCCCGGCGAGGTGGAAGAGCCGTACGCGCTGGAAAAGTACCTCTTGACCTCGTGGCAGATGCTGCTCTTCGTCCTGTACTTCTTCATCGACGTCTTCTGCACCACCCGCGTTCTGCGCACCATCTCGCTCACCCCGAAAGCCGTGGCCACGCTCGTCCGCGAGGGGAGGCAGGATGTCGCCGACGTCAAAGTCGGCGACAAGCCGGCCTTTGTCAGCGAGGGCGACGTCCTCACCGCGTGGGCCACCCGCCTAGCGGCGTCAGAGCTCCCCGCCCACTCGAACCGCACCGTCATGCTAAGCACCGTGTTCGAGCTGCGGAGCCGTCTCAAGGACGTCTTCCAGCAGGGCGGCGCCTACGTGCAGAACCTCGTGCTGTCGGCCACGGCCGTCGTGCCCGCCCAACACGTGCTCAAGAGGCCCGTCGGCAGCCTGGCCCTTCACATCCGGCAGACGATTGCCGAGCAGACGCGGTTGCCCCAGATCCAGGCGCAGGCGCGGCTCTACCGCCGGATGTACCTGAAAAAGGGCCACGGCCCCGGTTTCGGGAAGCCCAGCAACTTCATCGTCGTGTTCAGCAACTGGCTCAAGGGCAATTTCTTCAACGTCGTCGACTTTGGCCCGGCCGTCCTCCCGTCCAAGACGGCGAGGCAGAGCCGGGGGCCAAGGGAAGCCCGTGTACTTTCACTGCCAGACGCTGCAGAAGGCCCCGACGTCGAGCAATATTTTCAATATCCTCGGCAAGGACGGCGAGGGAATGTGTGGATTACGGGGTATCTGCCCCTGAAGACGTGGAAGACGGTCCAAGCCGAGCTCGATAGACTGACGTGAGCGTCGCCAAAATATTTGGCGTGCCACGACCCCGTCGGTGTTCTTCGAGGGGAGAGGCCTGGAGGGGTGGGATAGTGGCCTGTGTAATTTTACTTCAAACGAGTGGAAACTTTGTTGAGATGGTTTTGGAGGCACCAACCAATTTTCACCACAATTGACTGCATTCTGATGCACTGGCTAAGTGAGAAAGGGGACTAATATCCTTGTCACGATAGTTGCTCGTTTGTACTAGGGTTGCAGATGGATTCGTGGATGCACATCATTTATCCCCTCCTCTCTATTGCTACCCTGCGTGATTACTTGGTTTACGTCTACTCGCCTATGTCACGGGGTATCCCGACCGGTTTGTTTGCCATGTCTACGATGCTTGGTATCCGGCTACAATCGGACAAAACTAAGGCCGTTGTGGGCGATGCCAGGTCTACGTGGCCCGTTACCAAAAGCAAACGAGCTGGAAAGAAATCCGGCCATGGGTATACGCTAGGATCGGGTTCGAGAGGGATTCGGGTGAGCGAGCCGCAATCGACAAGACACTGGGCTGCCGACCATTCACCTATTGCATCAATGTTAGCTTGGGGCTTTGATATCATTGAGACAAAGGCATGATGAGCAAAAGGAGAAATGTCCAAGTCAGAGGGTGGTGATGTGGGTCATCAAATGAAAATTCAGGGTTAAAAAGCTCTTGATTGTATAGGATATCATCATCTGGACGGTGATTGAGGTGCTTGGTGCACCAAGAAGAGGAAGCAGGAAATAGTATGATTGATTGATCCTTACCTATTGATTCAAGCCATCGTGTTGGGCTTTGGATAGTGTAAAAGAGGCTCTGAGAAAAGGAAGCAGCCTCCAATTTTATGTTTGGGGAAGTTTTCATTCCTAACTCGGCAGATGAAAGCTTTGAGCTTTTCACAGAGAAAACAAACACAGAAAACAATGGTTATGTAAGCGAATTCATCTTTCCAGAATCCACCTCTGGTGACCAGTTGGGTACAGCTGTCCTAGAACAATCCCGCTCCTCTTCCTCACTTGCAGCACGGGAATCACTCATAACCTATAAGTGATGAGTCGAAAGCACCAGGGAGTGCAGGCCAATTAGCTAGAACCCAAGCCTGCCATATATCTTTCGCAGAAACCCGAGGTGGGGGAACGAGCCCTCTCTCCAAAATCTCCAAAAAGGTTGGCCCGCCGCATGAATGATCTGGCTCTTTGTTGTTGGAGTATGGCCAAACAATGCCATTCGTAAGAACATCCTGGGCCTCCTGGGCCTCCCTATCCCGCGGATGCCCCCTTGCGTGAGATTGGCTGCCTTCTGCGCGGCCTCCCGGGAAAGCAATGATGACGAATCGATTCGACCTGTTGTGCAACGGCACAGTGGGGTTTGTGGACTACCCAGGACGGTGATGCCCATTATGAGGGGAAGAGTCAACAACATCTGGGGTTTATAAGCCGTCGAATGTCCGCGATCATGGTTTCTCTCGTTGTTCAGGTCTAGCGAAAATTTCTCCTGCCAAACCCTCCTTGATATTCACAATTCTTCCTAGCCAAACGTTGACAAGGATTCTGTAGCTCCCAATGGCGTCCTCCATCGTGGAAAGTTTCTCCCCTCGGACATTTCAGTCCTTGAAGAAACCGTCCGAGGCAGTTATCACCGACGTAGAGTTATTGTCATCGTACAACTGGGTCGAGGCGCCAGAAGACTCGCCCACCATCGCTGTGCCGGGGTGCCCGGCGCGGTGGCAACCCCCACCCGTGCACGGCGGCTCCCCAAGGACACTGGCCGCTTCTACATTGCCCAAAACGAAGCTCGAAATCCAGGGCATCCCCTGGAGCCCCTCTTCCGCGCCGTGCTCCTCTCCCGTCCCTCTTTTAACCTCGGCGAAGTGGACCTGGTCAGCGATCGCAACAACCTCCGGAAACTCTTCAGTTTTGTCGATCCGGCTTCGGACCGCAACGGCCTGACGCCCTTTACGATCAACGTCGAGGTGGTGGGCAGCACGGTGGTATTCTGCCGAGACGGAACGGAGACTGTGCGCGTGGTCGGGGCGCATCAGTTCATGGGGTATAACCACGAATTCGAAAAGGCCCACACCGTGAACAGTATCGAGGGCAGCACGGGCCATTACAGGATCATCTCCTACCGCTTCGGGGACCACAAGCTGGTGGTCAGGCACGAGCTGAGCGGCCACTGTTCGGACGTGCAGGCAGCCTCTGCGACGGCCGATGCTCTCGCTGATTCGCTGTCCTTGTTGGCGTTGACGCCCGCTGATACCCCAGCTCGCGCCGCCGGGCCGGATTCCAAGCTGAGGATCAAGGAACAAGGGAACCTCGTCCCCCTTGAGTCCACCATGGAGCTGAAGACGAGGGCTATGTCGAATGGCATCGTATTAGCGCATGTAGTAACCCAGCTCTGGGTTGCTCAGACGCCGAAGCTCGTGCGGGCGTGCCACGATCGCGGGTTGTTTGTCGAGCCGAGGGTGGAGGACGTTGGCGCCTATGTCAAATCATGGGAGGCCACGAATCAGAACCACTTGAGAAATCTCTCGGGGCTGACTGGGAAGATTGTCGAGCTCGCAAGGGGCCATGGCGATGGGGCCATGTTTACTCTGAGTTATGAGTTGGCCGAAAACAAACTCGTGCTCCGAAAGGCGTGTCGTCCACGAATGCTGCCGAATGATTTATACTCTACACTTGTCATCGACGACACATCCCCGACTATCAAGGAGAAGGCTGAAAAGTAAAGAGGAACGGTGCAAGACGTCATCGCATTTCTGCACTGCAAACGGATGTTGCTATTTCGGCTTCCGGCCCATGCCTGCGCCAAAGGTGGCTAGCACAGGACGCCACATTCCGTCTAATGAATATACCACTCTTTATTAACGAGAAGACTCCTTAGCTGGACAATGACCCAGTCGATAACGCCTATAACCGAGAAAAGAAAGATTCGTTAGGCTTTTAGCGCAATATTCGACACGACGATCAAGCAAGCCAACCACGCTGACAGACGAGCTATTACCTCACCGCTCAGAATAGGGCCCTCGACCGGAATGTAACCATGACCGACAAGGCCCTATTCCTTTCTTCGGATATCTCGGATTCAGATGGGCAACCAAGTGCAAGGTTGGAATGGGAATAGGACCGGGACTATGCGTCTCGCAGGTGACGGCAGATTGGGCCTCCCGATTAATGAGGGTACGCCGTGAAGAGGTCAATGATAGGTCGTGAGCTGCAAGCGGGCAAACAAAACTAATGCCCAAACCCATGAGTCAGCCAAGGGAAAAGAAGCAGAAAAACCAAAGAAAACCAGGGCTTCTTGTGCCGTATTTCGGTTTCTGCTTTTGTGCGTGAGAGCGGTTGAGGAACAAAATATTCTGCAGCAGAATTGGAAGAGTTTGGGTTGGTAGCTGCTCAAAACCGGAGCTTTGTGTTACCTCAATTTTGCCAGATTTTCTTTTCTTTTTCTTTTCTTTTCTTACCCGGCTTTTTGTCTTAATTCTCATTCTCCGCTCACCTTTTCCAGAAGATGGCCAAGTTCGAGATTCCGCCATCGGCCACGGGCCTCCGCGAGATCCCAGAGTCGGAGCTCGACCTGCGCTCCGACGCCGAGATCATCGCGGACCTTAAACAGTTCGTCCCCGTGACCTCGGAAAAGAACCTCTGGGCCTTTTGGGACAAGGGCATCGACGCCATGTACCCCAGCTACCGGTGTACGGTCCTCAACTGGGTACGCCGCCTGGGCCGCACCTGGACGGTGCGCATCGTCGACCTCGCCGAGGGCTCGCCCAACAACGTGTACAACTTTGTCGGCGCCGAATGGTTCCCCGAATGTTTCGTAGCCCGGACCATGGACGGAAAGCACGCCGCGCAGCACGCCGCCGACCTCGCGCGGCTCCCTCTGTTATACGTCCACGGCGGCGTCTGGATGGACGTGGGCAACATGCTGCACACCCACCTCGACCGCCTCTTCTGGGACCACCTGACGGGCCCGGACGCGCGGTTCGAGATGGGCGTGTGGATCATCACGGGGCAAATCAGGAAACCGTGGGGCAGCTTCGGGAACTACATGCTGGCCGCGCGCAAGGAGTGCACCTTTATCCAGAACTGGCACAACTCGTACAAGTCGCTCTGGGCAGGCCGGACCAACGCCGAAGGCTTCAGCGACCTACCGCTCGTGCAGGAAATCGGCATGGCCGAGGGCCTGGCAGACTGGGACTTCAAGGAAAAGCTCAAGCACATGAGCGACTACGTGGCGCAGATGCTCCTCGGGGACCGCACCAAGAACCTGCTCGACGTCGCGACGGGCTGGAACGGGCGCGACTTCTGGGAGACCAAGGTGTTCATGGTGGAGGGCATCGCCAACGGGGTACTCGCCGCGATCCGCACCAACGGCGACGGCTACCGGCAGGCGGAGCTCTTCACGACCGCGCTGGACGAGCCTGACGCGGCCAAGAGGCAGGCGGCGGAGGATTTCGTCGTGGAGATGCTGGAGAAGAGCCACATGTACAAGGTCTACCATAACTCGTCGGGCGGGCGGCCGGCGCTCGGCGACGTCATCAAGAAGCCCGAGTTTCGGGACGCGGATCACAGGCCCGGCACGTTTGGCGAGCTGTACCGGTATGGTACGGTGCACTGGGAGCCGACGCGGGAGGTGGAGCGCCTGGTGCCCCAGCCGACGGGCGAGCCCTTGATTCGGGCGACGCCTACGACGGTGGCGGAAAGAGGGTGATGGGCGATGGGAGAGAAGTGGTCAACGTTGCGAGCATTTTTGTTTCATTTACATTTGGAATCGGGATTATCATCATGAAGGAAAAAGAAAGCATCGTTATGCCTCGGTAGTGGTATTGCCAAACTGGTGCATCGACTGTTGGCGAGGAAGATCGCCCACGTTACACCTCGCCACCAGGTCCTAATAAAGAAAAGGGTGCGAGAGGTGGAGGTCGTCGGCGATCATATTCTAGTTAATGTAGATGTGTAATGATTTACATCTTGTCGTTGGCTGGGTTGGATTATTAAGAGCAACTGGTTTTAATATTTGACTCGGTTCAATGACCGTCTCCACGTCCTATTTGGATGAGAACGGGGCTCCCAGCACAAATATGTCATGACTTATGCGATCGAATCATGGGGTGTCCTTGAAGATGGGGTCTAGACTCGATGCGATTGACATTTGTAGTAATTCCAAGGTGACAGCCAATGACGGACCCTCGTCGCTCTCCCCTTTTCCCGCAGATCGGGAGACCTTTGATGAGCCACTGGTGTCTTGAAACGATCACGTTCGAGGGGAATAGCTGGTGACGCCCGAGGAGGAGCCCTCAGCACATGCCTCCTGGCGCAAGGAAGGAAGAAAAACAACAACACCAACAAGTAATAGAAGGTTGCACCTGGTCGCAACAAAGGAAAAATATTCCCCCTTTGCCAGGTTTATTCTCTGATTCGCTGTTTGACCGGGGGAAGCCATCCACGCGTTCGCTATGGCTGTGCAAGTTTCAGGAAGTGGGAGCATTTATGGGGTCGAGGAGACTCGAGAACGTTTCAAGTCTCCGGGAGCTATTATTAGTGTCGCATTGAGCACACACGGTCTTCAAAATGTTGCGTGGGCAGGCAAAGACCATGCACACACACAGGCACGCACACAGGCACACACACACAAGGGACGCAGGCACACAGACACACAGGCAGCACTGGTGGAACCGTCGAACCGCTGGCCTGACAGTCAATGCAAAAAGGTGCCCGCTTTTGCTCCCAGCCATCACCATCCACACTTCTAGCCCTTTCCGCGCTGTCTTTGACATTGACATATGCCATCTGGTGAAGCTGGCACGCGCCAGGCCCAGGCACGAACCTGTTCTCCCCCGTCTTTTTGCATTCTCTATCTTCGATTTTCTTGTTCTTTTCCTAGATTGGCTGGCTCTAATTGACTCAACTTGGTCTGTGATGGGTTCTGAAACGGCGGCCGAGTGGATTCTCCCCATCTCCATCCAATTCACGCATTGTTTATTCGTCGAGGGTCTCGCCCTCGATAATTAGAGATAGATTACTGTTCCCAGTAACCGCCGTCATGATCAACTGGAAATCCAATCCATGGCAATCTCACGACCTGGAACAGCATTCGCCAATCGCTGATGCTCATTGAAGCACACAGCACCGCTCTCCAGGTTCCACTCCGAATGATCGGCGGGCAGTCCTCGATGATCCGTGCATCTCCCGCCATGAGACGCTACCACCAAAAAATGCACCGCTTCCCTCCTCCCCCTTCTTTTCTCCCCCTTTTTTGTCTGTTGTCGAAACAAGAGCTGCTTCACCTCTTGGCATTTCCCAAACGAGCAAGTAGGCCCTTCCCTGGTGAGATCCATGCGTGGTGGAGACCGATCGTCAAGCCATCAGGTCTCATCACTGTCGGATGGCACCCTGGCCATCACCTCATGGCTCGCTTGGTCATGGCCGCCGTCACTGTCATGCCTTGATAGGTGTTTGGCGTACCGAGGTCGCTTCTCCTTCCCTTTTCCCCTTCCATGTATAATAGAGTAATGTATGTAGTTCGGATCGTGGGTGGGTCGATGATCTGTCGGAGAGTCTGCGTGGCCCTCCCACCAATCCAGCGTGAGATTCAAAGCTTGGCTTTGCGAAGGTCCCAAGGCTCGAACACAGGTATCCCTGCCACTCGCCAGGGGAAAGAAGCATACCTTGGAGGGAGAGTCCAACGTAGTGTCCTGAATAAACTATATCAGTCTGGGCCCGCGAGACTCGGGACCATCTCCAACTCCTTCTTTCTTCACCCAACCGCCCTCTCCTTTCTTCGTCGCCTGTCCTCCCTTTTTTTTTTCTGTGCCGACTTTTGGCTTGTGTCTACTGTGTAGATCTGTTGTTCGCTTCTTTCTCTCCCTTCCAAGCCGCCCTTTTATTCCCCTTGCCCAAAGTTGAGCACTCTTTTGTTCTTGCTCCTTTCTCCGGTTCACTCTCTCACTTGTTTATACGCCTCTTCGCTGGTCGGACAAGAAAAAACACACCCATCTTTCATCATGCGTACCGTTTCTTCCATCAAGGCCGCGCTCGTGAGCGGTGCCCTCTTCCAGGTCGGCTACTGCAGTGAGTCCGCTCGCGCTGAGAGGCGACAGTTGGGCAACCTCGGCGATCTCCTCAACGGCGGCAACCTCGCGGGCCTTTTGAATGGCGGAAACCTTGGCAACCTCCTAGGAGGTGTCGGTGCCGGCGCTGGAGCTGGTGCTGGAGCTGGTGCCGGTGCCGGTGCCGGTGCCGGTGGTCTCGGAAACCTCGGAGATCTTCTCAACGCCGGTAACCTGGGAGACCTCCTCAACGGCGGAAACTTGGGAGACCTACTAAACGCCGGCAACCTTGGCGACCTCCTTGGTGGTGCTGGTAACCTCGGCGATCTGCTCGGTGGTGCCGGTAACCTTGGTGACCTCCTCAACGGTGCTAACCTCGGCGACCTCCTCAATGGCGGAAACCTTGCCAACCTGCTCGGCGGAGGTGCCGCGGGAGGTGCCGCAGGTAATGCCGGAAATGCCGGAAACGCTGGAAACCGCGGCAACGCTGGCAACGCCGGAAACGGACGAGGAAGTAAGTTTGAAAACAGCACCCTCTCGATATTCATTCTCCCGGCTAACCCCTTTCTCCCTCTAGACGGCCAAGGCAACGCCGCCAACGACCTCACCGCCGCCGACTGCAGCGCCCTCTCCGAGGCCGCCGTCGCCGCCAGCTCCATCCTCTCCTCCATCTCCCAGACCAGCGTCGTCGACACCGCCACCGCGACGGCCACCGACGCCGCGGGCACCGAAGCGGATACCGGCGCCACGCCCACCCCGGACATCATCACCCTCGTTCCCGACGGCGGTGCCGCCGCCACCACCGACGCCGCCTCGGCCACCGCCACCGAGGACGCTGCTGCCACCAGCGCCGAGGATGCCGCCGAGACGTCTGCCGCCGCTGGCGAGGACGACGCAGAGGAAGAGGAGGGTAACGTCGTCGAGCGCCGCCAAAACAACCGCGGCGGTAACGGCCGTGGTCGCGGCCGAGGCGGCAACAGGGGCGCCAACCGTGGTGGAAACGGCGGCGCTACCCGTGCTGAGCGTGCCGCGCAGCGTGCCTTGGACCGCGCAGCTGCGGCGGCCGACGAGTGCGCTGCTCTCGGCGTGACCTTGCCTGGCGCTGGTGGTGCCGGTAACGCCACGGATACTGCCGTGGATACTGCTATTGCCACTGCTACCGCTACCGAGGATGCTACTGCGACGGATGCCGCTACGGCTACGGACGAGGCCGGTGCCACGGAGACTGCGACTGATGGTGCTGTTGCTACTGATACCGCTGCCGACACTGCTGCCGACACTGCCGCCGACACTGCCGTCGCAACGGAAACTGGCGCGGCTGCCACCACTACTGCCGCCGATGATGCGGCCGAGACGAATGCCGCGGCTGAGTAAAAGTACAATCCCTCGAACAAAGTAGGAGTGCAGGGAAAAACAGTTGTTCCTCGATGAAGGACTATTACAGAGCACCGGAGCACTTCCGTCTTTCGGCTGATGGCCGGGCCGGTAAGGATATAATCAGATCACTGGTAATCTCCGGCGTTTACACTGAGGTCAAACGGCCAGGATAGAGCCGGCGGGTTAGGATAATTGGGCAGGCTACTCTTTTTTTTTCTTTTATCTGTTTTTATATCTTTTTTCCCCCTATTCCCATCTCTTGGGGTTATCGTAGCAGTATGCTGGCCAGCTCAAAAACAACAAACAAGCCCCCAAAAATGGAATGGGTCTCACCGCATGCCTCTTGTCATTTCGCAGTGTGCACATGTAGCCTTGTAAGCCAGCGCATTAACCAGTGTAGAGATTACGATTTGCTATTAAGCTATCTATGGTTCAATTAAAGCATGTAGGAGTGCGCAACGGCCAAAAGACCAGCAAGGGCCAGCCCCATCATGCTGTGCCGGGCCATCGCAGCACCAGAACCGTTGCCGCCGTCACTCCCCTCGGAGCCCCCTGACCTCCTCGTCCCGTGCTGCCGCCTTCTCCCTCTCCGCCCTCGCTATCGCTGTCCTCCGCCGCGACAGTCTGGCCCTCGACGAGGATCGGCTTGCTATTGCAGTACACGTCGTGCTCGGCCGACTTGGTCGTCTCGTTGGCGCACTTGCCGATATCCAGCAGCTTGGCAGCCACGCGCGCGCCGAGGTCCTCGGGGAAGTCGACGCGGCACCTATCCCAGATGCGTTCGTAGTCGGGCTCGTTGAGCACCAAACACCGCTCCGACTCCTCCCCTCGATGAGCAGCGAGATGCCCTGCGAGGCGCACCGTTCCCCGTCGTCCTTGGACGCGCTCACGTCGGGCTCGACGCCCTTGTCGTCGTCCAGCTCGAAATACACGGTGCCGTAGCCGCCGTCCTCTCCCGTGATGAGGTCCTCGTCCGCCATCCTCTGCGCGGCGAGCCCCCGCGGCGCAGTCCTGGGTGAACTGGATCTCGTACCGCAGGTAGTTGGACCGCGTGGGGTCCCCGCCGCCTCGAGCAAGCCCACGGTGGCGAAGTAGGTGCCCTCGTCCTCGGGAAGGCCCTTGCGCACGTTGGTGGCGTTGAGCCAGACGGTCTCGAAGGGCGCGAGGCCCTTGGCCGGGTCGAGGTTGCGTGATAGGTCGAGCTTGATGGAGAGGTCCTCGGGCCAGGCGTCGGGGGCGCCGTGGATGGCGAGGACGACGGGGAAGGGAAGACGCGCTTGTACACTTCGCTGTGGCGGGGAGGATGACGTCCACGCCGAAATTGACGGGGTAATTGGTCGCGGCGAGAGCCCCGGCGGCGAACCAGAGGGCGACGGACCGCATGCTGGGCTGAATGTTTTTTTTTTTCTTCGGATGGTGCGTATCGAAAACGAGTGAATTGGGGTCGGTGACGCGCGTGTGGGGAGTGTCCCTTGGGGGAGGAAAGGACCGATCGTTTGGCTGGCGATCAAAGGAATGGTGGCCACACGTTGGGAATGAAGATTCTTGTCGGGGAATTCAAAAAGATCGCAGGTGCCCGCGTGGGTGGGAGGTCGGCTCCTTTTTTCAATGAAAGAAAAATCCTCGTCGCTAGGCAGCTCTGGCGCTCCTCCCAAGGCGGCGGGAGGGATTGATAATCTTAAACCAGCCGCCAAATTTTATGCGGTTACATCGTAGGAGCCTTAAATGCTCCCACAAGCTCGCTCCTTTCGGCGGCCTACGCTGGTCTTTGCCAATCAATTCGCCAAGCTTCACCATCCGCGGGGAAGCGACCCAGGAACCATTGTGGGGTTTAATTTCGCGACGCTGGGCGATGGATTTTCGAATTGGCTGCTTCTCGGTGGCTGCTGTGCTATCACCTGCTGTCGTTCATCCAAGCCGACACGGCTATACTGGATGATTCGTCGCCTGGTAGGGCTAGCCATGGTGATATGCATACATATGTAGTTTGGTGAATAGGGAAAGACGGGTGGCGAAAAAAGGTGAGAGCGAAATCTGATCATCGCCGCCGCCTGTGGCGTATGGGGATCGTGACTTGGAGGTCAAGCGCACGGCGCGCGGCGTCTACCAAAGTATGGTGACGAGATTGCACTGCAAGCTCAAATGGACAAAAGATCCATTCGATCAACCCCGCTCCTTCATCTTCGTTTTCGCTCGTGGTCTCGGTCATACATGTCGGCTATTGACCTGCTACTGGATACACGTACGGGTGTCTACGCCCCGGTGCCTGGAAAGGGACGCCAAGTCAGCAGGAACCAAGATTTTAGGAAACGAGATTTGAAGGGGTCGATGCTAGCTGCGTACCTGGATTGAACGTCGGAGGAGCATACCCCGCGAATATTGACAAGAGCCACCTCGTTTGACAGGCTACATGTAGGCTCTCTCTCGCCAGGAGAAAATCCGAACCAGGTCGGACGGTTGCTAACCACAGTGACAGTCAGGCAACTCAATCAACCGAGTGCATTTGGGTTAGATGTAAAGAAAGTTAACAAAGAAAAAGCAACCCAGAGAGACACGGGGAAGGCAAATGTTAAAGTGGAAAAATTCAAATGAAAATGAACAAGTCCGCTAAGCGAGCTCAGCATACATTGCGGAATGATTTCAGAGCATTGGCCCGTCGAGGTGGCGATCGCCGCCTTTGTGTGACGGGACTGTCCAGAGACCTTCATTAAACGAGCGCCAGACGTGGCAGCAAAATGTGACATAACCCATGAATGCCATCCTGTGGCCGGATCTATCCGCTCTTTTGTGCAACGTGCCATTCTCTCCTCTCCCCGGCCCTTGCTTCTTGCCCAAACCCATCAATGATCTGACTGTTTGAGGTGATCGTGAGGAGTACGAGTAAAGTCGGTGTGTAATTGGCCAGTCATGGAAACACTCGGCCTTGTAATATTGGTTTCCTTCGTATTGCTTTCTTTTGCTTTACTTCCTTTTTCCCTTGGTGCTTTTTCTCCCCTTTCGTTCTTCTCTTTTCATTTTTTGATTATCTCTGTCTTCTTTTGTGTAATTGTGTCCTTTGAGGACTGCACGATTGATGTCCACTGTTGAAATCCGGCGAACCATCTCGTCGACACCATGCCCCAACTCCATCTTTTCTTGGTGGTTATGTAGTGAAAGGGATCCATTGCACCGCACGCCTGCCACGAGTAGAGGTGCATCCGGGTATGCAGGCACCCGGTGCAACCCCCGAACGGCGGCTCGCAGCAGCGCGGTGCGGCTGCAATCCAACTCGACGCTTCACGAGCCCCCAGCGGTCAACGGTTTCCGTGTCTAAGACAGCTCCAGGCCCTGTCGCTGGTCACAATCACCCACGGGGACATGGAGCAGCTCAAGTCGTACACGTCTAACATGACACTCTTGGAGCTGCTCCACTCCTGAACCCAAACCTAGACTCGTCTCGTTCAGCAATTCCTTTCCCCAGCTGCACCCCGTATGCAGCCGTACGGGGCCTGGGGATGGATCAAACAACCCACTCCAACCCGCCAAACCCTTTTGGCTTCCGCTTGTCATTGGCCGTGTTTGGGGGCGGCGGCGAATAGGTTTCTCTATCAGTTGTCCCGAGGTCAACTTGTCCCTGACAAGCTCGCTAGCTCTCCTTCACGACCGCCGTCGAGTCGAGTTCTGGCGTGTGTGTCTCGAAAGCCCCGCTTTCGCAAACCCTATGTATCTTGCTCTTGCTTATTCGACTTCCCTCAACCTTTGCTCTGCCTTGCGATTTTCGTGACCTGGAACGCATTCAGGGGAGGCGTGCCCTAGCGTGCGCCTGCCATTGCCGCAGCTGGGTACTAGGGGCTTAGCCTCTCCACCCACCATCAATCGCGCCCAGATTGATTCATCAGCTCGAACGCTGCAAGATCTAGTGCGGTCGGCACGTCTTGCCCAGTCCGTTGTCGAGCTTCCCTCCTGTGACGCAAATTATCCTCGCTTCTGTTTGCTGCGCCCTTTTATGATGCATCCCACGTTTGCCCTAGGCCACCAGCACAATGGGCGGTGATCGACAGAGACCCATCGCAAGAGCGAAGTTCACCTTTGTTGATACAGTGTTCATGTGTTCAATGAAACCGATTACTCAAATTACCATGGGGAATTGCACTCATGTTGTCCATGACCTATATCGCATATCGCACAAGACCAACCCCACCAACTAGTCCAACATGTTCGGAAAAACAAAAGAAAAAAAAAAACAAAAAGAAAGTAATCCTCTCCGCTACGAAGACATCGTCTTCTTGGTGAACCCGCACACCTCCTTCATGCAGTCAATGCTCCTCATCGTCTCGCTAATCTCGTGCTTGTTGGTGCCGCTCATGCGGTCGTCAATGAGCTCGTAGATGAACTTCATCGCCGTCTTGATGCTCTGGTCCGTGGTCGAGGAGTCGCCCCCGTAATTCTTCCAGTAGCTGGTCTGGAGGTCCTCCAGAATGTACATGCCGCCGGGCTTGACTGCCTTCCACAGGTGCTGGAGCGAGACAATTTGCTGGTCCATACGGTGGCCGCCGTCGTCGATGATGAGGTCAAAGTCCATGCCCGCCTTGGCGATGAACTCTTCGAGCATCGTGGCGTTGGCCTGGTCGCCTGTGAAGACGTGCGCTTGTTCCGTTTTGTGCGCCCACTTTTCGGCGCACGCGGCATCGTACTCGATGTAGAAGAGCTCGATATCGGGGAAATACTCTAGCCATGTGGAGTACGACTTTCCGGGGCCGTAGTTCTATCCGTCGCCGTGGTGCACATGTTAGCCAAGAGTAAAGACGCCAATGGCAAAAGATGATATAGAGACACGGTGAGAGAGAGAGAGAGAGAGAGAGAGAGAGAGAGAGAGAGTGACGAACCATATTGCATCCGAGGCCAATTTCCAGCATCTTGACGTGCCTGCCACGGATAGACGGCAGATATTTCTCGTACATGTATTGGTATTCATGCGTCGTGACCTTGTCGGTGCCGGCAGCCAGCGCGATCTCGTGCCATGTCTTTTGGTATACCTTGCCGCCCGCGGGCATCAAGGGAGCGTCGCTTTGGTCAGCCTGCTCCTCGTTCCCATTGCTGTGGATTTTTATCCTGGTTAGCAAGCTGCAGCTTCCCGGCCATGAACAACCTAGTAGAGCAGGAAGCGACAAGAAAAAGAAGAGGAAGGAGGAGGAGGAAAGATATCTCCAGGAAAGAGTAGGCTGTGGGCTGACATACTGCATTATGCGGGAGATCTGGAAGGCGGTGTCGTAGTCCATCATGTGCACCAACCCGGCGAGTAGCATGATGCAGGACACGCCCGCCAGCACGGTATAGAACCTGTTCCTTGGTACGACCATGATGCCGCGAGTGTGGGGAGCGAGTGTGGAGATGCGTCGTCTGCTTGCGTAGGGCTGAGAGGCGGCGAGCAGCAGAATCCAATAAAATCTTGGGGGTGGAGAGGGGAGGGAAAAATAGCTGGAAAAGAAACAAAGAAGAAGGAGAAGAGAGCAAGAAAAATAAAGTGTGACCAGTCTTCTCGACGATTCCAATCGAGTAGTGGTGGACGAGGGAAGCTTATTGTCATTCATTCATGTTTTCCTGGCCCCTGGCTAGTTTATAACAAGTCCCGCCCGGGGAGAAGAAGGGGAGACGTGGTGTGGTCGTGTTGCCCTCGATCGATATCCTGCTCCAGTGTCTCTATCACGTCGCCACTTTGCTTTTCGAGCTTCCCAAGTCGGTGCCTCAGCGTCGCACGCCAACTCGGAACTATCGGGCTGTGTCTCATAGCCCCTCCCCCTTGGAAGCAAGACTTGGCCGAGATGCCAGCGCCGTGACTCCAAAACACTTAATCAGGAAGCTCGAGACAAGTCGCGCCCCTCACGAACCAATAGCTGGTGGCTCAGGTTCACCATGAGACATTGACGTGCCCGGCCAAGATCTCCTCTCTCGCCCTTTTCTTTTTTCTTTTTTTCTTTTTGGGCACTCGGTTTTGCACTCCGCACACACCAAACACGACGTGCGCCCGAAAACGCTCTTTTTCGACTGGGACAAGGTCATAAAAACTCGCCACAACCAGCTGTCCCCGGCCCAGTCATGAATGGATGCATGCAATGTAAAGCGTGCCCGGTCCCACGCCCATCTTGTGTTCTTTGCGTTTCTTTGATTCTTTTTTCCCCTTGTCCTATTGCACCACCAGGCTCACTCACTCCCTCATAGTTGACCACTGAGGTGTATCGCGAGAGTCGAAATCATGATGGACTTTTACGCCATCAATTTGGCCGGCTTTGCCGCCATCAACGCGCTTCTCCTCCACTGCTACTATAGGCGGATGGGCAAGGCCGAGATCGAGGAAAAGGATCACCGGAGGGAGGAAAGCTTGATCCCGAGCTGGCAGCAGTCCGAGGTTAAAAAGTTCATTGTCGACTACTTCCCGGGCTACGCCCTGGCGGTCGCCGCCGACTGGATCCAGGTAAGTAGTGTTCAGGGATTTCCAAGAGGGGGTCCTTCCTTATCCATGGCCGCTCGCCACCTACCCAACCGACGACTGACTGAGAACAAAGGGCCCGCATATCTACGCCATTTACAAATATGACAAACAGCTCCCCGAGAGGCTGGTGGCTGCCCTGTACGCCGCGGGTTTCGTGAGCGGAGCCGCTTCCGCCTCCTTCGTGGGTAGGCTTGCGGACCAATACGGCCGCCGTCGCACCTGCATGGCGTACGGCCTGATGTACATCATCACCTGCCTCACGATGCTGAGCGACGACATCATCGTGCTCTTCGTGGGCCGTCTGACCGGAGGCGTGGCCACCACGATCCTCTTCTCCATCTTTGACGTGTGGATGGTGTCCGAGTACAATTTCCGCGGTCTCGGCGAGTCGCCCCTGTCGCTGTCCTCCGTGTTCAGCTATGCCGCCATCATGAGCCCCGTCATTGCTATCATCATGGGCATCTGTGGCGACGCCATGGTCACCTCTCTCGGCAGCCGCATCTGGCCATTCATGGGCGGTGCGGTGTGCTCTAGCTTCCATGCTATGGATCAACCACAGATGGGTAAGCAAGCACGACCCGCATCCGATGCTCTCCACGAGACCATCTCTCCTTCGTTTCATCGGATTTTCTTTTTCTCCTTTTCTTCTCTTTGCTAACCTTTGTTTGCAGACCGAAAACTTTGGCACGGCCGCGAGCCAGGGTCGCTCGATAAAACAAGCCATCAAGTCCATCACCTCCGATGCCCGCATCATGGCCGTCTTGTTCGCCACCACCTGCTTCGAGAGCTCCATGTACCTCTTCGTCTTCTTCTGGTCCGCCGCGCTCAACGATGCCCGCGTGTTGGCCGCTCCGCCTGGGGCCACGCCCGAGGAGTTGCCCTTTGGCTTCATTTTTGCTTGCTTCATGTGCGCCATGATGGCGGGGTCCTGCCTCTTCAACCTGTGGCGCCCGGGCTTCCAGGGGCCTCGCTCGTCCTCATGACCGCTTTGGCCATAGGCAGCCTGGGCCTGAGCTCGGCTTCCCTGATCTCGTTTGAGAAGTACGTGTTCTACGCCTTTGTGGCTGTCGAGGCGTCCATCGGGCTCTACTTCCCCGCCATCAACCTCCTGAAGAGCGAAGTGATTAGCGACGACATCCGCGGAAGCACATATAGTTTGATGCGACTTCCCTTGAACTTGTTTGTCGTCATCACCCACAGTCTTGATAAAGAAGGTAAGAAGCCATTTGCCCTTTCCACACGAGACTTTACGCTCGCTCTCTATGCTGCTTCAATCGCTAACCACCTGTTCATAGGCGACTCTCACCGCAACAACGTCTTCCTCCTTCTAGCAGTTTTGTTGCTCCTCTCCTCGGAAGTGGTCCGAAGGGTCTTTTGAGTCATCCAAGAGGCAAGTTGATTGGGATGGCCCCGCTAGGAATATGATATCTACTATACAAGGGCTTGGAAACCATGCCTCTCTTGTCACGCGCCGCAGTTACCGGCTGTTTGGCCGACTGGGCGTCTGCAGGACCAATTGCGGTGGTCTCGGCGAGCTATAGGAGCATACATGTAATTGGAAAAGACTGTTCAGAAAAGGGAAGAGAAAGGAGAACAAAAAAAGAAATTCCCCACACGCTTTGCGCGAATATTTCATCCGGGCTATCTACCCGGTCTCACCAAATTTACCCTAGCTAATATCTTCCCGCCCTTGGGCTCATCGGTGTCCAATGTAATCTTCCCAAAGCATCGGGCATTGCAATAGGGATAAATTAAGCCGCCTATTCTCGCAAGATATCGAGATGCGGAAAAGGGGTGCCTCCGCTAGTCCCCCTTCCTTTTGTCCTCCAGCTAGAGAATACGATATGCGATTAGATTCGAAATAGATTGCTCTCGTACCATTCAGGGACCAACATGGGGCCTTTGGCACACGCTTGGGACCTTATTTCACGATAAGCCGCTAATTTCTTTGATGAGCTCTCGTAAGTAGGCACGGATCCCAACTTGAGCCCCCGATTCCTTGCCCCCCTTCGCGCTCCGCGATATTGAGCATGCAAAATGTGCCCATGCGGCACGCAAGGGGTGGGTGCTGCGATATAATCGCCGCCGTCCTTCTGTGCATGCATCCGAAGAAGCCCATTTCGCTTTGATAGAGAAGAGAAGCCGTTCTTCCGGCAGGTGGGTAAGACACGGGATTTATACAAGCGGACAGCTTCGGGAGGTTCTCGCCACGATGCCGCCTGCCACCCAAGTCCAGGTTAGATGAGGCCCGCCCTGCGCCTACTAGCGAGAAGGGAGGCGTTCCGTGGGGAAGGAAAGGAGAATAAGTCTTGGCGATGTTCATAATACCTCCCTTCCGGCCAGTCGCCTCCCTTTTCTCACTCGCTCACCGGTCCCTTAGTTAGTTAGTCACAAGCGACAGGCCATTGGGTGCTCCGCGAAGGGAAAAAAAGAAAAGAACTTCTCAACAAACCCAGGCCAGGATCAGGATGCGGTACGGATTGTGGGCGTGGCTCGCCCTCCTGGGACTCTCTCGGGCGCAAAATACCTATCCCTGGGCCACGGCCATACCCAGGGGGACTGGACCGCCTTCGCCGACTCGGAGCAGCCCGGGAACGAGGCCCAGTATGCCATAGACGACGATCAAGGGACTCTATGGCACACGCCGTGGGAGCCCGATACCGTGCATCCGCATTGGCTCGAGGTGGACTTGGGCCGTAGATACGTGGTCAATGGCATCACCTACACCCTCGTCAGGACAGCCTGGATAACGGCAACGTCGCCGACCACGAAATCTACCTCAGCGACGACGGAGAGAATTGGTCCGATCCGGTCGCCTACGGAGTGTACCTCAACGACAAGACGACGAAAGCCACCTTCTTCTCCACCAAGACCGCAAGGTACGTCTTATTTGTCGCCTTCAACGAGGACCAGGGCAGGAATTGGACCAGCGTCGCCGACTTTCACGTGTACTCGCCCGACGTGAACATGAACCCGGACGACTTTCGGCCCCCAAACCCCGCCACGCAGGGGCGTGGGAAACAACGATTGACTTCTCCATCGTGCCGGTGGCGGGCGCCCACGCCAAAGACGGTGGATTTGTGTTCTGGTCGGCATCGCGGCCGGATGACTACCCGGATGGCTCAGATTCGACAGAAACGATTGAGTGGAACCCGACCAACGGCGCCATCACCCACCGGACCATCGCCAACACGAACCACGACATGTTTTGTCCCGGGATTTCCATGGACGCCGACGGCCTCATCATGGTCACGGGAGGAAACGACAACAGGAAGACGAGCATCTACAATCCGGACGACAACCAGTGGTCGGGCCACCCCGACATGAAAATCGGGCGTGGCTACCAGTCCCAGACGTTCCTGGCCGACGGGCGGACCTGGGTCATCGGTGGCTCCTGGAGCGGGCCCAAGGGCGGAAAGAGCGGGGAGATCTGGGACGGCAACGAGTGGACCTCGCTACCGGGCTGCGACGTGACGGCGATGCTGACCGAGGATGTCGGCGGCGTCTGGCGGTCCGACAACCACGCGTGGATCTTTGCCTGGTCCGATAACACAATCTTCCAAGCCGGCCCCAGCAAGCTGATGCACTGGTTCGGCGTCGAGGGCGAAGGATCGGTCCGGGAAGCCGGCTACCGAGGCGACGACAATCACGCAATGTGCGGCATGGCCGCCATGTTCGACGCGGTGGAGGGCAAGATCTTCACCGCTGGCGGGTCGCCCAATTACGAAAAGGACGACGCCACAAAACACGCCAACCTGGTTCGCATCCGCGGCCCCAACACCGAAGCCGAGGTTACCAAGCTTCCCGACATGTCGTACGCGCGGTCCTTTGGAAACGCCGTCGTCCTGCCGGACGGGAAAGTGCTGGTTGCCGGCGGGCAGGCGTACGCCAAGCCGTTCAATGACGAGACCGCCGCCCTGCCGTGCGAGCTGTTCGACCCGGAGACGAATTCTTTCACCATCGTGGCGCCGATTGCCGTCGCCCGCGTCTACCACAGCATCGGGCTTCTCCTCGCCGACGGCACCGTTCTTAGCGGAGGCGGTGGGCTGTGCGGGAAGGGATGCAAGGAGAATCATTTCGACGCGCAAATCTGGTCGCCGCCGTACCTGTTCAACAGCGACGGCTCCCGGGCGACGAGACCTGTGATTAGGTCCGTGGCCTCGCGCACCATCTTGCCCGGCGACACTCTGGAGGTGGAGACCGACACCGATGCGACGTTTGCCTTGGTGCGGTATGGGTCGTCCACCCACGGCGTCAACACTGACCAAAGGAGGGTACCACTTTCGGGGTCGTCCGACGGGACAACGTTTAAGCTCAAGACCCCGGATGACCCCGGAAAACTCCTCCCGGGTTATTGGATGTTGTTCGCGCTGAATTCAGACGGCGTTCCAAGTATTTCAGAACGGATACAAGTTCTAATCCCATAAACACGAACTACCGAGAGAGAGAGAGAGAGGTAGCTGAACGGGATTTTTCGTATCTTTATTTTGTATCTGCACGACGTAGAACATTCAAGTACACGACCCTGTATTTTATGGAAACAAAGAATTCTTTCTTTTTCAAATTATAAATTCATAATCATGTTATTGATGTGGTGTATAGTCATGGGCTCATAATAAAGTGGCTGGTTTACGAATATAATTGTACAAGAATCGGTCCCCGAAACTTGCGGGTTCGATGCTACACCTTCACATCAACTCTCTCATAGGTGCCAGAGGTTCTTGGAAGTCGGGGAAGTCGATCCTTCACCTCGCTTCACACACGTCCAGCAGGTAGAGTCCGACGAGTTCCCGCAGTGGCCGTTGTAAAATGGCTTCTTCGGGAAAGGGCAGAGGATGCGAGTCTGGTTCGTGCCATCAAGCGCGGTGAACTTCATCGACGAGTGTTCCGGGGCGGTCCCGTTTTCCACCCAAGCGCGGAGTTGCGCAAACATCCCCGAGGGCTGACCTCCCCTGCCTCCGGAGCAGTGGCCAAGACCAGGGATGGGGAAATGGCGGTAAAAGTCGTCGACGTCTGGGAACAGATCGGACACAAGCTGGTAGTAGTGATCGGTTCCTTGTGCCGGGATGAGATTATCCGCCTAATAGGAGCAAAAGACAAAACATGTCAATAACAAACTCGAAGAGCAGGGATGTTTCACAAGGAAAGGAATGCTCTTACCATGCCGTGGTACGTGATCAGTTTCCCGCCCGCATTGTGGAATCCAGAAATATCGGGGTCATCAAAGTCCATAGCCGACTGCCACTGCTGGAACGCGGAATGGCCCATGGCCTCGTACGTCTCGTGGCTGATGTTGTCAGACTCCCACTTGGGATCCTTGGCGACGAAGTAACGGAACAAATCCCAGCCGTATTTGCCAGGGTTTCCGACACAGGTACCCGTGGAGCAATTGGTAGAGGCCATCATGGTGAGGTCAGACCCGATGCTGAGACCGAACCAGATCTTGTCACCCGCCACGGTCCTCGAGCCGTCCCAGAGCGCGCTAGCGAGCTTCGCAGCGCCTTCGCTGATCGTGATGGGACCCCCAGTTTGGGTGCAGTTGTCGATGGTGCTGCCGACGAGGCTGGTCGGGTCGAAGCTCGCGACGCAGGTGTCCGGGTCCGAGATGAGGCCGTCGACGACGCCGTCGAGCCCGTCGCAGGCCGTTACTGCCGCAGCCGTGATGGCTTCGAGCTCGCAGCCGTACGGGTAAAAGTTTTCCATGTTCATGTACTGCTGCGGCCAGATGTTGGACATTCCCACCCTGGTCCAGTAGATGACTGGCGCACCGGCGGCGATCCCGTCGTATGCGTCCGGGTACCGCTGTGCCAACGTCAAGCCCTGTCTACCCCCGGTAGAGCACCCGTTCCAGTACGAGTACAAGGGACCTTCTCCGTAGAAGTCCTTGATCAGGGCTTTTCCAAGGATGGCCTACCGATAATGAAGGTCAGTTGATTCATTCTGTTCTATTGAAGCCATGGGAAAAGAGGAATATTTCTGGCGACCATACCTCATCACCCAGGCTTGACGTCGCAAAATTCTGGAGATAGTACATGTTGACGTTTCCAGGACTGAGCAGGATCCAGGGGCTGGGGTCGCTATAGGTTCCCAAGCCAGCATCGGTGGTAATGGTGGCATAGCCATCACCGATAGCACCAGCCATGGCATAGTACACGCCCGTCGTTCTCCCGGTGTTCCATCCGCCGCCGCCGACGGCCTGGAAGCGCTGGTTCCAGTTATCGACGGGAAGCCATGCCTCGACTATGATGTTGTCGTTCTGGCCGGGATGGGTGTAGGTCACAGTAATGTTGCAAAACGAAGCATCCTTGACGTCGATTGATGGCTGCGTCCGCCTGTACGTCCCGTCGACGAATTGGTTGTAATTCGTCACGAGAGAGGCTTGAACAGATAGGATTTCGGCACCAAATAGGGTGGGCGCGAAAGTGCCTGAGGTGCAGGCTGCTGCGAGAGACATCTTGTCACGACTGGTACAATGGCAAAAGAAGTGATCACGATGATACCAACAGGTTACCACAACTCGAATCTGTCGAAACAAAGAAGTAATTTGCGCATCTTTATAGATGGATATCTTGACTACCCTTACTATAATTCTAAAGCCGCTACCTTTGTGATCAACCATAGTCCACCATCGGCAGTTATTCCAGATCGCTCTATAGATTCTCCACCGATCCGTTGAGGGTTCTCCATGAATCTTCTCCATCATCGGATCTTATGGAGCCGAACAGGATCCATCGATGCAACCTTGGCGCAGCTGGTCGTCGTCGTCGAGCGCGCTAAAAACATGCTACCCGCCGGATTGACACTCGAAGTGCAGGCGCTCCAGTCGGTCAATTCCACCCAACCACCCACTTCCCCGCATTCTAGCTCTCCTTGAGCTCCGAAGCTAGCGGACGAAGGATGGGAATCCGCGGAGCACATTATCAACGCGAGCAAATTCTCGCTAGTGTCTCCCGCTCTGACGTAGAGGTGGGGCCGTAAGGCTCAGCAAGATGAAGATGCGGGGCGAGCCGACAATCGTGGAGGGACGCGGCAATTATGTTCCTACATCAAGGAGATCGAGCCCTCAACCCCAGGGTGGTGCATCTTATCTGATCAGCGACTTACTTTCTTCGGGGGCATTGTGATCATCAACTACAGTCCTCTTGTCCTCCAAGTGTATCCCAAGGAATGTGACACACGAGGATCTCTCACGAGATAAAAGCTCCCTGAACACAACGATACTGCTGTTGCAATGCTCCCTCCCATTTTCTGATCCAAGGTTTCTCGGCAACTTCTCTTTGCAGTACAGCGAGTGGACTGGTACGATGGCGGGGAAAACCCCGACCGCTTCTCCAAGTTACTCGAAATCAACTAGTGCAGGAAAGAGGGGAGCGATCATGGGCTGAGCCTCACTCAATCGACTTTGAACACGTCCATCATCTCCGTCTAGCCTTCCATTCGGGTGCACAGGCCGCCTCCTTGGGTCCCGACGAGCTATCCCATGATGAGTATCCCAACTTGGTGTCACCGTTCCTTTACGAGACGGACTCCAAGGTTTGTTTGCATCTTGCCGTAGAGGCAGCATTTCGATTTCCTCGGGTGTCTTTTCCATACGCCCAAACTCTGCGGACTCGAGTGGCCTACGTGTAACGAGTAGATGCGGACCTTGGCGGCGCACTATTATCATTCCTTGACATCTCCGTGCATAATGACCAAGTCCCCAGCTTGACAAATTCTCAGCCATTCTAGCGCTCTCGCATATAATGCGCGGTAAAAGTAGGCTACCCATGCAGATAGATTTCATTGGTCAACACTTCCATTAATAGTCTCCGCGGCACTATAAGCCACCATCGAATCGTCATGTCGAGCGAGACAGCATCTGCCTTGGGCCTCCCATCCTTTACGTAAACTCTTACTATGAACGGCGTTCGGATGGCTCATTGCCGCGCAGGATCCTCTGTTCGCACTCTCTTCTCGGTCCCTGTAGATCCCCAAACAAAGTAGAAACACATCATCTCAGCGCCAACCATCACGTCTGATCACGTCCGATCACGTCCGATCAGTCTCAGCGATCACGTAAACATTGCAATCGCTGTATAGCCAGCTTGCATGGCGCTGCCGATCTTGGCGCCCGCCCAGCGTGTGTGGCTTGGGGAAAAAGAAAGTGGCGAGTGCGGCCGGAGAGCCGGCAGCACGGTTCAGGCTCGAGTGCGAGCCCGGACGCCCTACCACCGCGAGAGCTCTTCGGCCCGACCGCCACCGACTTTTAGACATGATGTCTGCTTTCTCTGCTCTGCATGAGCGCCGTGAGAGTAAAGTCAGAAGGCATACCGCGTCTTGGGGCAGATGGGATCACCCTTCCTAAACAGGCAGCAGGTACGGTTGGGCAGATGTGCAGGCGAGAGGAGATGAAAGGGAAAATATGATCATCACGGTGCCTGTCCTGCCTCCGCAATTACGATTGAAACTCGGGTTGATGATGCTCCTGGTGAATAGGGAAGTTCTAGACAGGAACTTTGGCAGTGGAGCCTATCCGATTAACCGTTTCTGACACTCCATCGAGGAGGGAATGGATCGTCGCTCACGTTGGAAGGTCGAGATTCAGGCTTCCAACAGTGGCCGAACCTAGCCAACTCCTTCTTCGAAGTTTGAACGTATGCCTTGTTCTTCCTTGATTAGACTTTCCAACGCCGGGACGCTACAGGGCTCGTGCAAAGTACGTGGCCCCTTGGCAACGTGGTTCTCTGACGATGGCAGGAGATGACACTCTTCCCATCTCGAGCATAGAGTTGCAGTCCAGAATGGCGATCCTCGCTCCAAATGGCCGGCACCGGGTAAGGATCCGTGCAGGGCTAGCTGCACCCAACTAGGAGGTTTTATTCAAGCGGGGAAGAATTAAAGAGGTGGGTTCGGGGATAATGTGACAAGAGCTTCTGAAGGAAGAGTCTGGTTTCAGTGGGCAATTTTTGCTTTCGCCGATCCGTCCTGGATAGGATGCTGATCTCTGCAAAGGGGGATGATGGGATCATGGCCAGGCCGATTATTAATGCCTATCCTGGTTCTAGCGCCGCATGTCGTCCCCGAAGAAATTGAAATCATCGTCGAGACGTGGCACCCTTTCCAGCCAGCCGAGCGCGTTGGCGTCTGGTCGGATTTTGTGATCAACGGCCCGCAGTTCGTCACTCGCTCCTAGAGGCCGCCACCAAAAACAGGGGAGAAGAGGCCGGCCTTATTATCGAATGCACTGTCCTGGGGATCAATGATGGCGTCGCTGTCCGGATTGGTTAGTTGATTGTCCATTTGTGGCTGGTCCGGGTGCTGTCAAGCCCACCGCCTTGGAACCTCAATTGATCGTTCCCCTGAAAATCTGCGTGCGCCCAGGGGCGAGGGCTGGGTTTTGTGTGCCCGAGCTGAAGCCGGGCAGTGATCGCTCACAAAAGGCAGTACTCCGTGCATGTCAGCCCCGCGGCTAGCTGGCGGACTTTGGGGCGGTTTCGGTGTTTACTTCTTGTTTGTGATGGAGTGAATAATACCCAGCCAGCCGCGAGGAACTGGGCCTAGAAGGGTAGTGTTAGGCATTACCATTGATGTAGCATAATAGTGGCCAGGCCAGCCAAACCAAGGGGAAGAGGGGCCAGACAAGCGCCACCCCGGACGGCGGTTGCGCGAGCTGTCGCTTTGTGGCGCTCCACACCCCTTTGCCTTCGCCCTTCGGGGATTTTGTTGATGTCTTGGCTTGACAGAACCGATCGCCAGTAAGCCAATTTTGCTGGCCTAGCCATCTGAACCCCTTCCCTCCTTCCGGAAAGTGACCACTTTCTTCACACACCGGTGATTTGGATGGTGACAATCTTCCCACGTCTGGCACTCACTGTCTTGGCTGGGTAGGAGGATGGACGACACATCCTGGGTTGATCAACTCTTTGTTGCAGGGGCAGCTGAAGATCGAGATGGCAGCTCTAGAGGTTTGCAATGCTTCGTCGAAAGCTTGAAAAGAAAAACTATATAATCCCGTCTCTGACCTCGTCAGTTACTCTCTTGAATTCATCATCATCCAGCTTCAGCTTCACATTCACAGTCCAAACAACTTCCTTCACACTCCCAACCCATTCCAACTCCTTCACACACACTCCGTTCCTAGAACATTCATAACTCCTCCCCCTTTCCAACCATCAAAATGCAGTTCCGCGTCGTCACCATCATTGCCCTTGCCGCCTCGGTCATGGCCGCCCCTACGAGGAGCGCTCTACTCATACCCCCATTACCTCCGACATTACCATCCAGGAGGCCACCAACCAGTGCGGCAACGGCCAGGAACTCAAGTGCTGCAACAAGAACCTCGGTGCCGCTGGATCTGGTAACGGTGGCCTTGTCAGCGCCCTCAACGGCCTCACCCTCGTCGACGAATGCTCCAGCCTCTCCGTCACCGGCCGTAAGTTGCTCCTAAGGCGAAGAAGCCCATATCCCGCCTCAGCAATGAATGCACGATACTAATCGTTTTCCATAGTTATCGGTGTCTCTGATTTGCTCAAGAGCCACTGCAAGCAGACTGTTGTCTGCTGCAACGCCGGCTCCACCCAGCAGGTAAGACAGTTTGGCTTTCCGCTTTCGTGCCATGGCCAGCTTGCTAACAGTTCCTCTAGAATGGCCTTGTCAACATTGCCCCTCCTATCCAGTGCCTCTCCATCAACGGCCTCGTCTAAGTGCTAGACGGCATAATTCCTTGCATGGCTGGCAGGAGTTTACTTCCATTGTGAACATGAAGGGTTGGTCAAAGGTTTAGGTTGGGTTTGAAAGGGCTGGGCGAGAAAATGTTTGTTCTATTCGAGGGCTATCTATTTAATATTACTATACACTGGATTTGACAACGACATTATTGATTTCTCTGTGTCCCCTGGTGACTGATGTGATTGGATGCGACGACAGACCGACAGTGCCACCATCGCCAGCTTCTCTCTTACGCGTTCCCAAGACTATGTTGACTTGTGAGCCAAGGCAGACTTTTGGTTTCTTCCTTTTTCCTTGTTCGATTTTCTTTTCGGAACCCATGACATGCATTGCACACACCATCGGACCTTGACCGGAGAACCTCCGCGAAAAATCCGATCCTTGACCCAGCCAAAACCACCACCCACAGTAAAGGGCGCTTACAGATTCCTCTGACCATGCACATGGAAAATAACCGTGCAGGTCGTCATGCGGCGGCCGCTTTGCGGCCGCTGCCTGGTCCATGCACGGTCTCGTCCCATGGTTTTCCGCTCGCCAGTCGTCATGTTCGAGGCTATTCGTGTCTACACGTCCCTGAATTACTGGTCGGGAACTCGACTGTTGAATTAATCAAAATCCCGTCAGCACCGCCCCTCCACCTCCCGTCGTCCAAAGTGGTCGTTCCTCCCTCGTCACGAAATGGAGGCTTAGACCGAGGTCCCCGGCACCACCGGCCGTAATACAGCGAGAGGGCATTTACTAATTCACCGACAGGCTGGGGATGGGCAGGCAGCTACTCGCTTACATTGACTTGCACGATTTTCGGATCCTTCGTGATCGTTGACGGAAAATGCTGCCCACCATCCGCCCGTGGTGTTAGTCAGGGCTCTCGAAACCGGGTGACTGGGTGCCTCCAGGAGCAACCTCCATTCCCGGTCGTTAAGGCATCCCAGGTTCCCACGAAAATCTCGCGAGGCTATCTTGAATATAAAATGGCAGCTTTCCGGCCTCTCGAGTTTTGATTTCCTCTCCCATCATCTCCAACTCAAGCACTCTTCCCTCTCAAGCAACTTTGAAAACCACCCTCTCCCCCAAAAACCTATCTTCTCCGAAAAACCCCCAGCCTTTCGCAAACATGGCCAAGTACATGCTTCTTGCTGCCCCCGTCTTGGCGCTCGCCAGCCCAGCCATCCTCCAGGCCCGTCAAGCTCCCGTCGTGCGCTTGAACGCCATCAGCTTGAAGGCACCGGCTGCCCTGCCGGCTCTTTCGACGCCCAGATCCTCGGCTCAGAGCGCCAGATCGCCCTCGCCCTCTATGACAGCTTCAGCCTTGTCACAGGCAACGGCGTCCCCATCGATGCCAGTCTGACCTGCGACATTTCCATCACGGCCTCTTTCCCCGAAGGCTGCACATCCGCCGTCTTCACCAAGACGACCCGCGGATACACTGGTCTCGCGGATGGGGCCGCCGGCCGCCTGACGGAAGGATACAGCCTGAGCGGGGGCTCGGCGACCCCCAGCTCCACCGAGTTCACATACACGAGCGCTGAATGGGGTGACGGCGGCGACGACTTCATCAACAGGGAACCCATCACCGTTGTGAGCAACGCACAGACTGCCACGTTCAAGGTGAGCCTGGCCAGTTTCCTCAACGCGCCCAGCTCCGACTTCATCTCGCGGTTTGACGTCGACAGCGTTGAAGTAGCAATCACATCTACTGGAACCTGCTGAGCGACATAGATGATGAGATCATGAGGCTTGAGATGAAAGGACTAGGAAATGGTCTATTGGAGGTGGTGGGAGGAACCGGTTCTCTTTGATTTGTATTTACATTGCGCTGAAGGGCGTGCTCTGTCATGGAATTGTAGTCCATGAATGAAGGAGATATCGAAATACATGCGACGCTTATAATCCTCTTTCCGAAGCTGTGACATGACGTGTTACCCTTGTAAGCAAGCTGGACATCTCCTGACGCCCAGATGAAGTCTTCTACCCTGTGTTTGTCCGACACACGGCAGCTCGAATTCTTGAAGAACTAGGGTACCAAGGACGGAAAGTGCGGAAAAAGAGGAAAGAAAGTGAGAACCCTAATCGTTCCAAGCCTTATGAATCCCTTGCTTCCCGTGCACACGACTGATCCATGGGATCCTCAATGCCATCCTTCGCCCCCACAGCGGCCCGAATCGCGCCCCCACCTTACCCAGTAAGTCTAAGTTGGATTAGATCCTCGACCCGCGCGCGCGCTCGCTCCCCGCCGGATCAATTGCTCAGCCCCGATAGAATTCGGTGCCCTGCCGCAAACTTCCAATCTTACAATCACTCTCCATAACGAACATAAACCGCACTCAAGCCATGCCTCATCCCGAGTTTGACATCTTGCCGGCAACCACAGACGATCTTGACGCGCTTGTCTCCATTACTGTCGACAGCTTCAAAGATGACAGCCACACCATGTTCAAGGAAGCCGCTTTCGGCGCAGGATGGTTCAAAAACTGCATGACGGAGGTGACGGGCCAATACATTGAGCGGATGGACAACCCCGGAAAGAGCGGGGTAACCCTGACCGTTCTCAAAGCTGTCGACCGAGAAACTGGCAAAATCGTCGGCCACGTTACCTGGGGTCAAAGGTCCCGGTGTCTTCCCCGGATCCCGTCGCGTCCGTCGTGCCCGACAAGAAAGAGTCGCAGGAAGAACCCGCCGAAGCCTCGGAAAAGGACCAAGTGGCAGAGAATGTCGAGAATGTAGCGCAGCAGCAGCCAACGCGCAAGACAGTGGCGGATTTAGAGAAACTTACGGGTGGCTTTATGAACTCGTTTGTGCAGAAACACATGGGTCCGGGGATCGGTGCCTATTCATCTGCGGCATCAACGTCCATCCCGATCACCAGGGAAAGGGTGTTGGCAAAGAGCTCATCTCGTGGGGTACGACCAAAGCTGACGAGAGCCAATCGATTTGCTGGGTTCACCTTTCCCAGGCAGGATGGCCCGCCTTCGAGAAGCTGGGATGGCAGGTGGAAGATACGCAAACGATTGATCTGGATGATTTTGAAGCTGACACGGCTGCGTCTGATGGCTCTAATGGCGCTCGGGCGTGGGGAACATATACCTTCCGGTGCGCTGTTAGACAGCCGGTTGGCATCAAATCTCCGGGGAGGTCTAGTTTGGGGGAATTTAAACACGCTGTGGCAGGCCGGTCTCACCTAAACTTGGCAGATGTATGACCCAGAGTCTATTGTCACGCAGAAGTAGCTACGGGGAAAATAATTCGAAACAGTATAAACAAGACGTGACGCTATTTCATCGCAGATATTTCGCTTTATCTTCCTTAATCAAATCCGCCGCCTTCTCAGCCACAGCATACGTGGTGGCTTGCGTATGGCACGTCGGCAGAAGAGGAAACACGCCCGCGTCCACCACCCTCAGACGCTCGACCCCGTATACCTTGAGCGTCGGGTCCACCACACCACCCAGCTCCCGCGGCATCATCGCCGTGGTCCCAACCGGGTGCGCGTTACTGGGAGAGATGGTCCTACTGCGGAGAAGCTGCTCCAGCTCGGCGTCGTCGGTGATGTCGGCCCCAGGGGAAACGTCCCGCGTTCCCAGCCCGCTCATGGCGTCTCCGTTCATGATGCTCCGACCAAACTTCAAGCCCAGCAGAGCAATCTTCATGTCGAGCGGGTGCGTCATGGCTCGGAAGTCTATCTGCGGCGGAGAGTCGGCGGGGTGCGGATCCGTGCTCGCGATGCGGATCGTGCCGCGCGAGAAGGGCTTCTGGGGATGGAAACTCATGTCGGCGCCGCCCCCAAACGTGTGCTCGAACACGGAGACTTCGTCGCTGCCTACGATTCGGCTGAGGATGGCGTGCTGGGCCTTGTACCCGGCCATGAGCTCTTCGCTGGCCAGGTAGACTTCGCCGAGGTACTGGGTGGGGTCTTCTTCTTCCAGCTCGGCCACGATGTCCGAGACAGCGTCGGTCAGGTTGCCGAGGGAAAGCATGACGCGGCAGTGCTTTCCGGTGTGGGTAATCGGGCCCGTTTTGTTTTCCCAATATTCGTCAAAGGCCGCATCCAGGAAATCTTCGTCGTTGAGCGCAGTCGGGTTTAGTTCGGTGTCGTTTACGACTGCCGGTCCGAGTTAGAACACCGTTGTGTTGGTGTAGGGGAAGTCGTTGCGGAACATTGGGGGTTTACTTACATCGCCAAGCCGTGGATATGGAGAGGTGGTCCTGAAAATTCGACCCCACGCCAGGAAGGTCAACGACCTGCTCGATTTCCAACTCCTCCAAAAGGTCGCGGGGCCCGACTCCGCTGAGTTGCAGAATCTGTGGTGTATGGGCCGACCCCGCTGCGAGAATCACCTCGGCCTGGGCGGGGACGAAAACAGTTTCTCCCGAGGCGCGGCTCACGATGTTCACGCCGCTGGCCGTTGCGTTTTCGAATCCGACCGTCGCCACAAAAGTGTTGACGATGATGGAGAGGTTCGGCCGGTCACTCGCCGGGTCCCAGTACGCCTTCCTCGACGAGACTCGTGTCCCGTTGACGGGGTCGATGTCGGAGGGGTTCCAGTGGAAACCCACATTCACGCCATTGGTTCCACCGTCGGTTCGAATATGGATTCCTGCTTCCTGAAATGCGTCGATGTAGAAGTCTATTTGTTTTTCCGAGTAAGCGACGCGTTAGTACTCGGTCCCGTAGGCAAGGAGAATGGCAAGACTCGGGAAAGGGAAGTACGAACAAGTTTCGGGCCACTGCCAGCTTGGTAGGCTTACTTGGACCGGCCCATCTCCGAAGCCATCATCGCTGAGGGCGTAATTATACTTGTCCACAAGCTCTTCGGAAGGTAGAGTCAGGGTGCTCGACTGGTACCATGTCAGTTCTACCTCACATTCCCATAACTTTTCCTCGTAATATCAGTAGACAAGTAATCACCTTTCGAAAATATTCCAAAATCCTCCCATCCCCAACCGGGGTTCCCCAACTCTTCCCAGGCATCGTAGTCGGCCTTTGAGCCTCTATCCCACGCCATTCCGTTGACGGTAGATCCGCCACCGACCGTGGCACCGACAGCCAAGCCGGCCATCCGGTTGGCTAGCCCCACCTGCGGGACGGAGGTGAAGTAGAAGAGATTGTCGAATTGCATATTCTTGGCATAATACGGCAGCGCCGCGTTCAAGCTATCGTCGAAATCTCCATACTCGACAACCAAGACCGATACTACCGCAATGGTTAGTCAATCGAAACCACCGCTCCTCGCAGTGTGCGTCGGGAAAGGTATCCTCACCCTCCGGGTCCTCGCTAAGCCGACTAGCCACGACAAGCCCGCTCAGGCCTCCCCCGCGATGATGTAGTCGTATTGATCCTCGAGCTCGGTCAAGTTTCTGAGAATCCCCGCGCCATGTGCGTGGCTCGCCAGGGCCGTGAACGCGACAACGAGTCTTACCATGAGCCCACCCATGATGCTTTGGCTCGAAAATGGGAACAATGACGGGGTGTGGTGGAAATAGAACGGAGCATCAAGAGCTGGACAAAGCCTTCGTGAGTGGATCCCAGCGGGCGAGAGTCCGTCCTGACCAGGGTAATTATCTACTATCCATTGGCAAGGAAGTGGGCGGACCGGGCTAAAAGTGCCGGAGGCGACCCCACCATGCAGCTCCTTCATCTATAGCTGGTCCGACGTTATACGTCCACGGCCGGCTGATTAGAGCATATTACTTTAAAATGCCATCCCGCAGATCATTTCAATTCAAGGTACTGCATCCCCCGCAAGTCCTACGAAGACCGGCCCCTCTCGCTATTCTGTGCTTGAAGCTGACTCGGTGAGAGCATGACCGTTCGCCAAAGGGGTAGATATTCAGCCTGTGTCCCCGGCTGCTCCGAAGCGACATATCTCGCTATTCCATCCTGCGTTGAAAAGGGCTTTTTCATTATCAATCGGCCGCAGGAGGTGTCACCACAGGAAAAGCTATAGGTTAGGCTTCTTAGACATCCGCGCGATCAATAAAGTGCACCAATACTGCGTGGTGTGCGGGCATATGTTAAGATGCATAGCTCCATCTTCGCCGTCCAATCTACGAGACATAGGTTCCAAGGCAAAGCGGGGTCGCGATTTGAGCTACCCCAATCCCCAAATCTTTAGGGCTAGACATCTATGTGGTGAATGTGATTCAACCTTGGTCTTGCGCCTGAGGGAAAGGTAAGGAGTCTAGAGGGGTAACGCGAGGCATGGTCCTTTAGCAGTTCAAGGTCGTTTGGCATTATTTATCCTTTGTTCTTAGACTGCAGAACAGAACGGGAAGAGCAGAGATCCGTAACGGAGGCGGCTCAGCTGTCACTGATCAACGCATAATCTCCAAAGTCCCTGGTACGATCTAATCCACACTAGTATCCATAGATGAAAGTCCTCCTCTGGTCACCGCGCCTCTCGAGCGAGTTGGACTCCTCGATAAATCGGTCCTCGTCCCAGGCAGCAATCTCGGCAGCCCTACGCTTATTCTCGAGCATGTACATAATTCGGATGAAGATCAAGCCCAAAGCGCCAAAGGCCATGATGCCCATGGTGATGAAGAGGGGAGTCTCGTCTGCATGAAGGGACGCCGGATTAGCCACCATTCTAGAAGGACTCAAAACAAAAGGGAGAAGGGTTCTAGAAACTTACATCGAGGAGCATACTTGCTCTTGAAAATCTGGCCGGCAATGACACCAGCCAAGTTGGACCAGCCGTTGATGCCCAGAATGACACTCCTGCTTCCCTTCCAGGGAGTGTTGCCGGCAAGCCAAACGGCAATGAGGGGTCCACCGACGAAGACGCCTGACATGCAGACGTGGGCGAATCCGTAGCGAAGCTTGGTGTTGGTGGAGGCCGCCATGACGATCAGGCCGATGAGACCAATGACCATTCCGAGAACGGTGTGGAGAGAGCGCTCCCTAAAACGATCGCTAGAGTATACGATGATGAGAAGACCGGCAACACCACTATATGGCAAGCATTAATGTTAGTCTAGGGCTTTCCTACTTTACAGCCTGAGCGCGGCTGTGTCGGTAGTTGGGGTAGTTGGGGTAGTTGGGGATATGGATGCGAACAACTTACGCGACAAACGGGGGACACTCATCAGGGTGGCAGTCGTTCCCTTGTAACCCATACCAGCGACAACGAGGGGGAGGAAAGTGGTGAAGGCGGTGACGGGGAGCACGGTAGTGATGTTGAAGACGACGGTGAGGATCTTCTTCCAGTCCTTGAGGACATCCATGATGTCCTGTTTGGAGACGGTCCTGTTGTTGACGTCCGCCTCCTCCTGCGTGCCCGCCAAGTCAATCTCCATTCGGCGCACGGCATGCTCCCTCTCCTCGGGGGTCAGGAACCAGGCGGTGGCGAGGCTCTTGGGGAAGATGAAGAAGGACAGGATGCCGAGGAGGACGGTGACGCCGCCCTCGAGGAGGAAGACGACCTGCCATCCATGCACGGGCCCGTTGTTGATCTTGAGCAGGCCAAAGGCGATGAGGCCGGCAAAGGCACCCGCGATGGAGTACATGCCGGTGAACATACCCGCACGGAAACCGACGCTGTACTTGGGGTACATGGTGGACAGGTAAAACATGCCAATCTGCGTGAAACCGGCCTCGGCGGCGCCAATGAGGAGTCGGAGGGCGGTGAGGGAACCGGAGCCGTTGACGCCGGCGTGGGCCATGCAGAGGCCGCCCCAAAGGATGAGCTGGAATGAGATGAAGTACTTGACGCCGACGCGTCGGGCGAGGATCACCATGACGGGCTGGAGAATGACATAGGTAACGGAGAACTATGGGGTATTTTTGGCTCGCGTTAGTCGCTGCTGTCACGTCCCTCGAAATATCTCGAATTTCGTTTCGCAGACGGAGGATTCTCCACCGTCACGGCCCCCAAAATAGGGGCGATGAGGATCGCAAGATGAAGACATACCAGAGAGAGGGAGTTGGGGATATCATCGGGACCGAGATTCGCATCCTTGGGGAAGCTGCTGGTGGCGACGAAGCCGACATTGGTCTTGTCGATTCCGCAGAACTATCGAGCACGAAGAGTTAGTCTCATTTCAAAAAACACGCCCACCGCCTAAAGCGAGGAATTCCACTTTGGCGAGAAGGGTTCATTGAGAGTGGACAAGGAGGTTAACGGGGGAAGACCAACGATGAATTCGACAGCGAGCAAGCTCAAGACAATCCAGTCGAGCTTGCGGTTCAACCTCTTGTCGAGCGCCTTCTCCTCGTCCGTCTTGGGGCTGTAGTGCTGGGCCTGAGCCGTCCCGGCGTTCTGCATAATCGTCTTGATGGCAGGGTCGCGGGTCTCGGCATTCTCGAGCCTGTCGTCGCTAACTTTCTCAGACATGGCGTCAGGAGGGGAGAACGAGGGCTACCTCGTCGTCGTGAAGGGAGAAAAAGGGTGGAGGAGGAAGAGCCGCGAGAGCAGGCAAGGGGAAGCGACGCTGAATCGCGGAAAATGGCAAGACAAGATGGTGGAAGAGCGCAGCACGCAACCCAGGTCCGTCAATGAGGAGGCCGCTGTAGTAACGTGGTCTCGAGATTGGAAAGAAAGACTCGATCGAGATGCAGTCCGCTGGATGAATTCCTTCCAAGTTTCCCACCAAGATCAGGGTCGCCCGTCCCCGATATATAAACCCATTGGTTCGAGGGGGAAGGAATTGACAAACCTCCAAATTAAACAAAGGGAAAAAAGATTCAAGTTACCCCAGACGCCAAATTCCCCGTCGTCTCGGGTCCCCTTCTCCATCCTCGTGCTCCTCACCTTTTGCTGCGCGCACTTGACCCGACTCGGAATAGCCGTGCATGCGCTCCCCACACGCGCAGTGGGGAAAGACTCCAATTTCCCCACCGCATCTTGGCCCTTCTCCACGATATTTCCCCACGCTTAGCTTGATCCTCTGGTGGGCTTGCGGGGAACCTGGTCTCCTCGCACCAATCCGGACGGGGAGTGACCTACGAGGACGACCCGCAAGTAGAATATTGCGAATCTGGCATCCATGACTTGACTTGACGCTCATCGTTGCAAGGGGCCGTTAGACCTGGGGAGACTCTCCTCCGCATTTTCTCTTTCCCCTCCGCCTCCGCCTCCGCCATCTCGGGTCCAGGCAGGATTAAACTAAAAACCCACAGATCTGGGTTGGGTCAATTTTCTTGTGGTTTTCTTCTTTCTTGTCTCCTCCTTTCCCCATTGTTCTAGGCGGGTGACAACGTGGGGAACGGGAGTGCTTTTCGGCTATCTCGCACGGCAAAGCTGCCCTCCCCGGTCTTTATTCATCTCTCTCTCTCTTCTCACTTCTCACTTCCCAGAAATTGTATAGCCCCACCCAACGGTACCGTCTCAGCCAATCTTGCCCAAGTCAAGCAGCCCTGGCTCGTGTCGAGTGGAGTGGGCGGGGGAAGAAAGACTTGCGCGAGGCAGCTTATGCTGGAGGACAAGAAATGAGTGGAGCCGGCTCGATCCCGGAGATACCAGGGAAGCGTAATGGATAAAGAGTGATCGAGGACACACTATTTACGCAGCAGCATGCTTTCCCCATCTCACGGCTCTCCAGATCGGTATTTTTCTGTTTCTGTTTTGCCATTTCTACAGCACGATTGTTTCTCTCTCCCCTCATCGTTCAGCCTGCATTGGCATGAGAAGCGCCAAGCACCTTCGGAACCATCATCTCCTACCCTCGGTCAGTCAGAGAATTTCCCAAGCCGCCCTCGCCCAACCCAAGGCACGTCAAGCCTGGTATACGCAGGCCTCCCCTTGGCAAACCAACATCGTCAAACAAGAATTCCAATAATGGCCGCCCAAGTCGCCAGCTACCAGTCCCTCCCGGCGACGGGTACTTGTCCGGTAACAGGCGAGGCAAGCCTCGACGGCCAAGCGCCGCCGCACGACCACCACCCGTGCTTCTCGACGGCAAGCCCTTCGACATTGACCAGGCCGACGCCGTGATCAGCAACGACCCGGAAAAGATTTACAAGGAATACCGCTTCCTGCGGAAACAATGCCCCGTCATCCACACCAAGCAGTATGGCGGCTATTGGCTCATGACCCGCTACGAGGACGTCAAGCGCGTCGCCATGGAATCCGACACCTTCATCTCCTCCGTCAAGGCCGTCGTCCCCAGCGACCCGCGCGGCATCCGTAGGCCTCCCCTCAACTTTGACGCGCCCGCTCACACCCCTTTCCGTACCGCCCTGGAGAGGACCGTCAAGCCCACCCGGCTTCGACGACTGGCCGAACCCCTGGAGAGGCACGCCGAGGAAGAACTGGCGCCCTTGCTGGCCGCCGGCCGGGGCGACATCAGCACCCAGTTCGGCGCCAATTTCGTCGCGTGGGTGGAAACGGAGTGGCTGAACCTCGAGCCCGAGATCGCCCCCGGCTCGCCAAAACGGCCGCCGCGTGGCTCAACGCCTGGAGAATGCAAGACGGCGACACCGTTACCGCCAACTCCATGATCATGTACGGCATCGCGAGCGACTTGTTAGCGGACAGACGCCTGAATCCGAGGGACCCGGAGCAAGACCCTGCCTCTTCGCTCCTGCTCGAGAGAGACTCGGACGGCAACCCGTTGCTCGAGGAGCATCTTGTGTAAGTTTCTAATGCCCAGGCCGTGTGTCATGCAAGGGACCAAGCCTAATTCTAACATGGCTCCCCAAAATATAGTGGCTGTCTTCGCCAGTCACTCGTCGTCGGTGTGGTGGCGCCTCCTATCCTCATCGGCTCCATCTGCAAGCACCTGTCCGAGGATAAGGCTCTTCAACAACAACTCCGGAATGACGAGTCGCTCATCCCGGCGGCCATGGAAGAGTTTCTGAGACTATATTCCCCTTACAGAGGATTCGCTAGAACCGCTTCCAAGGATGTGACAGTCCAGGGCCAGACCATCAAGCCGGCGGAGCCCATCACCGTGACCTACGCGTCGGCCAACCGGGACCCCGAGGTGTTTGATAACCCCGACGAGTTCATCTTGCATCGACTCAACATTGCCGCCCATATGGCCTTCGGAAGGGGCCGACATAGGTGTGCCGGTATGCCCCTGGCGAGAATGTAAGTTGCACGCTGCATTTACCGATGCAACCGTCACTCGACCAAAATACCCCTATGAAATTTAGAATAGTGCTAATTTCCAACCTGGCTGTTCACATAGCGTTGTCCAAACTGCCCTCCGAGTAATTCTTCGCAATACTACAGACTTTGAAGTAGACGGGCCGCTTGAGTTTGCGAGGATGCCGGAGATGGGCATCATCAGCTGTCCCCTTAAGTTCATGTGAGCGTTGAGTAGGACAACCGCAACTGAGCACAGCCAAACCTTCCCACCCTTTCCCCTTTCCCCTTTCCATTTTCCACTTTCGCCCACAAAATGTTTATTATTATCATTATTATTATGTATACACATATGCCCTTAGACTATCCATAGATAGAACCCTCATAGCTAGAAATTTGTAGTTTCGGTAATTCACCCTTTGCTTACTATACAAGTCACTCTATGAAATCTTGGTCGTCAACAAGAGCGCATAATTTCCCAATCTTAAGCGCGCCTGGGTATCTCTTCATAGTCTTGCAGTCAAGTCTACGCTTGAAAATACTTGCACATCCCCACCACTAGTTCACTCAACTATGAGTTTAGACTCACTCGAGATGCACCAAGTGACCAGCCTAAGGTTAGCCACCCATATTCGGGCGACGATGTAAAGGGCGACGAAGTGTGGCGATAATCTCCCCATCGTAGCTCTCGCACTTGGTTGCCTCTGCGCACCCGAGTGCACCACCCGACACCCCGAAACGTCGAGTTGCTGAGGAAATACAACCAAAGGGGGAAACCAGCCTGCTCCATGCAGAAATCGATAACCTTACAATCCCCGACTCCTTTCCCCACCACAAGCCTCCATCGCCTTGCGGACTGTGCTGGAAGTGGGCCATTTCCCCACCACCAGTCGCCTAGCACCCACACAGTCAAGTCCGCCTGCATTGCCTTTCCCACCCCGGAGGGAAGCATTGGAAATCGGAGCAATGAGACAAAAGCCGATGGGTGGTCGGGTCCATGTCAGTTGATCTTGGCGTCCATGGTGGAGATGGGGAAAAGGGGGTCGTGGTCGTGTGCTGGGCTGGGGAAAGAACAGGTTCTTTTTCTCAATCGCCGCAAGTGTCCAGATTTGCTTGGTCTTGTTGTGCCTTTGTAGATTGGGCCACCTCGTTGAACCATTGGACTAATAATTATTACGGACTCGCGGGTTATTGAACAAGACAGAAATTCTCTCTCCTTCCGATACAGAATAGTCAACCTATTTTGATCACTTCAACTTAATCTCTTGGCGGGCAACGAAGAGTGCCTCACCTCAATTGATTCAATGCGTCAGCATCGCCCAGCTACGACACGTCCAGTGTAATTGTCTTTCCCGAATGCCCTCACCAAGGCGACCTTGATCGCCACTAACTACATAGCGCAGAGGCTGTCCTAAATTGGCGGTTCCTACCGTCTCTACAGCTCTTCTTCGCCTCTATACGAGTCACACTGCAGGTCGGGTGAAGTGAACTCGCATATATCAGTCTAGCCATCTGGGCCACGGCCGCTCTGGGCAGTTCATATCATGGATGCAATCTGAATTCAACAACTGGAAGAGAATGTCAGAAGCACCGAGGCAGTACTGCTCTCGGAGCGAAAACTACAATTCATTATTAATTCTACAACAACGATTTGAAGCTAAAAGGCCGAGTTTACGCAGGTTGTCAATGTTTCTTGCACCACCATGGCAATGTGCCTAGCTTCGCCCAAACTCCCAAGCCACACCCATTCGCCCCTCCACACAACACAACCTTTACCAGCCACAACTCGTCACACGGGGGAACGGCAATGGCTTCATCGCGAGGCGAGGGCTCTCGTTCCATGTAGGATCATGGAGGGTGCGTCCTTGCCCGCCCAATTCCAATCACCTCGCCCACGTGTGAAATGCCCAGACGCTTAACAAGTGGGTCTCGCTTCAGCTCACGACAATCGAGGCATGAGTGGGTCCGGAGGTCGGAGGAGTTGGGCGAGAGACCGACAATATCGGGAGCCTCCAGTTGCTTCGCGACATGTTCATGCAGCACTCCGCCTCGTTTATTAATGGAGTAGAGTAGTCGCCACGCCGGCTAGACTAACACGTGCGTCGGAGCCGACGGAAGCCATTCACTCAAATAACGAACCTGCCCCTCTCGTGCTCTTGTCCGTTGTCTAATTACGACTCTTTGTCTTCTTACGCAAGTTCTCTATACCATTACGGTCATTTTCTTGCACCATGGCCTCCACGGCAGTCCCCATATCACATTTAAACACCGAGCCAGAGGTTATCCGGTGTCCCGCCTGCCAGAATGTAGGCAAGACAATCCGGGTAATGGATATGATCTCCGACGGAAGGTGAGCCGACGATCCAAGTGCTAGGTGAGGGAAACGGGGTAAAAAAGAGATCACTAATAAGCAAAAACGCTGTGCGACTGACAGGGGAGCCGGAAATGCCGCCATGGGGATTCTTGGCTGCCTGTTCTGCAACTGCGACGCGCTTCTAGCGCCCACATACTATTCCCTCGCACACTACTGCCCCGGTGCGGTATCCGTCTCGTCGTCGTTCCCTGGCAAGCGGACCCCATACTCCAGCTCGACAGCAAATCGCTCGTCCACGAGGGCAAAGGCGCCGCGAAAATCGCCCCTTCTCCGTTCGGCGCGCCCCCTCGAACGGACGAGGCCCAGCTTCGAAATTTCGCCGACCGCCACACGAGCAGCGTACCCTCCTCCATCTACGAGATCAAGCTTGGCGGTGAAGTCAAGCTGCCGACAGGCGTGTACGACGCGGCCGGATCGCGCATGATTTATCGAATCGAGTGGCCGGGCTTCCGCGCGGGACGCGGAACCCCCTGTCACCCGTCGAATACACTCCAACAGAGGCCATGTCAGCTGAGCCGAAGCCTTCATCCGCGAAGGTAGCAATCGCCTGGGACCCGACGCAATCGACACCGCACATCCGCGTGTTTTCCCCGAATACGTACCCCGAGACATTGCCACGGCGCAGGTATTCGGCGACAGCAAGGACTTCATCCTGCACACCCCTACCTCGGACGACCACGACGGCCGCGTGCTCTACACATCCCGACGGTCCGGCGCGGGGAACAAATCGTCCCCGAGCGCCGGCCACCTCGTCTGGGCGAGCTGCGCGGGGCCTCTGACGTGGACCCTGCGCAAGGTGCGCGACGCCGAGATGCCCAAGCACCAGCGGTGCATCGTGCTGCTCGACGCGTACGACCGGCTCCTCGCCGTCGTGCGGGGCTCCGAGCTCAAGACGGCGCGCGGGGACGAGGTGGGGTTTCAGCTACGGGTGTACGGCGAGGTGTCCGAGACGCTGCTGGGGAAGTCGTCGCGAGCTTTTCGGCGGTGTGCTACGGGATCTGGAATTATGCCCAGCTCGGGGTTCCGGATGTGGGGCTGAACCTCGCGGCCGCCGGGGTCGCTGTTGCGGGGCCGGCGTGGCGCTGGTGAGCCTGTAAGGGGGACTGAAATCCCAGATAGCTCATTATACCCACCTGCGGCTATTACAACCGTCGGCATCAATATCTCAATCAGTTGCTCGCAGTTTTCCGCTGTGACCGGCGAGTCGTAGTCTACATCCACATACAAGCCCAGCCCATCGAGCCCATGTTCCAACCCCGAACAGGTTCGCCCGTTGCTCCTCAATCATGGAACGGATCGGATCAACTCTGATGCAAACAATCAAGAGCGAACCAGTCGAGGTATTTACCGGAAATGTCGACATTCGTCTCGTTTGATCTTGTTAATTTCACACGTGACGAACCCTCGTGGTGCATCGATCTTGTCAGCTCGGAATAATAATTGCACCTTGTGCTCGTCCCAGCCACGTGCACCACTCCAACATGCCTGATAGCTTCAGAAACAGCGGCCATCAAGGAGCTCTCCACCGTCCGGGATCTTCTCACGTCCTTAAACAGCGCGGTAGTTGCTGCCACAAATAAATCATGGTCTCCCTCAAGGACATGCGCACGAGCCTCGCGGCGCTCAAAGACGTCAACAACCTCGTCGCGGTCGTAGTTGGTGGTACATCTGGGATAGGGAGTGCGTCGTCCGCGCCATCGCCAAGCACTGCGTCCACGCCCTCGTGCTCATCGTCGGCAGAAACGCCGCAGCGGCCGACAAGATCGTCAGAGAATGCCGAGAATCGTCACCGACGTCGGAATTTGAATTTCTCGCCGAAGACATCATCCTTCTTCAAGGCGTCGACCGTGTCTGCGCCAAAATCAGGGCAAGGGTAGACAAAGTTGACCTTTTGTTCATGACTCCCGATTTTCTCTCCTTTGCTAGTAGACAAGGTAGGTCATGACGGGTCCCATAACATCCCCCCGTCTCACCCTTTCGGATGGTACTCGATGAGAGGCTCCGTAACAAAGAAGCGTGTCCTCTGCTTACCAAAATGGACCTTTGCTTCTACCCCTTGCGCAGAAACTGCAGAGCGTTTGGAGCATACTTTGAGTCTTCGATATTACTCTCGCATACGTTTCATCCATACCCTGCTCCCTTTGCTCGGGAAGTCCCCACAGGGCGTGCAGTATCGATCCTGGCACCAGTGTACGGCGAGGCAGGCTTTCACCTAGATGACCTGGATCTCAAGTCTCACTCTGGCCTACTAGTGGGTACCTCGCACGCCTCTCTAATGACTAGCTTGGCAAACGAGGAACTTGCCGTTCGACATCCCAGCACCTCCTTTGTCCACGTTTTCCCGGAATGATATGGACGCCTAGCGTTTCCGTAGGGCAGGTGCCCTTTCTACTCCGGTGGCTCATGATACTAGTCGGCAAGCCCATCTTCTGGCTGTTTGGTCAGAGCTATGAAGAATGCGGCGACCGTATGTTATTCCTGTCTTTGACCTCCCAGCTCCCGTCTAGAGATGCTTCAGCAGGCGCAAGTAGCAAGGCTGCTGGGATCTTGCAAGTTGCCGGGGCCACCGGTGCTGAGGCCATCCTCGTCGGCTCGGACGGGGATAAGGGAAGCGGCGCGTATTGCATCGATTCAGCTGTGAAAAGGCTGGATAACGAAAAGAGACTAAAGGATTTGAAAGCCAAGGGAGCCCGAGAAATCGTGTGGGACCATACAATGGAGATTTTTAGCCGGATCGATTCCCAGCCTTCTCCGTCCTCCTGATATTTAGTTTCGCTCTCGTCTATCTTGAATGAACGAGAGATTCTTTGCAGCGCTCAGTCTAGTGTAGGACAAGAGTGTTTGCTTACTCTATCTCATTCTTGTTCCCCACTTCAACATATGAATATAATTTTCCCCGCATTCGATAGCTACTTGCTCCGGTTTGGACTTTTGGTGTCACCGAAGGAATGAGGGAAAAAAGGTTATCTCTGCTATCCAAGGCACACTTGACAAAGGGTTATCGTATCGGTCGGCGATGGCCGACCCGGATCATCCTTATCCCGGAAGCACCTCCATGTTGGGAGAAGGATTACTGCCATATCGCCCTTGATATCTCGGAGGTGGTTGGGACCCCCACAGTTTTGCCAAGGACCCGTGGGCAACAATGTGCTATTCTAACGTTGTTGGAGGCCGGGGTGGTGCAGTGTCGGACCCCAAAGGATCATGGCTGATAAGATGACGAGATAAGCCAAAGAGACCCAATCATATGTGGTGCATATCAGTGGCGCTTGCACCAAATGGGATGACGGATGAAAGTGGGTTCACAGTTGGAGAAACCAATATCAACTAGAAAAACAAAAGATATCTCTAGAGTAACGTCGCATGGCCCGATTGATGTTGTCGCCGAGGAACTCGAGTGGGCGTCGCTTCTGGTCCGGTTGTGGGGCACCGTGGTCCACGCTTTGCTCTGCTTCCAATCTACCTTGTAGCTGGGGGAATTAAAGGTTTAGTTGTTGAATATTACAGTTTTCAATCCAAAGAATGTGTATTGTTAGATGCCGGGTGGCCACAGCTCAGGATCGAGGTTACAATAATGTAGACACAAGAAACAATGGTGGATGGATCAATTGTGCTACAACTCGTTTCTGCTCTACCCATTCCAGGATCCCCGGCAAGGGCCGACTTCAGCACCGCACGCACATGTTATCTCCGCACTCCATTGCAGAGGATGGTGTCGTACAATGCAGCTGATATCCATTTGGATAGTGATTGGACAATCTATTGAACATCTTCGCCATTCCTAGAGATAGTTTGAGGAGAAGGGGGCACGGAGCTGTTTTTATGTCGCGCCTTGCCACCTCTTCTTTTTTTTTTTTTTTCGAACATGCTTTTGCTACTTCACTCACGGACATTCAATCCTGTGCCGCCGAGAAAGACGGCTGCCTCCTGCACAGCTAGTCTCCCAACAGTCTGGGAAAAGAAAGGAAAACGCGGCGTCCCGTGCTGCATCCCGAGTCATACTTTGGCCGGAGTCTCACGAGCAATTTCATTCCCCCTTCTCCATTAACACGTATATATATACCGAGCCATGTCGATAGGGAGGAAAGCCAAGGCGTTGGGGAGTAAACTGGCATGCGAGACGGAACCTGGGCTGTCGTCAGCTCAGTTAATGGTAAAAATCACCTCCTTCTCCACCACCATCACCGCCCACTATGGCGGACCCCCAGCGCACCGTCATGATGGCTCAAATTGCTGACGCGCACCCCAAGCTGGTCAACCATGACCTCAAACCCGTCGAGCCCGCCCGCCGCCAGTGGGGCCCGTGGAATTTCGTGGCCTTTTGGATCGCCGACTCGTTCAACATCAACACCTGGATGATCTCCTCCTCCATGATCGTTGGCGGCCTGTCGTGGTGGCAGGCGTGGTTGTGCGTATGGATCGGGTACGCCATCGCCGGCTGCTTCATCTGCATGACGGGTCGCATCGGCGCCGTCTACCACATCGGCTTCCCTGTCGTGAGCAGGTCGTCCTTTGGGATCTGGGGTAGCTTTTGGCCGGTTTTCAACCGCGCTGCGATGGGTAAGTTTTGCTCTTTGGGTGCCGCTTGAAGCTGGGCTTGGCTAATTATGATGGTGGCATGCGCGCCGTGGTAGCTTGCGTATGGTATGGCGTCCAGTCGTATATCGGCGGTCACTGCGTCTACATCATGATCCGGTCGATTTGGAAAGCTTGGGTAAATCACTCCCCACCACCATTAAACTCCTGCTTATTTTTCCTTTTTCCTTTTTTCCTATGCAGTCATGGCATTTGCTAAAAGTCCTTGCCCCTCACCTCCAGGACCGAAACACAATCCCCAACACCTTTTCCGAAAGCTCGGGAACCACCACCGCCGACTGGGTTTCCTTCTTCATCTTCTGGTTCTGCTCGCTCCCCGCCATCTGGTTTCCCGTGCACACGATCCGCCATCTCTTCACCGTCAAATCCTACTTCGTGCCCGTCGCGGGAATCGCGTTCTTGATATGGACGGTCGTCCGTGCTGGCGGAATCGGGCCGATTGTGCGCCAAAAGCCACCATTCACGGAAGCGACTTGGCCTGGGAATTCGTCAAGGGCGTCATGTCGTCCATCGCCAACTTTGCGACGCTGATCGTCAACGATCCGGACTTTACCAGATTCGCCGCGAAGCCCAAGGATGCTCTGTGGTCTCAGTTCATCACGATCCCCGTAGGATTTGCCGTCACTTCCTTTATCGGGATTGTGGTGTCCTCGGCCTCCGTTTTGATATACCCGTCGGAAGATGGCCCCATCTGGGATCCGTTGACCTTGCTCGAGAGGTACATTGACGACGGCGGCTCCGGCCAGCGCTTCGGTGTGTTTGTTATTGCCGCCGCCTTCTCGCTTGCCCAATTGGGCACCAATATTGCTGCCAACTCCGTCTCCGCCGGCACGGACATGACTGCGCTGCTACCCCGATACCTCAATATCCGTCGCGGAGGCTACATCTGCGCCGCCATCGGCCTCGCCATGTGCCCTTACACCCTGCTCACCTCGTCGAATCAATTCACTCTCTATCTTTCGTCCTATAGCGTGTTTCTCAGCTCCATCGCGGGCGTGATGATCTCGGACTATTATCTGGTTCGGAAAGGATTTCTCGATGTCCGGGCGCTCTACGACGCACGGAGCACGGGCCCGTATTTCTTCACGTATGGCATTCATTGGCGTGCTTATGCGGCGTACATATCCGGAATCCTGATCAACGTTGTTGGCTTTGCGGGGGCCATTGGAAGAGACGTGCCAATTGGCGCAGTCTATCTGTACAACGTTAACTTTTTTGGCGGTTTCATTGTGTCGTCCGGGGTCTACTGGGGGCTCTGCACGGCTTTCCCCATTCCTGCTACCAGCGACAAGTGGATGGAAGTTGGCAATGAAATGGACGAGGTTCACGTGGCGTATAACTACAGCAGCCAGGACAGGGATGAAGAGAGCGGAAAGATGGGGTACGATGACGATGCGGGAGATGGTATGACCAAGACCAAGGTTCCCTCGTTGTAGAGAATAGAGCCATATCTTGGCACAGTGTGTACCACGATAGTTCGTGGACATGGGAAGGATACGAAGCGTGCAGAGCGGATTTTTGATGTTGAGTTTTCGAAACTAGCTACTGAGGCGGCGCCTATATAATATTCTAGTTAAATACCCCAATCAGTCTTTGCCCGTTGTCTGTAGAGTACTAGACGCGGAAAGCATGGCCTTTTGTAGCTGGTTCATTCTATCCTTTAGCCCATCTTTGAGGGTCTCATCTGCCACTGCGTCGAAGAGGCTACTAATCGGAGCCGCAGTAAAGAACTTGTTTCGTCTATTATACCGGGGCCCATCTGTTTCCGATCCTGCCGCCTCTCGATCCCCTCGGTCGAGGAAGAGTTCTTCAATGATATCAATGTCCTCATTCATGCCGAGCTTGTCCCTGGTATCCTGGTGCGTGAATGTGAAGTACACGGTTTTCACGTTGGCCCAGGCCAGCGCGCTTAGGCACATGGAGCACGGTTCGTGGGTCGAGATGAAGAGGGCGTCGTCCACGGACGGGCGCGCGGGTTCCGGCAGCTTGAAAAACTGGTTTATGCAGTTGACTTCCGCGTGCAGGACGGGCGACTCCAGGTCCTTGTTGCTGGACACCGCCACGGGGAGAAGTCGGACTTCCGGAAGATGCCCGCCCCAAAGGGGTGTGGCCCTGGGCGATGCACTCTGGTAGGAGAGGCAAGAGGTGCGCGTCGGTGAGTTCCATCAACTTGGATGCGAACTCACCCGCCTGCTGGGAGCTATTCGGCTCCAACGTCATCGTTGATGCTGGCCTGGCTTGATTCGTAGATGATCTGAAGACTACTATATTTCCTTTTGCACCAAGGAAGCGGGGTAAGCAAGGAGGTTGCGGGGAGCAATAACCCTCGTCCTCAGGGACCTATTCAACTTGAATAAGAATCCAAACGGTGGGGATACCCAAGGACGCACTACGCTTACTAGGCTGCCGCCTAATCGCTGCCAATCGTCACAGGAGGATGATGAAAATAAACAAAAGGCAACAGAAACAAACAAAGGGAGAGAATTGCATGTCATCAAAAATCAAGATTCCGTTTGCATTCATTAATAGTAATCGCGCCTGATGAATCAAGCAGCCTAATTATACACTGCCCTCCAGAGACTGACTACTCCCCCAATTTTCTGTCCCTTGGTCATGCTCGTTTTGTTTGTCATGTCATTACTGGTTTTCTGCATTTATTTGTTCCTCTCGCCGTAGGCCCTGGTGGCGTAGTCGCCCTTGTAGACGATCAAGTCCTCAGGCCTGTAGTCGTGGCGACCGGAGAAGTAGCTGTCGAGGATGCTCTTGACACCGGCGGCATAGCGCTTCTGGGCGTCGATCGAGGTACCGGAGACGTGGGGCACCATGGCGTTGCCGCCGCCGAAGGGGTTCTTGGCGTAGCGCAGGGGTGGTCCTGGGGCGCGGGCTGGGGAACCAGACGTCACCACCGTAGCCGCGGAGGTGGCCGCTCTTGAGGGCCTCGGCGACGTCCTCCTTGACGACGATGGCGCCGCGGGCGGTGTTGACGAGCCAGGAGCCGGGCTTCATCTTGGCGATGAGGTCCTTGTTGAAGAGGCCGAGGGTGGTCTCGTGGAGGGGGCAGTTGATGGTGACGACGTCGCACTGGGCGACGAGCTCCTCGACGGTGGCGACGCGGCGGCAGCCAATGTCCTTCTCGACCTCGGCGGAGAGGCCCTGGTAATCGTAGTAGAGGAGCTCGCCGCAGTCAAAGGGCTTGAGGCGGCGGAGGACGCGCTCGCCAATGCGGCCGGCGCCGACGGTGCCGACGACCTTGCCCTCGAGATCGTACTCGTTCTTGGCGGCCTCGGCGACGTTCCAGTCACCGCGCTCAATCATCTCGTGGGCGGGGACGAAGTTGCGAACGAGGACGAGGATGGTCATGAGCACGTGCTCGGCGACGGAGACGACGTTGGAGCCGGTGACCTCGGCGACGGTGACGCCGCCGTTGGTCTTGTTGGCGACGTTGAGGTCAATGTGGTCGGAGCCGATACCGGCGGTGATGGCGATCTTGAGGTTCTTGGCCTTGGCGAGACGCTCGGCGTTGAGGTATCCGGGGTGGAAGCTGGAAAAGGGAGGGAGGTCACATGTTAGCATGTATTTCCATCATCCATTTGGTTTCTTGTTTTTATTTTTTATCCTTGAGCCCGTGCCGCGAGGGCCGGATGAGAGAGACGGGCACTTACGGAGTGGTGATGATGACCTCGGCGTCTACGAGCTCCTGGTCGAACTTGAGTTCTCGCCCTCCTTGTCGGAGGTGGTGACGAGAGTGTGGCCGGCATCCTCGAGCCACTTGCGGAGACCAAGCTCATTCTCAGTGGTTCCGAGAAGCTCAGGGACCTTGGTAGGGAGAACAAGGTTAGTCGCAATGGTTCGCAGCAAAAGGGTGTGGGGGCGAGTAGTAGCAGTCCCAGCTGAAGGGCTCTCTTCCTTTGGTCCCGTCCTCCCCCTCCAGGCCAGTCCAGTTGCAGTGCGGGGCAGACTCCGAACGCCGAAGAGATCCCGTAAAACTCAAACCCCCGAACGACCGAGCTAAGCGCTAAAAACTGCCTAGCGCCAGATCAAGCGTCGCTGGGGATGTTACGTTCAAGGGGGCGTGAGAATTCTACCCCGCACTGCCCTGTCCCGCGTCGTGCGGCGGATTACCCCACCACCAGGGCAGCTGCCAGGGAAGCTGATGGTTTCGCGACCGCGACGTCTGGGAAGGGAGGGAAGGGGAGGAAAGCTTTTTAAGGCACTTGCCAGCCTTTTTTGAGATGTGTGGGCTATGATGATGTGGGGAAACGAATGTCGGAGAGACGGATGATGCGTGGAAACGACAAATTGAGCTTCTTGCGGGGAATAAACTCACCTCCTCGGCGTGCCTGCCACCGTCATAGAGAACGAGGAGAACCTTGACCTGTTGGACACCATGATCGTTAGCAAAGCGATTCGAGCTGCATTGAGCCTCAGTCGGACTTGGGACACCGTTTGACTCGATGAGCTGAGCAGGATAGCTGCATAGCTACGCCATGCCCTCGAGCCATGGGCCACAAGCTTGGAAGAAGGAAGACAGGGCGAGAGCGGGGGTGCTCGTGAGAGGAGGGGATACCATACCATATTGGCGATGTGTGTTTTCTTGCTGTGGGGAGCTGTGAAGATGTAGATTCGGTGACGAGAGGTCGAAGACGGTGCTCGACGATTCAAACAAAGGGATGGAGAGAAGAGGAGAGGAAAGGAGGATGATGTGATGGAGAATGAAAAGAGCTGTTGTCCTGAGGAGGGGGAACCGATAGCTTTATACCATCGTCTGCTTCACGGTCTTTGACACTTCCACTTGCCGAACGAAGCAATGAACCGTCCTACCACCCACACCCCCACCTGCGGCAGAGGTACAGGCAATTGTTTCGTATACGGTTCCCGTCCCACCAACACCAGAAAACGAAAAAGGGTGCTTGCTCGATCCCCTCCCCCTTTGGACCTGTTGCCCCGGGGAATGCGTACGTTCAATGCTTTGCGGAGGCGACGAAATCCAGCTCACCCCCTCAGAAATCACCCGCGCCACACCCCTCCCCTTTTTTGCGCTTGTCTTCGGTACTTCCAAGGTGGAGTTGGGGTGGCCGATTGTGGACAAGTACGCTGATCCATGTGGAAAGGGAGGGGTTCGGCATATTGTTACCGAATTTTGGCTCGAACCTAATAGCTCCGTTCTGGTGTCGCACTCTTTGGCCGCCCCAAGTCTACGCAGCAGGGTAGATAGAGGTCGACACGCCTTTGCCGTCTGCACACCCCTTTTTCTTTCTTTTTGTTACCATTTTTACTAGTATTTCTTTTTGCTCATCTTTTCCAAAGGGGTAGTTCCATTCCCCTCCCTCCCTTTGCTTGTACATTTCTTTTCTGCGGGAGGGTGGGCATTCTTGCGAGATGTTGGAGAACTGGAAACATGGATGAATGATGCAAAGGATGGTCGGGCATACGGATGAGATGGGTATCAAGTCACAGTCGCATGTTGGCGAAGTGACTTTTTGTCTGGTGCTACCTCTATGCTCAACTCGTCGAGCATTGTGCGACGCGGGACAGGGGCAAGATCTCCAACTTCGCACTCGATGCACAGACGAGCCATGCAGCCCGGCCGAGGGGAGTGCACCGAAAGCCGCCTCGCTCGCCTCGCAATGTGATGTAGTCTGATGGCGGTAGAAGGCAGAGAATAGTGTTATTAACCAAGTGCGGAGAAACTCCCGCTGCACGCCATTGCTGGCTCTCGAAGCCACCCCTCTCACCCCTAGAACCCCTGTGGACTATCAAGGTGAAGAAGCTGCAAGGCCGATTCCACATTGAGGAGCTATCTTTAATGGAGTAAAGCATATCGCGGCGCCAAAAAAAAGGAAACAAAATGCTATGTATGCATGGTATGTACATGGAAAATGCCAGATGGAAAACAGACAAGACAAGATCTAGCGTATGCCGCGTGCCTTGGATTTGCTGGCACCCCTTTGGCCACCCCTCTCTCGTCGTTTAGTCGTGGTGGGTCCTCACTCTCCGCAGGGTGATGGCGAAGGAATTCGAATCTTGCGGAAGGGCAACCCCGCCGTGGGCTTCCCGGTATCTCAAGACGACGAACGCCGAAATCACCACTGCCCAGTACAGGTTGTAGGAGATAACCGACCCATAAGTCGCGGAGTTGGTCCAACCAAAGATGGCGTTCAGGACGCCCCATCCACCCCCGCCATTTAGCTTGGGGCTGCAGCACTACAAGGGGTTAGCACGTGCCGTAGAGGGAATTCCCCATGTCGGGGAGGAAAGAAGGGAAACATGGAAAATAAAATAAAAGGGCAGCTAGTTGGGGTTTGCGGTGCGGGACCCAAAAAAATGGGAGAAGGGAAGAAGCCCAAAGAAGGATAGGGGGAAGGGGACTCGCTTGGCACTTACGTTAACGTGCCACACACTCCTATCGATATCGTAAGATCCCGGACCATCTCCGAGCTCCGCCGCATCACCCCCGATAACCTTATTCCACTGCTGCGTCTCGAAGCACCAAAAGGCGCGAGAAAACAGGCCAGCGGCAATCAGATAGAGGAAACACGTCGAGAAGACGAGGAATGTCTGGATTTTGGCAATGGAACCACCCCTGCAACACAAGCGTGTCTTGTTAGCAATCTGCATCTCCCGCTTCCCGGGTTCCCGGGGCGCGCTCGGTATCAGCGCGTTCGGGATCCGCTCCCGATCTGAAAGGCGGGGCAGGGACACCGTTGGAGAAAAACGATGGAAGAGGGGAAAACTGAGAAAAAAGGAGCCCGGTCCCCGACCCTCCCCGACGCGCCCCCAAAAATAGAGCTTGGAATGAATCCCCGAGACGAAGTCCAAAATAAACCAGAACAAAAGAAAATTAAAAAATAAAAAAGAAGAAAGAGATAGACATTTCAGCTCAAAAAGGGACGACTCACATATAGATGACGTATCCGACAGCCGTTCCCAACAATAGACCAGCGAGCACCGCGAGAGGGATAGCGCTCGCGGGCGCCGAAAACGAAACGCCAGCGACGAAAACGATGCCTTCGATACCCTCCCTCAGGATCGTGATGAAGGGCAGGATGAACATGGAATACTTTTCAAACACGCGCTTCAACCACGGCTGGCCGACGGCGGAGGTGATGGGGGCTTCGATGGCCTTGGCCAGCTTGGCGCGCCACTTCTCCTGCATGCGCCCGATGCGCAGCAGCGCGACGCCCATGATGGTGATGACGACGGAGGAGATGAGGGAGAAGATGCCCTCGTAGTAGTACTCTTGCTCACCCCATGCATCCTTGCCCCAGCCGTAAAGATGCCGATGATGCCGGCGGCGATGATCATGCAGATGGAGAACCCGACGGCCGTGCCGAGCCATACCTGTTGAAACAATGCACATCAGAACTATGGCACTTACTTACGAGGGAAATTTCAAGAGGGTTATAAAAAAATAGGAAAATGAGCGAAGAGGCACGAGAAGAGGATGAAAGAAAAGGAAGGGGTGAAAAATCGCAACGTGGGGCCCGGGCGGCGCATACCTGTCGGCGAAACGTGTTGTGAAGCTGCTGTTCCTCGCCCGGCCTGCGCAGCGTTTGCTTCAGGAATGCGAGAAGTACGGACACGATGATGGCCGTCTCCAGCGTCTCGCGAAAGACGACGAGGAAGATGGGCACGGAAAATAGGTCGGTCAACATGATTGCGGAGCCTTTTTTTCTTTTCGCGTCGGCGAGTACGGATGTCGCGGGGAGCAAACTGTTAGAATTTCGACCTCAGGCCCTGCCCCTAGTACCTATCTTCCTAGTTCCGCGCGACGTAGTGGGTGATGGTCGTCGCAAAAGGGTGTTTTCGCGATGCGAGTCCTCGAAAGCGAGAAAATTCAAAGACACGCCTGATTGAGGGTCGTCGAGTGTTGGCCTTGGGCGAAACGAAAGAAAATGAGGAGGGTACCTTCGTACGGCTCCGCTGATTGGCTGTGCTTGCTTCCTCCGAGCAATCGTCCGAGAGTCCGATAGCGGCAAAGCGTCGCTTCTGCTTCTCGGTGGGCAAAAGGCAAGATCACGCGAGGCATTACGTAACCTTCAGCGCGGTTTTTGGGGGAGGAAAACCGTTTGTTCCCCTTTCTTCTCTCCCCGTACCGTACCAAAGAAAAATCCCCCTCCTCCCGTGGGCCCCTCGCTTGAACGAATGGGCGCATCCTTCATCAGCACAGATTGATAAGATTGCCTCGACACGTGCAGTGAGTGCAGCGACAAGTTGAGCCGGGCGCCGATGCCGAGTCTGGTTAGACAAAAGGATTCCAAAGGAATCTTTGCTCCTCCGAAGCTATACGCAACTTCACCAGCTCCACTTTGAGGCAAAACTTGCGCCGCCCTCGCTCACACTGTTTTTTTTTTCTTTTTTTGGGGTCGAACCACAAACAACCACGCGCAAATCAACGGCTGCTTGCGAATTCGTGGCCCCTCCTCCCCCTTCTTGGTTTGAGTTGTGCGGCGCTTTGAGAGACGAGATAGCTGCATCAAAGACGGCCCAACCTTAAACCCCTCCCTCTTTCATCAAACGTAGTCTTGCATTTCAGTTTTCCAGAGTATTGTCTCATCATGTCCCTCTCACGGGCCACCCTCGGCCTTGCCGCCCTCGCCATCGGCTTCGCGCGGGCCGCCATCGTCGAGCACAACTTCAACGTCGGCTGGGTCCACGCGAACCCCGACAACGCCTTTACCCGTTCCACCATCGGCATCAACGGCAAATGGCCCCTGCCCGCCATTGAAGCCAACGTGGGCGACACCATCGTCGTCAACGTCAACAATGAGCTCGGTAACCAGTCCACCTCGCTTCATTTTCACGGCATGTTCATGCAAGGCACGCCGCACATGGATGGCCGGAACAGGTGACGCAGTGCGCCATTCCTCCAGGTGGTTCTTTCACCTACCGCTTCAAGGTGCGTCTATCCATCCACTCTGTCCGACGATCACATCTCAAATGTCTTTTCTCTCCCGACTAACTAGTCTTTCAGGTCGAGCAACATGGCACCTACTGGTACCACTCCCACACGCACAGCCAGTATCCTGATGGTCTAAGGGGTCCCCTCATCATCCATGACCCCCAGGCCCCCTTCAGGGACCAGTACGACGAGGAGCTGGTTCTCACTCTGTCCGACTGGTACCATGACCAAATGTCCGACCTCATCCCCCAGTTCCTCGCCAAGAGCAACCCGACTGGTGCCGAACCCGTGCCCCAGGCCGCCCTCATGAACGAGACCCAGGACCTCGCCGTCCGCGTAGAGCCAGGGAAAACCTATCTTTTCCGTGCTGTCAATCTCGGCGCCTTTGCCTCCCAGTATCTGTGGTTCGAGGGCCACACCATGACCATTGTTGAAGTTGACGGCGTTTATACCAAGCCCGCCGAGACCAACATGATTTATCTCTCGGCTGGCCAGCGCTGTAGCTTCCTTTTGACCGCGAAGAAGGATACCCATCAAAACTTCGCCTTTGTCGGGAGCATGGACATTGTGAGTTGTCCCCGCGCCGTAGAGACTCTCGGCCTATCACTTTTTCTTTTGTCTCAAACTAACAAGGAGACCGCAGGAACTCTTCGACGTCTTGCCAGACGAGTTAAACTGGAACGTCACAGGTTGGCTCGTGTACAACGAGGACCGCGACCTGCCCAAGGCCCTCGACGTCGCCGAATTCGAGCCCATCGACGACATGACCCTGGTGCCCTACGACGAGGCGCCCCTCTTACCCGAGCCGGACCGCACCGTCGAGCTCAACGTCGTCATGGACAATCTCAGGGACGGCGCCAACTACGCCTTCTTCAACAACATCACCTACAAGGCCCCCAAGGTGCCCACCCTGTACACCGTCCTCACCGCCGGCGACATGGCCACCAACGCCCGAATCTACGGCGAGTACACCCACAGCTTCGTCCTCGAACAGGACGAGATCGTGCAAATCGTCGTCAACAACCACGACGACGGTCGCCACCCGTTCCATCTCCACGGTCACCAGTTCCAGGCCGTCTACCGCTCCGAAGAGGACGCCGGCGACTTTGACGAGGCGGCCCTCGAGGACGCCGACTTCCCTGCGATCCCCATCCGGCGTGATACCCTGGTGGTTTGGCCCAATGGCAATATCGTCCTGCGCTTCAAGGCGAACAATCCCGGTTCGTATTTTCCTTCTCTTCTTTCTCCCCTCTCCCTTTCTAACTCCCCGCATCAATCTCGAACACTTTTTACCGTATAGACTAACAAAGTAAACCCGCCTCTAGGTGTTTGGCTCTTCCACTGCCACATCGAGTGGCACGTCGTCTCCGGCCTCGTCGCCACCTTCATCGAGGCGCCCGAACAACTTCAGGAGATGGTCACTATTCCCAAGGACCACCTGCGCGCTTGCGCAGACGGAAATGTCCCTACCAAGGGCAACGCGGCCGGCCACACCCGTGACCTGCTCGACTTGTCAGGCCAGAACACGCCCCCGCCACCACTTCCAGAAGGGTATGCAACTGTTCCCCCTTCGTTGTTTTTTATCCAGACTATTTTCAGCGCCGCACTACATTTTCTTTTGCTAACTGTGCACCGTTCTAGCTTCACTACCGGTGGCATCATTGCTTTCCTCATCAGCTGTCTTATGGGCGTCCTCGGTGTGACCGTCGTTGGCTGGTACGGAATTACTAAGCCGGACGAGGACCAGGAACCTCCTCAGTCACCCACGTTGGCTCCACTGATCAACAGGTCCGATGACGCCGACGAGGCGCAACCAAACCGCGGGTACGATGGGGAAGAGGATGAGAGACAGTAGGATACATGTATTGTTCATCAAAAGTGTTTTTTTCTTTTCATTTTGCATATTATCAGATATCCAGCATTTCATTCTTCAGTAATTACATAATAGCATAGCCTAACATACCCATAAGAGAACAAGGAAAAAACAAGATAAACCCAGTAACCCTTCATCGTCGTCCTCTCCGCGCACGTATTGTCCATCATGGTCCCACCGGCATTTCGCTCCCCGCGATATTGCATTGCCTAAACAGACGAACTTCGTCAGGGGCAAAGGCGCCGACCACGGAGTGGAGGACGCCGCGGTTGTGGAAGATGACAAAATCACTCTCCTGCCAATCGTGCGCATATACGAGCTCAGGTGCGATGCCGGGCCTTTGCAGACGGTAGACGGTGTCGCGAACCTTTTCCAGGTCATCGATGACGGTGCCGTCCGCGAGGTGCAGCTTCCTCACAGCGGACGGGTGCACCTGCAGGGCCAGACGCCCGGTCACGGGGTTCTTCCAGCACAGAGGCAGGACTTGGATGGCCAAAGGATCGACGGGGGCAGCTCCGCTTCGGACAGCTCCATGCCCTGCGAGACGAGGCCGAGCCCCGTCGAGCGCGACTTGGCGGGAGACATCCAAATGTACGGGTGCGGCGCGTACTCCACCTTGGACTCGCGCGCAAACGTCTTGTCCTCCTCGGACAGGAGATCGTACATGGTTTCGCCGTTGACAAAGGCGGTCGTGCCGAGCGGCACCTGCATCTCGTCGCCCGTGCCGTCGTCGTACCTCAACGTCTGCCGGCGGCCAGAAGGAACCTTGACGGCGAGCAGGGTCGTGGCGACGGGGAGCGAGACCGTACAGCGCGGCGTCGATGTGCCACCGGTAGAAACGGGTGAAGTCGAGGTCGTCCTCGTCCGGGATGGTGGTCTCGTGAAAGGTGCGGTGGTGGGGGTGACGCAGCTGGATATTCTCCAGACCTTCGTACGAGGGTACGAATCCGTTTCCGATCACCTGAACCTGGGGCTGGTGCGGCACCGTCTTCAGATCGGGGTGCAGGATCGAGCGCTTCGCGTCCAGAGTCTTGCCGTGGCCGTAGGCGCCCTGGGCCTCTGGGTCGAAGCGCTGCGTGATCTCGTACTGCGCCTTGGGGAGGCGTGGCCCTGGCCCTTGATGACGAGGACCTGGTGGGTGAAGAGGGCGTTGCGGATCACGTCAAAATCCTCATCTGTCAAATGTTCAAACCCCGTCAGTCGCTGCGCGAAAGATGTCGGTCGAGAGAAAAGAAGAGCCTTACCGAGGAGGTTACCGATTTTACGGGTATTCTCCCTTTTCTTTTGAAATCACGTAGTGTCACGCCGATATATACATTCAACTATGGCCTAGGTGCGAGCCGTAATCTTACCAGAGATATTTTCCAAGTCAACGTTGTTGACCGCGGCGCCGAAGCTGGGCCCGGAACCATTGGCGAGGCTCAACGGTTCCACCGTGACTTGAGAGGTGATCTTTGAAATCATGATGATGGTAGGATTCCCTCACGCGTGCTTAGACGTCTTCACGAAGCGAGTTGGTCTGGTGAGGTCTTTGTTCGGCAGAAGTTGGGTGAGATTGGTCAATTCAAATGCCACATCTAATGAGGACGGGGAGAGGGTCTTTTTATGCTTTTCAGCTGAGACACGGACTGTGGCGGTGATCGCCGTCTCCCACCAGCCTTATCTTTGGCTAACATGATAAGCCATGTCCGCTTATCTCTCGGTTCCACTCCCTGGATCAGCCACACCTGAGCCCAAACGATAAACCAACCTACCATGACGGAGTTCGGTGGAAACAAGCGGAGAATGAAGAAAGATTTCGGATTGGTTTTCTGAGCAAAACTACAGATTGGAAGGGTGGAGGTAGCAGAAGTGTGCATGTGGTTCGTCCGCGCCCGCGATTATCTATCGAGATAGTCGAGTCGGCAGCTGCAGGCAACGCGATGCATGTGGAACCCGGAAATAGAAGAACTGGGGGCGAAAGCAAAGAAGGACCCAATTTTTTCACAAGCGTAAGATGTTTAAATGAAATTATAATAGATTTACGTGTAATCGCAGCCAAACCTGGAACTAATAATAACAAACATTCTAGTCAAATCAACAAACTCCCCGCCCATCACCGAAATTCCCGGGAAAGTCTGAGCCATCTCGGTACTTTCCGCTAAGAATGGTGGGTCTTCGACGAGATTAATCCTGGACACCAACGGGGGTGTTGCAAAGAATGCCCTGGTCCAGCTGGAAGGGTGATGGGCAAGTTAGCACGTTGTGTCAAAAGACAGTTACGGAATACAAGGAGGCTTACGATGGGGAGGACACAGCAGCGAGCACGCTGGCCGATGGCAGAGCAGACGGCGCTAAAGTCGTCGGCGCTCGTGGGTCCGGTCGGGGCTGTAAGGGAGGGGGAACCTTGTTAGCAGCTAGCTCACTCCAGGATAAGAGTAGGAAAGTTGGAGCAAGAGATAGATAACTTACGCTGGCCGCAGTCAAGGTCGGCGATGCCAAGGACGTCGGTGGCACAGCACTGAGCGCTGCCGTACAATCCCGAGCAAGGGGTGTAAGTCTGGCGAGAGTCGAGCGCGGAAGGAGCAGCGGCGACAACACCGGCGAGGAAGACGAGGGAGAACTTCATTTTGAAGAGGTGGTTGATTTGACAAAGAGATGAATAGTTTGAATTTGTGATGGCACGAGTGGCTTTGTACTAAGGCAGCGAGAAACAAGCGAGTGATGTTTGATGAGGAAGGAAAAATTCTATCTCTACATTCTGGACTGGATTCTCTTCTTATATCCTTGACGAAGCTCGTCTTCCAACACAAAGCTTGGTCGTCGAACAGCAAGATCAATCTTAGTATCATCATCACTGCTACTGACAAGAATTCTATTGCGTCACGTCACCCCCTGCACCACTTTTCCGATCACCAATCGACGGACTTTCGAACCGTGAGGCGGAATCGTAGCTTGGCTTCCCCGTCTGCCCCCTCCTCGGCGAAGAGCTTCTTCGCGTGGCTCAATGCAACCCTTTAGGGTTGCCCCTGATTGCGCCGGGTGGCCAGGGTGGCAAAAGTCTCCCGTGGCCGTGCCGCGCTGAGATTGGACGTTGCATCAATTGACCAGAATCCCAGGGTCGCACTCAGACTATAGCGCGGTAGCTACTATAAGCAGGGACTGACGCAACCGCGAGACCGATTGGCCTTGGAAGGAAGAATTTCATGACGCGCGACGATCGCCATCTGGTGCCCGGGCAAAGTCCGCCCAGCGAATACCGGCCGCCGTTCCCACTCGAGGGGGGCGCCTTCACCTCGGTCGCATCGCCCCCTTCGGAAATTCCACCACTACCGAAAACTGCATGTCGCCTGCGTCACCGATCTAACAAAGAAGGTCCGGGGTATTTCTTTTTATTTTCATTTAAATTGTTCCATGCCAGGGCCTCTGGGCCTGTAGCGTAGTGTTTAGTGATCGGCAGACGTCAGCAAGTCCTCACACATCGACCTATACGAGGCAGGGAAAGGTGAAACTAAGGGCATTGGCCCTTGGACTGGACGACGCGAGTGTAACCTCGAGTTTGCAAATATAGCTTGGCAAGAGATCCAAATGGTGACAGCTGACGCTACATCGACGCAATTTCAGCCCGTCGCGTTCCATTGCCCGATCGTCCTCTGCACGGGGAGTGGTTCTTGCGAGTAAAAAAGATACCGTGCGTAGGGAGGCAAGATAGACGTGGACGTAAACTTGGCCAGAGCCAGTGAGCAAGGAGCTTAGCAAAGGTTGGGCAGTGCAGTGCAGTGCGTAAAAGGAGGTACGGACACTATCTTATTCCGATAGCATTGGATGCCTCTCTCCCCTTTTACACCTTGGCCTCTGCCGTGCCGGTACGGAGGGAGCCCCTTGGCGCGATTCATGCAAAAGCGGAGGGGTGAGTTGCCACCCAGCTAGCTACCTCTCCGCAAGGCGCACACCAAATTGTGGGATCCCGGCTAAGGCGGCCCAGTATCGTCTCCATGACGGCAAGCTTCTCTTCGCTGGTCTGGAGGAAAGGGTGGAAGAGGATCGAGATGTAACCTCGCGACGCGATGACCTCGTCGATCTTGGCGAGCAGGTAGGACTCAAAATCGCTCGGGGACAAGGGGGCCGCGGTTTCTCCGTGGGACTGTCGAATGGCGGAGAATTTCTCCATGTAGTAGAATGCGTCGACGGTCTTCCATTCAAATGGCAGGATTGTGATGCCTTGCTTGACCCCAAGCTCGCCTAGGGGAGACATAGTCCACGCCGTGCTCTTTGAGCAGGTCGTACGTCCTTTCATTGATCTGCCCGCCTGGAGGCCTGAAACCTCGATAGCGAATTCCACTTTGCCGCGCTGCTTCGAAGCTCTTGTCAAAGTTGGCCCTCTCGTCTTCCGCCGAGAGCCCGCCCCAGCTTTCGTGCTGATAGCCGTGCCACGCAACTTCGTGCCCTTGGTCCTGGAGGTCCCTCACCGCGCCAGGGTAAACGCTGAGGCTCCACGACTCGCAAAAGTAGGTCCCTTTGATGTTGTGTCGCGCCAGCATTCTCAACATCCGTGGAAGCTGTTCTTTAACCGAATAGTGAGACCCAATGGGTTGATCGGCCGGCCAGAGGCCCTTGTTCACGTCCTGCGCTTCGCCCAGGTTGTCCATTGTGAAACTAATGGCTGCCTTGCAACCATTCGGCCATGTTGGAGCTGCCATCTTGGACCGGGCATGCGGTCGTAGCTAACTAAAAGAGCGAAGGTGGCAATAGTAAGTCTAATGAGGACTGCGCGAACTAATTGAACGACGCTGAAAAATTCTGTGCAGTTGTATGGTCAAATTTGGCAAGACTAATCCTCCTATTCCGCTGGTGCTGGTGATGTTGGAGCGATTGGAATGACGTCCTGGATGAACAATTATTCCGCTCTTCCATGCATCAGAATCCAACCTTCTCGGATCATACCCCGACGCGCCATACAATACCCCGCCTTTGCCACCAACCAGCGCCCTTTGACGCTTGGGGTGGGGCATGCTAAGCTCTGGCGCTCGGCAATAATCACGCACCCTCCGGGGTGCTCGCCACCTAACGCAAAACCACCCCAACACAAAATCAAATTTCCAGACTTTTCAACAACCAGACTTTTCAACAGAAAGATCATAGTAGAACTATCCCAATTCTTAATATTTTTCCTTAAAACTAAGTAAAGGCCATTATCTAGTCCATTTATATAGGGTAATAAATATAATATAATTATAAATAATTTTATTCCTAAGATATTCTAAGATTTCTAAGATTTCTAACTTTTACCTTAAGTTAAATCCTAACTTATTTATAAAAATTAATATTAAAATACTCTCTTTTAAATATAGTTAGAATAGTATACTTAGATTTAAGTAATATTTTAAAGTATTTTATTTCTTTAAAATAAGCCTACTTTTCTAGGTTAAAAACTCTTAAAATTCTACTTTTTAAAGCTTATATTAAAATATAAAATAATTTAGTTATAAAATAAATAGATATCTTATTAAATAGAGTGAAAAATCTAGAATATTCTAATAACTTTCACTTATTTATAATTATTTTCCTAGTATATTAAAAGTGTAGATATATGCTATGTAGGTTTGATTTTGTGTTGGGGTGGTTTTTGCGTTAGGTGGCGAGCACCCCCGGAGGGGGTGCGTGGCACGATTAGTACGAAGTACGTTGTGATAAATGTTCCGCGTCCTAAGCAGTGGCTGTCAGACGAGAAGCAAACGCAGTCACTCGCGCCCTTGAGAGCCTTGGCACGGGACAAAGGGCGAAGATGACCGAAACGTAGGAAGCGATATATAAAATTCATTCTTAAAGAAAGGCAAATAAATAGATAAGGGCATAATACCAATCGGCTGCTGCTGTCGTTTACCACGAGCTATCATTGGTAATTTCCCTATCCTCAGCCAGCCATCTTTTTTGTTCGTCGAAATGGCATTTTCTGACGGTGTCCGTAAGACCAAGCTGAAGCTCGCCGCCGTTCAGGCGGCCCCTGTGTTTTTAAACAAGTCCGCGACCACCGCCAAAGTCTGCCAACTAATCCGTGAAGCCGGCAAACAGGGCGCCGACGTTGTTGGATTTCCCGAAGGTTTCATCCCCGGACACCCGGGATGGGTGGAAGTCCTCCCCTTAGCGCCGAGCCGGCCCCGTCCCTGTTCCTCGAGCTATTCCGAGAAGCCGTCGAAGTTCCGGGTCCGGAGACAGAGGCTATAGGAGCCGCGTGCCGGGAGGCCGACGTGATGGCCGTTGTGGGGATCAACGAACGCCGCCCCAACACCACGGGCACCTTGTACAATACCCAGCTCTTCTTCGGCCGGGACGGCGCCCTGCTGCACAAGCACCAGAAATACGTACCCACCGTCGGCGAGCGCATCGTCCACGCACCCGGGCAGACGGGCAGCAAAGCCTCGGTCGTGGCCGACTTTGGCACCCTGAGCGGCCTGATTTGCGGCGAGAACGGCAACCCTCGCGCAGTACTCGCTCAGCCTCGATTATCCCGTCGTCCACGTCGCGTCGTGGCCGCCGCATTTTTGTCCCGGGTCGGACGTGCAGGGCGCCGTCTCGACGTACTCGCGGAGCTTGGCCAGCGCCCTCATGTGCTTCGTGATCAACTCGGTGGCCGTGGTCGGCCAGGACGTCATTGAAAAATACGGCGCGGATCGCGCCATCGTGGACTTTCTCCAGGCGGAGAAGAAAAACGCAGGGCAACCATTGTGGGCCCCGGGGGTTGTCCTGGCTGGCCCGTTGGAAGAGGAAGAAGGTATCGTGTACGCAGAGGTGGATACGGAGGGACTCGTCAAGCTCAAGTACGGCCTCGATTACGCCGGGCACTACAATCGGCCGGAGATTTTTGCGCACCACTTTGAGCGTTTTCTGAAATAGCGTGGCAGGGGTGGGTGGCTTCTAGCTGTTGATGCAGAACCGGAAAGGAACATGGACGTATTTACTGAACGGCTCAGGCACATGGGAAATTTGAAAGAGTAATGGAACTTCTTTTTGTTTTTGTTTGCGAGTGTATTTAGGGTATATGGACGTTTAGTATTTCCCGTGCCTCTTATTGCTTGCGGCAGTAGCAGGAAAACTGTATGGCCACATCGCACCCGCTTTCCAAGCTTCCAATCTTCTGCGCCACCTGTTCACTTTCCTCCGCACGTCCAGATCGTCGCAGACACTCCTGGTAGCCCTTCAAACTCCAGATGTTGTTCGGATGCTGGCACGGGCGGGGAAGCACCCCGTTTAGCCCGAGGTCCGTTTCGTACACCACCATCGACTCCTCCATGTGTCCTTGCTCCAGGAGCAGCGCTCCCAGCGCGTGGCGGGCCGGCTGCATCCAACCCCACGGCTCATCGTAGGGGAGCGCGTCGTCGAGGGCCACGGCGCTGCGCAGGTGCTCAAACGCGCGGGCATACTCGGTCTCGCGGTAGGTTATCTCGCCCAGCATCATCTCACGCGCGACCGCGAGGATGTCGACGCATTTATTGTTAAATAGAGTTCGACTTTCCGGCACCCTGGCGACAGCATTGTCAAATTCGGCCGCGCATCTTTTCGCTTCGGCAAGGTCGCCCAGGACGCCGTGAGCGACGGCCTTGGCGTACCAAATCATGGCGGTTGTGACACAGAAGAGGGTCCCGTCGCTTGGTAAAGCTTGGCCGATGATGTCGTGCCAGCGACCGAACCGAACCAGGACGTGTTGCTTGACTGAGACGAAGGACTCGAGCCAGTCCGCCATCGGGGGCGATTCCACTCGGAGAAGCTCCTCCGGCAGAGTCTCAATCATCTGTTCGGCGGTGTCTATGGCGGCTTGGTACCGACCGGCGAACATGGCGCCGTAAATCTTGAAGTGATAGTTATGGCACCGGTAGAGCGTGTAAAAGTTGTGCGGGCCCCTCTTTGCGAGGAACTTGGTATCCGCCTCGATGCCCGCCGTGTTGGCGTCGATCGCCGCCTCGTAGTCCCCTACCAGCACGTCGATGTGGCTGGGCATGTGGTTTAGGTGGCCCGCGTCCGGAACGAGCTTCCGCAGCGCATTGGCAGCGGGGAGCCCGCGCTCGGGGTGGGCGGACATTTCTATGGCGTGGATATACAAGTGCAAGATTCCAGGGTGGGCCATCCCCCGAACCCAAGGCCGTCTCCAGCACGCGGAGAATTTCCGTCGTATCAGCCCCGGGCGCAGCGTTCCCGGACTTGATGTCCCACAGCTGCCACGGCGTCCGGTTCATCATGGCCTCGGCGAAAATAGCGGCGACTTCGAGACTTTCCGGCACCTGGGCGTAGGCTTTCCGCATGGCGTTGGCAAAGTCGTTGACCCACTGCGCCATGTCGCCCGCGGGTCCCTCGGACTGATAGCGAGAAGGCAAGGCGTCGATCAGCGCGCGTTCAAAGGGCAACGTTCCTTCTTTGCGCTTCGTGGCCTCCTGCGTCGCTTTAAAGGCCTCGCGGACGGAACGCGCGGCGTCTTCCGGGTCGAACGCTTCCCAGGGCTTGTTGTAATTGCAGCCGAGCACGTAGGCCTTGCCCCAGTGGGCTATAGCGCAGTCGGGGTCCGCATCGAGCGCAAACTTGAAGCACTCGTAGGCTTCCTGGTGATTGAATCCATAGCAGAGGATAAGGCCGCGATTGAACCACAGCTGGGCGTTCTCCGAGGTGCTTGTGATGGCGACCTGGTAGCTACCGAGATCATAGAAGGAATCCGCCATGCTTGCCCTCAAGCGATGCGACGCACTGCGGGATGATGGAGACTATGAAACCTAAAAAGAAAAAAAGGCGAAACTATGCAGCTGGCGTCGTTGAAGGGCGGTAGGTTCACGTCGGGTCTCTGTTCTTTGTGAATCTGCCCATTTCCCCACGCGGTATGCACCAGTACCGGGCACCAGCGGAGAGATTTATTTGGCTAGACTGACGTTTTGGCTGCAGCGGGGCAGTCAAGCTCCGCAAAGCCAGTGATGATTGCACGATCAATGGGCAATTCAATAACACGTGACTAGTGCTCATATCGTATCTAGAATGACTCGTATTGCACGAGAAACGGCAGGAGCTGCCGTGATGACGGGTGATGGCTATGCAGCATCGTGCATCTTTAGAGCAGTGAGGCGAAACAACAAATACAAGTCACAATAGTCGTTTTTTCCCTATGAGCATTGCACAGTGACTATATCATACACGAACTGGGGCCTTCTTCGATCATCTGCCGTGAAGAAATTCAATCCCCTCTAAAGACGCAACGCCAAGCATACCTGCGGCTGGGTTCCGATATATAATCGAATATCTTGGTAGAATGCACGTAGGCCCGGTAAGTAGAATCCACACATCCCCTCGAATATAAAAACCTGAGCTACCGTGTCCGCGGCGATGAGATCTTACAGGGCGCGAAGACGTGAGGGACCTCATACCAGCGCCATGCGGTTGCTAGCTCGATCTCATTTCCGCGAAAGCACTCGGTGAAATTCGGCAGTAGCGCAATCATGGATTGCATGGATATATTCACTTTAGCTGGCTATAAGTTCATCTCATGTTCAAGCCTACACATCGGAACCATTAAATAAATATTATTGCCTTCACGATTGAGATTGCCGACAGAGTACATGCAAGGCATCGTCCGTGAACACTCTCTGAAACGAGGCAACGACTAGATCGAATCCATCGTTCGCTCTCTCGCACGAAGCTGCCTTGCCAGAATAGGCATCTCCTTTGGTATCCTTGATCTCAGAAAAGGGACTATGCAGTATGGCGCTCTTAGCCCCGCCTCTGCCCCGTTCACATCTTAGCTCCCGCGCGTGGGTTTACGATTCGCTGCTGCGGCCGGGAATGGCTGCACGGACGAAGACCCCGCACGTTCACTAAGAGATCTGCAGCTATTAGCGGCTTCCCTTGTTAATTACAGGTGCCGTGCCGGGCGGTTTTTATCTTCCCTGCCCTTGTCATCTATGGACCTAGCTGGCTTCTTTTTTTTCTCTCCTCTTTTCTCTACCCTTGTTGCCCATTTCAGGTTTGCTAGTTCGGCGTATCGGTTAGGACAGAGGGCTTGGGTTATAGCGGGCGAATTGTTCGTCAAGGGGTGTAATTCCCAGACCAAGCAGCCTTGCTTGAATTGCATGCTCCTTCACCATTATCGTCCCTGAACGAGTACCGAGGTCATATTGCGGACATAGGTTCGCGCAACCAAAAGCCTCGATGTCGATTATTGCGTCTGTTCCGCTTCGACCGTCTATGCCATTGGTGCACTTAATTCCACCTCATCAGCCGTGGTGGTTTGCGGCTAAAAATGCTCTTTAAGCGGCCCACGCGCCCCAATAAGGTCTGAACGCACGACCGCATCGGTGGACCGGGGCCGGAAACACCGCGCCAATCTAGGTGGGGACCGTGGAGTTGGCGACAGGGACCCGGAGGAGGGGGAAGGGAGCGCGTCCCTGCGCGCGCACGGCGCCTTATATTTGACATGCGTCCCCGTCACGATCTCGAGAACTAGAATAAATCAGTAAAAACAGGCACTGCCAGATCCTGGTTTTCCCAGGTAGACGCTCGTTTTCTCTCGCCTTGTTCTAAGCACCGAGAGATTCTCCCCTCCGCTCACCTCTGCGGCGTCGAGGAATTCGGTAATCATGCTGATCCTCAACCTTCTCCTCGTGGCCCTCGCACGCCCCGGCGCAAGCTTGGTGGTCCAGCGTCAAAACGACACCCCGCCGGAGAGCCAGCGAGAGCGCGTGAGCATCAACAACGGATGGCGCTTCTCGCGCTCGGCCTCCATACCGGACAAGGTCATCTATGAGGCCCGCCCGGACGTGACCATCGGAAGCGACGTGCAAGTCCTGAAGCCCTGGATCCTCCCCTCGCAAACGACTTCATCAATGACCCGGACAAGCACTACGAGACCCCCGAGGAGGACCCGGCCAGGGATGTACCCTTTACCTTGGCCGACTTTGACGACAGCGAGTGGGACGAGGTCAATGTGCCGCATGACTGGGCCATTCAGGGCCCTTTTACACCGAGGCTGACCCCGTCATTGGTGGCGGAATGGGCCGCCTGCCAGTCCACGGTGTCGGATGGTACCGCCAGAAGTTGTCGTTTACCGAAAAAGACGAGGGAAAGACCATCTATCTTGATGTCGACGGTGCCATGTCGTACCCCCTCGTGTGGTTGAACGGGCACCTCGTTGGAGGGTGGCCATACGGCTATAACTCGTTCCGCCTGGATCTCACTCCGTTCCTTGAGACGGGCGACGACAACCAACTCGCCATCCGCGTGGATAACCCCCAAGCTCTTCGCGATGGTATCCCGGCGGCGGCATCTACCGCAATGTCTGGCTCACAAAGGTCAACCCAGTCCACGTTGCCCAATGGGGAACCCACATCACCTCTCGCGACGTGTCGGAAGAGTCGGCCGTACTCGACCTTATCGTCACTTTGCAAAGCAAGGCAGACGATGATCTCGAAGCCGAGGTCACGGTCGACGTCCACGAGATCGAGGACGGACAGCTGGGCCAAAAGGTGGCCAGCTTCCCGGCAGAGGTCGTCACCGTCACCGCGGGACAAAAGGTCTCCTTCAACCTATCGACGATGGTGGAGAGCCCGAAACTCTGGGGCCCCCGCCCACGCAGGAGCCCAACTTGTACGTGGCCGTCACCCATGTGACCGCCGACGACGAAGAGATAGACACCTACGAAACTCGTTTCGGTATTCGATCCGTCGTCTTCAGCGGCGACGACGGCCTCATCGTCAACGGGGAACGCATCCCCATCCGAGGCGTGAACCAGCACCACGACCTCGGCGCCCTGGGCGCCGCCTTCAACCTCCGCGCGGCGCAAAGGCAGCTCGAGGTCCTGCGCGACCTCGGCAGCAACGCCATCCGCATGGCGCACAACCCTCCCGCCACCGAGCTGCTCCAGCTCACCGACGAGATGGGCTTCCTCGTCATCGACGAGATCTTCGACTGCTGGCAGCGCGAGAAGAACCCCTCCGACTTCCACCTCATCTTTGACGAGTGGCACGAGGCTGACCTGCGCTCCTTTATGCGTCGTGACCGCAACCACGCTTCGATCGTCGCCTGGAGTATCGGAAATGAGGTCGGAGAGCAGTACACGGAGGGAGAGGGGGCCGCGCTCGCCGACTCGCTCCGCAAGATTGCCCACGAAGAAGATGCCACGCGGCCAGCCACCGCGTCCATGAACTACGCCAAGCCCGATATGCCGTTCCCCGGTTCTCTCGACATCATCAGCTTGAACTACCAAGGGAGGGCATCCGAGACGCGCCCGCCTACGAGCACCTTCAGGGCATCAAGACGTCGCCGCTGTACCAGGCCTTCCACGAGAAATTCCCCGACAAGCTCATCTTTAGCAGCGAGACCGCCGCCGCGCTAAGCACGCGCGGCACCTACCTCTTCCCCGTCAGCAAGGAGGTCAGCGCCCCCGTCGACGACGGTTCCGGAGGTGACCCGGTCGCCGAGCAAGTCAGCGCGTACGAGCTGTACACGGCGCCGTTTGGCTCCTCGGCCGACAAGGTGTTCGCGGCGCAGGACCGCCACCCCTTCGTCGCGGGCGAGTTCGTCTGGTCCGGCTGGGACTATCTCGGCGAGCCTACCCCGTACTACACGGCCCGCAGCTCCTACTTTGGCATCATCGACCTCGCGGGATTCCCCAAGGATCGGTATTTCCTCTACCAGGCGCGCTGGAGGCCTGATTTGCCCTTTGCCCACATCCTCCCCCATTGGACGTGGCCCGATCGAGAGGGCGAGGTGACCCCCGTCCACGTCTTCTCGACGGGTGACGAGGCGGAACTTTCGTCAACGGCGAATCGCAGGGCCGGCTCAAGAAGGAGGAGTACACGTATCGGTTCAGGTGGGATGACGTCGTGTACCAGCCTGGCGAGTTGCACGTTGTTACGTATAAGGACGGCGAGGAGTGGGCCGAGGCCACCGTCAACACTGCCGGCGAGGCGGCGGAATTCGAAGTCACCGTGGACCGGGATGCCATCGCCACGGACGGCCTCGATCTAGCATTTATTTCCGTCAAGGTCACCGACGCCGAAGGAAACGTGGTCCCGGAGGCGCGTAACGAAATCACGTTTAGCGTGTCGGGACCGGGAGAGGTCGTCGCCACGGATAACGGCGACCCAGCGGACATGAGGTCGTTCCCTTCGCCGAAGCGTAATGCGTATAGCGGCTTGGCACTTGGTATCATCAAGGCAACGCCTGGGTCATCGGGACCCATCAAGGTCACGGTCACCGCCGAGGGCATCACCGACGCGGAAATTACAATCAACGGGGACTCTTAAAACTAAATACCAGACAGTATCTACCTGGTTGTACATGTAGCGCATGTAGTTGTACTATGCCACTGTTGATATGGTAAATATTTCATTGTATAATTCTTAAACCAAGCTATTTTTTTCCCCTCTCTTGCCTATAAGTAGTGTGTTCAAACCTCGATGCCACATTGAATTAAGACGACCGTCTGTGGCCAACTCGCTGCCCCAATATCTCCTACCCCACCCGCCAGTGGAGGCCGGCCAAGGATGAACTGCATCAATTGCGCTATTGCTTCCATGTTCTCCAAGTGGCACGGACAAAGGGCCCAGTTAGGGCACTGGGTGTCTCGGGATGAATCCAGGTTATGAACACATCCATGGATGTATCTATAGATCCATGCGTGCGCGCGGGGTCACGCAAGGTCTCGAGTTGAAAGGATCTGCCACACGCCACGAACTCGGTGGCCCGAAACCCCGATCACCGGCTGTCATCCCATGTACGGGGGAGGGACGTACATCGCCAAGGCTGCTTTTCGGCTCTTGGGACGAACAACTAAGAATTGGCCGGTGCACATGGCAGATGGACCCTGCTGGGCTGCAATGCCGCGGATCCAACCTTTTTTCTTTCTCTTTCTCTTTCCCTTTCTCTTTCTCTTTCATTTCAATCGCACGACGAGACCAGAGCGCTCGCGCAATCTTGCCCGTGCAAGATGACATGACTCGCCAAATAAGCCGGAATAGCCGCCGGCCGATTCCGGGAAATCGCTGGGCGACGTAAGCCTCTCTCTCTCTCACTCTTTCCCCATCCACCCCGGGAATGGCTTTTCTATGCTTGCCGATTCCATCTGCCAGCGGCTGCACATTGCATTCCCGCCCACGGGTTGTAGACGAAGGAGAGAGGACGCGTCAAGACAACTATAAAAAAATCTCCCTGAAGCCAGGGGAGAAATAAAACGGGAATCGCGCAAAAAGGGAGACGATAAAGGACATGATGAAGCGCGGGGTAATATCCAGAGCGGCATGGGAAGAGGGATTCGCAATGGGCCATGGGTTTGCCGATCCGACAATGACACAGTCTCATCGGTTTCGAGGAACGTGTCTCTCCCTTGCGTCTCGGCTACAGGTTATCAATTGATTAAAAATCATGGACACTTTGGGTAATCCGCCTCCCTCGCGATCGCGCCCATCTTTGGCTGCACGCCCGTTTTACGAGACGGTGCGTTCCACGCCCCCCTCCAGCCACATGATGGACATGTGTAGCACGTCCGAGGCAAACCGTACGTCCCCGAACCCCGATCCCCAATCCCCAATTCCCCATCCCCCAATTCACAGTATGTATACGTATGGCCGTACGCGGAGGCCGCACCCCGGGTTCTGATACATGTAAACAGGCACATGCCGACTCTATCCATTGATCGCGACGGTTCCGTTAAACCACTTTCACCTCGGCGGCATTGACTTCAATTTCAGCAATGGCAGCGCAGCAGTCAGCCCAGGGCGAAAGCCAACCAGTGCTTTCAAGCCCGTCGACCTGTCCTCGCCGTACGACCGCGATGCCGTGGCCGGGAAAACGATACTCATCACGGGCGGGGCCTCTGGGCTTGGCGCGGCGTTTGCCAAAACGTGGGCTTCGCACGGCGCGCATGTGATTATCGGCGACGTGGACGACGCGGCGGGCGAAGCGTTGGTCGCCGATCTACGGGCCACGACCAAGTCCGAGCACCACCACTACCAGCACTGCGACGTGACCGACTGGCAGAGCCAGGTCGCCCTCTTCAAAATGGCGGCCAGCGTCAGCCCCACCAAGGGAATCGACGTCGTCGTGCCGAACGCCGGCATCGGGCACGATGGGGTAGGGAGCTTCGAGGATCCTACCGGCCTCGACGCCGAACACCCCCGCCGCCTCGGTTCAAGGTGTTTGACGTGAACCTCACCGGCGCGGCCTATACGGTCCACCTCGCGCTCTTCTGGCTGCAAAAGAACGAGCCTGGAAGAGACCGCGCCATCTTGTTGATCGGGTCCATCGCGGGCCTCATTCCCCTCGTCGGTTCCGCCCAGTACACCGCCTCGAAGCACGCCATCACGGGCCTCTTTCGGTGCCTTCGCGGGACCTCGTACCGCAAGGGGATACGGGTCAATATGCTGTGCCCGTACTTCGTCGACACGAAAATCCTGTCCAACATCGTCATGCTGTTCCTCGCGGGGGCGGCCTCGCCGAGCTCGAAGACGTCGTGGATGCGGGAACACGGCTGGTGGCGGACGATAAAATTTACGGCCGGGGCCTCGTCGTCGGCCCGCGCATGGTCGTGCAAGATACCGATGAGGGCGAGATCAAGCTTGTGCAAATCCCTACCGGCACGGAGACGGGGAAGCCCATATGGGACTGCTACGCGCATGATTACCACGCCGCCCAGGCGTTTGTCTACAGATACACCTTGTTGCTTGTGGGCATCGCCAAAATCCGCGGTTGGTTTGGCTGGCTCACCGACGTCAGTTGGATCCTGTTCAAGCGGCGGCCGGAACAGCAACCAAAATAGTCTCGCCCCGACTCAGCTGCATCGCGGCGCGTTTTCTGGGATGTCCTTGAACGTCCCGGTTCAGCATTCCATCCTCACCAACCATGTACATTCCTCACTTTTTTCTCCAATATTGACTCCAGTTCCTTTCTCTCTCTCTCCATACCCTCAGCCATTTTTAGTGAGTTAGTTAGTAGCATCCAATTCTAGTTTACTGTTTATGTAATGTACGGCACCAAGGGCCTCGAGCTCATGGATCAATTATCGTGACCCAAATCTTGCACCGGCGTGGCCGGCGTGGCTGTCAGTCTATTAAGCCGTAACCTTGACATCCATAGATCTAGGTAGATCCGTGTTAATCCCCCGACCAACGTTGAAACTTGGCGTGTGGAGATCAAAGAGCTCTGGTACACCCGAGAGCACAATTAAGCAATACAAGTTACATTCACCCCGAATCCAAATGTATTCATCTAGCGCACTGCACACCACCGCACCACTTCGGAAAGATAGATCGGCAAAGAGAGCCACTCTTGCCTCGTGGGTGGCTGCACGCGACAATGGGCCGAAATGGCTATAGTATGGCAATACTGTGATGAATTATTACTTTAGAAAATGGCACCCATTAAATAGGGCTGGCGTGGCATTCTTCCCTCGTGCGTCGTCGGCTTCCCAAGGTCCTGTAAATAAGGGTACGCGTAACCTTTCGCCATGGCAAAGGCGCGAGATGCAGGCACTTTGGGACGATGAAAAAGGCGGTTGACGAGGTCCTAGACTCCGATTGGCCCGCCCATTTTCGGCGAGAGTGAAGCAGTCGCAATCGTTACCTATCAGACTACGGCGAGTTTCAGGCTATCAAGCTGTCGAGTGATGCGCCAAGACTGGAAACGGTTTGGGCGTGGGGTAAATTGGACGATTCCGAAAATATAGTGCGGCATCTCGACCCCTTTTTCCCTTGTGTCCTGCTTCGAGTTACGTGTGTACTTTGGCATCACTCTACTTTACTCCACACTATGGCCGAAACAGCAAGATAAAGCCGGATGCCAATTGAGGACAACTTTCAGCTTCCCTAGCCTTTTCTCGTGCCCCCTGTCCTTCCACTGTCGCACTCTCGCTCTTGGAGTAGGGGGTTAGCCACGGCGATCTCGCGGGAAGGGGGTATACCCAAGGAACACTCGTCTTTGGGGTTTTGGTGGAACAGCAGGCTGGCTGGGAGGGGGAAGGAAGAGGCGTTGTGGTTCCGGGCACCGACTTGGATTATAGACGACGTGTCTCATTTTAGCGGATGAATCTCACATATGACTGGCTCGTCCCTGAAGAAACATCTTGATGAAGCCCTTCTTCATTAAACGAGCAGGGGACGGCCCCCGTGGGAAAAAGAGGAAAAAAGAGAATTAAAAAAGATAAAGCACGGACAAGTGGCTGAAGAATGAATGTACATTGCCATATCTCCTCGGATAGCATGGCTTGCGTGTCAAACGTGATACCCCCAAACCCGTCGCGAGGTAGCGGCCGCACTCGCTCGCCTCACCGGGTGCAACCCGCCAACCACAAGTTCGCCACATCCCGACGTCAACCTGCCCCCTTCCATATCTCCGGAACGTAGAGCCCACTTGCCCATTGCGGTGCGTGCCTGGCCCGCGAAGACCCCCAATCCGTCCTTTCTTTTTCCCCACCCCCATCGGAAGACCACGTCTCTTCCTCCCTTAGGCAAGGTGTGTGTGTGTGTGTGTGTGCGAGGACGGCCACCGCTAACAGCTCCCGGAGCTTTTTTACCAACTTAACCTTGATTCAGAGTTACATCCATCCTGTACCCATTGAAGCTTGCTCTCTGGCTGGTTTCACAGCGGAGCGCATTCCCGATATATCTGCCGGTCGGCACATTAGTATACCAGAGGAAAAAGGAAGTGGGAAAATAAGAATGAGAGAGATTCAAGGGGCCAAGTCAATATTTCTCCAAAACAGCTTGAGCTCCGTTGGAAAACAGGAGGAGCTTCTTAAACCCACCTCCATCCTGTTCGCTAGCCTTTTTGTCGCCCCCTCCCCCACTTGCCCACCCTCCAACAACCAGTCCATCCATCCCCCTCCCCTTCCCTCTCCCTCTGCGGAAGCTATCTGAAGCTCTGCATGTTGACTGACCCGAGTCGCCGACATCCGCTTTGGTGAGGGTCTGTGTCACGATAGTCGAGCGAGCACCGACTTGTCCAAACTCAAACCAAAAATACCCTCGACTGCTGCGTTCGCTTTCACCTGGCCGTGATGTCTCCTCCTGCGCTGGATGCCGACGAGGTCAACTCGGCCGGCTTTTCCAGCCCCAGCCCGCAATCCGAGCTTCCAACCCCCAGCATCGACGCTCCGGCGCTCGACCAAACTCCCGCGCCGGCGGTCCAGTACCCTCCTGGCATCTTCCCCAATGGCGCCAGCTTCCCGATTCCGGATGGCCTCCTAGCTGCGGCAGCAGCCGCCGCCGCCGGCTCCGCGTCGACGCCAAACCCACAACCCTCCAACGGCACTGCTGCGCCCCTCAACGGTTCCAACGGCTCCAACGGTGTGCGGACAGCCAACGGGGTCGGAGCCGAGGCGCCACCCTCGCTGACCAGCCTGCCGGCCCTAAGTACGAGCCCGTCGCCATCGTAGGCATGGCGTGCCGCCTCCCCGGCAACGCGTCGGACCCTGAAGAGTTCTACGAGCTCTGCTGTCGCGCCCGCAGCGGCTGGTGCGAGATCCCTCCCGAGCGGTGGAGCAAAGCCGGCTACTACCACCCCAACCCCGACAAGCTCGGCGCCTTCAACCCCGTGGGCGGATGTTTCCTGACCGAAGACGTCGGCCTGTTCGACGCGCCCTTCTTTAATATCACCGAGAGGGAGGCCATCTCCATGGACCCCCAGCATCGCCTCATCCTCGAGTGCACCTTTGAAGCTCTCGAGAATGCCGGTATCCCCAAGCACAAGCTCGTGGGCAAGAACGTCGGCGTGTACGCGGGCGGCTCCTTCACCGACTACGAGCTCAACAACCTCCGCGATCTCGACACCGCGCCCATGTACCAGTCGACCGGCAACGCGCCCTCGCTCATGTCCAACCGAATCTCGTACTTTTTCGACTTCCGCGGGCCCAGCCACACCATCGAGACCGCCTGCTCCTCGAGTTTGACCGCTCTCCACATCGCCATGCAGAGCTTGCAAAACGGCGACTCCTCCGTCGTGGTCTTGGCGTCCAGCCATCTCAACCTCCTTCCCGACCACTTCGTGTCCATGTCGTCCCAGGGCCTGCTCTCGGGCGACGGAAGATCGTATGCGTTCGACTCCCGCGCCAACGGGTTCGGTCGCGGAGAAGGCGCTGGCGTCGTGATCCTTAAGCCCCTGGCGGATGCTATCCGGGACAACGACAACATCCGCGCCGTCATCGCCGGCACCGGCGTCAACCAGGACGGACGCACCAACGGCATCACCATGCCCAACGGCGAGGCGCAGCTGGATCTCATGCGCAAGGTGTACCGCGATGCCGGTTTGGACCCCAAGCTCACCGGATACGTCGAGGCCCACGGTACTGGTACCAAGGTCGGCGATCCGCTCGAGATGCGCGCGCTCCACAACATGTTTAACGAGGGCCGGTCCAAGCTAAGGCCCCTGTACGTGGGCTCCGTCAAGACAAACGTCGGCCATCTCGAGGGCGCCAGCGGCATCGTCTCGCTCATCAAGGCCACCCTGATGCTGGAACGAGGCTACATCCTGCCCAACTACGATTTCCAAAAGGGAAATCCCGAGATCCCCTTTGACGAGTGGGGCATCAAGGTCCCCGCCAAGCTGATCCCCTGGCCCAAGCAAAAGAAGTACATCAGCATCAACAGCTTCGGCTTCGGCGGCGGCAACGCCCACGCCGTCCTCACCGCCGCCCCCAAGCGCACCAATCTCCCCACCGCCTGGAAGGACGACATGTCCGAGCCCCGCCGCCTCTACGTCCTCTCCGCCAACAGCAAGGAGTCCCTCGCCGAGCAGCTGGAAAGCCTGACCATCTACCTCGAGCGCCGCCCGTCCGCCTTCCAAAAGGATCTGCTGGCCAACTTGGCCTACACCCTCGGCGAGAGGCGGTCCATCCTCCCCTACAAGGCCGCCGTCTCCGCCATCGACGCCAAGAGCCTGAGCACCGCCATGGCCACGGCCAACGCCGCCCCCAGCCGCTCCACCAGGCCGCCCACCATCGGCTACGTCTTCACCGGCCAGGGTGCGCAGTGGCATGCGATGGGCCGCGAGCTCATCGCCCAGTACCCGGTATTCAAGCAGTCCGTGGAGCGGTTCGACGCCTGCCTGACGGCCCTGGGTGCCAAGTTCAGCTTGATGGAGGAGCTCCACCGCGACGACAAGACGTCCCGCCTGTCGGATGCGGACCTCAGCCAGCCCGGATGCACCGCCATCCAGGTGGCCCTGACGGACCTCTTGGTATCCTGGGACGTCCGCCCCGATGCCGTCGTCGGCCACTCCAGCGGCGAGATTGGCGCCGCGTACGCCGCCGGCGTGCTGTCCCTCGAGGAGTGCGCCGTCATCGCCTACAGCCGTGGCCAGGCCGTTCTCCACCTCAAGGCGGACTACCCGGACCTCGACGGCGGTATGCTGGCGGTCGGAGCGTCGCCCGACGACGTCTGGCCCATGATCAAGACCTTGAAGTCGGGCCGCGCCACCATTGCCTGCTTCAACAGTCCCGGAGCATCACTGCCTCGGGCGACTCCGAGGCCATCACGGAGCTGCAGCAAAAGATTGAGGAGAAGCAGCTCTTCAACCGACGAGTCAGGGTCGACACCGCCTACCACTCCCACCACATGGAGTTTGTGTCGGAATGGTACGGCAAGGCCGTCGGCCAGCTCAACCCCACCACCAAGACCGATGTCGCCTTCTTCTCCTCGCTCAACGGCCACTTGATCGACTGCGAGCAGCTCGACACTTCCTACTGGGTCAACAACTTGACCCAGCCCGTCAAGTTCTCCCAGGCTCTCACCGACATGTGCACGCCTGCCACCGGACGCAAGGAAATCGACATCCTCATCGAGATCGGCCCCCACTCCGCCCTCGAGGGTCCCGTCAAGCAGATCCTCAAGGCCATCACGTGCACCACCAAGAAGCCCACATACCTCTCCACGCTGGTCCGCAACAAGGACGCCGTCGAGACCACGCTCAACCTGGCCGGCTCCCTGTTCGTGCGCGGCAGCATGCTCGCGTTCCAGGGCGTCAACTTCCCCAACGGCAGCGCCAAGCCCCTCCGGCCCCTCAAGGACATGCCCCGCTACCCCTGGAACCACACCACCAAGTACTGGTGGGAGTCCAGGATCAGCAAGAACCATCTCCACCGCCCGTTCCCCGAAACGACGTCGTCGGTGCCCTCGCGGATTACTCCAACTCTCTGGAGCCCACGTGGCGCCACATCGTCCGGCCCGACGAGGTCCCCTGGGTCCGAGGCCACGTGATGCAAGACATGATCATCTACCCCATGGCCGGCTACCTCTCCATGGCCGTCGAGGCGGCCGCGCAGCGCGCCAAGCTGTCGAGCCAAGTGTTTGACCGCTTCGTCTTCAAGGACGTCACCATCAGCCGCCCCCTGGTTGTCCAAGAGGGCGCGGACTCCGAGCTCAACATCACCCTCCGCGGGTTCACCGAGGGCACCAAGCAGTCGTCCAAGGCCTGGGACGAGTTCAGGGTGTTTTCCTGGAACAAGGACCGCAGCTGGATCGAGCACTGCCGCGGCCTCATCCGCGTGGAGCAGAGCACGGAAACCAACCCCGTGCGCGACCTCGCCTCCGAGGACCACGTCTCCCTCACGAGCCGCGCTGCCGAGATCGAGGCGCGCTGCTCCGAGGCCGTCGACGGCAACCAGCTCTACGACGAGCTCGAGGGTGTATCCGCCAAGTACAACGCGCAGTTCCGCTCCATGGAGAACTGCACCGGAAGCGACACCAACTGCGTCGCCGACATCGTCATCCCCGACACGGCGCGCGTCATGCCCAAGGGGTACGAGCCCGAGCTGTACATCCACCCCGCTTTCCTCGATCAATTCACGCATGCCGCTTGGGTCATCTTGGGTGCCGGCCGCGGCCGCCTCCCCGCCCTTTACATGCCGCGCTTCTTCAAGAGCCTCACCATCTCCGCCAACCTCTCCAAGACCCCCGGGGACCGCTTCCGGCTGTACGGAGAGGGCAACCCGGACTTTGACCGCCCCAGGTCGACCCAGGTCACCATGTTCGCCACCACCATGGACGGTGCTTCTGAGATGATCCACATGGAGGGCCTCGTCATCGATCCCATCTTCGAGGCCGATGGCGTTACCGACAAGCTCTCCGCGCGCGAGCTCTGCTACCGCGTGGGCTGGGAGCCCCTCGATCTCGCAGACTCCGCCGCCGTGGCACAGCCCGCAGAGATCTCTGATAACATTTCCATCGTCTGCGGCAAGGATCAAGACAGATCCCTCGCGTCCCAGGTACAGCAGCTCCTCGCTTCGTCTGGCAAGGGCCAGGTGGATATTACGACGTTCGAGGAGGCTCCAACGGATGGCCGCGTGTACGTTGTACTGATGGAACTGGCCTCTCCGCTCCTGTCGGGCCTCGACGAGCAGCGATTTTCTCGTCTGCAGAGTCTCATCACATCCGCCAAGGGTATCCTTTGGGTGGTCCAGGGAGCGTACTCCGACTCTACGAACCCGGAGGTCGGCATGGTCCTCGGTCTTGCTAGGACGATCCGCTCCGAGTCCGCCATGAAGTTTGCGACTCTCGACCTGGACGGCGTCAACCGCCTTTCGGACGTCGACATGGCTGCCCAGATTGAAGAAGTCGCCAAGTACGTCTTCAAGAAGGGCGGATCGCCCACGGCCGACATGGAGTTCCAGGAGCGAGAGGGCTCCCTCAGTGTTTGCCGCGTCGTCGACGACTTCGACATGGATGCGTTTGTCGAGCAAAACACCAACTCTACCACCGCGCCCTTCTTGCAGCCATTCGAGCAGCCTGGCCGACCCCTCAAGATTAACGTCGGCACAAAGGGCGCCCTCGACACCCTTCACTTCATTGACGACGTCGGTGCCTTGGAACCCCTCGCCTCCGATGAAGTCTCCATCGAAGTCAAGGTGACGAGTATGAACTTCAAGGACATCATGGTGTCCATGGGCGAGGTCCCCAGCCCCTACATCGGTGTCGAGTGCGCGGGCATCATCAATGCCGTCGGCAGCGGCGTGACCGACCTCAAGATCGGCGACCGCGTGTGCGCGAGCTCGGAGGGTGCTTACTCCACCTACACCCGCTGCAAGTCCACCAGCTGCGCCAAGGTCCCCGACGACATGAGCCTCGAGGCCGCCTCCACCATCCCCGTCGTCTTCTGCACGGCGTACTACGGGCTTTTCGATATCGGACGCCTGCAACGCGGCGAGTCCGTGCTGATCCACGCCGCCGCCGGTGGTGTCGGCCAAGCCGCCATCATGCTCTGCCAGATGATGGGCGCCGAAATCTACGCGACGGTGGGCAGCACCGCCAAGAAGACGTTCATCATGGAGACGTACGGCATTTCCGAGGACCGCATCTTCTTCAGCCGTGACACTTCGTTCGCCAAGGGCATCAAGCGCGCGACCAACGGCCGCGGCGTCGATCTCGTGCTCAACTCCCTGGCCGGGGATTCCCTCCGCGCCACGTGGGAGTGCATGGCGCACTTTGGCCGTTTCATCGAGATTGGCAAGCGTGATATCCTCGCCAACTCGGGCCTTCAGATGGCAGTCTTCGAGCACAATGCCACGTTCGCCTCTGTCGATCTGACCGTCGTTGCTGCCGAGAGGCCGCTCGTGATGAAGCGCCTCTTGGACGACGTCTTCCGTCTTTTGGGCTACGGAAGCATTCGGCCCATCGCTCCGATCACGATTTTCCCCGTCTCCAATCTCGAGGCCGCGTACCGCACTCTCCAGGCCGGAAAGACCCACGGCAAGATTCTCGTGACCGCCAATGCGGGTGATCAGGTCAAGGTAATTACGATCGTCCCTCCCCTCAAACAGAAGATGAAAACTAGATGAATGAGTTTGACTAACCCTGCTCGTACTCGTAGGCTACCTATTCATCCAAGGCCCACAACCACCTGCTTCGAGGCGACGCGACATACATAATCATTGGCGGATCTGGCGGTATCGGCCGAAGCATGATCAAGTGGATGACTCGCCGTGGAGCAAAGAACGTGGTCATTGTGTCCCGTTCCTCCAGCGTGTCTCCTCAAGTTGCGGCGGTGATGGAGGATGCCAAGTCCATTGGCTCCAACGTCGTCCTGCACCAGTGCGATGTAGCAAACGCGGAAGATGTCCAGCGAATGGTCTCGCAGATCAAGGAGACCCTGCCTCCCATTCGCGGCGTGGTGCACAGTGCCATGGTTCTACACGTAAGTTGTCCCACCACCTTTACACGTGCAAACGTTCAATCCCTTCAAGTTGCAACGCCCGCCCCTCTCTACGTGATCCTTGAAAAGCTCACAAATCATCCACAGGATGTCCTATTCGAGAACATGAACTTTGGCCAATGGCACGAAGTCGTCAAGTCCAAGGTCGCCGGCTGCTGGAACATCCACGAAGCCCTCGCCGACGCCACCCTCGACTTCTTCATCGCCCTCAGCTCCGTCTCGGCCATCATCGGCAACCGCGGCCAGGCAGCCTACGCGTCCGCCAACGCATACCTCGACTCGTTTGTGCAGTTTAGGCGCCGTCTCGGCCTCGCCGCCACCGTGCTCAACTTGGCGGCGGTCAGCGATACCGGCTACCTCGCCGAGAACGCCGAGCGCCAAAAGGAGGTCCTCGAGCAAGTCGGTGGCGAAGCCATCAGCGAAAAGGAAATCCTCGCCCTCGTTGCCGCTTCCATCACCGGAAAGGCCGAGGAAACGTGCTCGTCCCAGGTCGTCACCGGCCTCAAGCTCCCGTCGTCCTTCTCGGGCGTGTGGTGGGCGTCGGATGCCAAGTTCACCTCCCTGTGCGAGCGGACGCTGTCCGAGAATGCCGGCGGCGATGTCGGCGCCCAGGCCGTGTCTCCCGGAGCGGCGCTCAAGCGCGCAACCTCGTACGAGGAGGCCCATGCCATTGTGATCTCGGCCCTGCTCGATAAGACGGCCGAAGTCCTTATGCTGCCGAGGGAAGAATTGGACGGCTCCAAGGACACGGTGTTTTACGGCCTCGATTCCCTCGTGGCGATTGAGATCCGCAACTGGATTACCCGCGAGTTCGGCGCTGCGCTGCAGATCTTGGATATGCTGAGCACGCCGTCTTTCATTGTTTTGGCGGAGACGGTTCTCAAGAAGTCGGAAGTTGTTTCGTTTGAAAAGCCCGCTTAACTCATTTATCGCATTTGCGCCTCATTCTGAAGTTTGATTTTGTTGCATGCATTTTTCTCTTCTCCTCATCCATGTCATTATTGCTACCCTCTTATTTTTTTCGTTTTATCTTTTCTTTGTTGGCTCTTCGTCTTCTTCAATGTTCTTTCATCTCGTTTTTTTTTCTTTCACCATTGCTGTCATTGCTGTTCCATCTGCAAGGAGCCGTTGTCGGCTTCGCTGCATGCTTGCGATATCGAATTTGTGTGTGTGTTATTATAGGATGTACAATTTGCTTGTTCCTACGTTCGATTCAAAAATAAATTCGCTATTTTTTAATCTTCGCCTTTTCGGCTCCTCCGTGCGACGTCTGCCGTGAATAGAGAGGAAGTCAAGTAAACAACCTTTTGAGTCCTTCACTAGAGAAAGTGGCTTTGGTTATCTCCTCGCGCAGGTTTGGGGACATCGGGTACCCGAAGAGACCACGGGTTGCCGGCAATCTATGCGGTGGGACGTTCATAAATACTCATCTTCCCGCATCTCGTGCTTTCGGCTCTTCGCGTTGTGGCTCCCGCTACATCATTGATCGATCGAAGCAAAGTTTTGGTCCTGTCATTTACAGCCAAACACACTTACATAATCACCAATTGACGCCGGAGATGCCTTTGTCCACTTTTCACGTCTACGAGACGACTCGCAGTCCTCCCAACACATTTCGTTGGTAGCTTTCCCCAAAAATAACGCCGGGTTCGCTGATGAGCACGAGAGGCCGAGCTGCCAACCCTGCGAACCCTGTCAGACATGCAGTCGTTGCGACGTTTCCCTTGCGGCTTGTCATTTTCCTTAGGATTAATAATAACCCCGCCGTGTGAGTTTTCGTGAATTCATGTTCAATAATCGAGCGTTACTCTGCACAATGGAGGAAAATCTTGGTCTCTCATCCCTGCCGGGCATGCGGGCGAATATCAACCCGCTCCTCGGAGTGTGACGCAAATGCTCAAGAGTCATGAAAAATGATCACGGTTAAGGTTTGTGGCTGCCGAATGCTTCACGCGATATTGATATAAATACACAATGGCCGCCCATATTCAATCTCGAGGGAAGCACCATCCATAACCCCCAACATAACATGGCTATCAAACCCAATCTGATCTTCAACATTGCAAAATTATACCCACGCCTCCAAACCCCCTCTCGCCTTTATTCCATCATGGCTTCTCTCCCTTCAACCATCCGCGCTGTCCACCAGCCCGATCCCAATTCTGCCCGCTTGGAACTCGTTCAGTCCGCCACCCCCACCATTACGAGAACTGATGAAGTCCTCGTCAAAGTAGCCGCCACTTCCCCGTGTTTGGGGAGCTTTGGTGGGCCCGTGACTTCCCATCTCTGTTTACCGAGCCTCGAGAGCCCGTCCCAGGCCAGGACATGGCCGGGACCGTCGTCAACACCTCCGAGGGCAGCAAGTTCAAGCCGGGAGACGAGGTATATTGCAGAATCGAGGCCATGCGTCCGGGTGCTGCCCGAGAATATACCTTGGCGCGAGAAATTGAGCTCGCCCACAAACCGAAAAATCTCAGCTGGACCGATGCTGCCGCTACCCCGCTGAGCGCCCTGACCGCTTGGCAGAGCATCTTCACGCAGGGCATCCTCGAGCCATCCGCCATCTTTGGTGACGAGGAGGCCCGTGGCAGGAATGGGAAGAGACGAATTCTCATCACGGCAGCTGGAGGAAGCGTTGGAGGCTGGGCCGTGCAATTTGCGGCCGCTGCAGGCACCGGTGGCATCGTCGCGACTTGTCAGGGCTCCAAGGCCGATGCTGTTCGCGCGCTGGGGGCTACGGAAACCATCGACTATAGGAGCCAGACTGTTGAAGACTGGGTGCAGCAAGATCCAGCCGGGAGGGAGGTGGATGCCATTGCCGATTGCATCGGAGGCCCGTCAATGGGCCAGCTTTGGTCGGCGCTTAAGCAAGGGGGCACGTTCATGAGTATCTCTGGATCACCCAACGATGTCAAGCCTGAGAATTGCCAAAAGTCGGCGGCCAAGAGCGAGTTTTTCGTCGTGGAGTCCCTCGGCAGCGACTTGGCCAAGATTTCTACCCTGCTCGAGTCTGGTAGCTTCAAACCTCTGGTGGATAGCGTCATGGAGTTTGAGCAGTTTCAGGAAGCTTTTGACAAGGTTGAGTCGCGAAAGACCAACGGCAAGGTGATTCTCAAAGTCACAATTTGACGATGGGACTCCATGAGCTGATACTAACCCCTACTATTATTGGCCACGGAAGAGACTGTTCCTCTAAATGCCGTTTTGAATGATTCCAATATTTGTCTGTATTAAGTTGAAACTCTGGGAGACGGCGTGTTACTATTGTATCTACCTCGGTATGTCAGCAACGAGATTGATGTAATGGATGAGTTAGTCATTGTTTTTCTCATTCTTTCCAACTTTGAGTACGCTCTTTACTTACTTACGGTGTTACTTGACCCAATGACCGACACGATATTATAGACTCAATGGATATGACTAGAGTTACCAAGTTCCCTCTCACTGGTTGCCTGCTGCACGCGTGCGAGGTGCTCGGCTCGGGGCGGTCTTGGACAAGGACCTTGGCCAGGTTACGTCAATGGCGCACGTCAATCCCATCGAGCTTATCAAGAGTCGATCCAATGGAATAATTTTATTGACCAAGCGAAACGCTGGTATTCGTCGCCCCAGGCCGCGGGCAATTCTGGAAAGGGAAGGCCCATTCACCTCTGGCTGCCTGCACGAATGATCAGCGTCGAACCTATGCCTATCTGAATATGCTGTGGCCCTTCTAAGCATGCGGGCTTGTCCGGTGGTCCCCGACCCTGGCCAGTCAGAGACCGGGATTTGAGCCTCCGACTAGGTAAGATGAGGTCCAAGAAAATAACTCCGTGAGAAATGCCGAGCTCAACCAAGACAAACCCGACGCCACGTCGGAAAAAGCAGCGTTCATGCGCATTCCCGGGTAGGGCGAGCTTGGTCGGTGCTGAACTTGGTCTCACTCCTGTGGGGGTACCGCATCATCGTTTCTTCCTCGAACATGAGTTGCTTAGAATGGATCGTCCCTACGGATTAGGGATGTCTTAGTAGTGTACACGAATTCCGCCAGGGCTTTCATTTTTCAGTTTTCTTTTCTTTCTACTAGGCAACGAAAAACCCGACACCCCAGGAAATAATGCGGTACGTCCCGCGAAGCGTCAGAGTGCGGGTGTGCGGCAACCAACCCATGGTGGCATAAGTGACACCATTGCAGATCCTAGCGGCGCGTAAGATAGCCATCGATGCAATTCGAGAGGATGAACCAATCTCAACAAGCCACAGCGATGGCGAACGCACTGTAAGAAAGGGGTGGAAGAAGCAAGAAAACGGCTGCGGGCATGAACAAGGCCGGAAGAGGGGGGAGAAGATCATAAATGCCCATGCCTCCCAATTCACCAACGGCCCGCTCGAGTCTGCATTCCTTGGCCGTTGGAATATGAACGCCTCAGTGCTGCAGTGTAAACACACGCACACACGCAAATTCATCACCAAGATCGCCCCTCTACAGCCTTAGACCGTCGAAATGGTGCCTGAGGAAGACCCCAATAACCTCACCGGCGTCCCCGGGTCCCGGAGCCAGCTACACCCGTCCCACCAGCCGCCCACGAGCCAAAAGCTCGTTCTGTTCTTCGACGGCACCGGAAACAAGTTTACAGGTTCGAATGCAGATACAAACGTCGTCAAACTACTCAACAAGCTCGATCGCAATGACCCTAACCAGTACCATTATTACCAAAGTATGTCGACTATCACATCTGAAGATAATAACATCCATGACAGGGTATTCTAATTGCTTGTAGCCGGCATTGGGACATACGATATCAATGAAAAGTCGGTCAACAAGTCGTGGCTCGGGGAGATGCGAAGCAATATCTCGCAGACGCTGGACCAGGCGATTGGCACCACGTTCGATGCCCACGTAATGGCAGGCTACCGATTTCTGATGAGGTACTATGACACGGTGGGTTGACCTTCTCGCTACCAGCATATCCAGGGGTGCCGTTGCTAACAGCCCATGTAAACAGGGCGACAAAATCTACATGTTTGGTTTCAGCCGCGGCGCGTTCACGGCCAAGTTCTTAGCCCGGATGATCCATACCGTGGGCCTGCTATGCAAAGGAAACGAAGAAATGGTCCCGTTTGCCTTTCGGCTATACCAGCGATACCTAGCCGGTGAAATCGAGGATTTCAAGACGGAACAAGCCAAAACTCGCGCCCAATCCGCTCACCGACCACAACAGCCCGAACGCGACGCTGAGCCCTCACCTGCCGTACCCGTAGGACAGGGCGTCGAAGCGGACCAACCCCCAGGCAGCGCCGAAGAAGCGTCGTAACCCCGGCCGGCGGTTCCGCATGGCGCGAGACGAGATCACCGCCTTCAGCAACACCTTTTGCCGCAAGGAAGAGGTGGTTCGAAACGGCAAAGTCGTAGAAGCCAACATCAAGGTGTACTTTCTCGGCATGTGGGACTGCGTCAACTCCGTCTCGGTCATGGAGCGGGAAACCCCGGTCCCCGTGCCGGTCAAGGGAACCGCCCACTACGTACGGCACGCCGTGGCCGTCGACGAGCGTCGCGTCAAGTTCAAGCCGGCGCTTCTCGCCCAGGATATGCGCTGCCAGACACACGTCCATGAAGATATCAAGGAGGTGTGGTTCCCCGGGTGCCACGGGGACGTGGGAGGGGGTTGGCCCGCCATGGCGGACAACGCGCTCGACAGCGGCAACTTCGAAGGCATGACCCACCACGAACGCACCAAGAACTTTTGGAAAACCCGCAAGGCGAAGCAAGCCAGCACGAACGCCGGCAACGACCCGTTCCAGATGAGCGATATCCCGCTCGCTTGGATGATTCGCGAGCTCGAGCTTGTGGGGAAACAAGACCCCGCGGCGGCGGTCAGGTGGTGTAACTCGGCCAAGGGGTTCAAGAAACGGTTGCGCAATCGCAAGGAACAGGCGTTACGCGGCTTCATACACGATGGGCTACAGTACAGTTCGGGTACTGGCTTTTTACCGTCAGTCTGTGGAAAATCATGGGTAAGTGAAGGAGGGAAAACAAGGAAACCTGCCTGCTATTCTCCAAAAACGCTTATAACAGATCGCTAACAGCTGTAATGTACAGAATGGTGGCCGTTCATTACTCGATGGGAGTTGGAAAAGAACGAGTGGGTCAACGTTCGCTTCCCTCTCAATGGCGGCGCTGCCCGCGATATCCCTCGAGATGCGGTATTGCATGAATCGGTGATATGGAGGCTGAACAATGACGAAAAATACAAGCCCAAGAACAATCACGGCGGCCGCCTGCGTCCATGCCTCAAGGACAAAGGTACTGTGTCCAAAGTCTACCCGGTGGCGGAGGATGAAGAAAAGGACGTAGACCATCAAACATATATCCTGGCAACCATTAATTAAACGCCACACGGGGCCTTTTGAGAGTTGCTGGCCGTAATTGACTCTTTGAATTAAGTCAGTTTTCACTATCAGTACAGTTATGCGATATATCCATGTATTTGGTAGTATAATTCTATCCCTTCGCCGAGCTACTTATTGTGCCTGGCCAACTTTCATTATTTGTTCTTCCTTTGAGTAAACGGTGACCTCTGCATTATATCGATGACTATCGACTGGTGCCAGAAATATCCCCCAAATTAAGCCCTCCAAGCCTGGTGAAAACACCACCGGCCTTTGGTGCAGCGCCTTATCCGATAACCAGAGTATATTCCTTGGTCAGCGGCACGTCAACATGGAGCACCAACTTCTTCGTCTCCTCGTCATACTCGGCGTCTTCGCTGACGTCGGGCTTAGAGTCTACACCAAGCACGGTAATAGTTTCAATGCTGACGCCGGCATCGTGCTCAAAGGAGCCAGTCATCTTAAACACCCCTTGGCGTATTCAAAATCAATTTCTGACACCGTGTCTTGTACAATGGAAATGCCATCATCGAGGTATAGCGAACCCTTTGCGCTTCCGTCCAAGCCAGGGGCGACCACGACGTTGAAGCCCTTTGGCGGAGAGCCGTTGTCGTGTTTGCGCTTTCTACGCGCTGCGGGTAGATGATGCCGCCCTTGTAGTGGATCAAGATGTCCGTATCACTGACTTCGGCCGAGGAATATTCTCCCCGTCCTCGCACCGGCTTGCCGCTTCCCACTCGTAAAAGATGTCGTCGGGGAGGTAGTAGTCGACGCTTGTGCTGTTCTCTTCAGTAACGGGGCTGACTAAGATGCCGTCTCCGTAAAAGAACTGGAGGTCGATGGGGTACGTGTTGGGGTCGTTGGGGTAGTTGAAGAAGAGAGGGTTGAGTGTAGGCGTGCCAGTCTGGTTTTGTTTATACAAGGCCGTGTAAATGTAGTCGACTAGACTGCTCGTTAGCAAAAGGTCGGGGAATGGCCTGCGTCATAAAAGAAAAACTTACGGAGCTGGTAACGGATGGAGATTCCATTCCGCGCCGCCTTGGCTACTGTAGGCCAGCGATAGAATTCTTGCGAGTTGGCAGAGATCTCCGCGTGGTTGCGGAAGAAGGTGTAGAATGAACCCAGAGTAACCCACCTAGTAGCGCCCAGCACTAATTAGCCTTACAATCCATGGATATATGGAACTTGCCAATGAAATAAAGGAACTTCTAGCGGTATGATAGAAAACCTTACCTAGCGCACAGGTTCTCGGTAGTATTGCCGCCGAAACCACACACATCAGGACCCACGACAGGGATCTGGTACAGAGAAGCGAACTGAAGAATCTGGCTGATGGAGTTTCGATACCATGACCATCCAGAGATATTGTCTACGTCCTTTGTTAGCTGGTGCCCACGAGAAGTGCTGTATAGGGCGAGAATTGGCATCTTACCTCCGAGCCAATGCGAAACGTCCTTACCGGAGCCGGCAAAAGTGCTCCTAGTAATCACCAGCGCGCGGTCATCCGGACGGCGCGCACGCATGGCATTATGAGAGTGCGACGACATCATGGCGCCGTAGAGGTTATGCGTGTCGTATTGCGTATACCCGCCGCTCTGCACCACATCCGTATCCGCAGTGCTGTCAGCAAGCGTGGGGCCCGCACCGTTCTGAATCATGTACGGAGGGCGGATGAGCTCGCGGTTGGGAAGGCCCTTGCACTCGTTCAGCCCACAGCCGGAGCCGGTTTTTCCGCCATGCTGCCATCCGGTTCCCGGCCGCCCACGGCCGCCGTTGCCCCAGCGAGACGAGGCAGAGCGCCAGCGACCAGCGCCACGCGACCCCGGCCGCGAGACTGACGCACGCGAGGCTGGTGCGTGGCGGGTTCGTGCCGGCGGGTGGTGACCCCCGCGGCGAAATTGGGCTGCAAGCTATCGGGGAATCCGGGGATTGGGGCGTCCGGGCCGTCCCGAACGGGCGGGGGCTTGGGCGGATCTCCGTCAACCTCGGCAAAGTGCTCCGGCGTGGTGTTGTTGCCCGGGTAAGGGCGGTTGTAGAAGTTGGCCGGCTCGTTCATGTCGATCCACAAGCCATCAATGTCGGGACCGTTGACGCCGTCAAAGAAGCCCAAAATTGCTCGGTCCAGTACTGCTGAGACGCGGGATGGAACCAGTCTGGGAAGTAGCTCGGGCCTGCCCACACAACGCCCTTGTACATTGTCCCATTCTCTTCCTTCATAAAGGTATCCAGCTCTAACCCGGCGTCGAGGGCAGGGTTAGACTCCTTGTAATACACGGCGGGGTCCACCATGACGATGTAGCGCTGGTCTCGGGCGTGGAGTGTGTCGACGAGGTCCTTGTAGAGGTGAGCGGGGAACCGTTCCGGGTCAATTGTGAAGATGCGGCGGCGGTCCATGTAGTCGATGTCGGTCCACATCGTCTCCAGAGGTATATCATGCGACGAATAGTTTGCAACAACGGCAGCGACTTCGTACACATCCCGGTAGCCGTATCGGCATTGGTGGAAACCGAGACCCCAGTACGGTATCATGAGGGGAAGCTTGGTGATCTCTGCGTACTGGACCGCTACCTCGCGAGGAGATGGCCCGGCTACAAAGTAGAAATCAAGCACGCCACCCAGAATGTTGTATTCCAAGGACTGCTCGCCGTTTGCATCATCAATCAAGATGTCCATGCCATTGGAATTGAGCAAGAAGACACCATGGGTCCCGGTTTCCCGATGATCGAAGTAGATCGGGTGAGCTCCGTACAGGTTCTCGCCCGATGGAACGCCGTAGGAGTCACGGGTGTAGATTGTCCTCGTGTAGTTGGTAGTATTTAGTTTGAATGAATCGCTATGCTCGCCGAGACCGTAAAGGTTGGGGTTAGACGGCAAACGAGTCTGAAGGCGGACATATTGGCTCTCGAATACCAAAGCAGTCCCGCTCGTGTCGAAGAGGACCTCGCCGGTGTCTCGTCTGGTGATGGTAAACGAGAAGGGATCTTTGACAAAGTCAAACACCAGCTGGGAGTCTTTCCCGGCGCACCACTGACCGAAGCCCGGGCGCGGGAAGACTTCGTCGGGAACTTGGTAGACCGTGTTGTTGGTGTCGAGGATCTTGACGTGCAGGCGGTCATTTGTTTGGTATTCGACTTGCAGTTTCAAGTTGGGCAGGTCGGTCCCGAACACATTGCAGGGCTCGCCCGCGAGGGAGAGGTCTGCGTAGAACCCGGACCGCGTCTCCCAGTGCTTGGTTACTTTGTAGCCTTTGCATTTGGAGAGATCCTTGTCATAAAGGTCGCTGCCGGAACCGTCAAGAGGATCGACGCCCTCTTTGCTTTGCGCAGAGACGGACCCAGCCAGAAGCAGGCCTGACGTGAAGACGGTTTTGAGCCACATGGTTTTGACCTTTGATGAGTTGTGGCACGTGGAGTCGGCGTGGATGGTCAGAACAAGATCGTGATCACCGTTCTCCCGGCCGCTCTATATAGATGATCTACGATGAAGCTAGCGAGGACGATTCCCGCTTGGAATGTTCGAATAGCAAGCCCCTCTCTCCAACCTCTCTAAGAAAAGCCCACCGCCACGAGATACGTAATTGGTCTTGAGGCGGGGCGGAGGACGAACACGCCGGTCAAGGGAAGGAGCACTAAGGATACATCGTCGGGGCATTTAGACCGAAAAAGAGCCGGCTACAGATCTACAATCTAGAAGCTTACTGCACGTAGTGATTTGTTTTTTTCAACCTCTTCTATCTACTACCCCAGATCTTCTTTTGTTCTTGCGGGGTGGAAGAAAAAGGCGGAGTCGGTGGTCTGCGGGGGCGACTCCAATCCGAGTCTAGAAACTAGCTCGGCCGTTGGTCTGTTGGAAACCTGGTTTAAATCGGCCCGCGGGGTGACGTGATGTCACAATACAACAAACCTTTGCCTAGTGCGGCGGCCTGCGTTGCTGACTTTTCGGATATTTTTCGGGGGTCCTATTGTCGTTCGGCATCATCGGTGTCTCTTTGTCATCAGAGTGGCAGGTTGAGCGGCGGGCAAGTGGAGAAGAGGCAACCCGAATGGAGCGCGTCAGAGTTGCAGACAACGCTACGGCTCTCTCACTCGACGTGTGCGACACCAGCCTCTGGGAGCAGGCGACCTTGAGGGTATTTCCGTCTCTCTCGGCCACGGGCTAACGGGCGGAGGCATCGCGGAGATGTCACCAAGGAGGTTTGCCCAAGATGGAGGTGTGCGCTAGGCCTGGATGCCGTGACGGGAAGAAAATGCGACGATCTTTTCTGCATGGCAACGTCCGTTGGAAGCGAAATGAGGACGCTAACAAACTGCCGCGGGGCAAATTTCAAAGGTCAAGTAATCAGCCCGTTGCCCGTGAATCTGTTCAGAGACAGACTGATTGATTCTTGTCTTCTCGAGGGTCTTTTAGTCATCCAAACTGTTCAGCATCATTTTGACGTGCGGGTTTGAAAGCCTCACCCGATTTCGAATCTCGGCGCTCTCCCTTTGCCTATCGATCCCCTGAATTGAAGAAATTGTGGCTTGTGGCGCCGCTCGCCCTGCAAGGGGCCTGGCCAGCGGCGCGGGCTTCGGCTGCGACCAAACTTCCATAACTCAAGCGGCGGCTTGCATCACAGCATGGACTCGAAGCCGCCTCACTCAAAATAGCTTCTGCGTCTTTCGCAACCATCAGTAATCAGCCTCCCCTGCCGGCAAAGTCACAGCCATGTCGTTCGTTTCAACTTGGCTACGATTCAATTGCGGTGTCTTGACTGCTTCCTGATAAGATCTGGGCGCGAAGCCACTAGCGAGATGGCCCCCTTCCCTATTTCTTCTAGCCCTTGTTTATTATTTGTTTTTCGCCTTTTTTTCCTCCTCTCCCCTTTCTTTTTCTTCTACGCGAGGATTCCTCATTTCACAACATTAATGAAAAAGACGGAGCAAAAGCCCAGTCCCCTGGACCCTCAAACCTTCCCGCAAGGGGCGTTGGAAGCCCAAGAAGGAAGATTCAGCTTGCTCCCCTGCAGTAGCGCACGTCCGCCATTGGGCACCGGGACAATGAAAATGCTTGAATGTGGGGGCTGCCTCAACCTAGTGGCGGCGGGCGCGGTTAACTAGTAGCAACTGCCCATCAATAGATTGAAATGCGTTTTCCGAATCCAGACATATTTCTCTTCTCGCCACGATCATGGCGCCGAAAACTGCTGGGAATCCCAGAGGGCACGCCTGCTTGGCGCTGTTCAGTTCGGCACCGGCGGCCTTTGGCTCGTGATTCTATTGCCCTGTTGCCTGCGTCTTCGGCTCGAAAGGAGTATGAGCGTTGAGTACGATGTGATGAATTTAATACCAGGCCGTTCCCCAGTTGCGAGCCCCCGTTTGAGGCGTCAACCCAATTCACTCGTTTTCTTTGCACCCCTCACTCTCTTTTTGCGACCTCCTTCTCCCCGGGCCGTACGAGGACGCTTCAGGCAGACTTGCCGAACGATCGCCTTCACTACGATCTCAGAGGTTGCCCGGTTCCGCCGAAAAAATGCTGTCCCTGGTGCCCCTGGCCCTCGGGCTCTCCACCCTGTTTCACCCTGTCTCTGCGCGGCGCAGCCAGTGCTCGGCTCGATCTCGCTCGACCGTCCTGTCGTACCCCACCGACGGGCCCGATGACCCAACCGGAACAGGCCAGCCGCCCGAGACAACCACCGCGCCCCCGGTGAAGAGAGCCGTTGTTAACACCTGCAGCAATGGCAACTTTGCCGGGTACGACCCCAACTGGCGCAACGGCATTTACGGCTTCAACAGCACCGGTGATGTCATGCTTCTTCAGCAATACGGCTACCAGGGCGACGGTAGCGAGGAGGCGGGTTGCGTGCAGATGGCCGCAGGTCCCGGCAGGAAGAGGCAGGTGTCGGACACCTGGGACGCGTCTCTCGAACAGTTCTTCCCCTACCTCGAGCCCGATACCTCGTACACCATCCGTATCTGGTACACAATCCTTTCTAGCTCCGTCGAGGGTGCCTGCCGCATCAACGGCTATTACGGAGACACTCTTTTCGACTCGACAGACCCGTTCCCGCTTGTCACCGACGCCGTCGTCGGCCAGAGCCCGTGGTACGAGTTCCTCACGACGGCCGGTGTCACGACGAGCGAGGGTGGGTCAAATTCGTGCTGCACTGCGAGGGTGACGCCACTGCCGAGATCCTTGTCGACCAAGTCTTCATTTCCAACGAGGTCACCCCGGAACGCATCAACGACATCACCATCTGGTACACCCTGGCCGCCTCGGCTACCCGCCACCCACGGCCACGCCGAGCAGCTTCACGCAGCCGCCCGTCACCGTCACGACCGACAACGATCCAGTGAGCACGTCAACCGAGGAAGAATCGAGCCAAGACAGCGGAACCACGGCCGAGCCCACCGCCGAACCTACCTCGACAGACGACGGGGGCGCGGTGACTACGACCACAAGTGACGGCGAGTCCTCGCCGACCACGACACCAGACTCCGTGTGCGTGGCCGCCACGGGCCCTCCCGCGCTCGGCAAGGGCTGCGGCCTGCGCCGTGCGCTGACCACCAACTACTACCAGAGGGTTGGCCCCGACGAGATCACGCAGGCCGCCTGCGCCGCAGCCTGCCACAACGACGCCAACTGCCAGTCCTTTGCATGGGGACCCTGGTACACGGACTCGACCGGCGTGACGGCCAAGGGATGCGCCAATGCCTGTTTCCTCTGGTCTACCGGCTTCGAGGCCGCCTCCGCCAGCACCAGCACCACCGATCTCCTCGGCTTCGATCGATCCTGCATCGCCGAGGTCGATTGCGCCACCCAGCCCTCCGGCGAAGCCTGCTTGAACCTGAGCTATTCCCGACCATGCTCGCAAGCCATGGGTAAACCCAAGTCGTGCGCCCTGCCCATGCACACCGTCATGCTGGCCAGCCTGTGCGGATCCAACGGATGCCGCGACCTCTGCGCCCAGTACCCCTCGTGCAAGTCGTTCTCGGGCGGCTTCGGCAGCTGGTACGAGTGCAAGCTCTATTCCGAGCCCATGAGCCAGGTCATGGAGGCCGGCGGCTCCGTCCTGTTCACGGACATGGATTGCTTCGAGTGCACCCCCGATGCTCCTTCCGTCAAGTACCTCCCGCAGCTCGCCGACCCCACCAACATGCCCGCATTTGATTGCACCGTCCCCGCCTCCACCTCCACCTCCACCTCGCCCCCGTCGTCGACCGCGACGGAGACGGAGACGGAGACGGAAACGCCCGCCACGGCCACGGAGACAGACTCCCCCACAGCTACTCCCACGTCTACCGGGTGCCAGACTGGCCAAACCTGCTCGGCCGTCCTCCTTGCCCCCGCGAGCGCATCGTGCGGAAACCGCGGCGACGTGGTCTACGACGCCTGGTCGTACTCCCCGACGTATTCCCCGACCAGTCGAACACCGAGGAATGCGCAGCCATCTGCGCCAAGTACAGCTGCAGCGCATTCGCCCACGACTCCGCTCAGAATTCTTGCGTCTTCATCGGCGCCAAGCTAAGCGCTGCCGGATTCACCGCGTCAAGCACCTCCAACCGCGTGTGGTATGATAGGGAATGCTTCGAGTGCACCACCTGCCAGGATACCCCCTCCAGCGCCTCCTCCGCCCCCACCCAATCGACCACCACCACGCCTACTTCCGACTGCCCTCTGGATTGGGGCCAGGGTTGCACGCTCGCCACAACCACTCCCGCCGACACCCTCTGCCGCGTGGTGGGGTCTCCCATGGAGGAGGCCTACGCCGTGCCCCTCGACATCTTCCCTTACCAAGACAACTTTTGGCAGTGCGCCGCGCTTTGCACGCAGCAGTTTGGCTGTCGCGCGTTCGCCCACGATCCTGCCACTCAGGTTTGTGCCATGATCTCCAGGCGGTTGAGCGCGGCCGAATTTACGACCGGAGCTTCGTACGACCTGACCTGGTACGATATGGACTGCTTCAAATGCACCGACTGCCAGGAAGTGCCGCCCATGCCAACACCCTCTGCCGAAACTACGCCATCCACTTCAGACATCTCCAGCACTTCAAGCGCTTCAAGCACGTCAAGCCCGCCAGCCGAAACAACATCGTGCACCGTCCCAACGCCGTTCCTCTCGGAGACGACCCTGTGCGGCATGCCCGGCTCCGCGGGGAACCAAGTGCAGTCGGCAGCTCTTCAAAACTACGTGATTAAGCCCGTCGAGAACCTAGCGGCATGTGCCCTTGTCTGTCTCGAGCGCGAAGACTGCTTGAGCTTCAGCTACATTGCAGAATCGAGGGTGTGCTATCCTTACAGAGCGGGACTGGCAAACTTGGGACTTTCTTACGTGCCCACTAGCACCTGGAGGTTCTACGATAAGGACTGTTATTCATGCCAGTAGACGCAATAATGTCCGAAATTGACTAGCTCCATTCATTCTTTTCTTTTTCTTTTTATTGTTTCTCTTTCACGAGCTGCCGAGCCATTGTACGGTGTATATAATACTAATTTTCCCTTGTCATCTCTGATGAATTTCATTCGCAATGCATTAAAGAGGACGTGTCTCTTCACGTCCCTCGCGGATCGCAAGCATTAATTCGTCACTGCATTCCCACAATTTTCTTAACCTTCTTAAACTGAGAGTGCATATTTTGGTGATTATGAAAATGAACCGCGCTAGGATCCGGTGAGATGACTCAACCGGCTAGTTCGGCCTGCACGGCCGCCATTATGCGCGCGTGGCGATCATGATATATCGGTCCATTCAATTGATAAAGGGCCCCCCTTCTCTTTCGGCTCATTGCCTGGCGTTTTCACATCCTTTTCACCGACTTTGTGCCAAAGAAATAAGCCATGGCAATCACCTCCATCCTCCGATATCTGCGTCTCAAGATCATCGTAACCCTTCTCCGCTGCGTTGTCCGCTGGAGGCAAGGCCCGTTTCTTATTCCGCCAGCACCGCTCAGGAGAAAACTGGTCCAAATTCCTTCACGTGAGGCCGGCCGCGTGATCGACGCTTGGCTGTACTACCCGGACGATGTGTCTCTAGAAATCACGACGCCGTCTTCCCCAAGCCAGCCCTGATCAATTGGCATGGAAGCGGTTTCGTGTTCCCTTCGCTCAGCATCGATCATGAATATTGTTCCCAGATTGCGCAAAAAGCCGGCATCTTTGTTCTCGACGCGGATTACCGAAAATCCCCAGAGCACCCCTACCCTGCACCTGTGGAAGATGTCGAAGACGTTTTAGCCTGGGTCGGCGAGCAGTCTACTTTCATCGATGCCTCGCGGTTGGCAGTCTCCGGCTTCAGCGCCGGGGCAGTCCTCGCATTTGTCGCTGCTTCGGTGTTGCGCTCAAGCTACCCTAAACTCAATATCCGGGCAGCGCTCGGTGTATACCCCGGAACGGACCTTGCAACGGACCCACAGACGAGGATTATTCCGGCGCCGGTGCAACCCATACCGCCCAAAGTTCTTGACATATTTTTGACTCGTACGCGCCGTTGAAATCCTCACGGACGGATCCCAGAGTGTCCCCGCTGTTCGCAGACCCCGAGTTATACCCACCCAACATCACCATCTTGACGTGCTCGGGGATGTGTTGAAACCTGAAGCAGATGCTTTGGCTGCGAGGTTAACGCAGCGGTCAACGCCTTGCCGGGTGAATGCTGTCATACTTGAGAATATGCCTCACGGCTTTGATAAGGGTTGTAAACCAGGATCGCCTGAGTGGGAAAAGAAAGAGCTGGCTTATGGAATCGTTATAAACGACTTGAAAACGGCCCTTTTGTAGTTTCACTGTCGTCTGGGTTGTGTGCAGCCGTTGCTCCTGCATCCTGGGTTGTCTTCATAATAGGGCCATTGCAAACAGGATGACTTTTTCGGAGCGTACGCTGGCTGTATGTACTTCACATTCGATATCATCTAGCATCTAATTATGAGGATTTCGGCGAGTTCCAAATTCCCGATTTTCCAGGGGCCAGGATGCCATTGGGGTCGAGTGTGTCCTTCAACCTGCTCAACAGACGAGGGAAAGCAGACTCGTTGAAATCGAGCTTTCCTGAAATCTTATCCATGAATTTCACGTGGGTTCTATACTCCATATATCCTCGCTCCGTTGCATCAACCAGCAGTCGCTCATATAGTCCCATCGCTTCCTTCTCCTCTGGCAAGGTATAGATGACGAGCTCAATAGCATTGACGTATCGGGGAAATACGTGGAAGTCGGCGAAAAAGTCAAATCCCGCGGCTAGCGTCATTTCTTTTGCAGCGAGATACCACGGATACATATCTGGGCCAGAGGGGGAATGATGGGCGAGAAGCAAGTATGACCCCTTTTGCGCCACGGGTCCCAATCAGTCCAAGCGGGGCGAGGGTTGGGATGCCGGCGTGGGGAATCTCCTCTTCTTTGATATCAGCTGCCTTGATAGGCTGACCCTCCGTGCCAGCAAAGTCTCTCCAACGGATCTGCACGTCGGGGACGGCGTTGAAGGCCCATTGAATCGTCTTCTTCAGAGCGGGAATCATTTCAACTGAGCCATAGAGCGAAAAGTATGCTCTCCAGAAACCCCAACCTTGTTCGGCCTGAATTCGGTCAAGTACCTCGTACGGAACGCAGGATCCGGGTTTCATATATTTGGACAGTTCGCCTTGCACTTCGGGAACCCCCGAGGTCATCGCTATGCGGAAGCTATTCGCAATTGATGGCGAATTAAGAATAATGGAGCGGCGCATCAAGTCCGATAGGATCTCGATCAGGACACCAAGATCCTCTTCATGCGGCACGTCGAGTTCAGCACTGGAATATGCCTCCGGAGCAGGAGTAATATGGATCCCGAGTTTGGTCACAACCCCTAACACCTTCTTGTCAGCTAATTCCCACGGATCTGGCGACCGCAATGGATGGTGACCGAGAGGCAACTTACCTAAGTTGGATTGGAAAAATAAGCCGTCTACACTAGGCCCAAAACCTCTATCCAGTAAAAATATTTGTTCAGTAACTGATTCTTGTGGGGGTGAGTTGACATATTGAGAGCACGTACCCTTTGTAGAGAGGAAATATCTTGCTATTTTCCATTGCTCCCGATCCTGTTCGTAGGATATCGCCTTGTGGTAGGACAACTTCCATTCCACACTGCGACTGCGAATGCTCCCCATTAGGTGTGTAGCCGAAGCCTCGATCAAGGGTATTCCCAACAACGGATCCCCAACCGATCGCAGGCACCGAGGGCCATAAGTGTAGTCCTCGCCTCTGGATTTCCTCGTATAGGTCGAAAAACGAGACACCGGGCTCAACAATAGCGTAGCCATATTTCTCGTTGATGTCGATAATTTTCTTCATGCGCTGCAGGTCAAGGACGATTGTGCCGCTGACAACTGGCGCTGAACCGCCGTAACCCAAGTTCTTTCCCCGAGAAACCGTCCATAGTGGAACTCGATGCTTGTTAGCAATTCTGATCACCTCCTGTACCTCCTCGACAGTTTGAGGTCTGACGGCTCCGCTTGGCTGGTGATCGGTGCCAACGCAGTAAGGGTCATCGTAGGAAGTCTGGCCCTCTGGTCCCACCAATGCTCCGGACAGAGAGTCCCGGGAAATGTTCGCATCTCCGATGATCGCGGAAACATCATCGAAGAAAGGTCCCAAGGCTTCTAGCCCTGGTGTAGTGCGCTGGTCATTAATGTGCATTGTATCTCCAAGGTCTAAGCTATGTTTGATGAGAGAAGGGTCTTGGCCTCATTGGTAGAGAGAGGCCAATAGATCCGTACATATTTATATTTTACACCATGCCTTTCTCCTTCCTCAGAGTCTTACTAATTGATATTACGTCTTTGGAGAGGCATTTGCGGATTGTGGGTTCGTTGATGCTATTGACTATGCAAGTGCCGATGGCTTGATAGCTGAGAAGCCATGGAGAAGCTCCTCAGAGCGCTTCTCCCGGGAATTTGGTGAGGAGACCGCCGGGGAAACCGGGGGAACTGAGAACATCGGGGAAGCCGGGGAAGCCGGGGGAAAATGCCCAGCTCTCTGGTAAATATGGGGCAGAGCTTAACCCGAAGGAGCAAAGCCCAGAGACAGAGTGCGCTAAAGGCGGGGAGCTGCACTTCCGACCCTGACAGAAATCCAGATCGCGGTCCAAAGATCTGTGAGACACGGGTTTAACGAAGGGAGGTTAGAAAATAAATAGAACCTTGGTGAAGGCTTCCGCCATCTTTCGCATCTTCCCTCTGCTTGTATTGCGTCAGATTCGAGCCATCCCAGCTACAACCCCAAATAGTGTTCCGCCATGTCCGCCTCCGCCGATTCCCGCGCAGTACCTTTGCACTTCCCAGATCGACCTCAATTCTTGGGTTTCATGAAACCATGCGGACTCGAAGGAGAAGTGAGCGACCTGGAGATTTATGGAGAAATCCCCGACGATATCGACGGCACATTTTACCGGGTGATGCCTGATCCGCAATTGCCCCCGTTTATACAAGATGACCCCGTGAGTTGGCCTCATAACTCTTGAACAGCGTCCGTCCGTCATGAGCTTGTTGTATATTAATTGAAGGCGGCTCTGCAGTGGTTCAATGGGGACGGGAATGTCAGCGCCTTTAGGATCAAGGGTGGCCGTGTCTCTTACAAGCAGCGCTATGTAAGGACAGAAAAGTTTGTGCGTGAGAGGGAAGCAAAGCGAGCACTCCTCGGTAAGCTTAATCCAAGAGCCAAGAAGAAAAGGGAAAATTGGCTAGTTCCTCACGCGTAACGACCATCGGTTAGGAAATATCGCAACAGGTACACCGACGCCGTCGAGTTCAAGATCCGCACCACGGCCAATACAAACGTTGTTTACTTTAATGGGAGACTCTTGGCTCTTAAGGAAGATGCTCCGCCCTACTCTATGGATCCCGAAACACTAGAAACACATGGGCTCTATACTTTTGACGGCCAACTCCCGAGTTTGACGTTTACCGCCCATCCCAAATTCGACCCGGACACGGGGGACATGATCTGCTTCGGATATGAAGCCAAGGGTGATGGAACGCCCGACGTTTGCTATTACCAGATTCGTCCCGACGGCAAGCTTGTGGAGGAAGTTTGGCTCGTCGCTCCGGTCGTCGGCATGATTCATGACTTTGCAGTGACCAAAAACTGGGTAAGCTCGGACGGTAGGGGAGTGGTTAGAAGGGGTGTCTCGCCGCTAAGTATGCATGTCACAGGTCATATTCCCGATTATACCGCAAATTTGCGATATTGAGCGCCTAAAGCGCGGAGGAGAACACTGGCAATGGAGTCCAGAGACGCCATTTTATGTTGGGGTTCTCCCACGGAAGAGGGCCCGGTCGGGTGATGTCAAGGTAAGATGTTCCAAGCTCCCCACAGAAACTCGAGCCCGTTCTAACACAGCAAGTGGTTTCAATACCGCAACTCCTTCCCAGGTCATACCGCCAACGCGTATGAAGATGACTCTGGCGCGCTGATTGTGGATCTCGGCTTGAGTGACCGGAACGTCTTTTTCTGGTGGCCTGACTCCGAAGGCAATGCTCCCGAGCCCAGCTCAATTCACTCACAACTTGTGCGGTTCACAATTGACCCAGCGTCGGATGATCTCTTGTTGAAAGAGCCAGAGGTGCTCCAGGAGGCCAACTCCGAGTTCTATCGGATTGATGACCGCTTTGCCATGCAATTTTACCGACATTGCTATTTTGACTCCATGATTCCAACACTGGGAACTGATTTCCCTGCTATCGCAAGGAAGCTTGGGGGCGGACACCCGCTTTACAACTCCATCACGCACCTCAATCTGGAAACCCGCGATGTCGAGGTATATTTCCCGGGGCCCACGCACATGGTGCAGGAGCCGGTTTTTATCCCCGCCGGGGATCCACTGAGGAGGGTGACGGTTATCTCCTGGTACTGGTCAATAACTATGACACCATGCACAGCGAGCTACATCTACTGAATACCAATGATTTTACCAAGGCCAAGGCTGTCATCCCGTTGCCTGTCCGTCTCAGGCAGGGGTTGCATGGCAATTGGGTTGATAGTTTAGATTTCACGGGAGCTAGATAGCCGGTTCAATCAAAGAGGCTGCCGACTAAAATAAGGGCCATGTAGGTACGGTCGTATAGTTAATGATCAATGGTTGAGATGATTACTAGGCAACTGGATTTTCTTCCTCTTCTTTTGTTTGACTGTGTCCTTTTGCTATACCTTCATCCCGTCGAGGTGATCTCGTGAACGCGGAAGCCGCGCCAAAGGCGGGAGAACATCCGAAAACTGGCCCGATAAACAGCTAAATCCCAAATGAAACAGAAACCATCGGGTGCTATCGATCACCATCAATCTCAGTGTTATGACACCGATACACCTAATATGATGGACGAGAGTTAAAGATGGAGATAACGGAGTTCAAAATGACATGCGTGAATACTTCCGCATTGTTTAATAGACTATAAGACGGTTTAAACCGGAGGATTATGAATGAATTTCACCAGAGGTCCTCCTGTCCATGTTGAATAGCTAGATCTATGGTTCAACGCTAGACGAAGGCCAACAGCTTGACGCCTCGGCAATTGAGATAGGTACTTCCATGACGCACATTTTTAGTATCCCCGGCCCGGTTGACTCAGCACTCTTGCCCCTCCAAATCAGTCTATTCTGAATGAAAACGAATGGATCCGCCCCAATGGGTTTCCCCGGATTTTCACCCGTTCCCCGGCCAGGCCAAGATCGCACTCGACCGATCCTCCACGACCGCAGGCCAGGCTAAGCCCGCAATGCCTTCAGCACCCAATGGCGAGCGCGCGGGTGATCCTGCAGCACCACTCGCTCAAAATTCCCCCACCGGTCCACCGAAACGAAAGCGAGTTTCTGTAGCCTGTCGGGGGTGCAGGACTCGCAAATCCAGAGTGAGTACATGACGTGTCTGCAAGCCAAAATGTCTTTAGAGAACCGGAGGGTTGCCTGCCGTGTCGTTTTTGTTTGACTAACACCAGCAGTGTGACGGTGGGAACCCATGCTCGACATGTGAGGATCTGGGTACCTCATGCCGATACGATACCCCCTCAGCCATCCTAGACCCGAGACAACGCAAGCAGCTGGAGAAAGCGACGCGGACGGTCCTGTGACTGTTGCCGCATTGTGAGTTTCAATACACCTACTTCGTTTCCTCGCCATCATATACTGACTGGCCTGTATCGTCTTAGACGTATGCAAAACCAACTGTTGGAAACGCGACTGCAATCCATTGAAAATAAGCTCTCCAGCCTTGCCAACGCCCAGCCTCACAATTTCCATTCCTCAGATACCCTCCACGACGGGTCAACACGTGCGACGCCTCATGCGTCAAGCGACCGTGTACCAGCGCCATCGGAGCGGATTACTCCCTTGCCGCATGATGATGTTGTGGACGGTATGGGTACCGTGTCCCTGAGGGACTCAGCGGATGAGGAAGAGTATTTTGGTAGGATACCTCCCCTTCACACATACTGGGGATAGAGGACCACGGCCACCATGTAGTCGTGGCGGGTGTTAACGCTTCTTGATAGGTAACTCCTCGAACGTCGGGTTCCTTCGATTCATCGCCCGTGCCGTTTCCCGGTCAGGAACCCCCATAGCTTCAGTCGGCTTGCAGGACACGGCATCTTCGAACATCAAGCAATTGGAAATAATGATTTAGCTGCCTTTTTAAGAACAGCGCCTCCAAGCCGGAGCGGCGGCGATGGCACGTCGACAGCGCATGCCGCAGAGTCGGTTGCTCGGGAGCCTGCCAACACCTTTGCCCTTCCCCAAGGCATGAGGCTGACGCGCTGCTCGAGCTGTATTTCTCCACGGTCAATCTCATGATACCATTCATCCACGAAGAATCGTTTAGGGTCATATACCGGCGTGTTGTAAGAGAGGGAACGGGTGCAGCTCACAAAACGTGGTTGGCAATTCTAAACATGTTGTTTGCCTTGGCCACCAACGTGTCAACGCCGACTTCGCCCCCGGGAGCGGGCTGAGCAATCCAACATCTTCTTCGAGAGAGCCATCGCCCTGAGCAAGGCTGACTTTCTAGGGCGGCCATCACTAGAGCTGAGTTCGTATCCCCCATCTTGGCTTTGGTCAGTCCAGCTATGCTTATGTGAAACCGCGTAGCGCAACTCTTCCTCTTATTAGAGCGTTACTTAGAGGGCACGCCCTATTCATCCTTGGCGTGGACATTTCATTCGCTGTCCGTCAAAGCCGCCTACCAGCTGGGAGTGCATTTCACAGGTCCCCGCCACTTGACTCGGGTTGAACGCGAGGTCCGGAGGCGGGTTTGGTATCTTTGCGCGATGAACGACTGGTATGTTTAGTTTCTCTTGCTCGGAGTTCAGAAATAGCGGCTGTTAACCTACTATAGTTGGCTAAGTGCAACCTACGGACGCCCTGCGTTGATCCCGCTATCTCACGTGAAGCAAGAACCAAGCTCTCATGTGCCCTTTAGCATTGTGTCCGCCGATGTAACGGTTTCCAGCCTCGCGTTCTTTGACGCGACTATGTTAGCCCTCTGCCCTTCAATAGGTGACGTGCACTTGACTAAGCCGCTAGTTCACTAGGTCCATCACGCGCATCATGGGAGAAGCGGTCGAGCGTCTCTATGACCAAAACCTCGGACACCACCATGAACCCGCCACAAACGACACGTTCAACGAGGTCTCGAGATTACAATGGAAGCTTTCTCGGTGGCAAGATAGTTTGCCTCCATACCTCCGGATCCTCACGGCCGATAATTCCTTGACCGATAGCCTCCGCTCGTCTCCCTTGAAATCGCCCGGTTTTGCGTTCTCTTGTCCCTGCATTATCACGGAACGCGCATCTTTGTGTTGCGACCCATACTCCGCCCACTCCTCGACCAGCAAAGCACTAGCTCGGTCATCAACAAGCATCAGTCAACGTGGCTTCTGAGTTCTAGTGCGTCTCTTCTAGAAGATATCCTCAATACCTCGCGAGACGTGCTTCATATCAGTAGAGACATCCTTGCCGTGGCACAAAATGACAAAAACCTCATGGGGGCTTGGTGGTTCTCTTGTTTCTTCAGTATGGCCGTTTTTTTAATTATGCTTCGCTCGGAGCAATTGAAATGGGGAAACTAATCACACGAATATGCAGCGTTTAATGCCTCGCTCGCAATTCTCGGTGTCCTTAGCGTCAAGAGGAATCTTGCGCACAGTCCAATGCCCTATCACTGGTCAGAGGCCGATATGCGATCTCTGCTGGAGATGGCAACCAAGATCCTCCTTGGATTAGATGGTGGGAGCCGGGTCATTAAAAGCTGCCGCGATTCTCTCCTGCAGCTCATTTATGCACTCGATAGCCAAGGTTAGAACTCCAAATTACAACCTCTGCACATGGCGGAGGCCTAGATAATCTCGTCACTTGCGACTCACTAACAACTGATATAGGGAGGTTCCGGATAATCTTCCCACGTCTGCGGTACTCCCGGAATCGAGCATATGGCCTTGGCCACTTATGGATACAGGCTTTTTCGGCTTTGAGCAAATGAATGAATCCAATGCCGGGGATGATGCAACGCACCTACGAACGCCACTGTAGCGATCATCAATTCCATTGCAGTCCATGATGTCTCCCACGCGAAGGAGCTGGCATTTACCGGGGAACAGTGCCGCACCTATTGGCTCGGGGAGCTATGGGGCTCTGCGCGCCGGCAGGCGATTTGCCGAAGCTCCACGACATGAACCCGTAGCTCCCCGGACCCACATCGCTTAAGTGTGATCGAACTTGACGGAATCCACTTGGCCCGCTGGCTGGGGTTGGGAAGCCTGGCTTCTTCTTCTTTGTATTGATAATATTTATAAGCTTATGAAAGACTTCATTAATCCTCACCTTGCTTGGACCATCGCACCACTCTAGAATCTCGTCGGCCTCCTAGGTTTCTCTTCTTTAATTGATGCTGCGTAAACATGAGCGGCACCATGACCCAAACTTTGCAAACTCCCTCCAAGGTAGCGGAAGGTAAAGAGGATGCCATCACTCAGCTCCTTCGTGCGGCTGAAGACAACCATACCAAGCCTCTATGGGCCCAGATGACACGGCTAAACCCGCCTCTGCCGAACCCGCAGTGTATTCCACATGTTTGGAAATATAATCAGATCCGCCCGCAGCTTCTCCAGGCCGGAGAGCTCGTCACTGAGAAGCAAGCAGAACGCAGAGTTTTGATGCTGGTCAATCCCAATCGAGGTGAGAATAGAGCCCTGATCTCCCCTTAGCCGCAGCTCACGTCAGCTAACGTTCCTCCGAAAGATGCCCCATATACCACTGATACTATCTACGGCGGGCTGCAGCTTGTCATGCCTAATGAGACTGCCCCCGCTCATCGACACACAGCCTTTGCTTGCCGCTTCATCATTGAAGGACAGGGCGGGTTTACTGCTGTCCACGGCCAACGTATCAAAATGCAGAGGGGTGATGTCATTTTGACACCAACCTGGAACTGGCACGATCACGGCAAGGACGGGTCCGGGCCCATGATCTGGCTCGATGGGCTAGACCTGCCAAATTTCATGCACTTTCCCGTCCATTTCGTCGAGCATTATAATAGCCCCCGGTATCCAGCCGAGGATGTTGACTCAAACTCCTCGCCCATCGTGTTTCCGTGGTCAAAAATGAAGCCTACTCTAGACCAGTCCGACAATTCTTGGATCACTATACCTTATCTTCGGGATGATGGGACTGAAAGTGGGTTACAATTTCACGCTTCCGCCTGCTCTTTACACACTAATCACTTAACTACGATTTGTAGTTAGCCGTATTCTTGGTGCCTCCGCATCCCGGCTCATGGCTGGCACGGCATCACCCAAAGTTCAGGAGACGGCGTCCTCGTTATTTCACGTTATCGAGGGGTCTGGGCACTCAGTAATCAACGGAGAATCCTATACGTGGGAAAAGGGAGACACCTTTTGTGTCCCGTCATGGCATGAATATCAGCATTTCGCCGCTGATTCTGAATCGGTGTACTTTTATCGCTGTCATGATATGCCCATGCTTAAAGCGCTTGGGTTCTATCGAACATCGGAAATGGATGTAGAGGCTTTGGTGTCTGAATGATTATGCCGTAAATGTCATTAATATAAATAATGAAACCATCTTATTTTGCTAGGAGTTCAATATCTCAACATTCGCATCATCATTCTGAGGCCTAATGCTGGTGGTGCGATGGCCGAGGTCTACGCGAATACTTTTGTATCAGTCCGTGCTGTTCAAATGTTTACTTTAACGCAATAATGAGTTAGGGCCGAAGGAGGTACGGGGATTACAAGAGCCTACGAAACTGGCACATGGATCGTTTTCAACCTGAATATTGGACCTTGGAGAAATATTGCTGAGAAGCTTTTGCCACTTATTGATATATCTATGCAAACTGCACCCCGTTCCTCAACGTCCCAATTTTACTGATGGACACTTCCATCACCGTCCCAGGAACTAAGTACCGCGGAGGGCTCAATTTATCCCCGACGCCTACACAGATTTGTCAGTATTGCAAGTATGCGCTCAGGAAGTGTGTCTCAACTTACCTCCGGGTGTGCCCGTCATTATAATTGACCCCTTTCGGAGAGTGGTTCCGGTCGACAGGTAGGAAATCAGATATGCGCAGTCGAAAAGCAGATCCTGGACAAGCTCCTCTTGCCTAACCTCACCGTCCACAATAGTCTTTAACAGCAATTTCTTGGGGTCTCCGATGAGGTCAGATCGGACGAGACAAGGTCCCAAGGGTGCAAACGTATCGAATCCCTTTGAGAATCCCCATTGAGGCACCCCTCCAGCTAGCGTTGGATGTCTTTGAAGCTTCCTTGTTGATATGTCATTTCCGCAAGTATAGGCGGCGACATAATCTAACGCGTCCTCTGTAGAGACATCTTTAGCGTCTCTTCCGATTACTAGGCACAGCTCGCCTTCGTAATCGGCCTGATCATCCTGCGCGATCTTTGGGATCACCACATCCTTTCCATGGTCGTGAATGGTAGTGGTGGGCTTGAAAAAGATAAAAGGGAAAGGCGGGGAGTCCTCCCAGTTTCCTTGACTATGGGCGTGTTAGACGAACGATGATTTGTATTCAAGTATTAGAGATGAAAGACAGGGCGAACATACTATGCTTGGCGTAATTTAAACCAACGCAACGAAGAATATCCACGTCTGACTGGGCCAATGGGCCAAGTAGTTCTTGGACGGTCACTATCTCATCGGTGACGGCAGTCTTTCCCGTAACATCGTAGAGGTCGTCGCCTTGTATCACCTTGGCTTGTAGCTTGGTGTGTTCTGTAGTGTTTCCGAGATCAAAATCCTCTGAGGGTAAAATAGGCTCTCCATACAGGGTACGGCCGTCGGTCGAGACAAACCGGATAAGTCTATTCCAAGCCACCTTCATGGTTGGCGGCCTTACGAGTCTCTGGGCTCGGGTACTTAAGGCTAAGGTGTGTAAGATTGGGAGTCTTCCTTTTAGATAAAGTAGTCTTGGTATCATCAGACCTTTCTTTTGAATAATGGAGGAAACCGGACTCGGAAAAGCCGCAGTCTGGGATATAAAAGGCGATGGCGAAGTGAGATATGAATGTGCAGCTTTCCTGAAGGTCTACACCCGGGAGACGATCCGAGAGACTTCATGGTGGGGCCCAGGAGACCAACCGGGGAGTTCCCGGGATACAGGGAGCGGGATGGGCCCAACAATGTCTAGCGGCAACGCTGGTCTCCCACTGCCCCAAAGACATTATTCGGCTCAGATATAAAGGGGACGAGACGCCTTCAAGAGAGGGCTGCAACCAAAATCCCGATTCCAATCTTCAGGTAGCAGTCCAATTCCGTCAATTGACAGTCCTCCGTTAATGCTTCCTCATGCCTGCTCATGATACGAATTGCCCTGGCCCAGGGCTTCCAGCTATCGGCGAGATCGTGACACTCGGTAGAGTTTGGACCTTTGGCAACCGCGGATGTGTTTCGAATGACTAAATACTTGCCACTGCGTAAACAAGTATTTTGAAGATCTACGCACATTTAGCTTCTTGATAGTGACGACTATGAACCAAGCCATGTGTATCCGCAACTTTGTAGTGCTAGCTACTCCGCTCGCAATAACCGTTTTAGGAAACGTGCAGCCCCACTTCTGGCGGAGATACCGGGAAAGGACCTGCAACATTGCCACCAAATCATGTAAAAGGTCGGCAATCGCGCAACAGAGGCTTCCCGCTTGTCCCCGCGAACCTACCCACTCCATGCGGTCATCGTTTTCGTGGTGGTTTCTGAAGCATATGCGGTGGGCCCTCTTGCTCTGCACGGCCAACACCAGATCATTGAGTCACTGATTATGTCCCCAAATCAAGGAGTGGGTGATAAATCACTGCCCGCGATCGCTGCTCCGAGCGCAGCTGTCTCAGATCTCGGTGCACAAGATGGCAACGATTCCCAACGACCTCCGAAGCGGCGCAGAGTTACCGTTGCGTGCTCAAACTGTCGCTTCAGGAAAGCCAAGGTAACCGCCAAAGCCATTGGTCAACCAGCCGCTTGTTAATATGCTGATGATATGTGACCGCGGCGCCCCCGGTAGTGCGATGGAATTCGCCCAAAGTGTACGACATGCCTAACGCAGAATTTTGATTGTGTCTACACGCACCCGGGGCCACTGAGCGCTGTGGCCGCTGCAAAAGGGTATCTCATTTTTTCACCTCGTGTCCCCCAAACCCGGCTTACATCTGAGGCAGGCACCTAGATTCGCTAGAGCATCGGCTCGATGCCCTCGAGCGCAGGTTACAGGGTCATGATGGTCGCCTGGCCCAACTTGAGTGCTGTGTAGGCGAGCCGCATGGAACAAGTCCAGACGAACAAGATGGTCTTAGTAGTAGGAGAGTGGCCGATGCTATTGTCGATGAGGACGAGAGTCACTCCGTTGTTGCTTCGGTCGATGCAACGGATGGTATCGGATCAATAATATTCACAGAAGAGGAAACTGCTGGGTTTTTCGGTTAGTGATCCTCATCGTTCCTACTGCTAGCTACTTCTGTTAGACTAATCCGTTTTTTTGCCAGGACCATCATCTAACATCGCATTTACACGCGATATTATTAGTGCCACCATCTCTATGCTAATCGACGCGGGCGCAGAGTCGGTTCCCCATCAGAGGGATAGCGGCTTTATGCAAAGCCACGTCCTGTCTACAGCGCGCCCGGCCTCTCCCCTTCTCCATCAACAGAGGCAGCTTGACCGCCCCCAGGGGCTAGCTGTTAATGCATTCGAGCTGCCACCCCCTAGAGAGACACTACGGCTTATTGATAATTACTTTTCAAACACCGGCCTCTTGTTTCCGTTCATTCAAAGCGAGGATTTCCTGGCCACATACCACAAGGTGGCCGCTACAAACTTTACAAAGGTCAGGCGATCCTGGCTGGGGCTGCTGAATATGATCTTAGCGATGGCCACCAGCACCGGCTATCCAAGCGAAATGTCGTATGAACAACGACGTGTGGAGTCGACTGTTTTCTACCAGAGGGCCATGGCGCTTTGCGAGAAGCAAATCAGGTTTGGTGCCAGCTTAGAGACAGGTACATCTATCATGATCCCCGACCTCCGGCTTATGAACCTAATGCCTAAATTAGTACAATTCCTACTTCTACTTAGCCAATATCTACAAGGAACCGAGAGCTCGATCCAAACCTGGAACATGCATGGTCTCGCGGTCAAAACAGCATATCAACTAGGGCTCCATTCTACACGCACGCTGCAGCGCTATCTACCCAAAGAACAAGAAGTAAGGATCCGCACATGGTATAGCTGTGTCCTTCTCGACAGGTAAGACACAATGAGAGAATCGTGGCAACTCGTAATTTGTCTAACCCTTGTCTGTCACTCGTCAAGAACGCTGAGTATGACCCTGGGTCGGCCGCTCACCATCCCCGATGATCATATCAATATCCCATTCCCCATAAGTCTACGGATATTCTGAGCTCCTCGGAACATCCACCCGCCATCTCGATCAGCGAGCAAGTGGCTGATATGAGCGTTGAGTTCTATAATGCAACGATGTAAGGCTTTAACCATTGGAGCTGTCCAAACCTCAGGCTCAACCTGTCGATAACACTATTCTGTCTAGTGCTTTATATCTAGTCATGGGAAAGGTTCTAAAAACCCTTTACGGAAGTAATCTTGATTGCAACACCTTTGACGATGTCTTCCGGATCTCCAGCCAAGTGTTCCAAATTGAGCACAAGCTATCAGAAGTGAAGAGGAATCTCCCACACACTATGCAGCTGGTGAATGCGCGCGATATCCAGTCCAAGGAGACGCTCACGGGCAACCTTTTATGTGTCACAAAATTCCGAGTCATCCTTACACTCAGATACCACAATACACGAATCCTCACTCACCGGCCGTTGCTCCAAAAGTACCTCGATATGTTGAGCCACCATCCCGCAGGGTCGACTGGCTCACCGTTAGCCGAGCCGCTTCGACAGGTGGGGGTGAATAGCCTTCGAATTTGTACCCAGTCCGCAACCAGCATCGTCGAGTTGATGGCGCATGTGCTGTCGTCCAAAGAGAACCGGGCACTACTCGGAGCTTGGTGGTTTTCTCTCTACTACGGTAAGTTTGAAGGCTAAACACCGACTCTCTGCGTGCTTGACAGTCAAGGTGCACTAACATTTTCCACTTTTTGTAGTTTTCAACTCTGCTCTCGTGCTGTATTCTGGATTCTTAATCAAGCTCTACTCTGAATGCCACCCTGATACAATTTCGCTTGGTGACATCGAATTCAATCGCAGCCACCTCCACCAAGCTATTGAGTGTTTAACCTCTTTGGATGACGGAAACGTCATGGCCGATAAATGTGCTCGATACACAATGAAGCTAGATCGCGTCCTAGACGTCATACGTAAGTTTAGGACTTATTGGCCGTCTTTCAACACGCCTCGCATCTTATATCAACTGACACAGAACGTGTTAACCTAGAGAACGGATACGGGACGATCAATGAGGGAAGTTTGACTTCGCACCAGGCGGTCGGACATATAGCGGCTCTGATGGGCCCGTCTCCCTTCGACCCGGGCCATACACCAACCGGATTTGATCTAAGCGAGTTCATGGTACCCGCAGATCTAGACTTTTGAGATTTTTTGACCCCAGTGTAACATCGATTTAAATTTTAAACCTCGTTGAAAGTGTTGGGGATCACGACACGGGTTGGTTCCTGTGTTAACCGCTTGCAGGAGGAGGAAGTCCGAACGAAGCATCGCAAAAGGGAGGTGGTCCTCCGTGTGGACCCAAATTACCGGAAAATGGCGCTGGAAAATTCCCAAGACGTGTAAGGTAAACAGAGGAAGACGTGTACTCAGAGAGCTTGGTTGTAGATGACAGTGGCCGGCCGCCATAGAGGGAGTGGCGTTGTTTTGTTAGAGCTGGGCGTGAACTTGGTGGCGAGCAACGGCGTGTCAATGAAGAATCCTTCTTTCCATGCGGACTAGAATTTGGTATCGTGCTCGTTTCATCAGCCTGGTATTAGATCTAAATTCCAAAGGTCTCGAGCTCACTCACAAACGGATCACCGATCTAAGGTAGGACGATATATAGATATCGTGAATGTATTCATTAAAGCGTGTCGCCCGCCCCGTACCCCCAAAGATAAAGCCAAGGCTCATCCGGGCGGATGGTAAAGAGCTCGGCAAGCACCAGACAGTACTACCGGGGTCTTGGCGTGCGAGCACACGGGGAGCTAGCGGATATCAAATGTGGGGGCATGAGCCGAGAACCAGCCGGGGAGATGCGGGACGCCACCAACCGGCCCCCAAGCCACTAACATTTGAGCTATCATCTAAGAGTATGACAGGAATTAAGGGGATAAAACTTGGCAGAGGCCCTTCATGTCTCGAAAGCTTTCATGAGCCTCGTGCAGGTTGTCGCCAATCACCAGCGTCTATCATACCAATTACTATGAAACCCACGATGCCAGATGAAGGGGGACACCTCAGCCGCGATGCCGCCTCCTGGGCCCAAAGGATCCGGCACTACCCCCGAGACTAGGTCTTCAACACTTTGGACTTGATGCTAGCCTCACAACATCTTATCCCACCAACTCACTGCAATTCCTGCGAGAAATTGCCAACAAACAAGGTGATGCGTTGATAGCAAACGAAGGCACGGTAGCAAGAAAATCACTTAACCTCGTGATTGTTGGCGCGGGCCTTGAGGGCTAGCAGCCGCCGTAGCGCTTGCGAGGAGTGGGCACTCAGTTGAGGTTGTCGAACAGGCACCTCAACTAGGCGAGGTAGGCGCAGAGAACCAATCCTCCACCCTGTCGTCCGCTTTTGCAAACATTTTCTTCATGTGAGTCGTGGTCTAACTTGCCTCCAGGTCGGTGCCGGGATCCAAATCCCCCGAATTCTGCGCGACTCCTGCGTCGTTGGGGTGTCTTTAAGCATTTGGAGCAGACCGCACTTCAACCAGACACCATCAATTTCCGCCGATGGGCGGATGGAAGTGTGATTGGCATGACAGATCTAGGAGCCGAGTTTTGTCAAAACTTTGGGTCCAAGTATTACGTGGTCCACCGAGCAGATTTTCACTCCGCGCTGTACAATCGAGCAGTGGAACTTGGTGTCAATATACGCCTAGGAAGCAAAGTGGTGGAGTATCCCGGGCGAGGCACCGTGGTCCTTGAAGATGGTTCAACGCTCATTGGGGACCTCGTTATTGCTGCAGATGGTAAGGATCTTTCGTCCTGCGAAAAGGGGTTAACTCTACTAACACCCGTAATTATAGGAGTCAAATCTCTTGCACGGGGGTGGTCCAACCAAGGAATACATGCAATCCACGCCTTACAGGGTTCGCCGCATACAGAGCGACCGTTGACGTCGAAAAGATTAAGAACGACAGCGATATCTCTTGGCTTTTAGAAAAGCCTGCTCTCAATATTTGGTAAGGCCAATTTTATCGCTGCTTCCCTATTCCTGTTTATACAGCGCGGGGAAAGAAAAAGGAAGCATTTAAGGCGCATTTACTGAATTTCTCTCGCTTATTCAGGGTCGGTGAAAACCGACACGTCATGACTTATACAATTGCATCTGGTAAATCCTTCAACATGGTCCTTTCACATAGAGATACTAGCGATCCATCTTCGTGGAGGCAGGAAACCTCCCTAGATGACATGAAGAAGGAGTTTACCGGATGGGACCCCAAGTACGTCCCTTAGCATGCGATCCGTGGATCCGAACTAGCTCTCTAACATCATTCTAGACTCACAAAGGTCATATCACTGATTGATTCATGTTTAAAATGGCCGCTGATGTCTGGAGCCACGATGAAAACATGGGTTTGCATGGAAAGAAACCTCGTCATGATGGGCGATGCTGCACATGCCATGGTTCCTTATATGTCTCAGGGCGCCGCAATGGCAGTCGAGGACGGCGCGGCTCTCGCATCTCTCCTCACCCGTATTAGTGGCCCCGAGGAACTGCCATTCGCACTTCGTGTCTACGAGAAAACTCGAATGAAGCGCTCCGGAGACATGCAACGCGCTAGCATGGTGAATGGATTGATTTGGCATTTCCCCGATGGGCCCGAGCAGGAGGCAAGGGATGCTAGTATGAGGGCAGAGGTAGAGGGCAGAAGCTTCTCGTGGAGTTCAAACCAATGGAGCGACCCAGTCACGCAATGGTGGGCCTATGGGTACGATGCGGAAGCCGAAGCGGGGAGGGCTTGGGACCGCGAGGTCTCTAGACTTCTCCGTTCGTCTCTTTGAGCGGCCCATCGAATGACAGGAAGATATTCCCAAACAGTTCTAAAAGTGCTTGATAGAATCTAATTAGACGAAATTTGGACGGCAGGCGTGGACGACCGAGCTGCAGATTTTTAACAAATCCGGGACAACCGTTTTTCCTTCTTCCTTTCCACGACAGTTGTAGTCATAACAAAAAAACGCATCGCATCTTTCAACCTCATCTACTTACATTCCTCCCATTCTATAACTATCCCTTCGTTTACAGGACCATGCCGAGGTAGTAAGACGCTCTGAGCGACGAGATCTAGTGCTCCTGTTTCATCAAGCCAACGTTCTACAACCCAATGTTCTACAATCGTCTACTCGCCGTTGACTGGACTCTTCGCATTCTCTTCCGTACTGCGCGGCAAGTTATTTTCGAAATCTACCCTCATCAAATCAACTTGGGTCAGGTGCCTGACGGGCCGCAAAATACCACCCTCCACGGCTTGTTTTGAGCGAGAGAAGTGAAAATCGCCATCGCGCAACACACCCTCACGGCGATGGGAAGTCAAGCATCAATGGATGGTTTAAAGCAAGCAAAGAAAAATTGGTTACAATGCTGTCTTTAGGCGAGAGAATAATAAAGACTAAACCGAGAGCGAGGCAAGTGTCCTTTGCGCTCGTGGATCAGGGTTGAGCCGAGCATCTCCAGATTATTACGTGATCAAACTGGTGTGGCAGGCAATTTGAGGTTGATAAATTAATCGAGGGCAAAGATCGCTTTAACAGCCGTACCATGTCCAGCTGTCTAGATTTCAGAGTGTCCAGTCCAATGCCATGAATCCATCCTCATCCCCAGATCGTATTTGATCCCACTTATTAAAGAAAATTCTCCTGGAGGATTCCGTGAAAAAGAAGAAGAAAAGAAAAAGAAAACAACGTTAGAAACCCGATTATCCTTCAACAACCGAAAACGTCCTCGAGGAGACCTATGGGTTCATCAACGTGTCCGCCTCTGCTTGGGTAATAACACCTTTCTTCCTCCTCTATATTTCTTTTTCTTTGCTTGTTCTTTTTCCCCCTTCTTTTGATTCCATTCCTGCATTTTTACGCTAGTTGACTCTTTAATCAGGTGGTGAGGATTCAACTTAACACGTACGTACCGAGGTAGATGAAAGGGAATTAGCCAAATGGTAAAAATAGGTTGTGGTAGCAATTAATTAATTTCAACCGCTTCAGCTATGAATAGGTTATGCCGTTGGACCAGTGCCTCATGTTCACGAGATTTGGCTAGTAGAATCACTTTCCTAGATTACGATCCTTCATCGTGGCCCGTCGTCGCCCGTCCTAGAAAATGCTTGACCTGCCCGGTCCTTAAATTCGGAGGGTCCGGCCACCTTCGAATAACCCAAGTTCCAAGTTAAAGCCGGCCCCAGAAAAATATCTGAAGCTCTCACGCCCTGGTCGTTCGTTCATTCAATTGCTTGGAGCCCAACGTCCCACTTGAACAACCCCGCCGTCATCCGCCACAATCCTGCAAAAGGACTTGAAGCCATGTCTTTTCTACGAACTGCTTTCGCTTCTCTCTATCTCGCCGCTGCCGCGTCCGCCCTGACCCTCAGCGACTGGAACTCCTCCGGAAATTCGTGCGGCAGCGTTACCTGGAACGGCAATGCGGACAAGCCCGTCTTTTATTTTGAAGGCTTCGACGCGACGCTGAGTGCTGGCCAAAGTGCGAACTGCGCGGTCCATCTCCAGTTTGCCAGCGGTCGTCCGGGCTACCGCCTTGTCCTCGACGAGGTCTCGACATGGGGAAACCTCCGCCTCGATGCGGGCGGCGCGGCCACATTTTTCACCACCTCGTTCTGGTCTGAGTCTGCTGCCGACACGGTACGTGCTTACAGACCCCTAACTCTAATAGGCAACGAATCGTGTACTGATCCTGTTGGTGATATAGGCAAATGACCGCTTGGAGTCTGCAACCAGGTCGGCTTTTACGGGAGATGTGGCAATTGATGCGACAAGCCTCTCGCTTGCATCGGGCTGCGTTGGTGCTTCTGGCGCGGGTGGTATCTTGAACGTCAACTTTAGAGTTGTTGCCGAGGACGGCACCGTTCGGTTTGGTCCCGAGAAGGGATCCAAAAAGGCGGCCGTCTCACAACACTTGGCTTTGAAATGGGTGGCATGCTAGGACAAGGCCTTCAAGACGACGATGGGGGTATAGGGAAAGATATCCACTAAATGTTACGAACGCAAACGAAGAAATGGTGATGCTTCCTGTAGCATGGGGCGGAGAGGGGCACCTTGTGGTTTGAATGCGAGCAGTTGTGTCTTGGCAAAACGAGATGGTGCAACTCGCTCCAAGCTCTTATTCTTAGCTTACCCCGTACATAATGATACCTACATATTTTCTTTTCGTTATATCTTGTATCGCCTTCTTTGTGTTGTTATATACGCTGACTAGTGGCGCCCAGCGTAGAAATTCTATTTGGTACCAACCGGAACCTACCAGTTGCCTTAGACGGAGATCATTTTAGAGAAGATCACAGCTCGGCCTGTAATGTAGAGCTGGGGCGGACAGAGGTAGATACCGGGTCTGCCACCTTGAGGAAGTCACAGAGAGCACCGTAGGAGTTGACTCTGTGACCTTGAGTGCTGATGATGCATAGCCTCTTTATTTTGGATTTCTTGTGGCCCTGAAATGATAAAGGTCCACGCATACGTCGCACTTGCTCTCTTCTTAGGATAGTCATTTATCTCCCAAGGGACCAAGAAGTCCGAGATGGAGTGAAGCCGATTGTACGGGGCGTCAGTCCACCTCGGCTTAGTACCGAAGTTACGGTAACGGGGAACAAGCATCGTGTGATATATCGCTAGTCGCTCATGTAATAGATCGAAGATTGCGCTGAGTGTATTTCCTTTGTTTCCATTAGTACGGTACCGTGGGTGCTCTTTGTTGAACTGCGTGCCAAGAGCAAGACCAACCTTGTTGAGAATCCGTGATTCAGATTGAGCCTCCATTGTTCACGAGAAAGCTTAACACTTCCCACAAACACACATGGGGGACTGGATACCTTTGGCAATAGGTAGTGTACCGTTGGAACAGTTTCTAACCTGAAAATATGCTAGATATCACTGGCCGCCTAGAGACTAGCTGTGTGTTAAGTAATACCCGGGGGTGAGCGGTTGTTGACGACATGCTTAGGGCCTGTATATATGCACCGTGCAGCGAACTCTTTCATATTAAAAAGACAACCATTGCACGACATCTTAATGGCCATTGCCGCCTAACGTCGTTTAGTCGTGGCTAGCGCTATAGGAAAAACCGAAGTCACCGAGTTCAACTTATCGAGCCTGGCAAGGGTTGACGAGGAGATGAAGCGATCGTAGCCTCCAGTTCGAACGACGATCCAGCACGGATTGAAAAACCATGCGTGTAGCAGCCCCCGCAAGCGAACAGCATGGGGAGAACCGAGAATATGCTTACCCCCTCACTGCCTGTTGTATAGCCCATTCTACATATTGGGCGTTACTATGAAAGGGAAAGGGTCATCTTTGCGACGTGACCCTGATCTGTCTAAGCTCTTCATTAAGTCTATTACCCCGCTAGTGACATAGCGGCTACTTGATTCATTTCGGGTTTCTCGGGTGCCTCGGTCGATTGCTTTGCTTCGCACGATCGGGCCAGATCATTCCCAATTTGGCAAAAAGTATCCGGGCGCCCCACTTCAAGTCATGACGCGCCGTCACCACCCACCACTATGGGCTCCAGGGGCCGTTGCTAGTCACTGAATACCCAAGCCCGGCGGAGCTTGACCATGCTAGCTTGGAGATGCGGAGAAGATCTGAGGACAATATGCCCGTACTTGGGGCCAAACGATGCCAGAGCCTCGGGGTAGGGTCCAGTTGATAAAGGGAGGCGAGACGCCGCGCCTAGTGCCCACGATCCTGCAACCATATTATCTTTCGTACCTTGTTCGTAGTCTCATATACACAACGCCTCTCAGACATTCGGAATGCCCTCCATTCTCACCACGCCCGCTCGAGCGGTCGGCGCTATTGCACTGCAACCAATTTTCCTCTCTCTATCCTTAGTTTCATCAAGTTTGCCTCGCCAGAGTTAATCACGCGCATCCTCGCCTCGCTTCCTGAACCGATCCTTAGAATCATCCCTAGACTCGATCTAAAGCGGCTGGTTGCACCGCTCGGCGCTCTTCTCGCAATCGGTCTCCTCAGAAAGATCAACAAGGCCGCCAATGCAGTAGCTCGAAATAACTGGCGCATCACGGGGGTTCTGGATGGAACTGGAACAGTGAGATAGCAGTAGTCACTGGCGGATGCGGCGGAATTGGGAAAGAGATTGTGCTCGGTCTTATCCAAAGGGGCGTCAGGGTCGCCATCCTCGACATTCAGGAGTTGCCGGCGGAGCTTGCAGTAAAAGCTGGATCCGTCTACTACTGGAAGTGCGATCTAACTTCTGCCTCGTCCATCAGAGACGCTGCCGATAGTATCCGCACCACGCTCGGCCACCCGTCGATCCTCATCAATAATGGCGGTGTTGCGTTCAAACACACAATTCTTGACGCCACCCCGGAGTCGCTCCGGACCCTTTTGGTGTGAATTTGTTGGCCTTTTGGTCTACAACACAAGAGTTCCTACCCAACATGATTCTGCAGGATAAGGGCCATATCATCACGATAGCGAGCGTTGCCTCCTTTGTCGCGCTCCCCACGGCTGTTGACTACTCTGCTTCAAAGGCGGGTGCGATGGCATTTCACGAAGGCCTCAGCACCGAGATGAAGACCATATATAAAGCCCCAGGCGTTTTGACAACAATTGTCCACCCTTGCTGGGTAAACACGGATATGACGGCTAAGCATGCTGCGACAATTGAGAAATTCAATGGCCCGATGATGTCTCCTCAAATGATCGCGGAGCCTGTGCTGAACCAAATCCTTGCGCGACGTGGTGGGCAACTTGTTATTCCAGACAGCTACTCGTGGCTTTCAGCTCTACGAGGACTTCCCAACTGGTTCCAGGAGTTGGTGAACGACCTCCAAGGTAGAGCATCGGGCTAACTGTAGTCGCATCATCACCTCCATGTACACTGCGGGGTCATTGCATTGGTGTATCTAGTTGATAAAGTAATTGACCTTCATATATATACATAAGCTTACATTCACCTCTTGACAGGGCAGAATATGCGCATCAGTGAACAGTATAAACACTTTGCCTCAGATCATTACGGGTATAGTGAAGTTCTTGTCAACGAGGTCAAACCACGTTCCTTTGAAACCGTCAGCGCTCGCAGCCCATGCGTTGTCGATGAATCGCTGCAGATCCTCGCCATATTGCAGGTTGGATGAAAACGCCGACAAGTGGGCTAGCGCCTCCTTGCAGCAGCCTCTCAATTCGAGCGCAGCCACCAAAAAGGAAGGCCGATCGGTAACCCTTGTTTACCACTTGACGTAGCTGCAATGAAGCTGGCTAGCTCCGCATGAATCAAATCGGCGTACCACCGCGCCTTCTCATCATTTACACCGAGGGGGTTTCGAAGACGGTGAATAATTAGAAGCGCCGCTGTACGGTAAACCCGCGCTTGCAGAAGCATAGCAGACGCCTCAAGTGGCGTAAAATCTGAAAAGAAGCTGGGCGGGGCGAGCGGCTCCCAATCTTTAATCTTTCGCTCGATATCGGTGAACGCGTCGTTGACGCTTCCGTTGCTTTGCGGCTCCAAGGCAGTGCACATCGTTTTCATTTTGCTTTCGTGGCTGGTAATGCACAGCTGCTGTAGCAGAGGGAGTAGAGTCCAGCAAAGCCCTATACTCCTGTCGACAATAAAGCGGTCGGCCTGCTTCACGTGGATGATGGGGCACTCCCTCCGTACGAGGCACTCGACAGTATCGATAATGACTGGCGTAATCGTAATCGGATCCAGCGCTGGTTGAGCCAAAAGGGCTGGGTAGGCTTCCTCGGCTTGCAAGAGAACATGCTGAATGATGGCATGGGCGGAAGTGCAGGTGGTGAACATGTGGTACACGAGCAGCACTTGTCCCACCATCAACAATGCTGCCGCGTAGAGAGGAGAGCGGCCCTCTGTTCCGTTTAGGCAGGCTGAATCGGCAGTAGACCGTAGTCTTTGAAGACAGTGGCTACCTTTGGCTAGATCAACCTCATTTGGTGACTTGACGTGGTGGCTCGTGTCCCAAATGTTGAACACGGCCTGGTAAGCGTCTAGAAGTTGACCATCCGAACACGATATAAGCTGTTGAATACAGGCCCAAAATCTGTTGGAGAAAGAGGGCCCAATCATGAAATGTCTGTGGCACATGTAGAAGAGCAGCCTGTCGCCGAGGATATCGAGAAGAGGCTGCTTACGCATGTGATGGAGGTACCAACTAGATACAATTGGGACCGAGATATTGGCTAGATCAATGGGTGGCATGGGTGATATGAGCGGAAGCTCCCCTTCAACCAGTATCGAGATTGTGTCAGATTCGAGACTGTTTGCTGCAGTTGCTTGAGTTCGGGAGGGATTGGGTGATGTTGGCGTTCGTAATTGCGAGCGCGGTGGACGCTTCGTTTCAACTGAGGAGTGTAGATCAAGGTTCAAGATAATCTCGCCGTGTCCATTGGGCAGCTTCCTTCCGACGGGCGGTCGGCCCATCCGCCTCTCCCGCCTCGTCGAGCGGCACGGCAATGCACGAGTCGCACATTGTGTGCAAGAGGGGTTATCTCTTAGGAAGATGCATTTTTCCTTCTTGCGGAAACAGTAATCGCAGGCAGAAACGCCCATCTGTGATTCTCAGCGACCCAGACGAGTCTGAGGAAGGAAGAGTGAAGGGAGCGCAAGGTGACGTCGAAAAACAAAAGAAACGGGAAAGCTGGGGGATCTGGGGAAATGTAATTTAATGCCAACTAGTGCGTGCGAGCGCGGGGACTTAACGCTAGTCTATGCATGTGCGTGCGGGGGAACTTGAAGCATCCCCACTCCACCTCCCAACCGGAGCTATCCACCATGCACCCCGATCTATGTATCTATCCGAGCCCGATTGCCACCTTCTTTCCTTCCTCGCGTCCGCGCTCCATTTACAAGGACCCCTTATTCCTCTGCACACACCTGCGCGAGAAACCACCAGCCTTTTCCGCTGCGGCCCTTGCCTCGAGACTAAATCCGACTTTCGGACCCATCAGGATGATGTCATGTGGGCAATGGTCATCCACAACCCATTCTACCTCCGAACCGTTCTTTCGAAACTGCTTTACGAATGCTTCGTTGTCGTCGTATAGCACCTCTGCACCACCCGTGTGAACCCATAGTGGAATCCGAGAGCTGGCGGAGGCATCCGTGGTGACTGAAAGATATGGGTCGAACGGCGAGATTTTCCCCTCCCCACAAAGCGCTTCTGACCCCCATAAAGCAAAGGATGAATGAAGGTAATCCGAATTATATCGGGTCTTGCTTGTAATGTCGTTTTGTTTTATGCTCCCGGATACATTCGTCCATGGCGACCAGAGCGTCACGCCAGCAGGCAACGGTATATCCATCTCTGCGCCAAACTCTTGGAGGTAACGCAGGAGTGCCAGGCCTAGGTTCCCACCAGCAGAGTCTCCGCTAACAATAATTCGCTCCGCGGGAATGTTCAGGTCGTGAAGCAGATATATATACGACGATATAGCATCCTGAAGAGCCGCAGGAAATCTACCGCCAGAGTGGCTAGCAAGTCTGTACTGGGGGTGAAGACGTGGGTGTAACCCCCGTGTTCCAAAAGCGTATTGATGAGGAATCCCGTATCCCCATCCCTGCCGTCTCCTACAACGTAGGCGCCACCGTGGAAATGAAGAAGCACAAGTAAGGAAGACGTGCCTTCGGCCGACCGTCGCGTGTCCGGCACCCTCGGCGTCCATGTCCCACCAATCGCGACCGGGCGAATCTCTTTATCGTCGGTGGGCCCCTTGTAGGTGCTAGCGGGCGCGGGCAAAACCGACACAAATCGTTCCTTCTCAAATCCAGCGGAAAGGGTAAGCTTTGGCACAATGCGCAAAGTCGAGACCACGTGAAGAATGGCTTTTATAGACTCAATGGTCGCATTCTGACCGATGGTCCATTTTGGGTGGGCTCTCCCCTTGAAGCCGATTCGAAGGACGGCGAGGCAGAGCTCCGCGGGTACTGTACCAAGAAGGGCCAAAATGGTCAGAACCCGCGAAATTCGTGAAGTAATCATGATGCCCCTGTCTGCGTATTAACGATGGGGAAAACGCTCGTAGAAGTTTTCGTAGTGGAATGAGAGAAAAGGGTGATCGGAAAGAAGAGGAATTCCGAACGGCGGAATGGGCTATACCCTCTTTTAATAGCACGGTCTATGAACATCTCTGTCTGCTCGCACTTGGAATTTGATCAGGAGCTCCGGTCATCTCGAGTGGACAACCAATCAATGAGAGCTCAGCCCGCCGGATTTCACACTATCCCGTCACCCCGTTCCCAGTACATGTTGAGCTCGCTTTTCTTCAGTCCACGGAGACTTCTTTCCAAATCGGGACAACCCCACATTAGTCGCACCTAGTACACTAGTGGGATGTGGATGGCCCTTTCCTCAGCGCTGATCGAATGGCCGAGGCGAATTCGCAAGCTAGCACTCTGTAAAGGGGGACAATCATAGCTTAAGGCGGTTCATACATTTATATAAACAGGAGGTAGCCTCTTGTGCGGAAGGGATCGACTTTACGAGAAGCTATACACACCTAACATATCAACACTTCAACCCACCAACTCTTTTTAGTCTTATTCGAATCCTAGACTATTCCGCTATGCATATCGCATCAACCGCCAGAAACACGGTTCCTACCGAGGTTTTAGACTTCGTCATCATCGGAGCGGGGATCTCGGGTATCAACACAGCGTATTATTTGCAGAACCGAGGTCCTAAAGGTGCCACATACGCTATACTTGAGGGTCGCGAGAGTCTCGGCGGAACATGGGCCCTATTTCAATACCCAGGAATCCGGTCAGACTCCGATATCAATACGTTTGGCTTCTCTTGGAACCCATGGCAAGGAGATAAGGCACTCGCCTCCGCAAGGGAGATTGTATCCTATATGAGCGACTCGGCGTCCAAGGCTGGTGTTGACCAGCACTTTAGGTTCAATCACAGAGTCACTGCTGCAGATTGGTCTTCTCCTTTATCCATGTGGACACTTGATGTTGTTATCAATGGACAAGAAAAGAAGACGATCGGCGCCCGCTACGTTGTCTTAGGCACCGGCTACTACGACTATGAGCAGCCGCTATCAGCAGTCATCCCGGGTATAGAGAACTTTGGGGGCCAGGTCATTCATCCCCAGTTTTGGCCCAAGGACTATTCCTACACGAATAAGGAGGTAGTTGTGATTGGAAGCGGCGCTACTGCTATAACTATTGTACCCAGCATGGCCAAAGATGCAAGGCGTGTCACTATGCTACAACGCAGCCCGACATATATCGCCGCACTGCCGAATAGTCGGGATTTGTTTGGCCATATCCTCTACGGAATTTTGCCGAAGGGTGTTGCTTCACGAATCGTCCGAACCACCTTCATCCTCCGCGGGTACTTTCTCTTTACTTCTGTACATACTTCCCCAACGCCGCTCGGCGGGCCCTGCTGAAGGCTTCATCACGCCAACTACCCAAGTCTGTCGCGGTCGATCCACATTTCACACCTACCTACAACCCTTGGGAGCAGCGCCTCTGCGCCTCGCCAGATGGTGACTTTTTCCGCGCCATGAGGTCCGGAAAGGCACAGGTCATCACCGATTCCGTACATGACATTACAGAAACCGAAATCGTTCTAAAATCTGGCAAAACGCTAAAGCCAGATGCTATCATTACGGCAACCGGCCTAAAGCTACACTTTGCGGGTCATATACGCATATCGGTGGATGGTGTCGAGGTAGACCCGGCAACCAAGTTCGTCCTGAGGGGTTGCATGATGCAAGACGTGCCTAACATGGCTTTTGTTATCGGGTATGTTAATGCCTCGTGGACTCTAGGTGCTGAAGCTACCGCAACATATCTTACAAGGCTCTGGAAAAGTATGAACTCGAAGGGAATCAAGGCCGTAGTACCCACGGTACAGAATCCAGGAATGAAGTCAACTAAGCTCCTCGAGCTAACGTCGACGTATCTACGGAATTCTTCCGAGGTGTTTCCTAAAGCGGGAGTCGGTATTTGGTCACGGGGGCTAATTATCTGGTAGATCTCTGGCGCGCGTCTGTCGGAGGTGTGTATTTAGGACTTGAGATAAAGGTTTAGGTTCGCTTTAGCACTGTGGATACCTGTGTCTGGTTGGTGATCAGGTAGCGGGTGTTTCTATATTAATGTTGATTGGGATCCCTAGTATTGCCGAGCCAACGCATACCGTGGCGGGTGAGCAATGATCTGCAGGTTCGCGTAGGTCGACGCCGTAGTAGATAGATATCTCAGATAGGACATCGTGCGTATTTCAGCCCTTGCATATATCTATGTATCTTTGAAATTCTGTCGAACAGGGTGATTTTACGCTCCTAGATCGAGGAGGCGAAGGTGGTAGAGGAGCATGGTTCACGGGAGGTCACGCTAAGGCTGCATCACTATCAGCGGGAGTCAATAACTCTAGTAAGCCGTAGGGTTAAAGAGAGATGTTAAAGTTTGCCCAAGTTGGCGTGGGCTTGACTTCAAATAACGAGTGGGCACCTATGCTATACACCTAGGTGTTTACGTCTAAATCCGGGTTGTTACTTCTTCTTGTCTGTATGCGTTATCTATGGGTGTCCTAACTATATAAGCTTCAAGACTTATCTATCAACTGCTATACTTTCGCCTATGGACCTCGTCCCTCTTCCTCTAGCTTCAAGCTTGTGTACCGGGTATCGATTTCGTTGAGAGATGACGGGCCTGGGGTGGAATCCCGTTGTAGACAAGTGATTGTAAGATACCGGCAGCTGCTGGGCCAAACCACCAGATCCACTGATCTAGTAAAGTATAGTTAATATCAAGCGCTAAGTAGCAGAGGCTTCAGGTTACCAACCTTTCAAGTTTCCTCGAGCAATGCCAAACGCAAAGCATCTTGCAGGATTCATCCGAGCCCCGCATATCCAGGAGCAATACCGCTGGTCGCGAAAGAGATTAGGCCTAGTGACAGTGCTACAAGAAATGGTCCGAGTCGCGGGCCAAACAGGAGTGCTTGACGCGGATCAAGACCCACGCCGTAACTTAGGAATAGAAGAACAAAACTGGCGACGAGCTCGTTAAGGAAGACTTGGCCGGCTGAAAGGTCTTGGGAGTCGTAGAAGCAGCCCCCGCCTTGAACGCTAGTTCCAATAAACATTGAGGAACAAAATTCCGGCGACACTAGGGTTTGATTGGTGGAGTCTTCACTTACTCAACGGCACGTTGTTTCCCGAATATCCCCATCAGTAGTCCTCCGGCCAGGGAAGAGCCTAGAAGTTGCCCGCAGAGATATAGAACCCCTGATATTATACACTCAGTACCCATATAGAGAAACTGGGAAGCCTTTTCAAGAACATATAAATACCTCTTGAGACTGGACAGATGCCTGCTATTATAGCTGAAAAAGTGATAGTAGGGTTAAGGTGGCCACCTGTTGTTGCAACGGTAGCGTAAATGAAGGCTGATAGGAGGACGGTATTAGAAATACCAATGTAGGCCCCGAGTTGAACAGTATTATAGCCTATCAAAGTTACCGTAATCACTCTAGATGTATATACTAAGCAGCAGGTTCCAATCGACTCTACTAGCTATAGTAAGAATAATGTTAGTCCTTAACTCAAGAAGACGATGTATTGTCCCAACCTCACCGCAGCTTTCCAGACATTGGTTTCCAGCCAACCCGCTGTCAAGTATTCTCGATTTCTATACCACACACATGATAGAGGTTTCCGAGGCCTAGCATTCGGCGCAAATGAGCCTTCAAATTCGGCAATTGTCGGAAGATTGTTTGTCTTGTCAGATGACGCATTTCTCGGGTCTATTGTAGATTCTTGGCCGATTGGGAACGATCTCAATCTTTCAATCGAGATCCCCAGTGACACTTGTATACAGAACGGGCTCTATTAGATTGTACGGCGATCATACTATGGCGTCGCGGACTAGATTCGGTGATCGTCTTGCCCCGTTGGACAGGGGTGTTGGAAATAGTTGATTCCCACTGAAAGCTTTACGATTCGAAATGTCGAGGTTACAACCGGCCGCAATACCAATTATATACGAAACGGTAAAGATAGGGGATTTTTAACGAGGTTAGGTCCCGAAATGCGGGCTGCATTAGCTTATCACATATTAGAGAGAGCAACAGCAACTAATTTATAAAGTTAACGACTATTACAGACAACAACCTGATTATGATCGGTTCGCTCAGCTTTCAAGCGTCCCACGTCAACAGATCCTGGCACCATTCAGCTCACCTGCTCTACATCAGCGTTCTCATATTCATCTCTGCCGTCATACCGCCCCCTAAACCCCGGTCGTAGCTTGCCCTTCTTATTAACGACGAACACCTTGTCGTTATCGCCAAGGAACATAGAGTCCATCTCTTCCAGCGATCGGCCAGAAGTTTCCGGGTAGAACAGGAACACGATTATACCGTGGCAGAAGTTCAGCGCAAAAACACGAGATATGACTTCCATCGAATGTCACCAATCATGATTGGCGTGATCTGCACAATCATGTAGTTGAAGATCCAATCTGCAGCAGTCGCAATTGCTGCGCTCTGAGTTCGATGGCGCAAGGGCATGATCTCTGCAGGATACAGCCATGGCACAGGGAGCCAGCCAATGGCGAAGACAGCTTCAAACAGGAAGAAGAAGGCAAGTGAGGCTTTAACTCGTGAGTCAGTGGGGTTGCTCTGGAGGATCGCAGCCTAGTAGATGATATTGTTAGTCCTAGGCTAGGAACAGCTAATGAGTCGGCACCTACAATCAAGAAACAAAACGCGCAAACAAAGGCTCCTCCAATTAGCGGCACGCGACGGCTAATCCTATCAAGCCAGAACCAAGGAATCAGACTGAAGACCCAGTACGTGACAGCAAGGCCAGCCGCCAGCTGGAGCGCTGTTTCGTGACTTTGACCAAGATCGGATGTCAGAATATGCGGAAAGTAGTAAACCTGAATAGTTTTATTAGAATTCTTTCCAATAGCTCCTCCATTCTAAGGGCTATTAAGCTTACCAGGAGGTTGATTCCACTAAGCTGTTGCATGACCTGGATGCCTAGATACCTAGTGTTAGCTTCATCATAAATGTTGCTAGGCTCACTTACCAATAGCGAGTATATACCGGCGACGAATTTTCAGAGGGCCGCTGCTTATATATTCTTTCACTCTCATCGGACCATCAGCCTGCTCAACGGACAAGACCTGATCAATCTCCGCCTTCTTCTTAAGTACCGCAACGTCATTTATAGGAGTATTGGGGCCCTTCAACTGTGCTAGGATATCAATCGCCTCATGATGGCGCCCATCTGTCCAATAGTGTCAATACACGATACTTGACATTGATTGGCATTATCATCCTAAAGGGTTTCAAGATTCTTTACTCACGTTTAGAAAGCCATCGGGGTGATTCGGGTAGAACCATGACCAGAGCAACCTGGGCGATGATGAAGATAAGCTGGGCTGCAATGGGCGTTCTCCATACCACAGGCCCATTAGCATAATACATGCCAATATTGAAGTAGCAAGCGATGACGATGCCAAATGCGATCAAGCTTCCCTCTGCAGCAACCATTCGACCTCGAGACTTAGCAGGGCTCAGCTCGCTCACCCATAGCGGTGTAGTTGCGGTGTTAAACCCGTTGCCCCAGCCACTACATACAAACCGTTAGACAAGTTCCTGTTTTGTTCTAGGTATCGGAAGCCTGACTCACCAAACGATCCGACCAACGATCATCTGTGGAACGTGGAAAGCTGTAGCCTGGATGATAGCACCTATGGCCATGAGAATGGCCCCGATGAAAAGACATTTACGTCGACCAATCTTCTCGCCAACCAAGAAGACATTGATGGCGCCAACAAAACAGCCAATTCTGCTCGACGGTAACGGTTATCAGATTTGAGATAGAATTTACGGAAGAAGATACTGCCTCTTACTCATAGATTGCATTGATGGTTCCGAGCATGCTATTAGAAGGATTGTCCATTTGGTCCAAAAGTCTTGGGAAGTATTGATACCCTAATAAACAAGTTAGCACCCCAGCGTCAAGGGAAACTATTAGCTGAACATCTATACTTACACCTAGGACACCTTGATCATAGCCAAATAATAAGAACCCGATGGCACCGCATGCCGATATGGTTCGCATCAATGTTTTGCCTTGGGCACCAAAGGCGTATCGCACGCGAGGCGCATTTAGATCAACACTAGGAAGACTTGAACTTAACGCCGAAGGTCTGGGGGCGATCCGTGATCGGAAGCCGACTCGACAAGCTCGCTATTCAGCTTCTCGGACATAGTGTAGGGTATCAAAACACAAGAATGGTAGGAGATAAAGGTGATAGGAGATCCACTCGTGCGGGATCGTTGATACCCTCAACATGATAAACGACGATCTTGAGGAAATATTTATACATGTGTATGAGCAGCGAGGCTATTTTGTTTCTTTCTGGTCGACATTCACTCGCACCACCACATCTTCAGCACAGACGTCCCCGAGCGTGACCAGCCCCCTTATGCGGGGGCGATGCGGGGAAGGCGAGCGAAATGGAGGCGAAAACCCCTAGTTCTCGCCGAGAATTACCAGATCGAGGTTAGTGGGTACTCCCTGGCTTGGCCCCTTGGAAAACCTCCGCAAACCCTAGATCACTTGGAGAACTCTGGTGCCCGATTCAAATCGCTAGATCACTAAGGACTGTCATAGAGTAAAGCTCGCGGGTTCCCCGCGTGACAGTTTCCCCGCAAAACATTCTTTCTCTTCCTAATGTACTCCAGAATTGTCTGCGACAAGGTGTGTCCAGTCATCTCATGAATTAAGGAGGAATCTAAGCCTGATCGAGCCCGACGCTAGTCTGAAGTGGAGCTGTCTAAAGGATGTTTCTTACCGAAACCTGATCAAAATCATAGAAGTGCGGAGTAATCGAAAGGAATCCAGGTTTTCGTCGACCCCTATATTACACCTCTATTCTCCTAGGACTAGAAATAAATCATCAAACAGTGTCTGCGCTCGCCGAGTTCTTAACCTTCTAGGAATCCGTTCATTTCTCTTAGCCCATATCCCGCATTTTGCAGCTCAGCTAACCCCTCGTCACGGCACCCCACACTCCAGTTTCCGTTCATCGTAGGGAAGCTATGGCTGATCCGACAATCGCCACGAAAAGGGCAAGGAAACCCGGATGGTAAGTTGGTCCCGGGGCTTATTCATCGAATGTGACCCTGTGCTCGGCTGGCTGATTCTTTCCTCTGCCGACCCAGCACGCCTTGCCGCGAGCGGCATTTGCGGTGTAAGTCCCGACTACCGGAGAAGTAATTTTCCAATACTGACCATCGGGAATTATGCTGCCTAGGCGACCGAGTCAAGCCAACATGTTCGAGTTGTCGAAGGTCCCGATACCCCACAATCTGCGAATACGAGCCATCCGCACTGAAATTCAGACACAGCATCCTGTCTATCGAGGCGGATGCAGAAACTCCACAAGAAGGCCCAAGGCCTGTGTCTAAGGCAAATCAGGCTGTCCCAAGCAGCAATTACCCTCTACAAACTCGTAAAGCCCCCGGGAGAATTAGACTCTCGTCTATGGATCGAACTAGGTCTCAAGACCGGGCGACTAGTTAACATCTAACATCTAAGCTGATCCCTTTGATTCCCTTATACATAGCTTGTCTCAATGCGTCCCCTCCACCACAGTCTAGAGACCTTCGGTCGCGTGTTTCACCCACACCTATCCCCACCAAGCCGTTTCGCCCCAATTATTTTCCGCCTCTTCTACTATCCACACCATAGAGGACCAGGCCAATGCCTCATCTCGAATCAGCGATGAATCCCCGCTGGGACGATATCCCGAACCTAGGTACCCTTGCATCGGGGTCCCCGTCTCTACACCACCAGCACTCGCAATCCAGAATGCTTCATCGAACCCGCGCCGCATTATCTCGGACAGGATCGATGCTGAAGTTTTGGGTTCTATATAACAGCCGTAGGATACTGGGTGAGGCTGCTCTAAGTCCTATGGCACTGTGAAGACGTTGCTAAATAACCCCGACCCAGCTTGACATCGTGTCACCCAGTAGGTTTTTCAGTGAGAGTGTTCCCCGGATAGCGTTGCAAAACACAGCTCTCTACTACGCGTGTTTAACCTGTGCTTCACGCGTTCTTACTATAAGGGGTGAACTCGAAAAGGCACGGGGTGACGTGTATGAAGATTCCGCTATTTCCGCTTTAATACCCCACTTATCAACCGCAACCGCACACTCTCAAGAGCAACAGGACATGTTGGTGGCTACGGTTGTCATCCTACGTATGGCGGAACAATTCTCCGAGGTGAAGGATGATGCACGCTGCCATCTCGTCGGCGCATCTTCGCTCCTTCTCACCAAGCCCATAACAGAGGAGCAGCCTTCTTTAGGCGCCGCAGCCTTTTGGTTATATATGCGTCAAGCAATACGAGCGGCCTTTTTAAATGAAGAACCCTGTAAATTCGACACAACCCTGGTCGAGCTCCGTGCCGAGACTACCCAAGCTGCTGATGCTGTTTGGACGAATCGTGTGACAACTCTCTTAGCTAGGACATGTTCCGCTTGCTGGGATCCCTCCCTGAAACCACCACTAAGGCACGCAATGCTCGCAGAATTGAAGAGGCTTTTGGAAGTCTGGGAGGCGAGCGTACCGGAGAGCTTTCGGCCATGGAGTGAGTTTCAACCCCAGAACGACACTTTCCCTACTATCAACTATGTAAGTCCATGGCATGGTACGTAACAGGGTCTCCCATTTCTTTGACGCCTTTCTTTTCGGATGTGGTAGGATACTGACTGTCAAGCAACGGCTCAGCGGTCGCATGGCAGTATTATTATGCCGCCAAAGTTCTTGTCGAACTATATCAGAAACCTGAAGACATGAGTATCATTGAAATTACGCGATATATGGAGGTAAGTATACTCTGTCACGCATGTTTCGCAGTCACCTAACAAGCGACGTTTTATCAGGCCAAAGTCCTATCGCAGTGTCGCCGCCTATGCGCTATCACATTCTCAAGTCAACACGCAGGAGTATCAATCAACGGAACCCATCTAGTCTCTTGGTGCGGACAATTCTTTTCACGATATGAGGAACAAACTGGGCTTGTGGAGTTCCTACAAAATTTCATGGAGAGAACTGGATGGCCTAATCAGACATGCTGCGACAGGCTTTGGAGGATATGGAGTGGTCAAAGTAGCTCATGGGTTCAGGACAAGATGGAAACAACTTGAGGACTTTCCGAATTTCAATACTCAAAACGGTAACTGTATCTAGCCAATAGAAGCTATGTCTCTCCCTGACTTCATAATGAGCTATAGACTATCTCAAGCACCACCTAGGAGACTTAAAGTAAGTATGTTGCCCGAATAGGTAGCTCTACAGGATTGCAATTAAACCTCTCATGATGTCGCAAGGTTTGATCCTTATCAACCAAATCCCACCGAAACGCCATCACAAGGGCGGCAATACATATACTAAGCTCCATATAAGCCAAGTTCCTTCCAATACACGCCCTCGGCCCCAGGCTGAACGGGAGCACGAATTCCTTCAAGTTTTGGCGTTCTTGATCGCTTATTTCCGCGTTGGTTGGAAGCCAGCGATCTGGGATCCATTCTGAGGCACGGTGAAATAGATCGTCCCGGCGCTGTAAGCTCCAAGTTTGTGCTGATACCGTTACCCCAGCCGGGATAAGCTCGCCGTCAATCATACTTGCCTTCGTCGTCAGCCGAGGCAAGCCGGTTCTAGCGGTGCTTGCATACGAAACGATTCGTCGATGACGGCGCGCAAGTATGGAATATGGCGTAAGACCTCGTAAGGTGCAGCGGGGATGTTGTCGGGTTCTAGGCTTTGAAGGAGAATGTTCCGGAGCTTATCCTGGATGTCCCGGTACCGCGCAAGATAATACATAATATTTGTGAGAGACGTTTGTGTAGTATCATTGCCAGCATTAAGCATAACGGCACTTTCAGCAATTATTTCTTCGTCAGACATAGGAACACTTCTCTTTTCAGTGGCAGCCGTAGGCAAGTTGGAGAACAGGTCTGGCTCTAGTGGGGGCTCCTGAGGCGTTGATGAGCCAGATATCGGGCCATATCCGTGAACGTGTTGCCACATTTTGTATTAGTCGTCCAGCCTAGTATTTTGTTGCGGATTAAATCGTACCAAAATGGAGGTAGATGACCAATTAGAACACTATGCGCCGCCCCAGTATGGAAGGTATGCATAGCATTGACGGTAAGCATAGTGCCATCATCCCGTTCAGCAAAACAATCATCATTCCCTCGATCCAGGAACCCGTAGGTCTGGGACCAGAATACGTTCGTGATAGCATCGTATGAAAACATGTTAAGCCATGGTCGAACATCGAAGATTCCGTCTTTGGCCGGAAACCGGTCCGTGTCTGATATTTGCAAGCCACGAGACTTGAGCTCGAGCGCAGCGACCAGTTTGCGCACGACCTGCATTACTCTCGGCTCCATCTCCGTAATCTTTGCCGGCGAGAACACATGCGCTAGGTTTCGCCTCTTTTGTCTATGCACGTCTTTGTCTGTGGCGTCAGCCATGTTCGGGTTCCCTGACGCTTGATTATCATAGAAAGTGTCCTTTCGAACAGAAGTCCCATGCCCGTAGATGTCCTTGAATGCTTGTGGAGACGAGAAAGAGACGTGGTTTGAGCCGAGGCGGACCACAGACCCAAGTCGTTTATGTGCCTTGTCGACCGCGATAAATTTATCCCCACGCCAATTATAGTACATCTGCCATAACGGTGTTAAGGCAGCAACAGACGGCATAGGGTACCGGCGGAGGCCTTTTGGGTCTAGAGCATAATGAATGAGCGGAGAGGCAATCACCGCAAGCAGCGCGCCTCCGGTGACTATAATGGCTACTCGACGTTAGTTGAACGGAAAAGATAATGACTGCGGTTCTCGTCGAGATTTAGTCTTACCAAGATATGTAAACATAGCGATGGTATATTATCTCCCAGTAGTTTGTCGGTGGTTACACTTTTTCAAGAGAGTATAGCAGGAGCCCTTCGAGAAATTGTATACTTATACGGACCACGGGAGCTATCATCTCTGCCTTTCCCACTTCATCAAAACCGCTCATACCGTCATATATGTTGTGCTGTTCCCACTCAACTACTAGTGAGACTTGGTAAACGATTTCCATAATGAGCAGGTCCTCGGCGGAAGCTTCGCCACCCACCTTGACCAAAACATGGGTGTATGAAGCTCGCCGAACGGCTGCACAGCCAAAACGAACCTATGTGTCGCGGCCATTTCTACCCGAATAGGAAATTGTCGCCATACCACTAGAATCACAGGGTGTTAACCAGAGATAAATGCCTAAATGTGCGGCAATTTATTAGTTCGCCGACAAATTTCCCGGTTTGTCAGCGCGAGCTACCTAGCTGAAGCTGTGTGGTCGAAAAGTATGTTTCCACTGTGCACTCATTGCCTCCCTTATCTGTGGAAGGAGGGGAATTTATTGGGCAGCTGGTCAATAGAAGCCCAAACTTGGAATGGTTGATCTTGTGGCCAAATACTGACCGGCGAGAAACGCTGAACGAAGTTAGTGGTCCCTGCCGGACTCAAATTCACTCAGCCTAGACTTCTCGGCGCGATTCTCCGCGTGGCTGATGACACCACCTTTTGCAATTTCTCTCATATAATTAATGATACTCACCCGCGATCATCCTACTCGGCGGTTATAAACGTAACCATCACCGCAGGTATCTGTTGAGGAATCTTCTAAACAACCACCCTCCGAGAACAAATTTCAACTTGAACCACCTACCCTATCACGATGTCGTTCGCCATAAAGGCAACTCTTAACTCAGGCGCAGAGATCCCGTAAGTTGGGAAAGTAGATGTTGAGTCCGCAATAAAACCTAATTCAGATATACCTAGAACCCTTGGCTATGGCACTTGGCAGTCAGGACCAGGTGAGGTGGCTCTCGGCATCTTCGAGGCATTGAAAGCAGGATACCGACATCTAGTATGTTAATCAATTGAACATTTTAATTCACTTTTCGCTATAAAGTGGATTATAAACATAAAATATAAGCTGACTATTATGTCTAGGATCTCGCCAAGGTGTGAGTGTAGCCTTGTATACTATATTAGGCGAAAAGACTAACCGGGAATTAGCTACGAAAATCAAGAGGATGTCGCTAAAGGCTTAGAAAAAGCATTCCGAGAAGTGCCAGGCTTAAAGCGAGAGGATATCTTCATCGTAAGTAGAGTCTCTTTCTTCTAAGTGTAATATATTAAGGCTAATAACTATAATTCTAGACTTCTAAACTTTGGAATAAGTAGGGTACCCTATTGCGCTGTTTTTTAACAGACACCTTCTAACCATTGCGAAGCTCTCATCGACCCGAAAATGTAGCTTCCGCCCTTGAACAGACTTTACGAGAGTTAAACCTCGAGTACCTTGATGTATAGTATCCCACTGATTATTATAACCCCATTCATCGGCAACATTTTTACTTATTTAGCATTGAAGCTCTACCTTATCCACTGGCCGGTTGCATTCCCAAAAACGGATGACGATGCCCTCTTCCCGTTAACCACTCAAGGAAGTAATGAGGTGGTAATCGACAGAGGAGTTTCGCTTGTTGACACATGGAAAGGTAGCATATGAACATAGCTATCTTATATCACGCTGAACAACTAGATTCTGACATGAAGCACTAAATAGCTCTCATCGCTCTACCTAAGGCTAAAGTCCGCGCGATCGGGGTGTCAAACTTCACAGCGGCACATATCCAAACGTTGATCGATGCAACGGGAGTTGTGCCTGCCGTCAATCAAGTTGAGCGACATCCACTACTCTTACAAGACAGCCTTATCAAATATGCTAAAGAGAAAAACATTCACCTCACCGCATACTCGGTTCGTTATAATAATCGTTAAATTATATGCCTAAGTATTTTGATACGATCACCTACTGACAAATTACTTGATAGGCATTAGGAAATAACACTGTTGGAAAGCCACTTTTGATTGAACACGCTACTATCATCAAGATCGCTGAGGAAGTTGGCGGTTCCCCGGCACAGGTCCTGTAAGTCTATGGTTCCTGAACTTGTAACTGTATCGCTCTTTGATAGCTAACGAATATACACCATTAAACCAGCCTCGCTTGGGCCCAATTCGGAGGGCATTCCGTCATCCCCAAGTCTGTGACGCCGTCGCGTATTCATGCCAATTTTAAAGAGGTTAAGCTCTCAAGCGAACACGTCGCAGCTATTAATAAGATTGGCGAGGCACCGCATCGATACAATATCCCAGTGAACTGTAAGTAAGCCGCCTAAGCAGATCGAGGAAATCTACCTAACGTCTTATATAGTTAATCCCAAATGGGATATCGCTATCTGGAATGAGGAGGATGAGCAAAATGCCACCTACCAGGTTATTGAAAGAATATCGTAACAGGGAATTTATGAAAGCTACCTTAAAAAGCCTAGAATTTTTCTTCGAAGTGACCTTCCGGGTTTATATTAACTAACAAACCTTAGACATCATTTTTGATCCTCTTCAGGCTAGCTAGAGGTATAGGCGCTGTGTTGATGGAGACGAGAGTTAGATAAGTTAGTTAGCGCTTAAGTTCCAAAGCCAGATGGTCGTCTCGTCAGCATATTGACACTTACTCATGTGACAGCGGGTTATATACCGAGGTACGAAGGGTCGGTATTAATAAGGTGGGTCCTAAACAAGGGTGGTGTAATAAAGGGGCTCCTTTAGCACGTGATAACTGCAGAATCCTATAAAAGTGCAGTGGAGCATATTTCGAAGCCTTCAGAAGAAATATGCGAGCAAATATGGCTCACCAAGAACCCCAAAAGGCGGCTAGTAAGCCATTATACCCAACTTATAGAAACTCTTACCTAGTGTTCTATAACGTGACCTCAGCTGGGTTGAGGATCGCCATTTTTTTCTTCTGCATTTGGCTGTGGTGTAATGACAACTATGCCGCTGTTTGGACTCAGGTCCATACACTTGCCCGATGGGCCGAGACTCTCGCTGTTGTCGAAATCATACATGCCGCGAGCGGCCTCGTGCGCGCCTCGCCAACAACAACAGCCTTACAGGTAGCCGGCCGAAACACCATAGTCTGGGCTATTACTAGGAATTATCCGGCTGTCGCTGCCCGAGATTGGGCTTATCCGATCATGATCATTACATGGAATCTCGCAGATGCGGTACGATATGTATACTTTACTATTGATCGCGGGTTTGGAGTTATGCCCCAGTTGCTTCTATGGTTAAGGTATCACTGCTAGGCTTTGTAAGCCAGCTTATGTTTAGGATTTAAGGAGACGCTAACCACGTATATAGGTATAATGCATTTATTATTCTTTATCCTGTCGGAATCTTAGCCGAAGCCTGGCTTGTCTATGCAGTGATTGGGCCATCGCGAGAGCGGAATCATACATATCCGTATTTGCTATGGTTTGGGTTGTCGCTCTATTTTCCAGGTAAGTTAGATCTACGTCACAAGTCCCTTTAGTAACATAAGTTGACAAAGTGTTTTAGCTTTCTACATTCTTTACAGCCATATGCTGCGTCAGAGATCTAGAATAATTAGGCGGTCTCTATAGCTAGATATTCCTTGTCCTCGTTTATGCTATAGTAGAGCTCTACCTAAAAGAGGGCATCCGATACTATATATATTAAGCTATAGGAATATATCTAAATTATAGTATGAGATTGAGAGCAATATCGGCTAATAAAAAATAATAACGCGAAGCATATATAAGAACCACTCAACGATATTAAGGAGGCTCGGAATAAACTGAAGCCGACTAAACGTCTGACGTGAGTTTCACGCTTCTTATAGTATAGTAGAAGCTATAAGGCTGTTTAAAAGAGCGGTTGGTCGGGGATTATGTAATGTCAATGTCCCGAGTTCTGATATTCGTAAACTATCTTATTATCATATAGATATACTATGAGCAACTGAGACGAAGCCTTCCCACATCTCTTTTAGCAACGGCATGAACAACTTGAATTCCTCTCTTAAAGTTTATAGCTTACTAAGATAATTAAGGTAGTCTCTTCCGAGAGGACTTATCATAGGTCGATAGGGGTGAGTGCGTCAGGGGTGATATATGCCGCCCGGGTGTACCTAGGCTAAAATGAATCCTTCAACCTGTTATTGTGCATAGCCCCTTAAACCTGAAGAAAATCCTAAAATCAGCAGATGTTAACATACCTGAGGCTTACCATCTCTCCTCTCCCCTCCTTCGACCATGTCTTATCAAAATCTTAATCGCCAAGAAGGGGCCCAGCGGGGTTACAGCTTCGATGGTGCGCCCCACGACCTAGACATCGACCCAATTTTAATGAACAACATGGCCCCGAGCAGCACGTCGTACCATCGAGTTCCCTTTCGAGAACATAGTCGCCGATTCGCTCACACCTCGTTGGGTGCCCGGCCGTCCTTCTCTCTCGCTATAATTTGTCGCATATGGTGGCTTGAAATACTATGTATTATCTTCTGCACTGTTGTCCTGCTTGGGGTTGTCCTCGTGTTACAGAGCTTTGCGGGTAAGCCTGTATCGGGATGGCCTTTACCTGGCACTATCAACACTGCGCTCGCTATCACTTCAGCCGTTTTTAAGGCGGCTCTCATACCACCCCTAACTGAAGGTAGATCTCTCTCAGAATTTGAAAGTTTTTTTCGAGGCTATTCTGATCTATTTTGGTGAAGGTTTAAGCCACTTGAAATGGATCTGGTTTATGCGACGAGATACACCTCTGTCGACATTCGAGGCTTTTGACCAGGCCAGTAGAGATATATCAGGCTGTTTGCTATTTTTGAAAAGATCTTTCAATTTTAAGGAGAGATTGTAAGTTCTACATGCATTAGGACACTTAAATACCGATATTTCCAGAACCCTAGACACTTGAAGGCTGATGGCTGCTTGGTAGACCTATGAAATTGCTCGCCTTACTCGGCGTTATAACCATCCTTGCCGGAGTAGCAGTTGAAGTTTTTGCCCAATCAACAGTCGGGTACTACAACTGTCCGCAGCTCATAGATGGGTTGCCGGCCTCCATTCCTAAAGCACATACGTTTAACCCATCTATCGATACGCTTAGAAGCGGGACTAAAAGTGCCGACATGGAAACTAAGCTCGCTATATATAAAGGACTAGTGAACCCGCCACAAAATAGCTCTGCGAATATGGCGAGCTACATTAACTGTGCGACAGGGAACTGTACATTTACTACTGATAGCTCTCGGGGGCTTCGCTACCTTAGGGGTCTGCAACGCCTGTCGAGATATCACTAGTGAATGTCAGACAGAGCTTGTTTCCGGAAGAAGAGGATCCCTAGCGTATTCTCTACCAAGCGGGGCGACCACCAAAATCTTTCAAGCCGTGAGGAGCATGGTGCAGGTGCTCCATATGGTGGCTGTTGATCGTCCTCAACCAGCCTATATTAATGATTACCCAATGTTCACCGTGGAAACAATTGTTATTAAATCGAGAAATTGTACAGAAGTGGAGAAAGAGAGTCCACCCTGCCAAGTAGGGCGTGGAAAATTTTGGGAACCAGCTGCGAGCTCCTGCTCGCTCTATCCGTGCATCAAAGCTTATAACGCTGACGTGGTTGCTGGCATATATACGGAGACAGAAGTCTGGTCTCGAAATTTGGAGAACACCTTTGCGCCAGCTAGCCAAAATATACCAAACTACTGGCTAACCACTGAACAAGCGATGCGCAATGGTTCGTGGTCATCTTGCGGCGAAACTAGCGAGATGACGACCGAAAACACAATCCAGGTTTTTAAGTTGAATAAAACAGCCTGCGAGATGAGTTTCAGCGGTGGCTGTGGGGATGCGGAGACCCTTTGGTATCCCCCGCCTGTGTGTGGAGTTTCCCAAGGTGGGAAATTGCGGCGGTGGTAGCGGATTCTCTTGCAGATAAAATTGGCAACCATACACTCCTAGACCTAAAACGCGACGTAGCGTTCGATGGGGAACCGTATTTTCAGAGGCTCTACCAGGCGGGTGGCGCACATATTGACAACGTGAAAGGGTTTATGGATGGTATAGCGAACGCCTTAACGGAGCGCATCAGGACGAAGAGCTCTGATTCTCCAAATCTACAGACTGTTTTTGGAGAAACCTGGCAAACAGAGACCTGTATCAGGGTGCGGTTAGAATGGATGACCTACCTCGGAGCCCTACTCTTTCTTGAGATACTCTTCCTCATCTTTGTCATCAGCTGTGCTAGGCGGGAGGGATGCTTTATGGATTGGAAATCATCTTCCTTAGCTACCTTTTTCTACCCTATTCACAGGAGATCATCTAAGGACACTTTAGTGGAAAAGAAGCATTTAGAAAAGGAAGCACAGGATGTTAGAGTCCGACTTGCCCAAAATGGGGGTGTTTGGAAATTTTATAAGGCAAAGTAATACTTAGCTAGCTCCTTTACCATTATTTTCACATAACTATTAAAAAACACCATTTTCATCATAATAGGTAAAAGTAGTAGGGGTGTGCTGCTCCTCATATATAACCTAGAACGCGGCCTGGTGCGATAATATAAAGTCCACCTCTTTATAGCAAAAGAACTCTTAGTGGAGTTTACCTATACTATCCCCTCTACTCGTGCACGAGTACTAGTTATAGTAAAATGATAATTTTTGTACGTAGCCTGTAAAATCTTCTACACTTTGTATAAGGTCCCAGTATCGCTAAAGAAGTGTCCGGGATGTCCCCGGCTAGCGGGAGCAAAAGAAAGTAGCCGAAAAGTCGCCGACTTCGTGTATAAAAAGCAGGAGAAAGCCTTTCGAGATAAGTATCATATATTACAAATTTCTATTAACTAATTAATTCTCCTTATATTCCGCTTTTTCAACTATATACTTTACAACATTCATCATTTCTTTATACTGAGGATATATTCAAGTTCAATAAGCCTTTGCTAAAATGACCTGGCCTATCCTAGATGCCTTGATTATCGGCGGTGGCCCAGCGGGGCTAGCAGTTGCTACAGGGCTAGCTCGCCAACTTTATAAAGCCGTCATCTTCGACAATAGGCTTTACCGAAACTCGAAAGCGGATCATATGCATAATGTCCTAGGCTGGGACCATCAAAACCCCGCAGCTTTGCGAGCTAAGGCACGCGAGGACCTCCTCGGACGCTATGATACGATCAAGGTAGAGAGTGCTACTATTCGGGAGATCCGAAGCATGACAGATGGCACCTTCCAAGGCGTTGATGACCTAGGCCGAATATGGGCTGGGAGAAAGGTAGTTTTAGCTACCGGCGTCCAAGACATTTTCCCTGATATCCCAGGCTTCGAGGCATGCTGGGGCCGAGGCATGTGAGTCGCAAATAGGCGAAAGGAAATACCTACCGTCAAGCTAATAGTCGCTTCTAGTTTTTCCTGTCTATTCTGCCATGGCTATGAGGAAAGAGGGCAACGATCAGTTGGAATACTTGCTACTGGCAGGTCGGCAAACCCGGAGCTTAGCATTCACATCTCGTGGATGGCCCGTCGGTTTGCGGATACAGTAGTCTTTTACACTAACGGCTCCTTAGAGACGGCTAATCAGCTTAAGCTTGCCCTTGAAAAAGATAAAGACGCAGGATCAGGCAGGATCAAGGTTGAGTCTAGAAAAGTCCGCGATTTGCAGATGGGCATCAGGTTTGCCTCGGAAGTCGTCGTTACGTTTGAAGATGGGACACGAGTATCTGAGGGTTTCATAGTATGGCCAACTTCAAGTTTTGAATGTCTAAGTTCATAGCTGATCTAGTCTCTCCCAGGTTAATCTCCCGTTCACTAAGCCTAATGGCCCCTTCGTCGAGCAGCTCGCTTTAAACATTACACCGGCTGGAGACATTGAGGTGTCAAGTCCCCTTCAAGAAACGAGTATGCGAGGGGTATTCGCTGTCGGCGATTGCTCGTCAGTAATGAAGGCTGTAACTATGGCCACTGCTACAGGGGCTGCAGCTGCAGCTGGGATCTCTACACAGATTGGATCGGAGCTTGCGAATCGGATGTCTGGGCAGTATTAGGAGAACTTATATATCAATACGGACGATATTGCCGAGTGTAAAAAGAACTCTTGTAGGCATTCTACGGCCTTTGTTCTTCGGATCAACAAGGTATATTTAATGCCTTAGTTCCTGTCCCGCTCACAGCGCTGTCAGAGCTTAAGGCACTGAGCTAGTCGGCTGGTGGTAGACCTGAACTCGCGAGGGGGCGTGTTCTTCCGCGGTCACGTTAGGACGGAAATGCCGACAGCAGGGTGTAGTATATACTGCTGGAAAACCTACTTTACTGTTGCTTATCTATTCACCGCGCATTTCTCATCTGTCCACCCCACGTTCATTACTTACTCCTCGCCTGCGAGTTTAATGAGAATAGCCGCGAGCTCTTGTGTCTTAGCACCAAATGGGGAGTGCCCTGACTCTATGACGAATTCGCCAAATGGGCCATCAAAAGGTGGGAGACTTGACTTGTCGGCTGCGCTCGCCTTCGCCCTCTTCACAATGTGTGTTTGATGATGGGGTAATAGGATTCGGTCATATCTAGTATAGACATAGGTCGAGGGAATCTCTCGCCAGCCGACAGCTGTGTTTTGCGACTCAAAGGACGCCATAGGTTGTATTCCGAGAAGGGATGAGTATCTAGACCTCTGAGGCTCTGGTACATCGTGGTAGAAAGCTTCAGCTGCCCGGTCAGTATGTAGCCGGTAGTAACGGCTTTTCTATATTCAAGTTAATTGATGTCCTTTGATAAGTCTACTCGTGCGTAGCAGGACGTATACTTACAAGGTCCACATCGACATGATTTATATCGGCTGCAGGCGGTGGTTTGTCTCCAATCATCTGCATGACTGTTTGGCCCTCTACTGGAACGTACGCGGCGATATACACGAGACGGCGCAGCCTCCTGGATACTTGTGCATATCCGAAAGTACCAAGCCAGAGGCCTCCGTGCCATAGAAGCCGCCATATGAGTGCATGCACAAAATCACGTCAGTGGCCGTGCTGAGCTGCTCGATGAGAACTTCTTTTGTAGCATAGACATCAGGCTGGAAGGAATCTGAGGCCGGGACAGCGCTCACGCAGCCAGGTTGTACGGTTCGGGTGCTAAAGCCGGCCTTTTGAAGTTCCTTTTCGAGGTCACTAAAATGTTCCGCTTGATGCCAGGCCCCAGGAACGAGAATATACATTGGCTTCATCGTGATTTTCTTGTTTTCTTAGCCGGTCGTAGTTGCACTATTAAGGTAAAAAAATTGAGGGTTTTAGCGAGGTGTGAGAGAAGAGTAGGGGATTGTCCTATATCGAAAACCTAAATAGCAAAGCGAGGTGCTCTTTTTATTTTTATAAGCGACAGTAGGCATACGAACGGGAGGGTAGACGTAATCGACCTAGCCGAGGTAGCCGTATATGGAAAGATCCTGCGCCGACATTTTTATTGAAAAGACCCGATCATAAAACAGACATCTCATGACGCATATACGGAGAGCTTGGCATCATCGCACCAATCACGCGTTCTTATTTAACTCATTGATAGCCACGCTATCTCTTTGGATCCCCATCCGGAAAAAGCTGCACCTCTTTGCCAACTGCCAAGACGGTCCTGGCCACACCCAGTTTGTGGACCGAAATGTATGAACTCATCACTTGTTGTTCCATTTCGCCTCCTTGGGCCTACTTACGCATGGACTTCGAGATGCGGTTGGTTAGATTTTATCACAGCATAACTCAATTTAATCCGTTCGAATCACCAGGTAATATAAGTGCAGGCTTAAAAATGCAGTTAGCTGGGATCTATCTCCAAACCTTCTCATTACCCCTCTCCGTCGTACACTTTGGCAAGCTTAAGATAGTTTGTATAGAGACCGTCGCCGGCTGTCTGTTGTTTCCCTACTTTATTATCAGACAATCGCTTCTTGCTCAATATGGATAGGGCGGCGCGATAACTGAACTCTCTCCACGTGAGGCCTTGCCTTCTCCCAACACAAGCTATGGAAGATAGTAATAGGTGTGAGTGTAACTTTCTCCTCGATGGTATTGATTGTCGTGGTGTGGGATGGTGTAGGATGAGGTGGCAGCTGCAGTACCAGTGGCCGACACAGGATCTAAGGGCATACGCCCCTGAATTCGGGTATAAAAGCAGGACGGTTTCCTTCCTCGGGACCAAAAGGAGAAAAAGCAGGTAAGTAAGTAGGGAAGCGAGCAGGACTGATTGAGGATATGAGGGTAGCTTAGGGAAGACGCGAAGCGTCCCCTGTGTCTCGGCTGGTCGAGTTGTCTCGCCAATCTGAGAGACTAGTGAGATATAAGAAGCTATTAGTATCGTTCATCCTATTTGAGTTTTAGTATATTATCTTTCATTTTATCATTTCCTATCTACCGGACGACTATTAGACCACCGACTAGTATTGTGACGACAGTTTATTAGGCTGAGTTGCCCTACACTTCAACAGTATGAAACTAAGTGGACTAATCTAGTTCATATTCTGGTGGCGTGAAAGAGTTCCGACTCTCTTCTTAGTCTCCTGCTATACCGCATCCCCCACCTTTAAACCCTTTCTATATAAGCGACGTTCAATCCCGTAGGAGGCTCGAGCATAACTTCGGTTATATAAAGCAGCCTTTTTCTTTTTACTACATATCATATCCTAGGCTATATTAAGCCTATGTTTTATATAAGGTGTATTAAATAATCTTTAAGAAAGGCAGTAATATTAGAGTTCTCTAAACTATAACTATATAGTGAGTAGGCCTATATATTAGATGATATCGAGCTGAGACTATGGTACGCCCTCTATGACTTCGGCCGCGGGATAATCTTTGCATTCTATTCCTGCTATCAAGGATAGTATAGTAGTATCGCGGATTCTGATATGGCTAGCTAGAATACCTCTAGTATAATATGCGAGATCGAGAAAACTATCCTTCTCCAGCCTACGAGACGTAAGGAGGGGCGCATAACGTGCGTCTGACCCGTATAGGGAAAGTGGAAGGAGTTCTTAGCAACTAAGAGTCTTTTATATAACTTACTAATTTAAAGACTATTATAGGATAGGTCTATTAGGCGGTTAGGGTATACACGGGTTGGTATGTTATTACCTCAGGTGTAGCTCCACTATCAGTCCCTCTACACTGATATTTACGGCGTCGTCCTGATTTCCTCACGTTTACTCAGGGAGGTATAGGTAGATAATAAAAGATATAGTATCACCTAGTTTTAAGGCTATTTTCGAAGTAATCGGCGATAAAGAAGTGGTTAATTCCAGTACTCTAGCTTCAGTAAGGCTGGCCTAACCTTCGGAATCATTGATCACTACGTCTCCTCGGTCAATTTACATAGCTTTATATAAAGCCCGACTTATTTCTAATATTCACGTTAATAAAGGCGTTGGCGCTAAAGTCGTGTCGCTTCAGCCACCTGCATTCGTATTCAATCGTTTGGAGGGTCAATAATACCCGTCGTTGGTGATAAGGCGAATCGGACATATCGCGCACCCCGCCCAACCTGCTTCACCCGGGATTAATTAAAAGCGCAGCAGCAGCGGGACGGCGCGGCGAGACCACAGAAAGATTGGAATTGATTCTAGAGGGTACATTCCAGCCCTTACTTTATCGGCAACCAGGAGGGCATGGTCTCGGTATCACCAATACTTACCTGTATTTCTTTTCGGAAGCTATATATAACATATAAGTCTAAGCCTTAAGAGTACTAACCTCATGAAAGGCCAATAGATAGACATAGCCATGCAAGTTTAGCTACTCCATCGCCATCACAGTACAATGCCACTCCTCCATTCCATTTACTCTACGATATTCCTCGCCTCAATCTCCTGACTTTTATTTTGCCTTATAGTCTAGTAACCACTTAATAATACCCGGAGATGTCTCGCGATTCTCCATCTTCTAGTTACTATTATTTGTCTCGCTAGTTATAGCTTAGCGCAATTTCATTCCGTATATTACTAGCACTAGTACTCGCCTTTATCGCTATGTAAACGATTTCGATTATTTAGATTGAACATTCTCAGAGAATCTAGCTAAATCCGAAAACTACCTAATATTTAGTATATGCCAAAACTCGATCGTAAGAGATTCGTATTTCACCGCTGCTCCCGCATAGTGGCACTGATTGTCTTCCGTCATTTTGCCTTGAAAGCTTTATCTCATAGCCTCCTGCGATTATAAATAATAGACTAGGACTTTACACTACTAAAACGAAACCTTATACCGGACATGTAACTACGGGACTTGACTGTGTGGGCACTTATATCTTCTCAGTGAATCTGGAACTCATATTCGAGTCTAATAATTATTCATAATCTCCTAGGACTTACTTTCGTCCAAGTTCTAGGTCTAGATTGACCAGAAGAATGGCCTAGCTTATTTGGTAACATCACAGAAGCATATTCACTACGGCGCTTCTAGGGTGTTTTTTGGCACGACCTTTATGTCCAAGTATTCACTAACTTTACACCGCCTATCCCTGTTTATGTTATAATCGCTCCGGGATTGAAACCTACGCAATCTAGGCGACTACAATCCAGTACCTTCCTCCATAACTTCTACATCTTCTGTTGGTCGGCTATATTCCACACTGTATCTAATTGGATCCTGATATAGAGGAGTAATAGACTCTGTTCGCTAACTCCAGCATGGTAGTATTCCTTAGTCTACGCGTCTATAGGGCTGTACCGAGGTAATCTGGAAATACTACTATCTTAGTGCAGTGTGTTCTTGATAACTAATTAGGTCAATGCTCACCCGCTCACCTCTCTACCCCATGTATATAACATGAGAATTTTCTTCCTTCTAGGAAGAAGAGGAAGAGCTCAGAACAGGAAGGAGGCAAGCAAGCAAGAACGCACACACGGAAGGCAGTCAGAATAAGGGGCCGCTGGTCGGGCCATTAAGATACGAAGTCACCAGACGAGTGATCGGTGGAATTCCACGGGACGGAATTCCGCAAGTTAGTCCATCTCTAGATAGTACCCTTCGAAGATAGACTTGAATATATTTTCCCTCTTTTGACAATCTTGTTACCTTTTTCTTATGATTCCCACTAATCACTGATATCTTGATTTAGTGACTCTGTCAATCAGTCTACTCGGCCGAACCTTGACGCGATACCACTTGACAGACTATCGGACTAACCTTCTGTCTAAGTGGGCCACCTTAGCTAGATAGCACCGTGGGTTTTTCCTACTCCTCAAGACCACTACACTTAATTCATTGGTATCTTAGTTGAGCCTAAATTCAAGGCCCTGCAGTGTGACCAAATCGTAAGATCGATAGATGCGCTCTAGTATTATATGTGAATGCCTTTATCCATATTAGCGCAGGTGTTGGCGGCAGCTGGAATGCAGCAAGTTTGGTCGCAACCAACAGCTAGCCTTGGTCTGCTGGCACATAGCAGCGCATGGGGAGGTGCATAAATGCTGAGAAATCATATGACTACCTCTAGCTATGTTATATTACACCTTTGAAGACCGATTAGGCTATAAATACTGTGTCCGCGCCCTCTAAACCGCTCTTTCTCTAACCACTATCTATAGTTATAAAAGATACGCACTCTTACTACATATTTGCACAAAATACCTACACTCTTATTACTGCCCACCACAACCGACTATGGCTGAACAGGATAGCCCGTCCGTATCCTTGCCTATGCCCCCTAGGGAGACCATCCTATTATCCTTATCCTCCCCAAGACCGACAATGATCATACCGATTTACAATCAGCCTATAAAGCAGAAGAGAGACGGATGAGTTTATCTTCATATACTCCCTCTAGTCTCTCCCTTTCAGCCTCCCTATACCCACAATTTCCTCCAATAATGAACTTCTATACTATCAGGGAGTTCAGCATCACGTCTTTAAAGACTATCCGGCTCTGTGGCAAAGACGTCCACGACTTCCTCTATACCTTCGAATCCCGTACTGGATATCGTGGTCGAGACCCACTTGGAACTCTACCTGGCATTGTCCTACACAGCGGAACTAGTTTCGAGGACCCTGTGATCGCCGGTGTTAGCGATGAGTCTCAAAATGCGGGTACACCCTACTCTCTAAATTATAATACCATTCTCTACTTGCCAGCTTTACCTGGAACTTTGAGGAACGAAATAGACTGATGGTGAAAGAAATGATGAAGGCTAGTACGACTAGTGATAAGGCCATCATCTTCCGCTTTTCGACTGAGGTCAATAATAGGGGAAAAATACGCCGCGAGGGATTTGAGTGGAAGAAATTGCCTAAGCTGGATGTGGAAGAAAACGGATCTAGAGATTATAAACCCTCTATCCGGTTTGAGCTTTTCCGCTTTTTTCTCCTACTGGCCAGCACCAGATATCGAACACAGGTGGCATAAGTGACCAAGGGTCCCTTTTCTCCGACTCTAGACCAGCAGAGCGGGAATCAATCGCACTTATGACATTAGTGAAATGGAAGACAGATAAGGAGCATATTATCTCTTTGGAGTTGAAAGGTGATGCGCTCTCAGGCGCCCTTGGAGATCGCTGCATTCTGATGATTGTGCTTACTGCGGTAAGGCTCTGGTGGTTACGTGTGGGGCTCCGGATGTCGAGGATAGGGATTCACCTTTCAGAGAAGATACGAAGTCACTAGTATCTACCTTAAGCTCCTATTTATACTATTTTAAATACTGAAATACGTATGTGGATGCTTTGATCTTTACTTAGTTGATATGCTGTAACTATAGGTTACTACGAGAATAACTCGGAAAAGCCTCTAAGAAAGTGTGTAAAAGTAGACGCTTAGAGGCCTACGTGACTTCAGCTGAAGTGTAGTTAGTAGGTATATACATGATTTATTTACCGTTACTTATATTATCAGGGATGATAGAACTATTAGACTCACATTAACGCCTTTCGGTCGAGGGGTTCAGTGACGGAGTCACTGAATCGGGATCGTAGTGATCAGTGGGAATTATAAGAGAAGAGTAACAAAATCGTCCAAAAGGGGGGACGTATTCAAGTCTATCTGCGAAGGATGCTATCTAGGGACAGACTGACTTGCGGAAACATATATTTCATATCAGCTGAAATATTAATAGATAGTGCTAGTTCTAGTTATAACTAATAGAGCCTATATTTATAGTATTCTAGTATACTAGGGCTTCGAAATATTAGAAAGCTCTCTATAGATAGGCTTACTATCAATATTAGATTTATCTAGGATGAGGCTATCCTAGATAGCTATGTTAGTCAGGCTCTCTTAGCACACCGTTTCAGTACCTTGGCACCTATGCTCGCAATCTATAGACATGAAGTGGAAAAAGGAACGCGAACTTTAACCGTTTCCAGGTAGAGGGGGAGGAGAACAGCGTATAGTGAAGATAGAAATAATAGAATAATAGAAAGGATAGAGGAATAGAGAGTATAGAAAGGATAGAAGTATAGAAAGAATAAAAAATAGAAGAGTAAAAGTATGGAAAATGGAATACATACTTGCGTAGATATTCTTTTTCAATAAGATTAAGAGTCAAGTTCATTTATACACGTTCCTGAGCTTGTGTGCCACTAAGGGAGAGTAGAGAAGAGAGATGAGGCTGGACAGCTTACTCCTTTTACAAGACTAGCCTAGCCTATTATATACATAGAAAGATATCAGACCCTAGCCTGGAAATAACCTGAAGTATGGGACGGCGATCAAGGATCGGGTCCGAACAGTTCGGCTAAGTTCATGCACTGTGGATACGCTCTCACAGAAGCAGAGTAATAATGCCGATCCTAGTAAAATGAGTGGGTCTCTAGTATAGGAAATCTATCACCGTTCGCTCATTAGAGCTACGAACTAAGATAATCACGAGTAGGGGAGGAGTATGCTTATAAAGCATACTATATTTATGCGACTGTTATTTAATCTCTAGTATTATATGACAAAACCTCAGTGTGGTGGGATGACTAGTGATAGGCTTTCTTTCCTAAAATATTATCAAATACTACTTAACTTATTAGACGCTTCTTATATGCTTAGAGATTTATTCTACGCTCACCTTTAAACTTTATCAGCTACTTATTAAGGATGTGGTGCCTAACCTGTGAGCGATTAAGTATAAGTTACTGCTTTTTATTATGAGCCACTCGTGCTCGTCGCAACCCCTGCTTCCCCGAGCTGCCCGAGTGTAAAGATCAATTGATGGAACGTATTTAGTTAGTGTTCTGATTGTTTTTTGTTCCCTTGATACTCCCCTTATCTTTTCTCCACCCTTTCGCATATGTAAGCCGTGGGAGTGGTTAATGTATTGGGTGAGGAGGCACCTCTTAGGGTGGTTAGATAACACCCTAGGTTAGCAAGTGTTAGAGCGGCGCATTTCACTAGATCGGGACTAGCGCCCCTGTCTGTATGGTTAGCTTCGCAAATGGAGGAGGTAACCTATATAAGGCTTAAACACTTGATCGTAACGTAAGATAAATATTATTTGCCAGCCTCTCTCTATTTAATAACTAGACTACTTTGAAATAGCAAAATGTCTACTAATTTCCCTAGTATAAATACTGTTCTTCTGACCCCATCCTGGCATGATCCGGGCGTCACTGTCCTCTACTGGTTAACATAAGGCGTCGATACGCCTATACTTTTCGTTCGAAAATCCAAGTCAGCATCCCCATATATGACACTAAGCTTTAATAGCCTAGACCCTAATAGTAATATCGGCTATATTACCTTTCCTGGGAACTTATCCGTAGAGATATCATTGTGTGGGTCTATGATATATATGAAGATGAACCTGTGGTCTAGTAACTGCTCTGTGGATGCTGGTCACCTTGGAAAGTATAGGTTTAGATAAGATGAAACTATGGGCTGTGAAGTGTTGGATCTTTTCACTATGCTAGGTGATAAGTAGGGCTAAAAGATTGCGCGCTTCGATAGGGCGGGGAAGGACTAGAAGAAAATTACACTCTTTCGTCAGTTCTATGGTATCTATTTTGAGCTATTAGTCTTAATAGCTTTATCAGCTTGGAGAATCTATAAGGAATTAGATAGTGTGATCTTAGGTGGAATAGGGAAAATGCTACTATTATAATAGCTTACTAAATTAGGTTAACTGATAATAAAGCCTTAGAAACCCTGCTATGGCTTAAATGACGATAGTGATGATATAACTTATTTACCCTATAATTATAGAAAGAACTTATAAGAAAAGAGTGAATCTGTAAATATACTTCTAGATTCTCTCTATAACCAGAGCGTTCATGTGTTATGCTTAAGGTAGGAATATTATATTCTTATAGTCCTAACTAGAGCAGTTTCCTAGATTCTATAGACCCTACTATAGACGTCTACGTTTAGATGGACTCCCATAGCTTGGCCACTTTGCTTAACGGCTGAGGATGATTTGCCTGAATCTATCTATAACTATGACTACTGTAAGGCTTTTAGGATTGTCTTTGCGGGCGATTCTTCACACCGCTCCAGTATGATATCTATTAAGGCCAGCGCCTCGTCGCAGACCTAGACCATGTATAGGCTGTATGTGAGGTTGCTCTCGTAGATAAGTGTTTTATAGCGGTTAATACTGAATATTTGCTCTATACCTAAAAATGTCCGCCTTATTAGCTATAGGGGCTCCTCCATAGTATTCTTGAATTTAAGTAAGGTGGTTAGGGTGTTTGGGTTGGTGAGCATGACTAGATGCTCATCGCTAAATTATTCAACCCTATTCTCAACGATCTTCCCTATATAGCGATAATCTCGATAATCTTCTGCTTGTCATCTCCTGCTTAGCAACCACTGATACCAGGTGCGCTATGTAGTTTTACTGTGATTTAAGTCGTGTCGGGAGAGAACATGCGTGCTACGGGAAATGACCTCATAGTGTAGAGATTCTAGCTCCTCGGGCCGGTTGTCGCAGTGAAGAGTGAAGGGTAAGGGTAAGGTCGCTCATAGCGTCTATAGTCAGCAGGTCATCAGGGCTAAAATATCTATCCGTGGTGTGATAACATGTTCACTAAGTGATACTGCCTGAGGGGAGTTGACTATAGCAGTTTCAAGCTTAGAAAGGTTAAGTAACTAATACTTTCCAATATTTCAACAGTGTGCTTATAAATACCTCTCTAAAAGGGATATTAGCTTCTTAAAATGCCCCTATACTTCGCAAAAATCCTATATATATATCAGGCAGTGTGTAGTGTGTTATAGGAGGTGTTTTCGTTTGATATCGCCGTCGCGTTAGGATCGAGTACTGAATTCGTATTTGAGTATTATCTCTGCGAGGCTAACGGAGTGTAGCATTTCGTCTAGTGATTTACGACGGGAAATAAGGTTGATTATGGAATAAGATGCGACATGGACTGGAGGGCAGCTAGTGCTTATTTTGCCATTTCGGTACTGCCCTCGCTTTATAGCCACTATCGTGTGGTTAGTTAGATAAGGCTGTGGCTTTTCGATGTTGTCTTGGTGCTACTATCCGCGTCGGTGATAACAACGACTAAGAAACTTGGAGGGTAGCTATAGTATCCTCGAAGTCGAACTTATCCCTATCCTCACTATTCTCCTGAGGCCTGGAAGGAGCTGCTATAGGAAGTCGTCATCTTAAAAGTAATTAACAAAGAAGGTCTGTCACTTGAATGTTGTCATGTAGGTAGTTGAGCGGTAGTGGCCATATCTTAGCGATAGACTCTATAGAGGTATCTTATCAGGTGCTATTATAAGACTTGAATTTTAATAAGGGTGCTCTATAAAAGTTAGAGTAATATAGTATACTTTAAATTATATCCTATGTTTATATATCTTCTCATCGCTTTACTATAGATATGATTAACTACTATAATCTATAGCTCCTAAAGTATTTGATAATATATTTGATTTGCTATCTTGATATAAATAAATATAATAAATATCCTTCTAAAATAGTACTTATATTAATTTACTATTAACCTACTTTAAATTTCCTTCTCTTCCTTATTAGTATAAGAGACTAACTTATACTAACCCTGAGTAGATATTCTATATAGTCTTAGGTTATGATCTAATTATATCTCTATACTATTATAGTCTTATCTAAAGTCTTAAGATTTATAATATAGTATAGTACTATAAAAGGTCCCTATATATTAGTCTTTTACTAACTTCGAGGTCATAAGGTAGAGTGAGTTCCCTGACTAAGATGGGATGATAGTCTCCGAAGTGTAGGTATCGAATAACTACTATCTTAAGATAAGTCAACACTATTTCTAACTATATATGTATATAATAGTAGCTTAGATGGGCTAGCTAAGTAACTTTATACTAAGCCCTTAGGGATGATACTTTAGCGGTGTAGCCGCCTGTCATCGTCAGTAACTTGGTAGTGATGTATTAAGTTCATATTGTTTAATGCCTCTACCTGAGCCCTCAATCTCCTATCTGCCCTTCTCGCGCTCTGTATCTCTTTATCTCTCCTCCTAATAGTGACCCTCTGTTTAGCAGGCGTTAGATGCGTAATGGTCCTCTGATTGGCCTCTCTGAGCGTTAATATTTGACTTGCGGCTGGCTTGTCAACCTTAGCTAGAACACTAGGGGATACTGATATTAGAGCCGCCGAACTAGCGTCTGCATCTAGAATAGCTTCCTTTTTAGCTTTCTGCTTCTCTTTTATGAGGCGGGGATGTTTTGGTGAAGGTGTAGATTGGTGGGCTATAATCTTGCCTGATGAGAGGCTTAGTGTGCCCTCATCGGAAACGAGACGTAGGTGCATATTATCCTTAGAGAGTGGAGACTTGCCGTTTTTATCGTCTTGACTAGAGTAGAAGTCTGCGTATTTAGAATCTGGGGTAATCTTAAAGTGGTAATGGCTCTTGTCGAGTATATGGCACTGGATAGCGTGTGTATTGCCTCGTTGTGTGCCATAGAGAATGTACTCATGGTAACTGTTGATGATAAGAAATAGATAGGAGAGTAGCGTCTCCTCGTCTACTAGGAGGCTCTCTGGAGAGTGTATTACTAGACTATGGCACTTTGACATGTGTTCTAGGTTTGACTTTAGATTAAACTGTGCGTCTCGACAGAACAAGCAGACAGATGAGTCAAAGCTGTCGCAGTTTATTATAGGCACCTTATCATCAGAATCGGAGTAGATAGATGTATTAGAGTTTACACTTGGCATAAAACTATCAATGGTGTTAGGGTGATCGTCGTTGTCCTTGTTAGTCTTGTGGACGATCGGACCTAACCTAACGATTCGGCGCTGAATGTTCTCGATACTGGCTTGGTTAGCTATCTAAGATGTTAGTTTTAGTTTCGAAGATTTAGATATACTGTAATTGACTCTTTGCGTGCGACCGCATCTCCGGCACGCTTGAAAAACTTCTATCATATGTTCTGCACCGATGTGAAGTTATGCGGAGCTGAAAAGAGGACGTCGCCTCTGGTCCGGTGTTAGATAGGGCTATGATTGTAAGAGGTGTTTAGCTGATTAACTCTACTAGATTAAGTTTAATAATAAATGGTGTTTCTTTGGGGATTAGTGAGTAGGCTCTTGAGGTGGTGCCGCGAAACTGTCTAAGCTGGATGTCTCTGCTAGGGTTATATAAACTGAGGGCTGGGAAAGGGACACTTATATATATAGATGCCACTATAGTATCGGCACTAGAAGTTACTCTCTAAACTGAAGGACTTGCTTAGTATAAAGTAGTGGAGTCTAGTGTAAGCTTTTGGATTAGGCTCTTATTATTTGATCTGAGGTTATCGTTATAGCTGTTCTACTAAATAAAGCTTCTATAGTATGAAATGTCAGAGTGAGTTATAATGAGTTGAGAGGTGAGCGTGAATGAGTTGATATTTTATAGCGTATTATGTAAGCGAGGTTGATTGCGTTATCTTGCTCATAGATAGTCCTTTCTGATATAGAAAAGCCTAATACCTGTTAACACTGTTAACATATAAGTAAGTAAGGGAAGCTAGCTAGCGCTGATAATTAAGTAGCGACTTGAGCAGCTAGTGTGTGCACTAGTAAGCAGATATAAAAAGGGTGGATAGCTAGATTCAATAGTTAGAAAAGACATGAACTTTCTAACCTTAACTTCCATACTATTATATCAATACTATACGTGAATAGAGTAACCTCTGACTGCTGGTAAATAATAAGCAGTCGACGTTCGTCAACTATCTAATATAATTCGTGAGCAATATAGCCTGTAAGTCAACTGTCCAGTAATCAACGAGAACTGACGGTAACCAGCTATATCGATTGGGAACCAATAGTAACTGACCGACGATGTTGTCCTGCAGACCTGTGACCTCTATCACCTGGACTAGACGGCGGTAAACTAGTTTTGTATATGTATTAAGCATCGTCTATTTGATCCGCCTGTAACCCCTATGTTATCTTAGATGGTGTGAACTACTAGACTAAGTGTAAAAATAGGATAATATTACCTATATTCTTATACTAGAATATGTGATATTTATAGGGTAAAACCCACTTTAACATGTTGTAATAGTAGCTTGTCTCGTTATCTTAGATGTGGGGTATAGTAATCTTCTGGAAGTATCTAATTTGACGATTTCTTCACTAAATAGAATATGCTAGTGTTGCTTGAGAAGCCGTCGTTTAAACAGGTGGAAGAAATTTTAAGGAGTTAAGATCTGCGTAGGCTTAGACAAGGTATATTGGATAGTATGAGTGCGCAAGTAAGGAGTATTGAACTGAGGCTCTTTTATAGGGACTCTAAGCTAAAGGCTTAGCCTATAAGTAGGGATTGAAATAGAAATACCTTTAGTTGGTGATATGGGACCCTTGAATAAATATTCTAATTGTTAACTCTAACAATAAGTCTTGTGAGGGCTTAGTGTTGAGTATAGTGCGAACGGTAGGGAGTGTTGTATTGGTTCTTAATCTATCATTAACCTGCATCGGCACCTGGTAAAGGCTGTTTTAAGTGATCATAGAGGCTGCTAATCTAGCTATCGGCGTGTGATATAATCTAGAGTAGCTGATAAGAAGACGAAAGGTAGGTTTAAGTATATATATATATGGTAAGAGCCTGGTAGTAGTCTGAAGGTATATAAAGATAGGTGTAATTGATGTTAGAGGGCAAATACTTAAAAGTATATACTAGAGTAGGTTTGAGCTAGTTGACTTGCTTTGCTTATAGGGGTGGATATTCTAGATGGATGGTCTCTAATAGGCCGTGAATCCCCTAGATCTGTGCTTGAAGCAGCCTCATGCGAGAGAGATTCTTCAGAAGGTTCAAGCCGCGTAGTTTGGAGAGCGGGTTGACCTGCAGGTGTGGCGTGATGCTCTATATTGAAGGGAAGAGACGTATGTTCTGGTACGCAGTTATCTAGGGACGCTGCAACACTATGCTCTAGGCGTTTTGAGTTTTCTTGGAACCAGACCTGGATATCACTTAAAGATTTCAAAGGAAAGTTATCCTACTTGCGTATACGGTCAGCCTTACGGAGAGGGGTTGTCTTAAAGATAATCGTCGGTCATCGATGCTCGGGTCGTGAGTGGATTGTAATATACGAAAAGCGCAGCTTCTGTCTCAGCTAGATGGGCCTCTAGTCTAGTAATGAACCCGATAGGAATACCCCTGCTAGTATCAATTAGCGGATGGCCTGATTGAACTGCCTAGTCGGTGGTTGTGGCTACCTGTGGGGAACCATAATGTATACCTTTTGTTTTGCTGGGGATAGTTGCACTTCGAAGGATCGTAACTATACTGGCGGCAATGGGGCCTATTTAAAGAGTAAGTAACTGGTTGGTTCCTCTCCCACGTAAAGTATCTAGACGGGGAGGATAATGAACAGACTAACAGTTGACGGTCACACTAAAGACAGATAAGAGAGTAGGCGTCAGTCATATGTGAAAGTGGAAGTGGGAATGGGAGTGGGAGAACTATAGTGAGAGATGGCCCACTCTTCGTTTTCCCTGGCGACAATGGCTATAAGCGATTGGGTTTAGGAGCTGCTCGCCCTGTGCCCCTAAAATCTCGGTATAAGAATTAGCTATATGCACCATCCCACGGATGCATTACACTAAAACTGGGCTGGAGAATGCTGGTGTCCGTCCACTTTGGTTTCTTCCTATTCTCTTATCAGCTTGCTTTTGAAAATTTGTCCTCGGATTCTTTCGGGTAGAGAATAGTTTACATTATAGATTTTAGCGATGAGACTGTCTGGACCATTTATTGCTTGTCTTCAATGTGACGGCTACCCCGCGTCGGACTTTTGATTGTCTGACATCTGTGGCGCTAACCTTGTCTGAGAACCGCCGCAGCTCAGCCACAGATAGCGTTGTTCGATGGCTCATCTACTGTCTTTCTTCCAGGACTCACTGAATTAAAGTGTTTTACAGCTCGGTTTACCGCGACCATATAGTGATTTAGCATTGAGATCCTTCTCTATCATGCTAAAAATTGCTTTCTAGAATGAAATGCTTCGGTTTGCCTTGGAAAGGGACCCCTAATCATAATGCCTACTCAACAGTCTCCTCACAACACTTCTGACACAGGCTCCTGTTCAACTCTCGGTGGGTGCCACCCAAATGAGCCGGGCCCACGCAAGAGGAAATATTCCGTATCGACGTCCGATGCTCACCAAACGCCCCCGCGCGCGAATATGGCGTGATGCGCGATGCAGGAGAACACGACGACGCCTCCCGCTTCGTTGGCAGTGCGAGCGGTATTCATTACATCCGCGCCGTGCACCTTCGCCTCGCGAGACGTTCTGCTGCGCGTATGAGCAAGCCCGCCAATAATACACTCATTCCGGGCGAGGATGACCAACTACAGAAAGGCGCATCAGTGAAGAAGACGGGGGATGAATTCTTGTGGAAAGCGAACGAGGTCGTTTTGCCGGGGAATGAGGAAGGTGTGCCGCCGAGCTTCGAGGATTATGTCGAGTGGTCGAAAAGCTACTTCGAGTCGTGGCACCCTGTTTTGCCCTTTGTCCACGGGCCCGAAATACTACGTCTCTTTGAAGACGCATGTACTAATGGCTTTTCTTCTCTCGGACACGAAAACCAAGCCATCCTCAAATCCATCCTTTCCATTTCCCTCGCCGACAGTCGTCAGGGCATATCCCCCTCTAAACCAATCCCCCATCACGTCATCTTCAGTACTGTCGATGATGCGCTCTCCTCTTCAAAATTTGCTCTCAGCAGACCGGCTTCCATCCGTTCCACCCAAGCCGCCTTCGCCATTCAGCTATTTCTCACCTCCATGCTCTGCCTCAATGCTGCTTCCCGCCTAGGCCGCCTCATAGTGCGTGGAGCATTCCATCTCGGGCTACACCGGTGCCCGACCCGATTTTCGTTCTTCAACCCTGAGCAGGCTTCAGTCCGACGCCGCGTGTTCTGGTGTATTTACACCTTAGAACGGTTGCTCTGTCAGTCACTCGGTCTGCCACTCGACATACAAGACAATGATATCGATGTTTGTTATATAGGCGAAGAGCGACATATGCACCCGGGTAGCGACGTGGAGGAGACTGGTCGGCTACGTCTGTTAACGTTTGTCGCTAAGCATGCCCGGCTGCGCGGCCTAATACTAGAATTGCGGAACAAGTCTATCCTACAACGCCAAGATACGGCCGACCGGACAGTGTACGTTCGGACGGAGCTCGCGAAATGGGCGAATGAAATACAAGAAACTGTTGAAGAAGATGATATACCCCTATTAACGCAACTCAGTCGGACGTACCCCCATTTCTACCCATCATCGCATAATGCTCCTTCTCCTAAAACACGAGTCGGCAATCTGTCTTAATCGACCGAGCCTCGCCTCGGAGTTTCCCTCACCATGCTACTCTTCATCATTCCAGGAGTGTATATCGGCGGCAAAATATATCTTCATCTTATTAAGGAAGCACGGTCATCGGCACCAATTAAATTCGGATTCCACGTTCCCAAAACTGGTGGTCCCTCTACTATGGCCATCATTCACTTGGGCGGTGTGGATCAGCGCGTTCGTTCTCATTCATGCCGGCATAGAAGGGCAAGTGCCCCTGGAGACAGCAGTGAAGTAAGCTACCAATTCCATACTATCGCCTCGCTTCGCTATAGCCTTTTAATTGTCTTTGGAATTGACAGCCTGTAGGCATGTCATCTCCGGGAAGGATACACTGCGCCATCTTGCAGCAAGAGATACGTGGTGGCCTGAATACTGCCTTGAGGCTATCGACGAACTTCTATCGACAGTCAAGGAACTTCCTCAACGCCAAGCCCCATCCCTTGAATCTCCTATTGACGATATTGTTTCCTCAAGAGTCCCTATGCAACCCCGACCGCACCACGTAATTCCGACCACAATCCCCCAATGTCGCAGAGACGCGCGGCCGCCGAAGGCTGGCAGCCTGTAGACCAGGCATCAACAACCCGGGAGAGAGATTACAACAATGAGGAAGCCACTATAAGCCATGCACTAGAAGACCCGCAGTGCGTTCCGGCACCTCGGTTATACCGAAGCCGGACACCAGGGAACATGAGGGTCTTCCATCAAGCAATGCCGTGGCTACAGAGGCAAAGCCCGGTACTAGATACCCACATAAGAGCCCCACCTGGCCCTTGGTTGCGAAACTCCAATGAGCCGCACCCTGCTGACGTGCGTGACACCACTAGCCTATATAGTCCTAATAGCAGGCAAGGGAAGCTAGTGATGGCATCCCTGTGGAGGGCCAGGAGTCTATGTTATGGTATGACTATCTATTTGCCAGTTCCTTTAGCGCCATCGATAATCCGTTTCTAGCTACCACATAATATATTTCTCCAAGTATTAGGACTCCTCTATCCACTTAGCAAATATGAAATTATCTGAACCTAACTAAGCCCGGCGATGTGCCCCTAAGATGTCCTAGTAGTCGTCGAAAATAACATGTCTTTCCGGAATTAGCAAGTGTTTCTCGCGCCGGTCATACTCCACTTCCTCCCTAATTCCTCGCTAAGTTATACAGTATCCTATCTCTAGGAAGAAACTTTTACACCGCCACTTGTCCTTTAAATAGTCTAAGGCCTCTTGAACGAGTGTTAAGTCCGTGGTCCTCTACCTCGATAGCCTCCATTAGAATACCGAATCATTCTCGAAACTGCTAGGAAGACCACGCAGAATTAAGAAAGTAATTGCAACCTATATCCTATATAGCAGTTGGTATTAGTATCCGGATGTGCAGATGCGTTGATGCAGCGGTCCTCATTAGAACCATAGGTTAAAAACTTATCTTATATCATGATATCACGGCTGCCGCAACGGGCTATATTCAATAGGATTGCTTAACTTTTCTATGGTTTCTAAACATGATTCAACTATGTTCTCGAATATGAACCAACCTTGCGTTGTTATCAGTCAACCTCGCCTCACCTTCGAGGCAATTCTCCATAATTAACTTTGTAATATTGAATCTAGTCGTTACGTTTATATTCATTGACAAATCTGCACCTCGAGGAGCTCATAAATATATTCACAGACTCAATTTGCGATAGTATATAGATGTTGCTATAGTCTTGACAAGTTTGAATACTCTGTATAATCTGTTGATCTCCATTCTCGGTTTCCCTAAACTCCACCACGTATGGCTCAGTAAGCGTAGCGAGTTGTGTCGCTGTTATCTTCCCGGTCAAGCTTCTTATTAGTATCCACAAGCCAGAATCGAAGGGCCCAAGTGCCGATGATACACATAACAGCGAAGGCAGCGTTACTCGCCATTCCAATGAGGTAGCGGGGGCCATCTGAGGAGGGATATAGGTATGCCGTGTAGATGTAGGAAGCGTTAGCAACCACGTTCACAATGGACAAGCTGACCGACTTCTTTTCAGGTGTGGATCCAAGTGTGGCAGAAACCCAGCCGAGAATCATAGAATTCACGGCATATGCGCCGCTGGCGAATAAAAAGCAGGCAATGTATCGCGCGGGTGTGTTAAGCGTTGCAGTTGAGATGATGTAGCCGATAAGGGCGATGCCCATGCACACCGTTATATGCCACGTGCGCTCGTTATACCGACCTGATGAAACACCTGCGATATATCCGAAAATTCCGGAAATTAGGTAAGGGGGACAGGTTAAGACGAGAGTTATAGTACTGTTGAAACCTAGAGAGCCAACAACGGTGGGAAAAAAGTTGTTGAAGGAGCATGCCGAAAGGTGCATATTCTGGATGAAGCATAGGAGCCAGAGGCGAGGATCACGGACAGCCTGCTTAAATCCAGCGCGAGCCCCTTGCTCTCCTCGATGCCGACTGTGTCCCGGATCATCCGATCATGCGCTAGCTGACGCTCATCCTCGGTAAGCCAACGGGTGGTTAGGGGCTATCGGCGAGGGTGAAGATGCCGATGATTCCAATGACAAAGGTAAGAACACCCTCAATGATGAATAGCCACTGCCAGCCCTTCATATCCTGGTGTCCATCAATGGTGTTGAATACGGCGGCCGCGATGAGGCCTGAGAAGGAAGTGGCAAAGATATTACCTGAGTAGAGAATGGATAGACGGGTAGCGATCTCCTTACGAGTATAGAAGATAGATAAGATATATAGGGCTCCGGGGTAAAATGGAGCCTCGGTGACGCCAAGGAAGAATCGGAGCACTACGAGGTCCTTGTAGTCTCTAGCGAGTGCAGTGGAGGCCGAGACGACTGCCCAGGCCATCATGCAAACGGACATGTACACCGAGGGTCGAACTCTCTTTGACGAGATTAACATGTTGGAAGGTATTTGCATCAGCAGGTAACTATATTCTAAGTAAGTCTAACTGAACCTAATGGTTTCAGAGCTTGCTGACTGCCGCGGCCATTCACTCACCCGACGAACAAAATTGATATGCAGGTGTTGTACTGGGTGCCTACCAAACCGAGGTGCTGCTCAAGACCATTCAAACGTGCTTGGGCAATCGCGTTCCGGTCAAGCTATTAAACTGTCTGTTAGATATTTCTTTATTCACATATCGGCCCGTCTGCTTTCCCTAGGACAATAAACGAAAATCGTGAAAACTTACGTAGTTGAGGAAGTACATAGCCCAAAGAGTGGGCATGATACGCCAGTCAAGCTTCCGCACGAGTTTGATCTCGGCAGGATCTGTCTTCTTAACGGCACCAGAGTAATCCGCGTCACCTTTATCTAAAATACCACCCTTTTCTATAACACTTCCCGGGGCTATTTCGATAAACTTGTCGTCAATCTTTTGCTGTTCGATGCTATCACGCCTTAGGTTCGCCATGTTGTGGAGCTAGGATAGGACTAGGAATAAGATATAAGAGTAAAAGGAGTAGAAATTATGCTCGAAAGGTATAATAGAGTTAGGGAATATAGAAGATAATAGAGGTCGAACTAGCTCTATTATATATATTGGATCAAAAGTGAAAACGAGCAGAGGCTTCGAGGGTATCTATAGTTCTCGGAAATGACCACGCGACAACCCATAAGACTGCGTCATGTCGAAGTGAGGACAAAGACAAAGGCAACTCTGAAAGTGTTGTAATCCTTATGCCCTGTTCTCACACGTCTCCCCAGTACACCCTGCCTCGTAGATGATCTCCAAGCAATGTTTTCCCGGGGCCCCAGGTTTTACCCCAGACTAGTGAGTATAGTGACTTCCTACGCTAGCGCGGGTTGGCTGATGGACTTTCCTCTTCTGTTTAGCTGCGGATAAAGAAATCCCCGCAAATGGCACCACATATGCGGTCTTCTTCAAGATGGAACGGATTGGCCGATCCTTCTCTGCGGGGTATTTTCCGTGGTCATGTCGTGACCTCAAGTCTCGCAGATGCAGTATGTAACGCGGACTCGCTAGTCTGACTGAAAAGTATCCCGGTCAAAGGAACGTGCCGTCCGGCTCATGGAGAACCGTATTCGAGACACCTGAGCCAGGAATATCAATGCGGAAAAAGAAGGAATTCCGATCTTCAAGCTAAATCGCTGCTGCGCATCACTCCCCTTTCTTATGATATTAATAAAGTAGTCAAAGTCAAGACATATTTCTCCAAGGTCAATATTATATGAAATATATACATCTTTTCTACATTTCGAAGATAGAAGCGACCATCCTAGCTCTATTTAAGACCACTTGAACATGCTTTCTTTTTCCCAGCGCACTGTCAGCCTCACTGTAAAAGAAGTTTTCTTGCTGAAGACGGGGTAAGAACAGTTCATAAGCAGCCATGTAACCCCGCACGAACTGGATGACTTGCGTATCCGACATGCCTGGCTTGTGCTCGCGAAGGGCTTTCTCCTGGCCTAGCCGCCATTCGTAGACATTGGTAAGTCTATCCGTGTTTAAGTGAATAAAGCCATCAAAGTGCTCGGGGCCTGTAAATGTCTCGCAGTACCGTTGCAAGTTGGCGTTGATGACCAGGAGGTGGCCCACATTGTGGGTCGCGAGTGTGTTAACAAGCAATGGGTCTTCTTGCTCCAGGCAGGTAGATGACTTCGAAATCAATGGTGCTACCTCTCGGTTTAACGTCGTGGCCTTGGCCTCCTCCCAGAGTTTCGTGAGCACCTCGGGCCCCAACGGCCGAAAGCCGAGACACCAACCTTCAAAGATCAGAACGTCAAGCCCATCATTAACGGCCACCTGCTCCCAATATTCCCTCGGTACCCTCCCCCGCAGCCGCGGAATAAGCTCTTATCAAATGCAGGCCAAGCCACAGGACTTAGATGTGCAGCACCGTTCTCTTTTGTCACATTAAGCGCCTTGATCTTGCTGAAAACCTCCTGCGCGAGAGTTTCGTCGTGCGTGCCAGGCTGCCCTCGTGTTTGCAGCAGCCCGTTACCAGGGTTGGCCTTGCGGATTGCCATAAGCTGTGGATAATCAAAGTATAGGTCGTCTAGAGAGAGCGTTCGCGCACAGAGGCTATGTTCGGCGTTCAATGCGTGGACCAGTGCGCTAGCCCACGTTGACTTTCCACTCCCCTGCAAGCCTGATAGGCCTAATATAAAGGGCCGTGTGCTTTTCTCCCTATGGGCTTGGATCAGGGGCACGAAGATGGCCAGGATCGACTCAATTGCGCTGGGGGCAATCATGCTGGGTTAAGACTGAAAAAATAAAGAGCAGTCACAAATTAAAGAGAAGGTGATATAGAGGACAAGGCGAGAAAAATACGACGAACTTATAAATTACGAGATGGTCACTAGTTGGGTGGAATCGTCGCGAGTCTGATTATATAGGAAATCTAGAACCATGAAATAACCCGTCGTTGCTTGCTAAATCAGCTTTGGAGAATGGTGGAAGTTCTAGTTCAGCTAATCTTTCGCACCTTTGCGAGCCCCCGGATGTCTCGCATTTTGCAGCACACTGGCGGACAATTAGAGAGGCGCTATTAAGGCTTACTCTTCGAAATAGATGGGTGGGTACATCTAATCCTAAACCACTTTTAGGGAGAGACATTAACGCGGACTTTTGAAAGGCCGCACATGGTTACAGTACACGTTTTAAGACCTAGGGGATAGCAATTGCGGACCGAGATATGTCCGTAGCGACCGACCTAGATTAGTGCCGAAAAGCCTAAGATTCGGCGCCGAAAACCCGATGTTCCAGGCAAGTGGTATCGAGAATAGTACAAAAAGGCTTTCTATAGACGAACGATTTGGTTAGTATTCCGATCATAGAATTCGCTCCTCTCATCTATCTTCACCACTCACCCGTCCTAGACACCATCACCTCTTCTCGCGAAAAGAACTAGAATTTCACCTTCCTTCTAGCACTCCCTTGATCATCCCAATTTCTTTAGCTTGGATATTGCCCTTGCGGATCCTTACAATGTCTCCGAGTGTTCTCAAGACTAGGAAGGCCTATAGCATCGCCTCTATCCCTGCAGATGGCATTGGGATCGAGGTAGTCGAAGCTGGTATTGAGGTTCTCACAGTTCTCGCCGATTGCTTGCAGTCGTTTGACTTGAACTTCACTCATTATGACTGGAGCTCCGACAGGTATAAAAAGACTGGGAAGTATATCCCTGCGGGCGGCCTTGAGGAGCTTAAGAAGCATGATGCGATACTCTTTGGCGCGGTAGGGTCGCCAGGTAAGTTGCCATTCTGATTTATCGCTTCATGTCACTGACATCCTCTACCTTTCGCACTTCACCTCTGGTCCCCTTAAATATTAATTCCGCTCTAAGTCTAACCTCTAATCAGATGTCCCGGACCATATTTCCCTCTGGGAGCTCCGTTTGGCAATATGCCAGCCTTTTCAGCAGTACGCCAACGTGCGCCCCACCCGCATCCTCCCAGGCACTCAGTCCCCCTTCGTAACTGTAAGGATAGTGACCTCGATTGGGTAATCATCCGCGAAAATAGCGAGGGCGAGTATGCTGGTCAGGGTGGCCGTTCCCACCGCGGCCGCCCTTGGGAGGCCGCTACTGAAGTCTCCATATTCACTCGCCACGGGATCTCGAGGTTGATGCGCTTTGCCTTTGAAGCCGCCCAGAAAAGGCCGAGGAAGCTACTAACAGTTGTCACTAAGAGTAATGCCCAGCGTAATGGCATGGTTCTCTGGGATGAGGTCGCAGCCGAGGTGGCAAAAGAGTTCCCCGATGTCACCGTTGATAAGATGCTAGTTGATGCCATGACCACTAGAATGGTTCTTAAGCCTGAAAGCTTGGATACTATCGTCGCCACTAACTTGGTAAGTTCCTTCTTTGCATTCACGAGTCTCTGTGTCTGATTATGAGAATTTACTTAGCACGCCGACATTCTCTCCGACCTCGCCGCTGCCCTAGCTGGCTCAATCGGCATCGCCCCTACCAGCAACCTTGACCCCACTCGTGAGAACCCTTCCATGTTTGAGCCTATCCACGGCTCCGCCTTCGATATTACCGGCAAGGGTATCGCCAACCCTGTTGCTACCTTCTGGACTGCCGCTGAGATGCTTACCTGGCTCGGCGAGGAAGAGGCCTCCACAAAACTAATGCAAGCTGTCGAGGCCGTCTGCGTTTCTGGTATTACCACCGTTGATCTTGGTGGTAGAGCGACAACAAAGGAGGTTACGGCTGCGGTTGTGGCAGACATTAAGCAGAGGTTTGGCAAGGTTGCTAAGGTTCATACTGTGTAGGCCCAAGGCCCGTCGCCAGGGTCTATCATCGTCATGTGGTTTATATCCATTTACCACGGGCTCGCCACGATATTGAGCCATATAGTAGAGAATAAGAAATATCTTTTGGGGAAGGAGAGAAAGATGAGGAAGTATGTAGAGGGTATAGAGCTATCTCTCTTACTACTATATATATCATTATATTTTAGCATATGAATCTATAGTCGAGGGATGTAGAGGTGACTTACTACGTTAAGACTATTATAATCCGATTAGTTAGTAGTAAATTGATTAAAGGGTTCCCTTAGAGTAATAATTTTAAAATAGCTTAAATGTTCCTAGATAAGCGGAATAGTTAGGATAGCTATATATATAGTGGTGAGGAGTAATATGAGACCCACATTTCTACGCTACTAGAGACTAGAATAATCAATTAGTATAAGTGTGGTTCATGACCTGAGCTTATTATCTAGTACTCGAAGCCGAGGGTGTATATCTTCGAGCAAATATAAACACTAACTAGAGTATTTCTTTAGGGAATTAAGATAGTCTTAGTTCTCGGGCCTTGAGTATAGAGCTCCTAAAGGTCCCGAGCCGAAGTGATGAGCTGAGGCGTGCTGACATCTCTGTCGGTGTCTGCCCGTCCCACTTGCAAATCAACCTCATATATCATGTCTCCCCCGAAACCACCCTCTCGGTTCCATTTAGCTATTGGATCAAAGTTCTCTTCTTGATGTGAAACGAAGGCCCTCGCCAGCCTTTTAATAGGGTCGCTCAATTCGGCGAGACTGATAGCAAGGTTGACGATCTTAGGTGGGCGGTTACATTGCAAGAGGGCATTAACATCTTCATACAGCGTCCAATTTCTCCAGTCTGGACCGGAGACTTAGAATATTGAGAAAACTAAGGGTACAGATAAAAGGTGCATACTAGCAGGGCAGTGGAAAAGAGCAATAGTTAACTAAGGTTCAAATTTAATAGACTTAATTAGGAGAGCTAATGAAGAATAAGCCGAACCCCTTAGAATAGTATATAAGACAGCTATAGGCGCCCTTTATATATATAGGAATAGTAGAATAGGACCGATATCCTAGATAGCAAGTTGTTAGAGCCGAGATGACTGTCAGATATCATTAACATTAGGCTAGATCTATATAAATAGTGGGAATAATAGTATTATCTTCTATATTAGTTAGCGGTTATATAATTTATTAAAGATATTATTAAATACATAGTCACTAGTTCCTATACCATAGACGTCATAATCTAATTCTTGCGCGAACGTTTACCTAGCTAAGCGATGAGGCTTAGAATAGTTATAATGGCAAACACCGTCGTAAGGCCTATTCCGCTAATACCTCTAGAGGCCCAACTCTCTAGCTCATCTCCGCAAAATCCCGTCAGCAATTTGCTTGGCCATTCTGCTACATTGGCACACCGAGCCGTTGAGAGCATTATAGCAGAAATATTCTTTGCAAACTCCTCCGTGGGGCGAACTGCACAGGGATTAGGGTTCGGGTGAGGATTGTCTGGATCTAGGAAAGGGCAAGTATCCGCCGAGGTCTGAATTGTGACTCCCCTCGGCTTCTCTTGGCTCTTAATGTTGACCGTCCAGAGGGGTATTGGACAGTTAGTGTCTTCGCCTTTGCTACTAGAGGGGGTGTAAATATCTGGCAGTTTCCCTTCATCATCGAAGTATAGGTTAAAAGCACCCATAGCACGAGGTATTTCCTCGGCGAGCGTAGGACTAGTATCGTCTGCCCCCTCGGCAGCTGGAGTGCAGTTATAAGTTATGAAGAGGTGCCAGTAGAGGAACCATTCCTTAGTGGTTGCGTTTATCACGGCCTTTGTGTCGAATATGTTGATGACGGGGTCGGATCCTTCAAATGTCCCAGATGTTTGAATCCCCTGCGTATGATCGGGGAAGGTATCCCCATCCCCTGATATTGACCTATTCACTGGCTGTAGCTCCCAGAAATACTTGAAACTATACGGCCATACGGCGGCAGGGTTCTGAAGGGCAAAAATTATTGGGAATGGATACACTCTCTTATATGTTTCGTTCGGCCGAGGGAAGATGACGTCAAACTCAGCGGTGCCGGTCTGCGCGTGAACCACTGTGCATGCGAGACATAACATCAAAATCAACGGGCTAAACAGGATTCTCTTTCTGATTGTTTGTCTTCTCGGTGCAACTGGCAGCGGTGGCGGAAACCGGCTGCGGGGACGGGAATGGTGGCGAACCGGAAGTAGCATGCTTCGAAGCGTAAATGCGCAGAGGACGGATCAAGTGTGTAAGAGAAAATGACGAAAATTGTAAAGAGGGGGAAAAGCCATGTATAAATAGATAAATAATTCCTAGGAACCGTTGTTCATTATAGCTTAATTTAGCTATAACACTCTTAAAGCGGCACAGGATTTAGACCGACCGGGTATATATTTAGAAATTGCCGCCATTTAAACTTACAGCCAACACCTAGACAACATCTATTTAGCCATTACCACCTAGTCGGGCCATCCTAAGTACTGCCCTCGTTATATCAGGTAGGGTTCGCCGGCTACCTTAACGGCTAAGACCGTTCGGAGATAGATCATCACTAGAAGACCTAGCTAGTGAGGCTAACTAGATATAGTACCTGCTAGCTATTATTACTATTCACTAATATATCTCGCTATATTATAGAGTAAATAATAGATAAAGGACTGAAATAGTGATAGATTAGGTAAAAGAGAGTACGTGAAATAGGTAATTAAGCCACGCTTAAGTTCGTCCTTAAATTCCTAAGTAGTTATTTCTCCTCTTCTATTACTAATTTCTCTCTTTCCCTTACAAGCCGTCGAGGGTAGGCTTTCACTCGTCATACGCGATCGATCGTTTATATATAGAGAGTGGAGTGGTAAGGTATCCTAGATAGTTGGTGACTGAAGTCAAGTTTAGTAATTCTTTCGTATAGTTTATTCTTGATATGAAATGATTAGCATATTACGAGCTCTAAAATTCCATCCCACTTAACGCCTAGCATCGTTATATAGAGAGTCGTTTAGCTAAGTACTATAAGTTTCCTCTACATATCAACTAATTTTCTCAAAGCTCCTCTTCTAGATAACTATTTACACTATTACTACTAACCATATTTATATATACCTTCGGGGTAATGTGGTGGGAGCCTAGCCACGAAATATTAGTCAACGATAGTTAACGAGACCGCATATATACACCTAGCAGCAGCTACCTACCTTGACTCTGTCTAAAGTATTTTTGGCAAAGTTCAAGCCCCTTCTCGAGCTCCTCCTTCTCTATAATCAATTGGTCCCTTTCTCTTTGGACCTCTGGCGCCTCTCCAGCGAGCGCCCTCAGAGTAGATTCATCCATCCGGTCGAATGATTTCCAGTCTAGAATCGTTGGAATATCGCGGATTAGTTGCTTCTCCGCAGCAAGAATTATCAAGTTTTCTATGAAAATCGTTCGATGATGCTAGGAGAGGCTTACTGTTAGCTTATCCCTCTTCTTTTATAAAGTTCACTATATTCACGTTACCTCATAATATACTATCATGTTATCGATGGTCTTTTCGAGTGCAAAATCGCTACTTTCTTTGGTAAGAGAATTGCCACGCATAGCAAGTTCGCTTTTGAGGTACGTGACGTATTCTCGACCGTATTCCGGGTTGTCTAGTATCGCTTCCCTCTTGCTCTTACCCGTGTCTATAAACCTGCGCACTTCTTCAGATTCTTCTTTGAGCGCGCTTTCCAACTTTTCGATCTGAGAGATAAGTCGTTGTCGATAGCGGCTGCTTGTTTTGCTCTCAATTCTATCCTCTAATGCGATCTCATACGTAGCTGTAGAGGGAGTATTTCCTCGAGCTTTGTTTCCAGGAGCCGCTTTTTCTCCGTGAAAAATGGGCTGATGTAGTTTCCCGTATGCTTTCATAGGTTTTCGCATCTGCAGCCAAGATATACCTAAGAAGTTCCTCGGAAAATCTCTCTGCTACGTGAACGAGAAGGTGGAGGTGACTTTTGCTAGCCCCTTCCACGGACTTGATTGCTCCGCGAAGAGGTCTAACATGGCGACGGGATTCGTCTCCCCGGGAATTCGTAGCCCTTGCTTCCCACTACCTTAGAAGACCAGCGTTGCTTTACCGCAGACTCTGAAATACTCTCGGGATCTTTGAGCTCTGCATAGTATTGCCGTATGAGGGGGTCGATATCGGGTCGTAGAGGGGACTCGTATCCGCTCACCATAGACTGCCCGTTATCCCATTGGATGGCGAATTTATGTCCCTTAGAAAGCATGATTGTGCTAAATGCCCGGTTTATCTCACGAATAAACGCGCGGAACTTCCTAACGTGCAAGTTCCCGGTGCCAAGGGGTTGGTGGTCAAATTCTGGAAGAAGTCTTGCGTGAAGTAGCTGCCTTGGATGGCTTGCTGGGCCGTCTCACGGAACCTTTGCACAATATCGTGCAAGTAGTCACGGACATCCGACACATCGTTACGCGAAGCCCCTAGCGAGTCGATAGCGACAGCCCTTTGCGCGATGGCAGCCTCGATGTCTAAAACAACCCGGGGCAACGATTCGGAAATATGTTCTCGTGAAATTTTGATCAGCTTCTTATGCAGGGTTCCGATGCCCTTATTCCCAGGTGAGTAATTTTGCCACGGACCACTACTAAAAACTCCGACTCCTTGAGATCTCTGTCGTTGTCTGTCAAACCTTGGCTTGTTTCCTCCTCTGATAGGTTCCGAAGTGCGTGCCAGCCGTACTTCGGCTTCAAGGTTGGATCACGCCCTTGAGCGACATGTAGATATTCCTGAGTCGACGCCTGGTTACGGTCAATTACATCCAGCTGAGTGATGATACCAAGGACCCGCGACAAAGTAGGATCAACCGTCTTCTTCTTCGCTAAGGTGATGGCCTGATCCATGACAACATTCCCGGCGGCAGAAACGACCGCCAGGATGATGCTTCTCTTTTGGCCCATGTACTTTTCCGCCAGCTTAAAGGCGACACGCTTGCCTTCTAACGACTGGCGCTGGCTCTCGTTGTTATAGAGACCAGGGAGGTCCACCAAGGTTAGATTTGGGACGTTTGGGGCCGTGATCTCTATCCTGAGCACGTCAGGGAACATATCCCGAGTGTGCTTGTCGATTCCAAGTTCTGCCTTAGCCTCGTCGATCGCATCAGGGACCTCCTCCATGCTAGAGCGGCTTGTTAGTATCGCCTTTTCTCCTTCCTCGGGAATAATAGACACGGTTATATTTGTTTCTGTGCCAGTACGGAGGGCCAGCTCCATCGGGAACCTAGTACAAACAGCCGAACTAGTAGGGAATTGGACGCCGGAGAGAGCCGAGAGCACCGAGCTCTTCCCAGATGATTGATTGCCGACGACGACGATTTGTGGCAAATCGATAATATTGCCAATTCCAAGCAAACGTAGGGCATCTATAGTGTCAAAGAGCTCCTTTTGATCTTGCTGCATTTCCTGCAATGCAGCCACCGTCGGACGCTGGGTGGACTCGTCTGCTGTCATCTTGAAATTATTAGATAAGCTTGAGATGAGTTAAAAGATAATTAAATTGTGGACGCCAGTCAAATTAAGGATATCTGAAACATATACAGATAAAAATTAATAATTTCAAGTGAGTCGGGATAGTCTCTACCTTTTATAAGTGCACCTCGTCGATTAATCCAATCTCTTAGCGAATAATAGGAGTTGGTAGCCTGTTAAATTCCACCTAGCCACTTCCTGTCCGGTTTACTACATTCACTGTTCCACATCTCGGAAGAAGAGTACGATCTCCTCGGCCTAAAGGGCGGTTAGATATGATATCCGCCCACCTAATAACTCTAACCCACCTATTAGTACCCAGTCTATATAGAGAGCTATAGGCGCCCATTCCTAGGCTAAGGTCAAAAGGGAGACTTATTCGTCTAGAAGTGGGATCTCGCCTGCAGGATTATGCCCCTGTTTCGTATTATGCAGTTGGTTCTCGCCGTCACATCGGCCCGCATGAACGGCGATACAAAATGAACTCAGCATCTCTACTGCTTTAGACTCTTATTTCATATATTTCGGCACACTCAACGTCACTGTCGCTTGATTCTTTCTTCGTTGCATATCTCCTGGGGTGCGATAATTCACAAAGTATAGATAGGCGTGAAGGTTGCAGTAACTCGATAGGCTCTAATACAAATAGCGTTCACTATATATTGGCCAATTCCAATGCCCGTCCTAATGTTTCTCAGAGGTGTCTATTTTTATACACGGCGAAATCTACTAGTATAATCAGCTTATGGGGCTAGAATTCAATGTAGCTATAGATGTATATGTATTTATGCGAGGTCGCGTCGACCACGAGCACGGCAGCACCCGCCACACCTAACCACACTGACTCTCGCCGTAATACCCCTGGAGCCGGACTCAGCTGGGGCCGCGTAAAGAGATCGACTAGTGAAAAAAGCAGCTCTGTCTTAATCTCGAACAGTAGGAGTCATGCTCTCGCTCGCTCCCGGTGCTCGATAAAGGCATGCCCACCTGCCCGCACGTACATTTCACGGGAGCAGCCGTAGTGGTGGCTGGCTAGTATGCATGGGCCCAACTTAATACTATGCGGTCTCCATCCCCTCTTTACTACCCCCATTCCACATCAACTTAGCAAGTGCCCTGAAACTGAGTAGGACGCGGGAGACTCGGTGCCTAACCATGGCTTAGTCATAGCGCCTCCATCTCGTCGAGCATCATTGCCTCACCGTGTTACGCCGCAATACGCTGATCATGTTAAGGAAGGGGGTGGCTTGCATGTCAGGACCACGGAAGAGGCAGGTATAAGTCGCGGGAGGGACTTTCCGTCTCCTCTATATAAGTGTAATTGATCGCTTTGGCGATATGAGTGGCTGGAGACAGAATCCTAAGGCTTGGATTCAGCTCGGTTCTGTTGCTTTTAGCTAGCCACATTCGCGGCACCAGTCCATTAGGGTACGAAGAAACAAAAAAGCAGATGCCTTACACGGGACAAGCAAAAGAGTTGCGGTGCACCTAGGCTTACGATTAGGGAAATCTTTTACATGTGGAAAAGTATATAAAAGCCATCCGCTCCTCATCTAACCCTACTGACAGCTAAAGAAAGTATTATTCCTCCTCAAGGCTCAAACTCCCTATTCTCCGCGTTATTCTAAGAATCCTCTATTATCCAATCCTCACATATCTAAACCTTCTAATCACCATGTCTGGTAAGCAAATCACTATCCCCATATACTCTTCTAGTCTCTAGTTAGTTCGTATAGCTGACTCTCGCAGCTATCGTCGGTGAATGGTCTGGCTACTGTGCCTATCCTGACGGCTCGAAGCGCGATTGGAATTTCAACATCAGCGAGACCGCTAATAACGCTGTCTTCATCGGCACCGGGTCTGAGTCCCGCGGTGACTTTGACCTCGTCGCGGGTCAGGTTATCCCCGCCGACGGAGGGAGCGCTGTAACATTTGCCCAAATTTACAAGTCCATCTGGGACGGTCAGATCTGGACCTTCCGTGGCACCCTCTCACCTGACGGGAACACCCTGAGTGGCGAGTGGTACGACTCTCCGGCGGACGGGCGCAACCGCATCGGCACCTGGAGCGCCCTGCGAGGTCCGATTTCTCCACTGGCCGGCAGCTGGAGCGGAACGTACTCTTATCCCGACGGGTCCACAAGCAATTTCACCCTCAACATCCCGGACTTCACTGTCGGCGCTAAGTTCCAGGGCACCGGCCATGATGACGCAGAGTTTAGTGTTGAGGGCACTGGGGTAGAGAGCGTGACGTCTGGTAAGGGTGGTTTCTCTTGGATCCAGACATACGATTCACAGTGGCATGGCCAGGTTTGGTTCTGGGATGGTGTGCTGAGTGAGGATGGAAATGAGATCAATGGCCGATGGCATGATTCTGCAAATGATAGTAGACAGAGAAGTGTTAGCTTCGTCTTACAGCGTGATTAAGGCTAGTTACTATACCTATCACTCTAAGTTATTATACTCTAAAATAGTAACTGAAAGTAGAATTTAGTATACTAGGCCTTATCTTAGGGTTCTATAATAAACTATATGTAGAGTTTACCATAGCGTTAGCGGCAGTATAGTGAGCCTCCTAGTCGTAGAGGGCGGTCGACAAGGGACCATCGGCTATACTATAAGCGATTATACTTACGAATTATAAGTAGTCGCAGGCTACCTTAAGTCATATATAGTGTTTTCACTATAGTATAGAAGGCAAGGTAAGAAAGCTTATATCTTCTCTAACTCCTAAGTCTATCTTATCTTCTATCTTTTATATCTACTTACTAGTATAGATGCTTACTACTTAAGTCGCTAGTTGGTTGTCTCCGCTAGCTGGTTTCCCAGCTTGCTTGCGTGTAGAGAGTGTTGATAAGTGTTAGGACTTTTTATATAACACTGCCATTGTAATATAGGAAACCCTATTTAGATTTAGATCTACCTTGTTATTTCTCTTATATTTAGGCCTACTATGTGGGGAGAAAATGGTAGGAAAAGGATCTGAATTTGGATAGGTGATGGAAGATGGGGAGGAAAAGGTTCCTAGAAGGGGAACCGTTCTAAACTAAATAGGCGTGAGGGTCGAACTGATCGGGGGCACCACTAACGGTGGTGCTCCAATCAGCCCGCCGGCTAACATATTATATTTCAGATCTATCTGCCCTTTTCCATATCTTCTATCTAATACCTCTCTTATTTGAAAGTAGTTGATTTAATCCCCACTTCTCTATCTACATCATAATTACTCTAAGATAGTACTTGTTTAAAATTACGTGATTGAAGATAATATAAAGATAAACTAGCGCGACTAGGAACACTTTACTATAACTACGTGGTTTATAATAGGAAGATATATCTAAAACTTTAACTTAGAAACCTTAGGTGTCGGATAACGCTGTTTACCCTCTTCGCCTATATAAAAATCATAGCAAAATATGCCCTCGACCCTAGCAAAACAGCCCCTTACTTAGTTTACTATAGGCCTACTTTTAACCTCCTTCTCTTCCCTATTAGCAAATACTATTAACCTATACTCATCCCTAGTAGTTTAACTCTATAGTACTAGATTATAATATTATAATATACCTATACTTATCCTTCCTATAATATTTCTATATACGCCCCATTTCTTATGAGGCACCGCGCCGGCAATGGTCATGGCCGTGGTGACGCTCGCCTCGAAGATGCCTGTGACTGCCCGCGCCCTGGCCTTGGCCTTGCGTTGACTGATCTCAACTTATACCTTTTCGACGAGGGGGTGTCGGGAGAAGCATGCTACGAGAAAGGCGTCGTGAGTGTCAAAGTACGGGAGTACGTGGGGAAACATAGTCTCGCTGATTCGGCAATGCCCTCGAGAGACGTCAGAGGGGTTGCGGCTCGGGGCATGTGAAAATGTGTATTCCACCTGTCATGGTTAGTGCCGTGTCATGAGCTGCGCTTGGGTAGTCGGCGTGGACTAACCCCTCGTACTGGAGAGGCTTTACTAGGTTCTGTAGGACCTGAGTAAAGGGCTCGTTGCTGTTCGGGTTGATGACGAGGATCTTGACTGGGGAAACCATTTTGTAATATAATGGAGGTGTGTGCCTAAGCTGTCGCTGGACATAGAAAGATGGGTGATTTCTAATATGTTGTCCTCTGGGCAGGAACTAGAGCGGGGCAGGGACATAAATGGTTGCGGGAGTTCCATGAGCGTATAATTCGGTGGACATCATCAATTTAAAGGGCTTAGTCATTCACTAATCAAAGCAATCTAGCAGGACACTAATGGAAGTACCGAAAGATAACGAAGATAAAGATACGCAACCAACTCTCTATAGATCTTAATAGTCTACTAGCCATTACACCGGTGTGCGCCTCTACATGTACTTGTACCTAAATATATATTGTTCGTTTATGGGCTGACGATGTCGTCGGTTGATATCTCGACGTCGTCGCCAAACAATGGGACATTGGGCTCGCAGACGGTCCCAGGTTCGGGCAAAGCCCCATCAGCAAAGTACTATTGAATAGCCTCATCGGTACAGTTTGATCGTTGAGTGATGGACAGATTGGAGGTGTGCCCAAGTTGTCGCTGGACGTACCAAGATGGGTGATTTCTAATATGTCCTCTGAGCAGGAACTAGAGCGGGGCAGGGACATAAATGCCCGGCTGGGTAACTTGTTGCGACACTTACACAGGACCGATGTTGAGGGCGAATGCCCGGCCAGGCCCCCAGCGGCGTCTTCCACAGGTTTGATTTAACACCAATGAAGAGGTCAAGATTTCTGTTGGCGCGAATGGTGCCAAACAGTTGTCATGTCAGACAATATAGGTTATTCTTGCTCTTGTCACGATAGGAACGGGGCCGAAAGTGAAGAAGGTGTGTGTGTATTGGGGAAGTTGTGGGTCTTCCGAAAGTACGGGGGTGCCCTAATAAGCTAGACCCTTTACTGCCTGAATTTCCAGGCCATAAGCTTTGCCGGCCCTCATGATATTTGACATGTCAACCCCCTGTCAGGACCAGGGTCACGTTAAAAGACGCCGCGTCATTGGTCGAGATGTGCATATTCGTAGTCTCCTTGCATCTCGAGCCAACACATCTGATCTCTTGGTCATTACTCAGGCGAAATCAACCCCGAATGTCAGATCTCCGGGCAGTGAAAACGCGACTTCAGCTGGATATCACGCTCAGGCTCTGGATATTATTATGGATACCTGCTAATTATCTTTTATTCCTGTTTGTTTTGCGAGTTTGTCTGAGACCACTCCCCATGAAAAGACGGTTCTTATGGAATTTCACTCCGATCAAGCCGGCCACGAGGAGTTGCTTCGTGGAGTAAAAAGAAGCGCCTCTTCGGAGCCTTGCATCTAACCCGTGACTACTCCTAACCGCCACACCAGCCATCGCTCTAGATTGGTTGTCTCGATGGTGCAGCACCAAAGTTCCCCGCTTAGGAATCGGCGAGGGATAAAATATGATTTCCGAAGACCTTTGAAGAGAATAACTTCAATGTTGTCTCTCTTGGAAATTTGAGTTCAATACCTCAAAATGTCGGTGGCTGATTCCAAGCTTTGCATCTTCTGTCGCTGTCTCGAGCCAGCCGGACAGTCATGTCGCACCATCCAGCATATTTCCAGCCTGGCAGCGACTCACAAAGTCCAGAAGGATCCACAGTCTGTTCAAGTTCCCCTCTCAAACGAAGATCAAAAACTCATCGAGTCGCTTCAGCAAAGACCAAGTAGTCTATGCAGCCGTTGTTCTCGTTACGACGTTCGACGCGTGTTCGAGCAGGCCGATTACAAAGACTACATTGACAGTCACGCAATATCAAATGCCCTGCTCGCGGAGTACATCGACAGTCAGGAAAAGTACAAAATGTGTTTGGGACAGCTCTCTTCTCTCCACCTCACGCCTTCGTGTCAGTTATGTCGCTTGCTCTACTGCATTATGCCACGAGATGGATTAGATCCCGAGGACGAGATGTATAAGCTGGAGCCGTCCCCACGATACATCAAAAAGACGGCTGGGATCAGCTTTCAGAGGAGGTTAAACTGTCCTGCGCTCACGTTCTAAAGCTGGCGCGAGTCTCCTTCTCCCTAAGTGCTGTCATAATCGGGAACCATAACCTCTCGCTGGGAATCAATCTTGGTTCTTCTATCGCGATGCATCCACTAGGTCCCGGAAGGAGTCTCAACAATGCAAGGCTCGTCGACCCCCTTATCAACTTTGACGTCATCAAGAAACATCTCGACGTTTGTTCTAAGGTTCATGGAGATGCCTGCCAACCTTTCCGCAGTCAAGAGCTCTCTACAACAAAGATGATCGACGTCTTATCTCGCAAGGTGGTCCCCTACCCACCTGATTGCGAATACATGGCGCTGAGTTATGTCTGGGGACAGGTCCACCCGCAAGATGGGGCGCTAGAGTCCGGAACACTCCCAGCCACAATCGAAGACGCCATAACAGCGACAAAGAAATTGGGCATGCGGTATCTTTGGGTTGACGCTCTTTGTATAGACCAATCAACGAACCCAACCCCGAACAGGCCATCGCGAAACAGACGCAGCTCAAGATGATGGACAGGATTTACGCGGGTGCGGCTCTCGTGCTTTTGCCGTATCCGGGAGAGATTCGAATACGGGCTTACCCGGACTCTCCATGAGATACCCCCGTGCAGGGCAGGTTAGTGAGCATGTTGGAGACGTCACACTGTTCACGGTTCCACCGTCCGTCAACTTGTCGATTGACTCTTCGACCTGGCACACTCGCGCATGGACCCTCCAGGAGATGATATTCGCTAGGCGCAGTTTACACTTTACAGACTTTCAGTGGCAATTATCTTGCGCGGCTACGTCCATAGCCGAGTGTGATTCTGAGACTTTGGTAATGGTGCCGCCGCCGCATCCCAGCCTTACTTTTGTCAGGGCTGCACTTGGTGACTTAGATGTAAGACAAAACTCCAAACTTGAAAGGCACAACTAGACTGACCCTGCTGCTAGGCCTACGAAACGAAAATCCATTCCTCCGGAAAGGGATCCTTCCACTTCTATTCGGGGATCATATTCCAGTATAGCATGCGAAGAATGACCAATGATAGTGACTCTTTGAATGCAGTTCTGGGAATCCTCTCCGCGCTCGAGAGAGGCTTTTTCCCATTAGGCTTTATATCCGGCCTACCCTTGCGCAGTCATTCATTTTCTCTCGCCTGGATGCATTCCTGCTCGTCAACTCCCAGGCGGCGGCCGGAATTCCCGAGCTGGACCTGGGCTGGATGGGAAGGCGTAGTGAAATATCATGGTAAAATGGTACAAGATGTCGGCGAAGGGGAATACCCAAAAGTAGATTTGGAACCGGAGGTAGTATTTCACCGAGACAAGGAGCTCTGTCTCAAAGGGTGGGTAGTAGACCTGGATATTGTCACTGATCCATTTAGTGAAGTTCGAGTACCTGGCGGAAACGACACCGAAGTTGGATACGTGATGGAAGGAGATGAGGCGCATCCAAATACACTTCCGTCCGGGAAGTACAGCTGCTTGGTGGGACAGCGTGTGATTCAGGCACCTAGTGCGCGTGGCTCCGGAAAACAAACTATTTTTATGATTGTCCTGGACTGGGCCGGAGCCATGACTCAAAGGAAGACGATGATTACCCTGAACATCTCGGCTGATTTCATTGTGTTTAAGCCGGTGAAGCGCACTATTACGCTAGTTTAAGAGGACAGTGAAGGTTTTGAGCACTCATTATATATTACGCAATTGTTCTCTTGATGGACTCTTCATGGTCTCCTCCGTGCTCGACTCCACATATCGGAATTCCCAAGAGTACTATCACTACGCTGTAAAGTATGGATACCAACGTACCTTCCCATTGCACTGCCAACGGACCGACTGCCGACTTCATTCAACCCAACTCAGACCTTGCGGAAATACGCCGACGTACCATACCGCTGCAAATGACCGAACGTGCTGAGATGCTGTACAATAGTAAGCCGTTTGAGCTCGCTCACAAATCTATGGAGGAAGTCGGGGATACGTCTGCAACATCCGCAGATACGCAGGAGAGCCCCTTTGTGGCTTTTGTGAAAGCCGACGGAAAACTCTTGGAACTCGAGGGAGGAAGGAAGGGCCCACTGTAAAGGGAGAGCCTCAAAAATGGCGAGGACGTTCTAAGTCCACGAGCCTTCGAGATGGGACTGAAACGGATCATAAAGCTAAGGGGCGATGAAGGCGGGGATCTTCGATTTAGCTGCACTGCCTTAGCCCGTACGTCCCAGCTGTGATTAGGATTAGAAAGGGTTAGGGTTAGGGTTAGGGTTAGGTTAGGGTTAGGGTTAGGGTTAGGTTAGGGTTAGGGTTAGGGTTAGGGTTAGGGTTAGGGTTAGGGTTAGGGTTAGGGTTAGGGTTAGGGTTAGGGTTAGGGTTAGGGTTAGGGTTAGGGTTAGGGTTAGGGTTAGGGTTAGGGTTAGGGTTAGGGTTAGGGTTAGGGTTAGGGTTAGGGTTAGGGTTAGGGTTAGGGTTAGGGTTAGGGTTAGGGTTAGGGTTAGGGTTAGAGCAATACGTAAC